AAATAGTATTAGAGTACTAGTAAGGCTCTTACTTAGACAGATTTATTCTTTTATTAAAGCGTTGTCTAAATATTTATATAAGATACCTAGCTCGACTTTTATAAGTAAGTAGATTCGGCTATATAGTAGTACTACGTCTCTTTTAAGGTCTATTATATAAGTAAGGCTATTAATTATAAGTAGTAATCTAGCCCTTTCTTTAAAGAAGACGTCTATAAATTATTAGTACTTACTAGGTAAGGTCGCTATAGCCTTACTGTCTTCTTATAGTTCCTTTTATAGTTCTTCTTTACTTAAGGATTCTAGGTCGACTATAATTAGTTATACTATTACTATAATTATAAACTAGGCTTCTTTTATTACTTTCTTAATTTCTTTCTTTATTATATATAGCTAGACTATTAAAGACGACGTAAGGTATATAAATGTCTAAGTCTTTTATAAAACGATTAGGTCTATAGCTTCTAGCTATAAAAATCTAAGTATAATATCTAAGTCTCTAATATTAGTAATAACAAATCTACCTTAATGTCGCCTTACTATTAAGTAGTTATCTTAGGCCTTAATAAATAGATTATATAATCTAAAGCTTATTATTATTTTCTAGAATAGTAAGAACACTATAATATAATTATTAAGTTACTATAGTACTTCTTGTCCTAAAAGTCGTAAGTAGATAAGGTTAACTTCTACTCTTAAGTCTAGTAAGGCTAGTATAGCTACCTAGCTACCCTTAATACGTATCTTTACCTAAATACTTATTAAGGGTCGCCCTTCTTCTTATTGTTTAGACATAACGTAACAGGCTACTAGTGTAGTATTAGCGCCTAAAGTACTAGCCTTATTAAGGTACTAAGTATAAGTATACCTAGATTAACTATATATAAAGTATTTATATAGTAAGTATAAATTTACTTAATAACTAGACTACTAGTATTAGTAGTAGTTACCTTATACCTTACTTACTAAAAGGGTTTTTACAACACTAAAAGAGTCTTCTTACGTATTTAAAGTTTAGCTACTAAATACTTCTTACGTGTTTACTAGTATAGATAAGGTCTTTAGATTATAAGAAGAGCCTCTTTTAGTATAGTATAGTATTAAAAAGGCTTTATAAGAGCCTTCTTATTACCTTATCTAAATAAGAGTTTCCTTTTTTAACGCTACTACCTTAACTACCTTAAAGGTATCTAAGACCTTACTACTTACTATATAGGCCCTTAATTTAGGCTTTAAATAATTAATAAGAAAGTAGATATAAAATATCTTTAAGAGAGCGTAGCTAAGTTTAATAACTAAAGAGTTATACTATTAAAGGAAATTCCTAAAGGTCTTGTTTTAGTTTTAAGTTAACATTTAGAGTTTTAATACTACTTTAAGAGAATAAGTACCCTTATCTATAATACTATAGAGAAGCTACGCCTTTATTTTTCTTTAAGTTATATTAAGAACTAATCTACCTTTTTCTAAGAAAATAAAAGACTTCTAGTACTCTTTAATATAATCCTTTAGTACTACTACTATAGTACTAACGCGTTTAGTATTTATTAGATAACTCTTTAGATAAGTGTTAAACTCTATTTCTTAGTTAAATAAGAAGGTCGTAATACTAGTATATATCTTGTTTTTTAGTAAAATAAAAGGGGTATTATAATAGCTCTTCTTTGTTTTTTTAATATAGGTTTACTAAAAGGGCTATTTTACTTTAAGAAGGTTATTAAATTTATATAAGTTTATTAAAGGAGCCTCTCTTTTTTTAAGTACTATAAGGTAGTCTTACTTTTACTTAAGGCACTACTCTACTTTTACTTAGGCGATCCTCTTATTTAACTTAGTCTTACTTAAAGAAAGGATTTTTATTAACATTTAAAAGGTCGTACTAGGTTTACTACTATCTGCCTATAAAGAGGTATTCTAAAGAGTTACTTAAGAAGAGGCCTACGTCTTATTAAGGTTTATTTATTATGTTTACGTTATTACTTCTTACTCTAATAGTCTATAACCTTTTAGTAAAGGAAAGAGATTAGAATATTAGGTATATTTTTATAGAGTAAAAGAGGTAAGAGTCGATAGATAGTTGTAGTATATTTAAAGGTATATCACTACTTTAACTATAGACTAATCTCTAAACTCTCCTCTTTTTACCTCTCTTCCTTCTATTCTTATACTCCTTAACGCCTACTATTACTTTAGTTGTAGTACGTAGTTACCCTGTACTTAATTTCTAAGCTATTGTAGTCTTACGTGTTAGCGTACCTAACAGTTAGGTCATAGGTTAGGGCCTACCTACTAGTCTAAACCTACCCTATAGGTTAGATCCCTATGGGTTAGGTCCTACCTATAGAAACCTAACCTATAGGGACCTATTGCGCAGCCTACTTACAATTGTGAGAGAAGGTTCTATAAATCCTCTATCTCCAAAGTCTGTTGATTCTATAAAATTCAAAGGAAACTTGCTTACACTCCGTCGCCTGCTGAAATGGCGTCTCGCTCATGGCAACTAAGATGGCAGCATGTGGTCCAAGTCCATCCTCAGTCAGGGCCTTCACGTCGCCTACCAAATCCTCACTGGTCGACAAGTCAACGGGGTTTTTGGCTCTAAGCTTTGCAGTCATGGCCTTCTTCTCTTCACCCCGATGTCAGATCGCGGCTGGCTTTTGAGGTCCCGCGTGGCGGAGGTTCTTCGAACGTGGTTTGCCTCTTTCGACACGGGTTTCTTGCGGAAGGGTCTTGGCCAAGTTGGGCTCTTCCTTGGCGATCTCAGCACGGCTCCGAAATGCCTCTGCATCCTCAAGTTTTGAAGGGCGAAAGTATAATCTCTACCCACACGACAGAGCGGGCCATGATCATCCTTTTGCTAAACAAGCAAGAATATGTTCGCGCCCAAACTCCCTCTGTAGCTGGATATCCAGCTTTATCGCCTCTAGCTTAGTAGCTCATAGAAGCTTTTCTTCGTCAAACATATACTTGTCGGTTAGGTAGTATATGCCGACGAGCGTGGCGATAATGATGGTCACTTTGTGTATTCTTTGGAACCTTAGAATTTATACAAAACATATAAAAGGGGGTTAGATATCTGGGTACGGTACTTACATTTTGAACGCGCCTTGATCTTATCCCAAATGTCCTTCTCCTTCCTCCCCCGCTTCTTCTTCTACTCTTCCTCCTCTTTCTCTTTCGCCTACTTCACCAGATGTCAGGGTGGGGAAAGAGGCCTTTGACACCTCGGGAAATCCCCGCATGTCGGAGGAACTGTCGGAATGTTAATGAGCTACCCCTTAGCTAAAGGGAGGTGTTGGTGCCAATATGAAGCCCTCTTGTCCCATGCTAATCCATGGAACTGAATTGGTCGAACGATATTTCAGACTCGACGATAACCCCAAGAATAAAGGCGGTGCACAATCCGCCTAAACTTCTGTATGTTCTCTCCATTGTTTTTCCAGATCCTCTGGGACTTTTCAATCCCATCTGTCGCAGTTTCTTGCCTGCTTTATCTGCCAAGGTTTAGCGGAGGAGCTTCGATATCGAGTCCTTTAATCCTCGGCCTCGCTCAGATAGGTCGTCTTCATTGCATTCTCTCCTTGGTGCTAAGAATGGTATAGATGCCATGTTTGGTGGGTTGGGGTTTGAAGAGGGTTGGTCGAATGCAGGTGGTTCTGGAGAGAAGGGTGTATATAGCCAGTACTACGGATAGCCACACCACACGGTACCGACGGCCTGCTGGCGCAAGTACCTTGCCACGCCAATCTGTATGAGGGAGTACTTTGTGCTCTAGCGCCAGTTTCAACTGCTCCGAAATACCTTAAGGTACCACCTACACCACCGTAATTACCAACCGGGTACCTTGGGTATTTTTATCCGTCTTATTATTATTCCTTGATACTTCACCTCCCGCTCCACCCTCTTCACTCTTTAAGGGTTCGCCTCTCTCTCCCCCTCGAAACCTCCTCTCCCTCTCGCATTGGGTCCTCGAGCTCTTGTCGTCTTCATCTCGAGGACGCCAGCAAAGATCCTGATCCCTCCCTCCCTCTGCCCTCGCCGGCAGTTCCGTGGCCCATTGCCACATTGGAAATAACCTGATCTTTACCATCCACCAGATCTTACATGATGGTTAATCCCCGGACCCGTGTCGCGCCATCCCTGGCAGCGACAGCTATGATGCTGTTCTCCGCTGGAGGGGTTGCGGCTCACGGCCACCATATGGATAACATTGAGGAGGGACACTACACGTCGCCGGATCCTATCGTACGTTGATTGATCAATTGGGAGTCGCGGAGGACGCGGATCTGACAAGGTGCAACAAACAGTGAGCATGTTGGCGAAGAGGAATATCAGGAAGGCGAAGCTGTATAGCACAAGAACATAGGAGACGTGAGAGATTCCAGCGTCGGATAGGAGCTGCAGCTGCTCCTCGGTTGCTCCCAAGAAGAGAAGTCCAGATGCATAAAGCAGCTAAAACAGTCAATATGATTTCAGACAGGTGAGTGGGTGACTTACAAAAGGGGCAACGTATTGGAAGCTATTGGCATCTCCATCCTCGGAGATAGTATTGGCATCCCTTACAACGAAAGCAACCTCAATGATTCTTGCAAGGCCAGCCCCCATGAGACTGTACCCAAAGATCGTGTGGATCATTGTGCTGAGGGGCAAATGCTGCGGGTGGGAAGACATGGCCCATCCGGTAAGCAAGATGACAAAACCAGGAATGAAATTTCTCTTCGGGGACCCGTCTCTCTTCCTGCTGAGCCAAACCCCGGCGAGACCGGCACACCACCAGATAACACCCATAGTGGTATGCTGAATGTCGTTGCCGGCCCATTCGCTTCCCCACCTATGCTCCGTGAAAGTGTTGACGCAACCCCATGCAGCAATGACCGTCGAGTCGAAGAATTCTGGCGACCGTCCCGTCCTCTTCACCCAGTTTTGTCCAACCAGCATGAGGATGGTGAGAAGGATTCCATATGCGATGAAAGCACTGCCCATTATAAAATGGGCAAGACACTGACCCAAATGGTCCTCATGACAGAAACCCAACGAAGTGATTACGCCAAACAGCATTTGTACCCAAGATGCGATAGGCATAAGCTTTCCCAGAATTCCATGTCCGTAAACTACAACTTTCCGTAGCTTCCCATTGAAGCCTTTTTCGAGATGGAGTTTGAGATAGGCACCGAAGCCAATTTGCGCTATCAGCATAAGCATCAGCATACTCGCGAAAGTGGAGTGGATGTTCGGCGCAAAGGTTCGTCCTTTGTGTAGGTGTCCCAGGAAGTAAGCAACCACCGCAATCACTGTTCCGAAGACTTGCAGCGGTACGTGCCACCGGTTTCGAACAATCTGGCCAGAGTCAGCTATGGCTTCAGCGTCTGGCGAAAGGAATGCATACACCAAGGACCATTCCAGTTGGGAATATGATGCCAAAAGAAAGCATCATCAACAGGATGTGCGCCCATAATATCGAGTCTCCACCTGTATGCCGTGAACACGAGTCCGCCAGTACCACCCAAGGACATCGATCGGCCTGAACGATTACCGCGGGTGAATGGACATACTAGGAATACGGAGTCGAGACAATTAAGGGATGCAGAGGAATTCGAGTTGGAGGGACTGATGAGCGAGGATGAGACACCCGAGAGTCCAAGCACGTTGGGGAAGAACAACGAGGCACATGTCCAATGAGGCTGATGGCATTCAAGTCTTCTTATTTTGTTTTTTATACTGCACGGGAAAACCCTCCCCTTGGAAAGTTCTTTTGTCGAACAGGTTATTATGCATGGATTGGCGTTCGTTTGGGTAGTGAATAAGTAGGTAGGTAAGTAAATTAATAGAATGGAATGAGACTCACCAATTCATCATCATACTCCTTGCATTGCAAGCAACGCAAATCATCTTCCCGCCACTGTTTCTTATCTCCGGCCTCCACAAACTCCCACGGACCATTATCAAGCATCTCGAAATAATCTTTCAAACCAAAACTGCCATTATAGCTTCTTCAACACAACACGTACTCTATCGCCTGACCTCCATCCATCAACCACACTCCCGCTATCACTGGGAGGAGAAGAACCAAAAGTAAACTGCAGAATTCCCTCCCCTTCCCTTCCCTTCCCCTACGGATCTCTGGATCAATCAATCGGTGGGGGAATACGAAATGGTGATTTGGAGGCCGATAGCCAAATTTGGTTTTAGGAAGAGGGTATATATAGTGACTGGTTACGAAGCGCTGGAGGACTCCGGATACTTCATCATAGGACAGTAGGATTAGAGGACAGTAGGATTAGAGTATGGTATCTTCACGTTGCTCATTAAGTTATGTTGATTCGTTTCATTGCTTTGCCATTTCATTTCTGCATGAAGAGTCATTTATACAAGCCGTGAGTGGCGTGGCAAGTAGACGCTCAGCCCTAATATGAGCGGCAGCAAAATGACAAAGAGCGCAAATAACCATCCCGTGTGTAAGACAACACCAACCCCCCAACCCCGAAACTCCATGCCGGTTGGTATCCATCCGTATGCTTTCAACTCAAACCGTGCCACTGATGCTGAGCTCGCGGATTTCTTGCAAAATCTGCTCGACCTTACCATCTAACTGGCCTTGGGCGTATTGCTCACGAGTATCGGCATCCAAGTACTGTTGAACTTGCGCCATTCTCGAGTAAGCCTCAGCACAGAAGCGGAGTTGAATTTTGACCAAAGCCTCGAAGCTGGGGTCGAGATATGGCACTCGGAGATCGATGAGCTGGGGGAGTTCGTCCAAGAGCTGCTCATTGAGCTGCTCATAGGTTGCCTTTGCCATCTCAGCTTCTTTCTCAGCGCGTGGGAGTTTGGTAGCATCCTTGTCGGGCTTCTCAACGAGTTTCTTGACCTTAGCGCGCATGGCATCGTAGTCGAGGAGCTTGTGGTTACGCTTCTTGATGCCTATAAACGTGTCAGCTTTGATCTGGAGCGAATTGAGGGTTCCATACACTCATTGACATCGGGGAAGTAGGCGCAGAAGCGAGAGATTGGTTCGAGGACGGTAGTACTACTAGTTGTCAGTTGATGCTTCTAAGGACGCAGTGCTTGAACCTACCGGTAAGGGCCATCCAATGCCTTGATTGTCTCTGCATCAAGATCCTCAACCGCCTGCTTGTAGCTCCGACTAACGCCATCCTTGGCACCTGCATCACCGTAGAATGCGTCGATGGTCTCTGCGATTCTCATCTGAGAAGCGGTCATTGCTATGTTTGTCAGTCCCGACGTGAGAAGTAAGATCGATCTACCAACCTCGCAGCGAGTCCAAGTAGCCCTTCGCCTCCTTCTGCAGGCGCATCGAAGCGGCCTCCATGGTTCTGTAGCGTCTGTGATTCTGTGAGCCTTCGTCCTCGTCCCCGTCCTCATCAAACTCTAGATACTCCTTGCCGAGCATCTCGTCGGCCTCCTTGTAAAACTCTTCGTGAAGCTTCACGTTCAACTTCTCGAGGGACAAGGAGATCTCCTCGGAGAAGTTCTCGGGTCGGTGGAGAGAGAGAAGGTAGAGCTCAAGGGAAAACACGCGGTCTCGACCCAATTCCACACGCAGCGACTCGATATCTAGTTCGAGAGCCATCTTTGCTTCGCGTTTTGCTTGTAGGGGTGTTGGTGGGGGGAGAAGAAGGGTTCGTACCGTTCCTCGACTTCGTAGTCGCGATCATTTGTCTTCTCGACATGGCCTAAGGATAATTAGCTCCGACGACTCAGCGATGGCTCGGCGACGACTAAGCGCTGAGGCTTGATTGTTATGCGGCTGCGGGGAGTCTTCGTACATACCAGTCTTCATCATCACCTGGGTCGTCGCCCGATTGACATTCTTCTTGAAGCCTACGTCTCGTCAGCGCATACCCCTCATCGTGTACGTAGCGGGATGTACCTGCCCACGACATTGTCGCGGTTGCTTTCGTATTTGGCAAACAAAACGAGGGGTGGAAAAGGAGGTTGTTATTTGAGACTGTTGTAGGATCAAGGTCAAAGGTTAGTTTTGGTGTTGTCGCCGGATAGTTGGAGGACTGTCATAGAAGACTGAAGACGGAACCCATTGACGACTTTGCTGTGGCGCCCTGTGGCGGTGCGGTCGGATCGCCGTCCCGTCCGGATGCGCGCAAACGAGCTGACCCCACCAAACAAAAATAAATTTCTCTATCTCCGACTGCAGGGACTTTAGTATTATTATATCATTATTTTTCCTGCATTACAGACGACTCTCAACTCCCCGTCATTCAAGAACAACATAAATAACACGACCTCAAAATGCCCTCCCGAGGCAACCCTAACGTTCCAAACAAGCAAAGGCGTGTTGCATCCAGGAGAAAGGTGCAAAAGCAGAAAGCACTTAACAGGGTCAGCAAGAACGCCCGAGGGACCGCAAAGAGCTCTGTCCTATATCCTACGAGCGGACCTCTCGCACCAATTTCCAAGAAGAAGGCCAGGAAGTTGGAGACGGCAGCCAAGTTGGCGAGGAAGAGAGCTATCGAGAAGGCTATGGAGCAAGAGGGAGAGGTTCAGATGACTGGTGAGTGCTGAAATACGAGGCTTATGGGGTGATGATGGACGATTCAGGCTCTAACTAGGGCAATTGCAGATGCGCCGGACGTTACGAAGAAGGCACCAGCAAAGAGCCAGTCAAAGGAGGAATCAATGGATGTTGATATATCATGATGGAGGCATGACAGAGGACATTGCATGCGCAAGTTGCTCAGGCGGGGTCGCGAGGCCACAGGGACGGAGATAGAGATTATACAGGCCTCTAGCGATTGAAGGTTTACACAATGGGCGGGGTATCGCCGAAAGCTTTCGGCCAACTAGCATTTCAACCCGGGAAAGGGAGTTAGGCGGGCGTTGTGGATTTGCGAAATACGATATACCCAAGCCTCTCAGACCAAGGCACCTAAAGGAATAGCAGACACGCATGTCATCTCTACTTGATATCGGTTGCTTCTCTCAGGGACCAACTCATTCAGTCCACTTCGCAGATCTGTCACTCGCCCGGAGATCCTCTGACGTCGAATTCAATACCCACCCCAGGTTCCCCACAAAGCGCACGCCGCAAACCATAGCAGTAAGCCCCGTGAAAGTAAGCAGAATTTATAGCCACTCCCATACGCCAACCTCGCGCTGCTTTTCCAAGTGTCACCGCTCAGAAGCATGAGAGAAGGAGTTGAAACAGGGACCTGGTCCGCAGGCAAAAACCTCGAGAGAAGAGAAAGACCAAAAGAGTCTTTTTGACAAAGCATGCCATAGCCAGGAGCCCCTGGGTCCACGGCGCCAACGTGACACTTGCCTCCAACCGCATCAGCCAGGACAATGGTGCAATCTCCTTGGCCGCAGGCAATCTCCAGTACTCGCGACCCAGGAGTAATACCCAAGAAGAAGATTATACCTAGTCGGCGCTCCATCTGCCAGGCTGTGCTTCTAACATTTGACCCATTCCTTAAGACCTTTGGAGAAAGACCTCAGCAAGCCTTTGACTTGAGGCCATAAGGATGGATATTATTGATTAACCGGACAAGGAAATATAAACTTGGGCAAGCAAAAGAATAGACTCCAGGGCTATTTGGGATCTTTGCAACTTGGTCGTTCACCTTACCTACTACTTTACTCTGCCTGTGATAACAAACAGCACGTGATGGAGGGATACATCACCGCGTCACTGGACAACAACAACCCTCTTAACCATTGACCCCGCCCACAAAAGATGGTATTTGAGACAACTAAAACCTCACCACACCAATCTACGTACGAAGGAGGATATTGAGAATGATGAGGATTTCGACTGGGTTAAACACCGAGTGTAAGGAGCGATTCAGCGAGCAAGAGCAGAGGCCCAAAGCTCAGAACAGAAAAAGTCTGTATCAAAACGCTTGACAACAACAGAGAATTGACCTATGGCTATTACGTCCTTGTCTATTCCTTAATCTGATTTGACCCGTTCTGTGAAGGCCTTTGGAAAAAGACCCTGGCAAGGTTTTGCGCCTTAGCCGATGGACTTGAGGCCATAGGGGGCTTCATTTATTATAACCGGATAAGGAAATATACAACAGGGCAACAGAGTATCAGAACTTTTGACAACCCGCAAGTATACAGTCGATCTTCACCTCATTATAGCTACGTGCAGAAGGGAGAAGGGTAAGCGATGTGACCTTGCCTGGCACACCTATCTCCCACTTTCACTCTTCGGCTGATGCGATAGGCGCTACTGCGTAGATACGAATCATACCATTATCAACAACTGTTGCATCTGTTGCACCTTGCATCTGTCACATCTGTCACAGCCTAACCTGATGCAGTGAGTAGTTCTCACAAGATATAGAACAGCCTTGCTGTAATCGCTGTCAAAGATAAAGGAATGATAAGTAATGGACGTACATCGGAAGTCCGATGCCTTGATGAAGGACCCGCGCTTTGGAGCTGACCAGTTCTCATTCTATCCCAAAAGCGTTGTTGCTTTTGATCCTTCTTCTTGCCGTTGAATGGTTCGTGCCATCGCTATATTCCAAGACCTGAGATTGACCGAATTGGTGAAATCCAACACCACGACAACATTTTGTCGCCCCGAAGTGCCTAACAGTAACGATGTTCAGCGAGAAGACCAAGAGGAGAGCAGCATACTGGGGAAAGAAGCTTGAATGTCCAGTTGACGAGGATGCGAACTATGAAAATACTTATGTAAGTCGAGGATATTTTATGTCAATATCATGCTGATATTTCCTAGTGGTGTAACCGGGATCTCATTCCGATGCCAGAGGACCGACGAGTATGGACATGGCAAGGCTTTGCAGGATATTGGATCATTACAGGAGCCAATAATTCTGCCTGGACCGCAGGTTCAACTCTCCTGGCTCTGGGACTCAGTGTTGGCCAGTCTATGGGCGTTATCGTGGGTTCTGCCCTGATCATTTCAATAATCGCAATAACAGCTGGCCACATGGGTTCGCATAACTACCTGGGGTTCACTGTTATGTCTCGAGCGTAAGTATGGAACTCAGAGCTCTACCAACCCAGATTAACGAGTACTAGATCATGGGGTATGATCGGTGGGTTCTGGCCTGTCTTGAACCGCATCGTGACCGCCTGTATATGGTTGGGTGTCCAGATAACTTGGGGTGGGCAAGCCATCAAGATCGTCCTCGGTGCCGTTATTGGACCGAAATATGCTTTTATGAAGAATACGCTGCCCCTATCAGCCAATATTGATACTTGCAGCTTGGTCAGTTTCTTTATCTTCCTAGTTATCTTTTGTCCGCTACTACTCATCCCGCCAGAGAAGCTTCAAATGCCATTAAAGGTAAATTGTGTTCTCGCGAACTGCCTCCTGTGTTCGAGACTTACTTTGAACCAGGTTGCTTTTGTCTTGATTGTTTGCAATATATTTGGCATGTTGATCTGGTCTGTTCGTACCGCACATGGTCCTGGGACGCTTTTGCATTCACCAGCTGTAGCGTCTGGTAGTACTCTGGGATGGAATGTTGTGTATGGCATCCAGGTCATCCTTGGTCTCTGGAGCGGCGGGATTGTGGGACAGTCAGGTACGTACCAACAATTTCAGTCAATCTATCACTGATGAAAGTATCCTAGACTGGACACGCTATGCCAAAACTCCAAATGCGTCAATTTTTGGCCAAGGAGTTACTGCGCCCTTGACAATCATCATCACCGCTCTCTGCGGGCTTATCATCACATCCGCATCCGCTCAGATCTACGGGCAATATTTCTGGAATCCATTTGAGCTCCTTCTCCATATCCAGTCTGTATCAATGACACCAGCAGCAAGAGCCGGCACGTTTTTCTCCGGTATAGCCTTTCTCGCATCACAACTCGCACTCTGCATCGTTCTAAATTGTGTATCCACGGGTATGGATATGGCAGCACTTTGTCCCAGGTGGATTAATATTCGGAGAGGCTGCTGTATCCTTACCGTAATTGCCGTCGCGGTATGTCCGTGGAATTTTGTCAATAATGCTGGCAAATTCATCACCGTTCTCTCAGGCTGGTCAGTCTTCTTATCTGGGATGACCGGCATTTTGATCGGTGACTACTTCCTGGTCCGCAAAACACAACTTCACAAAGGTGATATGTACCGCGGAAATCGCGGTTCGGCCTATTGGTATACCGCTGGCTTCAATTGGCGAGCCATTGTTGCCTGGATAATGGGAGTATGGCCATTGTTGCGTAAGTAAAGACTTTCACTTGCTATGCATCACATCTTCATATACATTATGCTCATCGTCTTCCTAGCTGGATTTGTTCGCAGAGTCCGTGGAACAAATACGCAAAATGGATGGGATCATGTCTACGATATGAGCTACTTCTTTGGGTTCTTCGTATCCCTGGCTGTCCACTGCTTGTTGCACACGATCTTCCCGGCCAAAAAGCAAACTGGTGCTTCGCCGTTTATGTTAGAGTTGCACCGTACAGCACCTATCATGATTGGCCTTGAAGCGAATGATCATGCAGACTCAAATGATGAGGATAAAGTTAGCAAGGCTGGAAAGGAGACAATTGTCCCTGTGTAAAGTTCAGTTCTTCAGCCTTACAGACCCTCAAACTAATTTCGTCACTAATCCCTATATCTAAAAGAGGAAAAAAGCTCTGCCAAAACCTGAGGCTGGGTGGCACGTATGATGTGCAATGTTATATGACTCTCCGCCAAATTACCCTCCTCATGGGCACTACCCTCAATATCAAACCCTTACTCCTTTTGATATATAATAATGCAAGAATGCTAGGTCTTCAAGAGCCAATTTGGCGCCGGAAGTAATACTGGTTGCATTGAAATTCCGTATTCCCTTATATTTTTATCCTAAACACAGCTATAACAATCCGCATTAGTTATCAGATTGTGGCAAACTGGTATTGACATGCCGTGTACTAATGCCGCTGTTGAAATCCAGCGAGCTTGGTCATCGAGTTACTGAGTCTGCCAACCCCTGTCCTCAATGTCTTGCGAAAGGAAGGCAAAAACGTATTTCGATTATTTGACCTTCAACGTCGAAAAGCAAGCCTAGGCTTATGGATGAGAGGAAAGATAGTCTGGTAGAAACGATTCAAGTTGGACGGGAGGTAGATAAGGAATGGAACCCCTTGATCACATGACAAGTTTATTTTACCACGACCTTGGCGAAATGCCTCCAACGTCAAGCTTCTACAGTATTACGGAGCTCCCTCCCATGTCAGATTGACTTTTATGCGCTTATCTCCTCTGTTTTACAAAGCAAAGCTTCCAGTATTATTCCGAGACCGCTCGCTGCAGGGATAAAGTGCTGAATGTCACCGAACTCCGATCATTCGCCAACTTCAGTTGCACGTTTATAACCAAGGGGTGAAGCGCGCTACAAAATACTTCCAGAACTTCCAGAACAAGTCAACTTGTTCCTCGTCCACACGTGCAGACAAGTTTGGTGAATTCTGTATCTTCCGTGGTCATCTTAGCCATGAAAAACTGGGTGAAGTTATCGGTGGCTGCGGCTGCCCAGGATTTCCAGTCTTTCATAGTTGATATAAAATATGCGTTCACATTCCGCTTCTTCTTCTTCCAGCACGTTGATCTTCTTGTTCTTCTTATTCCGAGATGCGGTCATTCGTTTTAGCCCAAGGCTTTGCAGTCTTTGCAGCACTTTTCGTTCCTTCTGAAGCTGCGACAAATGCAACCATCAATTCTCAGGTTCGCCTGGCCTACGCCGGCAACACTGGGATGTACGTCTCGTGGAACACATTCACGAAGCTCAACAACCCAACCGTCAGATATGGCTTGAGTGCAAGCTCTCTGAATGAATCCGCCTCTTCCAATGTGTCCATCACATATCCAACATCATTAACATACAACAACCATGTCAAGATCACTGGACTTAAGCCCGACACCACTTATTATTATGCTCCAATTGGCCTCATTAAAGATAATACTACCTCTCTGCCATACACTTTCCGAACAAGTCGTCCTGCTGGTGATGGTACCCCTTACTCGGTAGCTGTTGTAGTCGATTTGGGAACAATGGGTCCTCAAGGTCTCACTACTACAGCTGGGAAGGGTGTGGCCTCTACCAATGTCCTAGGACCGAATGACAATAACACTATCCAATCTTTGGCTGCTGTCAAGGACTCCTATGAGTTTCTGTGGCATCGTAAGACTCTATACATCCCTCCTTTTTCTTGATCTAACACGTGATAGCCGGAGACATTGCGTATGCAGACTATTGGCTGAAGGAGGAAATACAAGGTTTCCTCCCCAACACAACCATCGCCGATGGCTACAAGGTGTATGAGTCGATTCTCAATGACTTCTATGATGAGATGACAGCAGTCACTACGTCTAAACCATATATGGTCGGACCTGGAAACCACGAGTCCAACTGCGACAATGGAGGAACCACGGATGCTGCCCACAACATCTCCTACAACGTTTCCATTTGCAGTCCCGGCCAGACCAACTTCACAGGCTACATCAATCATTTCCGCATGCCATCAAAAGAATCCAACGGCACCGGAAACTTCTGGTACTCGTTCAACCACGGCATGGCCCACTACGTCCAACTCGACACTGAAACTGATCTCGGCCACGGCTTCATCGGCAATGATGAGATCGGAGGTTCCGAAGGTGACGCCTCCGGCCCTTTCAATTCCATTATGAACGCACAAACAAACTGGCTAGCAGCAGATCTTGCAGCCGTTAACCGCACCGAAACTCCCTGGGTTATTGTCGCTGGTCACAGACCTTGGTATCTGTCCCACGCCAACGCATCTGGCACTATCTGCTGGACCTGTAAGGATGTCTTCGAGCCCCTCTTGATCAAGTATGGCGTTGATCTTGTTCTTTCGGGGCACTCGCACGTATATGAACGTAACGCGCCCCTGGCAAATGGTGTCATTGATAAAAATGAGCTGAATAATCCTTCTGCTCCTTGGTACATTACCAACGGCGCCGCCGGACACTACGACGGTTTGGATGCTCTCCAAGTCCCTTACCAGAAGTACCAAAGATTTGGGCTCGATACCAAGAACGGCACATATGGCTGGAGTAAGCTCACTTTCCACAACTGCACGCACTTGACGCACGATTTCGTGGCCAGCAAAAACGGGAGTGTGCTAGATACTGCGACGCTCTTTAAGAATAGAACTTGCAGTGTAGGCAAAAGCTCTGGTAATAGCACGGTTGCGAACGCAACCAGCATAAGCTGGACTACCCAGGCATTTGAGGGTGCGGCTCGAAAGACGGACACAGAGATCTTTGGTATCGTCGTTGCAGTTCTGGCGGCTACTTTGATCTTGTGATTGTAATGTGGTGGTTGTATAAATGTGTATCTATATGAGGACAGCACCAGCCTCTAATCAGACTCAACCTGCATAGTGCACTAGGCTTCTAGTGAATGAGTTCCCTCAATGATTGTCCCCTCCCTCCCCCACCCAAAAGAACCACAACGGCCATATTCGATACACCCCCTCCTACCAAACAAGAATCACAACGACCATATTCGATAGGGGCTGAGCAGCCCTACTGGCTGGCGTTGTTCAGTCGATCCTCTGTATCCAAACCGCTTTGCTCACTCGATTCCATAGCAACCAGGGTTGTTCTGCAGTGGCCGCCATGGTGATATCAATTGGGAGATTTGAAGCGTGCTCGGCAGTTTGATGAAGAATGAGAGGAGATCTAGCGGAGATACTCATAGTGTCAGTAATGGCATTCCAAATAGAATAATGAGGCATATCTCACGAGCAAAGATCGTAATAATACCTGCAAGAGCAGTAACTCCCCAGACAGAACATGCTGCCACCTGACTCTTCCATGTCATTCCATTCTCGCACCACAGCCACATAGATCCTGCAGCGATCAAGGCCGCCGAAGATGTGCTCAGAATAGCATATAAAGTCCACAGAAGAACATGCTTTCTTCGGCTAGCAATTCGACTTGCTTGAAGAGACAAGCCTATCTGTAGCACGGCACCCAAAGCAGCGCAGAGGGCGGAGAGGCAGACGGATAGCCTAAGGAGGGCTCTGACTGTCTCTGGGACCGTCTCAAATTTGCTGTTTAGGTGGGGTACGATAAATGAGACCGTAAACAGGCCCCGATGGCCCCAATTTGGGCAGCTGTATTGCTGACAACGGCAGAGACCGTCTGCATTTTGGTTGTCTCCCATGGCGCGAAAAGAAATTGGGCCAAAAGAGAAGTGGAAGAGGAGGGCCAGAGGCTGACTTGTGATATAGTGTCAAGTTGTCAACTGTGTGTGAGAACAGCGTAGTTTGGTTGGAATGTTGACGGTAGAGAAGTGTTTTTTTCGAGATTGGAACTCGCATATTTGTATACAATTAGACCTCCAAAAGTATATTTTGTTGCACTTGCCCAGGAGGTCTCAATGTACCAGCGAGAAACAGAAGGTCCCACTCACGGAAACAATCCTGTCTATAGAATTAGAAACTCTGAGGGAAGGTACGTTACGTAGGGCATTTGAGGACCCTCAGCTTGCGAGTGAATATTTAGATCGCCAAATCGAAAAATAGCCGAGAGAAATAGAAAGAGATTACCTACCTTACCTTAGGTCCTTAGCTATGGAACATCATGAAAAGATAAAAGAGAGACGTTCTATGGAAAAGACGTGTCAAAAGAGAGAAAAACTGGGGAAGGAAAATATGGATTTGGGTCCGTCATTAGTGTAAATTAAGATCTGGAGCTAGTTCAACGTCATAATAAGTTCGGGAAGGATTGATAGAAGTCTTCTTATCCTAATCTACTACAATCTCTTACACGTTCAAGAACACTGGTTAGAATGGGAAACTCGATCCCAGTAGGATGCTGACTCGTGGGAGTACTGCTAGGATCTAGATGGACATTGGACTGTTATCATGTGCGATATCTACCTACAGCATGTTGAGTGCGCGCTCGAAATCCGAGGGCTGCAGTCTGGATTGTTCTCGAGCCGTATTAGATAAAAGGGGGGAGAGATGTGCTAAAAGGGGGTTCAGGAATGGAAATCTGGGGGCTTTCTACATGACTCGTCGCATATGCGTGGCGGACGTAGGCGCATGACTCGGGAACTACAGTACAGATCCCTCGCGAATGCACCTGTCAATTTGACAACTACTTGACATCCAGACCTACCTTACTTCCCCTTCCCTTGCCTATATCAAGGCAAAGAGCCGCGCCGCATGCAAGACGCCGCACCTGCGAAGGCTTGCTGTAAGTTAAGTGCAAACAAGAATTTCTTTTTTCCCGTCATTTTCTCGTCCCGGCTTTGGGAATGCAAAGTTGCAATGGTTCGTCCGCCCCCCGTCCTCTTCGTTAAAGATGCCTCAAGGTGGCGGCTATTGTGGCTTGCTTGGTTTTGCTCAGCTCGTGGCACGGCACGAGAATGGCGAGTTTGTTAACCAGCTAGTGTCCTCTTGGCAGTCTCGGGACCCTGGTAGTAGAGGATCCTCCTGTTGTCCTTCTCCGTGTTCGTTCGTCGAGTATCGATATCTGATTTGTAGATCGTCGAGCTTTCAGGGGGCGAGGACTAAGATTAAGCATAGATATGGTATCTCTGTTTTGCTGTCATAAGAGGGCTGAAGAACGTGGGCTGCTGCAGGGTTGAAAGCTGCTAGACCTGGCCCCGTGGAGGTCTCTGGCTGCATTGGTCTGCTTGTGATTAGTACGGTACTACTGCGTACAGTCAGTAGTTTCTGTCTACCCCGTACGAGTACTTGGTAGTTAGATCTACTGAGTACGCCGTAGCCAAGGTTCTACGGCTCCAAGCACCAATCGTACAGGGTTCTATGGTAGGATCCCCTCATGCCTCGCACAGCGCAGCCGTTATATAGGTCTGTGCAAACGAAACCCCCCGTCTGCCATGCGGTTGGCATCTAAAAGGGTTGATCTTCTTCCGTGTGCACTGATATGTAACTAACGACTCTTGCTCTCCCGTCGTGAGTCTCGACCCTCGAGTCCTATGCAGACATCCTGTACAGAGAAAGGAGTCGTTATTGTACAAATACGAGATACAAGGCCCTCTTCAACGTTTGCCATGTCCCACCAGGGAGGGTATCACTACCATGCAGCTCGATGAGGAAAGCGGAACGCTTTCCCCTCTTCCTGAGGTCCTATCCCATGGTTTGGTGGCTGTCTCGTTCTTCGCCTTCCTCTCCTTCTTCTGTTCGACGTCGCTCCTTTTCTATCTGACATGGCGGATGATATCATGGAAGCGGAAATCTGGAAGCGGAGTACAGATGAACCAGTTCCTGTTCCTCGTCTACAATCTCTTGTTCGCCGACATCCAGCAATCAATCGCTTTCCTGCTCAACGCCAGCGCCTTGAGCAAGCATGCCATCGTGGTGGAATCCCCTACTTGTTTCGCCCAAGGCTGGTTTGTCTCCACCGGTGACCTCTCAAGCAGCGTGTTCATCTGCGCAATCGCTATCCACACTTTTATGAGCGTGGTGAAGGAATATAGGCTCCCGGAGGGCCTCTTCTACGGGTGGATCGGCAGTCTCTGGGCATTCATATACCTCATGGCGATACTCGGGCCTGCAATGCACGGCCGCGACTTTTATGTCCGCGCCAGCGCCTGGGTAAGATTACATTCCCACCACTTTCGAGACTATTCAGCTGACCTTCTGCAGTGCTGGATCAATGATGCCTATCTAAAAGAGCGTCTCTGGCTGCACTACTTCTGGATCTTCATCTGCATCGTCAGCACCCTGCTCATCTACGCTGTCATCTTCATCACACTCCGCGCGCGCGCCCACACATCGAAACTCGGCACCTCCATCCACCGGGCGACGCCGATGATGGTCATGTACCCGCTGATCTATGTGGTTTGCACGATGCCCCTAGCTGCGGGACGAGTGTATGCGCTGGCAGGCCACACCGTCACGCTGAGATACTTCTGCGTGGCCGGGGCGATGATTGCGTGCAACGGATGGTTGGATGTGCTCCTGTACGCGGGGACGCGGGCGAGTATCGTGTTCAGCGAGGAGCCGCCGAGTGAAGAGACGGGCCTGGAGACATTTGCGTTCCTGGGGAAGGGGCACGGGATGGGGACGGTAACGACGATTGAGGCGGGGGGATCGACGGGGCGGCGGCTGGGGTTGCGGGGACGGTCCCGGGAGTCAGACAGCGTCGAGCAGCTGTACGGGCTGGATCAGATCGAGATCAAGGGCGAGGTCTCGGTCAAGGTGGATGTGAAGGAGTCCCACGGGCTCGTGGCGGAACATGGGGCGAGTCGGAGCTGGGATGCGACCACGGGGCAGAGTAGGTTGCAGGAGGTGTAGAGTAGAGCTGTAAATATACCTAGCGGGAGTAGAGTACGGGGTAAGTAGAAGCGGGATTTGGGAGCGGGATGGCGCTCAGACTACACGGGGCATGTAGATTATAAGACAAGACAAGATTGATATCCCCAAGATCGATATCCCCAACCATCAAAGTACTGTAATCCTACCTAGGGAGTAGGTGTATATATTGATCCTCGGAAACCCCTTACCCGACCCGCTTCTGTCCCCAGGAGCCGAGCCGAACCTTGTCGGGTAAATAAAGTGACAGCCACACGCCGAATTATCACCGCAGGCGGGCTTTGGAGGACTCGGGCCATGAGCTCATTCTTACGGAATAAAAACTGCAGGGGACGCATCTGGATCTGGATGATTTCTAATATGCGTCATGTATATGGCGTGTTTATATGTCTATATACGGTATATATAGCATATCCCGATTACCTTCGACCGTGTGGCCACGGGGAATGCCTCTCTGATAGAAAACCAAGGAAGACGAGGGAAAAGCAATAATCAGGACACGGCCAGACACGAAGAGCCGGGCACGTGCAGGGCCAAGTGTGGGGTAAAGGGCAACGGAGAAAGCAGATCCTTGGGACGCTTAACCTGTTCGGGGAAGGCTCACCAAGCAGCCGACTGGCCAATCATGATCAGTCTTTTAAAGAGAAATGCATCGCTCTGCGGCCTCCTATTGGCCGCGACATGTTGTTGCCCCGCTCTGTGATTTTTCGTCTCCGTTCCCACCAGACACCGATCCCGCGGTCTTCGTCGACTACATATCTCGACGTCTCTCCCTCTCCCTCTCCTCTCCAACACCATTGCTCAATCCCTCTGGTTACAATCCAATCCTCCATCTCCCATCAATAACCTCAAAACCGCCCCCTCTCCTCCTTTGCTCGCAGCCGCAGCCATGGACGCAGTACTTCGTCAATCGAAGTCCATGTGTCCCTTCTTGAAGAAGACCTCGCCGGCCACTCTTCGATCCCTTTCTACCTCCACCCGCCAGTCCTCGCCCGGCGGTGGCAGCATGTCTAACCTGCAGACCATTGCTCGTCGCTGCCCTGTCATGGGCAAGGCGCTCGCCATCCAGACCGCCAAGTCCAGCAAGCTGGGTCTCGGTGGCGTGGCGGCCATTGGGGCCATGAGGGCATTCTCTGGCAAGGTGGGAAAGGCGAAGCTTCACACCACTCGTTCTCAGGAGGCGCGAGCTCTCGAGGACACCATCTTCGGTCGCGACAAAGGTACGTCCTATTTCGTTCGGTCATAGAACTCATCGCGCTGACCCTGTCGCAGTCCCCTATCCGCAGCCTGCGCAACCCACGCGCGCTGCAACCCGCGCGACGCCCAAGTTCGACTACGAGGGATTCTACGATGCCGAGTTGGACAAGAAGCACAAGGACAAGTCGTACCGCTACTTCAACAACATCAATCGCCTCGCCAAGGAGTTCCCGCGCGCTCACATGTCCAACAAGGATGATCGAGTGACGGTGTGGTGCTCTAATGACTACCTCGGCATGGGGCGTAACCCACACGTCTTGAAGACGATGCACGATACGCTCGATGAATACGGTGCGGGTGCGGGTGGTACCCGGAACATATCTGGGCACAATAAGCATGCCGTTTCACTTGAAGCAGCAATTGCGAAACTGCACGGGAAGGAAGCAGCTCTAGTATTTTCGTCTTGCTATGTGGCCAACGATGCCACGCTCGCAACTCTGGGTTCGAAGATGCCCAATTGCGTAATTCTCTCCGACTCCCTCAATCATGCGTCTATGATCCAAGGCATCCGTCATTCCGGGGCCAAGAAATTAGTTTTCAAACACAACGATCTCGCGGACTTGGAAGCCAAGCTCGCGAGCCTTCCTTCTGATGTTCCAAAGATCATCGCCTTCGAATCCGTCTACAGCATGTGTGGCAGTATTGGGCCTATCGAAGGAATCTGTGACCTGGCCGAGAAATACGGCGCGCTTACTTTCCTCGATGAAGTCCACGCTGTAGGCATGTATGGACCACACGGCGCTGGTGTAGCTGAGCACCTCGATTACGAAGCTCATGCTGCAGGGCGCCCGAAGGGTACGATTATGGACCGTATCGATATCATCACTGCGACTCTAGGAAAGGCCTATGGTTGCGTCGGCGGCTACATCGCCGGCTCAGCAAAGATGGTCGACACAATCCGCTCCCTGGCACCAGGCTTCATCTTCACTACTTCCCTGCCACCGGCCACCATGGCTGGTGCCCGGGCCGCTATTGAGTACCAGATGGAATACGGCGGCGACCGCCGCCTCCAACAACTGCACACGCGCGCAGTGAAAGATGCTCTCACCGAACGAGACATCCCCGTCATCCCCAATCCCAGCCACATCATTCCCGTCCTCGTAGGCAACGCCGAGCTAGCCAAGAAAGCCAGCGACCTCCTCCTCGAGAAACACGACATCTACGTGCAGAGCATCAACTACCCAACGGTGCCGGTCGGCCAGGAACGGCTCCGCATCACGCCGACGCCAGGCCACACGCGTGAGCTGCGCGAGCACCTAGTCGAGGCCGTCGACCAGGTCTTCACGGAGCTGGGCATCAAGCGCACGTCGGCGTGGGCCGCCGAGGGCGGCTTCATCGGCGTCGGCGAGGCGTCCCCTGACCCAGCCATGGCGGAGCCGCTGTGGACGGACCAGCAACTCGGTCTGGACAAGGACGTCGTGGCGCAGATCAAGGACGCTCAGCCGGTAGGCGTCATGGAGGCGCTGCTCGCGCGCGAGCAAGCCCAAGCCGAGACGCTCAAGGCTGCGGCCTAGTCGTGCCTCTCTGTCGACATCTCTCTTTCTTTCTTTCTCCCTCCCTCCCTCTGGAGGAGCGGAAGGAAGGAAGGAAGGAAGGAAGGGATGATGATGATGATGTATGTCCTGCAGACGAGAGAGGAAATCAGGAAAGAAGGGAGGAAGGAGGCTCATCGGACCCAAAACCACGATCTTTGGAGCGGACAGACGGATATATATTTATATATATATGATTTATTGAAATTATTGATTGATGATGAAAACAAGTACGTTGTTGTACATCTATCTATGTAGCTATGCTGCTAGCTAGCTACTGTTTACATAGCTTGAAAATTCAACGTACTTCTTTTTCTTCTTCTATCTCATTCTATGATACCTGCCTGTAGTATGATGTGAATAAAGTAAGGTAAGAGATGTGAGAGATAGTGAGTGAGAGTGACAAGTCAAACCTTCCATTCCATTCCATTCCATTCCTATCCATTCCTATCCTTCCTAATCCACGAAAGTCAAACTTTGTTTTTTTCATACCGTGATCCAATTGTTTGTTTATTCAGATTCATATGCACTGCGCTGTCTTTTCGTTCTATCCATCCATCCATCCATGCATCTATCCATTCGTTCTATTGCATTGCAATGCAGTGCAAGTCATTCATGTATGCCATCCCATGCCATCCCATGCTTATCCGAAACCCCCAAGTCGAAAGATAGAACAAGAAGAAGAGTCAAAAAGTAACAAGTAGAAAAACCACTACCCCATCATAAAAGAGCCAGCCAGCCAGTCGTGGAATTGTACAACGCCAATCATCACCTGATCCCCCTCCCTTCCTTGCTTCGTTCGTTCCTTTCTTTTCTTGATAAACCAACTAAACCAGTCGGTTTTCGGGAGCTGTGGTTTTATGTACTGTATATACCGTATGTAATGTATCGTATGTTATGTTTGGATTTCCCAATCCCTATTCATTCCTAAAAGGGATGGATGCTTAGCGACCTCGAACGCCCGAGCATAAATCCAGCGCCATCTCGACGGCGCCCTCGAGATGGCCCACGCGCTCCTTCAAGCCTTGGTTCTCTGCACGCAGCAACCCGACCGCATCCCACGCCACGCTCGCGTCGCGCCCGCCGCAGTTTGGACAGCCGCTGTCGTCAACGGACCCTGCACGGGCATGCGGGTGCGCGATGCGGTCCGCGGCTGCTTGGGACGGAGTGAGTTTGCGGAAGGAGGAGGAGGGGGACTGCTGGAAGGGGAGGAAGTCGTCAGCGGATTCGGAGCTGGCGACGGTGAGGGTAGGGCTGCGGCTGCGCGAAAAGACGGACGAGGCGGCGTCGGTGTCGTGGTCGCTCTCCTCAGAGAAGTCGCTAGAACTGGTGCCGGAGCTGGTGCTCTGGCCGCGGCGGCGTGATGAGGCTGTGCTGATGCCGAGATCTTCGGCATCGGAGAGGCTGCGCTCGCGCTGGGCTTTGATATTGGCGATGGATTTCTCGCGGGCGTCGCGCTCTTCGGCGCGGGCTTGCTTCTCCCGGGCCAGTTGTTCCAGGAGGTCTTGCATCGTGCGATCTTGCTCCGCAACTTTGTTGCTCATTTCGATGAGCTGTGCTCTTAGGCATTGGGCTCTCGTTTCCGCTTCTTCCAGCTCTTCCTTTTGCGCTTCCTTCTCGGCGCTGAGCTCGTGGAGTGAGAGAGTGCGTAACTTGTATGCCGTCTGCATTCGGAGCAGGAGACCCTCGGCGTTCATCAACAAGTTCTTGAAGGCCGCTGGTGAGAAGGGGTCTTGGGCGGAGGCAGACGAAGAAGGGAAGAGCGCAGCGCCGATGTCTAATGTGAGGAACTCGTCCTTATCCACCATGCTCGTGGGTAATTGTATGGTCTGTTTGGTTGGGGATTTCTGGCCCGAGAAGAAATTGAATCGGCTTGTTGCCGTTGAGCTAGCGCGTTGCTTGGTCGTTGTGCTGCTACGGCTCCTATTGGCGTCGGGCTGCGAGGGAGCTTGTCCGTTCGCACTATTTTGCTCGGGTGATACTCCCTTCGATGGCATCTTCGGCGGTGGAGAGAGACTCTCTTGCTCCGTGATGAGTCCCACAGGCACCGGCGTGCTGGAGCCCGAGAACCAGGAACTCAGTCCTCCTCCCTTCTGCTTCTCCTCACCACGGTTGACCCCGTCGCGGTCTCCTGTGAGCGTAGGCATGAATGGTTCGTCGAGTAGGGGCTGGGTATTCTCCTTCGTGGGACGCTTGTTTGGACGTACTGAATTGCTGCGAGTTGGCATGCGGAAGGGTAGAAATGATGTGAAGGTGCGCTGAGGAGGGTCGGGTTGTGGAGGTTGATAAACGTCCTCGTCTTCGGACGACAACGAAACTGATCGAAGGAAGGGCGTCGAAGCAAGTGCGACAGGCTCTGGAGGTTGGAGGAAGGTCGATCCTCGCTTTCCTTTGTTCTCGAGGGAGAAGGTTCCTAGGTTGTCTCCGAACTCAGTATCACAGTAGTAGTCCTCCGCCCAGACCGCACTCGTGTCTCTGCTGGTTGCTACCGAGGGCGTTGCGAACGACGAGCGGGCCCTGCGATGGGCTGAAGGTTTCGGCAGCAGGTTGCTGGTGGTGAATGATGATGAAGATGAAGGTGTAGGTGACGATGGCATGCTTATTTCTTCAGGGCAGATGATATTCTCCGCCAGGGTCGCCATGTTTCTGCGTTCTCTGTACTGGGGGTCAGACCGCCGTACAGTGCAAGGAAGAAAACAACTGGGGGGTGTCGCACCACGTCGCAACGAGAGATACAGGGACAAAGAGCGGAGTTCCGACTTTCCAGTCACCACCAGGGGTGCGAAAGATGGGATGGGAAGGGAAACGGGATTCCCGACTCTTGATGAGCGAAGAAGTGAACAAGTGAAGATATACTCTTCCACCTCTGCTCCGTCTTGTTGCTCTTCCCCTAGATGCGGGGATTGCCGCTTATCGATAAAAACCGTTGGTGTAAACAAAGACGGAATTCGTCTCCCGCGCGTGTCGTGCCGTGCCGTTCAGTAGCACCACGAACCTCGAGTGATGGATGAATCGATCAAGTTGTCAGATCAGATAAATTGATCTCTTGCATTCATTCCACAGGTACGGTATTGTTCAAGAGCAGAGATCAGAGCACACCCCAAGCGTTCGTTGATTTCTTATTACTCTCTCCCCAGTTCGCCGGAATTTTGGAGGCTGGCGATCCATCGCCCTGCAAACTCTGCAACGAGGCTGGGACTTGCATCGCGCCGCTCCACTCTCAGCCTTCCTGGCCAAAAGGTGTGCTCAATGATCATAGACTCATAGGCTTATCTGCTTGGCCATAGTGGAACTGCAGGCCTCTCATCCACTGGGCCTATGCATCAGACATCTTGGGGCTGGGTGTCTCCAGCTTTCACCTGTCAAGCCTTGAACGGCGCACACAGTGTTGACTTCAGTGTACCTTATTATTGGACGAGCAACCAACCTCCGACACCCAGTTTGTCTAGGCACAGCAGATAGGTTCAGTATGCATCATACCATGGTATCTTCAAGGTCATGATTCATATGTTGGGTTTTGGTGCTTGAATACAATGATGGACCCGAATACATGCGATCTCGTGGGGTACAGCCGCTCTTGCAGAATATTCTATGTGAGCAGCTTGAACTCTATGGCTGGGGCTTCGCTCGACACGAGTCAATATTCAACGAACTACATGCGCATTTGTAGCGAAATGGTTCCTGATATGCAATAGAAGGGTGTTCGCCAAGTCACACGTGCTATCATGGACCCCCGACCCACCTGGGCAACCTCTGAGAACATGAGGAACAGGAAGTCGAGAAATAATCGTCGATCTTTGGGCCTCTCTCACGATTAAGATTTCTTCATCTTGAGGTCTTTCAATTTGTCCCTTCGAGCCCTGTCATTTTGAAACATGATTCGCAATAACAAAAGGGTTAGAGTGGAGCAATTTCGAAACAGCAAAGAAAGGACAGGATGAAATCGTGGATCGTGAACCCGGTCGGCAGAGAGAAGATTGCCATGCCGTTGGAATAATCAGCCTTGCTTCGATCCGATCAGAGAGCCACTTCTTCCAACACCGACTCAGCCTCTTCCACAGTTCTTGTCCCAACCACCTCAGCCGCTCAGCGACATCAGTAAACGAACTCCTCGCTTGTCGCCCCACCAATGCCCCTACTGAGTAGGTAGGGTCCTACCAACAGCCGCAGGGTCTTTTGTGAGCTGAGAGCCTGAAAGTCTACTTACCCATAACTCCCTGCCGAAGTGTCGGGCTAGAAATGTCGGTTCGCGTCAAGGCGGGCGCGAGTCAGCCTCCAGCGTTGAGGAGGCAGGGCCACTACTTTGGAATGCATGAGGACCAAGAAATGGACGATGGAGTGTTTATCGACGGCTTGGAAGAAGCGTGATAAGGAACACTTATCTTCAAATCAGCGAAACAGATGTGAAAGTGCCCCTCACTAATGACTTCAAGTTCACCAACCCCCTCTCCTATCTCTACGATCTGGGCCCTGAACATTGAAAATCGTGGCCGTATCTACCTGGACTTCTAGAGTGATGGCAAGGGCCGATACTGGCTGACTCCCATTCTTCCAGTCCGTTCAAGAGGAATCCACAGAAAATATCGTTGTCCACGAATACAAAATGTCAACCAACCCGCAAATGAACCCCCCCCCCCCCTTCTCTTTTTCCAAAAAAGCAAGGCAGTATTGAGCGCCTTGAAGGCAAGGGCAACAATGCGGTTTAAAATAGGACAGTATAGGAATTTGGATGCGTAGACCTAGAATCAAGTAGTAGATTGAGATGAGAGATACGTTAGGATATGATATGACATAAAATACCTGATGCATATCAAACAGGAATTGAGAACGATGGAAGCAGACTTAGAGTCCCTCGCTCAGCCTAAGTCATAGATCCTCCTTTCCTATCATCCTATATCAAATGTCAACTCTGTTCCGTCTAAGCAAAGAGATGGTATATGTCTTCTAGACCATAGTAAACCATGCTCTGCGACCAAGTCTCGAGAAACCAGCCTTCTCAATTGAAAAGGAGGTGGCAAGCAATGACCCTCAGATTAAGCGAGCGAATGAGAGGCCTTCTATCTTAAGATAGTGTGTCGGCCGGCTGTCAAAGCAATTGCCGATGGCTCCCCGACGTGGTCTGTGCGACACCCACAGAGTTGTCCTGTGTCGATTATTATTATCCTCGGGAATGTCTTGACACCCTCCGAGGTTGCGCCCGAGTGCGATGTGCAACAAAAGAAGTGGCAGAAGCTCTCGACTCATCACATGATCATCCAAGCTGTTCCATCGGTGCTCCTCTTGGAGTTCAGCGTCAATGGCAGATTCTGTTTAGAGGTAGAAATTGTCACCTTTTGTTGGAGCAGATATATACCTATTATTGGGGCTGTAACTTGTACAAAATGCGTTAGATGGAAGCATATCACATGACCTTCCAGGATTCAGAAAGTTTTGTTGCACGTCGCAAAAGGGCAACTTGGCCGTCACTCGGGACAGATGAGCTCTGATGACTAAGGCAAGGTAAGGCCGCATGCGTCCAACATCATCTAGATCATCGAGGCAGACGACCTCCTTTCGCATCGATCATCAGCCATTGTTATCTACCTACCTACCTACTACCTTTTACCTGCCTCACCTGCATTCTTGAATAACACTCTGATCCGGCATACTCTCTTCCGAGTTTTATTTAAATAATCGAAGTCTTTGTTTCTGAGTCTTTCTTTATCCTGAGCATCGACCGTACTGCACGCGATCCTTGCCTTATAATGACCGTGCTGTCTGTTCAAAGCTCAAATCTGTTTCTTACAGGTGACTCGAGCCTGCAAAATACAATACGGCCTCTTAGTCACAATACTGAAAGAACCTCGTCATTCAATGTCTCGGCAAGTGGCTTTGGGACCTGACGACCCTCCAGATAACGAGGATCCAACACCAAGCGGCAACTTTATCGAAAATCTCAAGAATCGTTTTATGGAGAAATCCAAGTCAATTCTTGGACTGTGGCCCAAGATACCAAAAGGTCTCAACCATGCGGAGAGAGATATCTACGACCGACTCCTAAAAACCCTCAAGAATCGAGTTGCCAGTGGTCAAAAGCCCCCGCGCCTCGCTGTCATAACTGATCTTGCAAAGGATTATGACGACCTTATGGCTATGGTCTTGTTAGGGGAGCTACACCGCCTAGGACTTGTGGAGCTCGAGGCTTTTGTTGCGAACTTAATGCCCGCACAACAAAGGGCTCGATTCGGACGAGGCGCCTTGGATTTGTTAGACCTCCAAAAGACGCCAATAGCTGTTGGTTCCGCAGGTTCGGAAAGACAGCACAAGGTTAATGAATACGAATTCAAGCACTGTAGCTTCATGGCGCCGTGTACGACCACTTTTGAGAAAGGGGAAGATCTTCTTCTCCAGATTCTTGGAAAAGCCGCAGAGGAAGAGCGGAAACTGACTTTAGTGCTTCTGTCTTCTCTTATGGATATCTCAGAATTTACAAACGAGCACCCAGAATTAGTAAGGAAAGCTATAAACAGGGTTTCAGTACAAGGAGGAATGTTCTTCGATGGCGAAGGAGTCTTGAAAGCGGACAATACTGCAACGAACAACAACTTTGCTCTAGATCACGCTATGGCCTTTACTAAATACATCCAAGACGAAAATATCCCTTCTATGGTCTACACCAAAGTTGCTGCATTTGCAACCAAGATATACTCCGAATTCTTTGTAGAGTTAGCAGCCACAGGCCACCCGCTCGGGATCCACCTCCGGAAGACCCAGCTAGCACAGGATATCAAATTCTACTCCGATACCATCGATGAGAAGACAAGATTCCGTCCCTTCATGACGCCCAAGTGGTTCCTAACTAACAAATCGACCTGGTTCACAGAGGGCCACTCCGAAGACCCGGACATCGAACCCTACCCCACACCGGAGCAGGTTGTACCGTACCTAACCGTCGTCGTCGCATACGATGCTCTGGCTGCCCTCGGCGCTGCTGGCGAGGACGCCCTAGCGGATCTGGGAGCACTGAAGCCTGCGTGCAGCAGTGATGTTCATCGCATTGTGGGAGTGGGACCGTCGGCGAATACGCCGGGTAAGGTGGAGGACCCAGGAGTGTTTGGTGAGCAGATGGCGACTGCGATCAAAGCGTTGGTGAAAGGATCATTGTTGGCTTCGATGCAGGGGCTTAATTGATATATAGTACAATGATTGAATCCTCCGAGCATCTTCTAGCTGGCAATAGACACTTCATGCGAGCGGGCCGTATCCTTGATCCAATTTCTTGCCACAAGTATATGCCATGTCTCCGAATTCTATTGTCCCTTCGAAAGAAATACAATCCGCTGGTCGACACTTGATTGGATAGAAGCAGGATGCGTTATCTGATGAATGAATGACCTTTTCAGAGCTGCTTAGCGGAGCTTAGGATTCAAGAAATGATTTAGATCTTCAGTAACTTTGGGTGGCTCCTGGTGTATGTGCAGTAGTGGAATTGATGAAATGATAGGTCGATGATCTAGGAGCATCAAGAAAACTGCCCATTGGTGTAGAGCGTGCGTGGCACCAGAATCATCGACGACTTGAAGATATATCAGGGTGGGGGTTGCAAGTTTTGAAATGGAGAAGCCAGAGCACCTGCCAGCCAACGTCTCTTGAGTTGCAGAATCCAAAGCGGAGAAAATACTCATCAACATCAGAAGTTCGAAAAAAGGTAGCAATCCTGATTAAATACGCTCACGATTACTGTACTTACACATCGTATAGGTTAATCGTACATTTATACAAGAAATGAGGCGAAACCCCTCTCGTGGCATTCATGCCCCTGGAAATGGTTCGGGCGAGACAGGAACGGGACCAATCAGATAGCGCAATTCAAACAACAACGTCCTCCGTCCTATCTACATCCCAACCCTCTCTCCCTCAGCGCGGCGGCCCGTCGATATCTGTGCAAACTTCAAAGGCACAGCGGATGCATATATCCCCCATTTATCACGTCTGGTCTCCCTACATATCTCTCGCGGGGAGCGCCTAAATTACAATGTGCGATATGAGATGTGCGATGGACGCGCCCTTGCCCGTATACAGAAGGTCCGTGGAGCTTCTCGAGCCAGGGCCGGCCAGATACGAAGAGCACGAATAAAAGCACGAATATCGTCCTACAGAGCACAATGCGGGCCGCCTGCTCCAGACTTGGCGGGAGAGCGGGAGACGGGGAATCGAATTCATATAAAGAGAGATGTTGTCGCTCTCCCCGCCTGGCCCAGGTAGGGCTTTTGGCTTTGGCTTTTGCGTTCTTCTCCCTAGGTAGACAGCCCGGAATCGAAGAATCAGAAGTACCGTTGCGGCAATGAAAGGCTCCCTCGCCATCCTCGCCTTCGCCGCCCTGGCAGCGGCTGATTGCAATGCCGACAACTGTCTGCGGGCCATGAGGGCGACGCAGATCCCCGGCCGTCTCGAAGCCGCCCAGTCGTTCTGCGCGACCTTCACGCAGAACATTGTTGCTGCTACTGCCATCCCGTCGTATGCGGCCCAGGCATGCGTCTCGAACCAGGTCGGCAGCCCTTCGGTGCGGATCTCCAGTGCGTGCAGCTGTATTGCGGCACCAACAGCGACGCCTACATCGACGTCGACGCCAACATCGGCCACTGGAGCGTGTGCCTCTGTGAGCGCATCCTGGGCAGCTCAGATCGCCGTCTCGCCTTCTGGTATGGCTCGAGATCCCGCTTGCACGAAAGATGCTGATTGATATGTTTGCAGCAACCCCCACCGTAGCCGCATCCCTGGCCTACGATTGTTTGAATTCCGTGCCCCTGAACTCAGATGCTGCGCTTGAGCTCGTGGATGCCATCGCGCCTTATCTCGAGTTCCAAAGCGGTATGTGTTCCCCTGATGATCACCTGACATCGAATGTTCATGCTCATCCCATGTGCTAGATAGTGCCTTCCTGAAGGACCCGCCCCCAACTTACTTCTACCCGCCCTTTGACATTTTTGCAAAGCTTGCCTCGGTCAAGGCGAACCTCCAGAACAATTCCTATGCCAATGAATACGAGTTCCAGGCAGACCTTTACCAGGTTTTTGCTCCGGCGCATGATGGACACTACATCATGTACCCTGATCTCCTCACTAGGGCTTTTGATTGGGGAAGACAGAGGGCTCTGGTTTCTATTAGCAGTGACGGGGTAGAGATTCCTCAGATCTATCTTTATGGTGAGTTCCTCTTTCCCGCAAAGCAGACCAATCGCCAACTCGTCTGCAGAGGATGTTACTTCATCTCCGTCAACCGCCTCCGTTGTCAAGTTGATCAACGGAATTGATGCCTCAACCTATGTTGCTGATTGGGCGTACACCGCGTCTTTCAACCAAGATGCAGATGCGGCCTACAACACCATGTTCTTCGAAAAAGCTTTCGAGGCAGGTGGCACTGGAAACGGGTACTTTTATATCAACGGTCGTGTCAGATATATGTAAGTCCTCGTGCCGGTTTTGAATGGGGATGATTGGATGCTGAATTTTCTAGATACCCTGGGCCAAACACCACCTTTACTTTCGAGAATGGAACGTTCCTTGACCTCGAAAACATTGCTTATGTAAAGGGCAACTTTTCAAGCGTCACGGATGGCTCATCATTTTACGAGGTCTTCTGTAACCCCAATGGAGAAGCAGCTTCAGCGCAGGGTCAGACAGCAGCGGAGGATGTTGTCATTGCCCCGGGCTACCCTGCTCCTGTTATCACGACCAATGATTCCATTGTTTCCGGCTACTATCTGGATGGCGAAGGATTTGAAGACGTTGCGGTGATTAGTCTTTTGGCATTCGAGTCAGAATCCCCGCTAGAATTCCAAACGGTGGCCCAAAACTTCTTTGCTGATGCCGTTGCCGCGGGCAAGAAGAAGCTTGTTATCGATCTCAGTGCCAATGGAGGTGGATATATTCTGCAGGGCTACGACCTGTTCAGGCAGCTATTTCCCCACATTATCCAAGAGGACTACACCCGATTCAGGGAGAATGAGTATTTCTTGGATATCGCCCAAGTCATATCGGATGCCATTCCAGCGGATTACAATCCAGAAACTGCCTCCAATGAACTCATCAACGACTACGAGACTTTCTTCAACTACAGATACGACTACAACTCCACCGAACAGCCTTTCGAAACCTTTGACGCCAAGTTCGCTCCTCACGTCTACAAAGGTGATTCATTCACGAACCTAGTTCGATGGAACTTCAACGACCCTCTCACAACCGTCAACACAACCTACGGCTTTGGCACCGAGGTCACTGGATACGGCAGCAGAAGCAACTTCACGCAACCCTTTGCCGCCGAAGATATCATCATGCTGTACGACGGCTACTGCGCCTCGACCTGCACCATTTTCAGCGAATTCATGCGTCTCCAGGGCGGCGTGAAATCGATCGCCATGGGCGGCCGGCCGAACACCAACCCCATCCAAGGCGTCGGCGGCATCAAGGGCGCGCAGATCTTCGGCTTCGGTGATTTCCAGTACTACGCGCAGCTAGCCATCAGCCAGACAACCGACGCCGACAAAATCTCCACCCTCAACCAGCTGTCCCTCCTCCCGGTGTACCGCAGCACCAGCACGGGCATCAACCTGAGAGACAACATCCTGCCCGGCAACGTCAACGATGGCGTCCCCGCGCAGTACGTCGTCGAGGAAGCCGACTGCAGATTGTTCTACACCCTCGACATGGTGAACGATGTCCGCGCCCTGTGGAAAGCGGCCGCGAACGCGGCCTGGAATGGCGGCAAGTGCGTCGCGGGCGCGGGCCTCGCCAAGCGGGACGAACCCAAGAGAGCAGCAGCGAGGAAGATGCGCCGGGATGTGGATATCAAGCGTGACCTGGTCCGGAGGACCGAGGCGTTCAAACGTATGGAGTTGGAGAAGGCCGTGGATCCTTTGTTCCGAGCGAAATATGGTAGGAAGGCTATTTAGATACAAAGTGAGAAAGCCTCAGGGGAAACGAAATGATACATCTCTCAATAAGTAATGGTTTTTTGATAGATGGAATTCAAGAATCATCACTTTGCGGTTTTCGTGCTGTGTCTTCTGAAGTCACAACTCACCTCGGAGTGCCATGTATGTATGAGTCTTTATCACATGAGCTGCATGATTGACAACTAGTTATGGATCTTGCACTTCGCGAGGAAATGTTGGATAAAATCTTGAAATATGGGTATAATACGATACGTTATGATATGATACGGTATACGAAATAAAAGAAATAAGAATGAAGCATCCCGACTCTCCCCCCCCCATCTCGCGCCAACTTTCCTTGGTATCTATCCTTCTTTGGTATCAATACTTATTTTACAACCATCTAGAAACATTTCCCCAAACTCCCCAAAACCAAATAAACCCCAAAAAAGATAAAGACAAAAAAGATAAGGATATAAAAAGGAAGAAAGAAAAAAGAAAAGAATCACCGACTCGCCAACTCAACACGAGGATGACATAACGAGCTTGGTAATTCTTTAGGCGCATCCTCCCCAGAAGCCGGCTTCTCATAGATAAAAGTGCCGTCCTGCGAGATGAGGCCGTTATCATGATAGCGCAGGGGCGGCTGCTGCTGTTGTGAAATTCCAGGGTATTGCGAGGCGGAGATAATAGGGTCAGCTGGTGGGGGGTCGGTAGGCTTTTGGGGGTGAGTGGAGGGGGGAGAGGATGAGGAGTGGGAAGGATGGCGGCGACGGCGACGGCGGAAGAGGAAGATGAGGAGGTAGAGGAGGAGGAGAGAGGCGTTGATGGAGCCGATGATGATGCCGGCTTTGGCGCCGGAGGAGGGAGAGGTGTGGGCGTGGGAGATGGGGGAGGAGGTGGAGGTTGAAGATGCGAGGGAGTGGGTGGGCGTCGAGGTGGGATCTGGAGAGAGATTTATGATGGGTAACGTCGTAGAGGAGGTACTACTGGTGGGTGTTGAGGAGAGGCTTGATGTCGTAGTCGCTATGTTTGCTGGGAAAGAAAAGAAAGATACTGCATCAGCGAACGAAGGCCATGTGGGAAGATTGGAAGATTGGGGTGCCCTAGGTAACTAACACAGTGCAGTGACGCCAATCGCACAATAGCTCTGATAGACCTCTAACGCAGTACTGACGTCCGCAGCCGTTCCATTACACGCGCTGGAGACGGCGGTTGCGATCTTGTGGTTGAAGATCGAGGAGCTGGCCGTGCAGAAGCAGGTGTAGGATGTGGTCGCGCCGTGGTCGCCGCAGCCGTCATACATATCGCGGACGATACTGCTAACGGGGGCTTCGGCGCAGCTGGCCATCTGGGAATACAGAGGGACCTCATTGATGTAGATCGGGGTGGCCTGGGAGAGGACCTTTGTGAGGAATGGAAGGAGAAGGAGGAGAGGTCTAGTGGGCGCCATTCTTTGAACTCGATTCCTGAGCGCGCGGGGGGAATTCAATTAACAAGACATTCGCTCTTCTACTGAGGATCCTTTCTGAGTAGCAGATGAAGGAAACGAGTGAGGCTCGAGAGAGACTTGATAGAAGAGATGGAGGCGTATGGGATGAAGAAGATACTGAAGAGTATATGCGGGACCCTCCCCCGCCCCCATAGGGGCTGAGGGATGCTTGACTTCAGCCGTCGAATAATAGGCCAAGAATACGAGAGACAGGTCGAAAATGCCTGGTAATTGGTTCTGTTCGTCTGTGACACAGGAACAGGGCGACTGTGGTACTGTAGCAATGTGGCACAATCCACGCGAAACACCACTTGGTGTGTAGCATACTAGCAGGTGAAAGAGGCTTCTCCTTCTCCTGAGCAAGTCAATGGCAACTTGGAGTTAAAGGGGCGATCATGATCAGAGTTGATCGTTGAGGGCTGATAGACGACAGATAAGGTAGTTGTGAGGTAGATCATATATGTAAATTGCGGCTGATGAGGCTTGGAATTGGAGAAAGGGCCACGGTGCGAACCGCAATTCCGGTTCTTTGAGAAGATGGGGAGAGGAGGAGCGAACTTCAGACACGGAGTAAGAGGAGCGGGGTGGCTGTGCGCCGTGCACCTGTTGACCCTTTGGAGCCTTTAGAATCCCCCAAGGCTCAATGAACATGCAAAGAAGGCAACTCTAATATCAGAAAGCCAGTTCTAGAATCCAAAACTGGCTTCATAATTCCATTTGCCCGATCATGAAACTTATCCGCCACGAGAATATACCCTGCACTAATGCGCTACTGCTTCACCAAGATTTCACATATTGGAATGTATAACATCGGTACCAAATCAATCCGAGACAAGTGCAATTCTTTTATTTTATAGACAAAACCTACGGCATACCTGGACGCCATCCTGACTAGTTACACCAGTAAAGCAAGAACCATCCGTATCCTGACACGAGAAGAAGTACGCAATGCAGCATGAAGGCAGATAGGCATCAGGTCATATGATGCCAGGAGTGTGATGAGAGACTGAAATGGGATCAAGAGACAGTGCAACCTCTATGTCTGGGCTCTGATGTATCGGCCAGCAACTATACAGTGGTCACGTTCGAATGGCTCTGTGTATTGGAGTTAGCGAGATCAATATAAGACGCGGAAAGGGGAGCGTACCAAGAGTCAGCTGCTCCAGAGGCTTAATTCTCTCCTCTCTCATCTTCTGCACTTCTCTTGCAAACACAGCCTCGGGGGCCGCAGTACTATCAATACAGTTGGCCTTGATGGAAACAACCACTCCACCGCCAACCTTCAAGAACAGGTGAGCATTCAAGCCCACAATACGAGCCTGGTCAGGTTGCGCAACATCAGCGAAGATGACATCGACCATCGAGACCAACATTCTGTATCGGAGGGGGTGACGAGCATCTTCAATGATTGGGATGACGTTCGTGCGGTGCGTAGCCATGTTGATCAGATCTCTTCCAGAACGGTGCGAGAACTCAACGGCAAAGACTGTTCCGGTAGGCCCAACAATATCCGCGACGTGGGAAACAGATGTTCCAGACGCAGCACCGAGATACAAGACCTTTGCGCCAGGCTTGATGAAGATCTCGTCCAGACCACCCAAGACACCGGCCGCCAGCTTACTACGGAAGGGATTCCAGACTCTGTATTCGGTTTTGGTAACGTTAGGGGTGCCATCCTCGTTCTTGGTCGCAGCGTTCTCAACGCTGATGCGCTTTTCGCCATAGACGGATTCGCCAGGTGACAGGTTCTTGGTCACCAGCATATCTTCCTTTCCACGAGCGACAAAGATACCTGGGTGACGGTGGGGTTCCTATGGGCTGTTAGGTGGCACTTGGTGAGAAAAAATCAGGGATCGACATACAATGATGGTCTTCGCACCACCCTTTGCCCCTCCTCCTCTTCCTCCGCGTGGGCCTCCACGTCCTCTTGCTCCGCCGCGTCCTCCACGTCCGCCTCTGCTATCACCTCGACCTCCTTACCCCCCGGTCAGCTACGCTTGTTCTCAGAAGTGTGTGTTGCATAACGATGACAGAAATAAACAGCGCTCGCCCAACGACAGGTTTCAATGCCACGAAGTTGAGCTCTGAAAAAAATGTGAAAACTAACCTCGTCCTCCACCTCTCGAGAAACCCCCACGTCCACCACGATCACCGCCTCTTCCACCACCTCGTCCACCGCGATCGCCGCCGCCTCGTCCGCCTCTAGGTGTGAATGCCATCTCTGCGTTCGTTCGTTGGGAAGCGATTGGGGTGCAGGGTGGGTTTTTGAGAAGATAGAGCTTGATTTCTTTTCTCGTGAAATTTTATTTTTTAGCGAGGAGTTCAGATCCCAAGCTCCAGCCACCAAATGTGGCTTAGCCTCGAGCTAACTGTATCCGCTAAGTCACGTGTAGATTGAAGAGATTGAATTGGAGAACTTCTCGCCTCGTTTGCCGGGCACCAGCGCATCCTGATCTGAACCGCATTGTCCTTTTGAAGCTATTCAGAAACTCTTCCGGCATTGCCTTTATATATTTATATTGAAGCCTGATCTTTATGAACAATCTTGGGGATTGGCCAATTTTGCAGGTGAACTCTAGCCTAGTAGCTGCGGGGAACACCCCAATTTCATTCCATCTCATCGTTGGCGGTCCCTCCCATCTGGATAGCATTTCGCCATGAAACCATTCTGGGTTTGAGTCGGTTTCGTCGCTGAAGACCATATTTGGTTGAGTCCACTACCATCTGTCTACATCTTGGGAGGGAACTCCAAACTTGAGACATCTAATGATCCCATTTTTATTCAACCTATCATTCCAATCGTGCCCATCATCCGAACTACACTGCACGGCCAGGTTCATGTTCTGTCATCTGAGGTCTCAGTACCTCTTACCAAAATTTCGGAGTCCTCATGTTTGGATGGTTGGGAACATGGTACGGAAAGCCGATGCCGATCGCCGTGGAATCCAGACTAGAATTCCCAGTTGGGATGGACCTAGATCAAGAAAAGCTGCTCCGTTGGTTTGCTTTGCTTCAGATAACATGGTGGCTTAGTTGTTGCTACAGCCGCTTTTCAAACCCCGCAGCAGTCATGGATTGGATATCAAGCCATTCAGAGGATACGCGCCTTGACCATGAGAATATTAGACATCTAGACGCCACTTTCATGGACTGTTCATAAAGCCCCTTGGTCGTTTATCTGATCTTACCATACCTATTATTCCAAGATTAGTGCTTCAAAAGATATCTCTCACCAGTTGTGTCGCGACGTTCGTGATTTTGATCCGTTGATACCATATGGGTTTCGCGTGGGTCTCGTGAAGGGTAGGGGTGAATCCGCCAAGCTTAGTGCACTGGAACGTTTTGACCCCAATTTCCCTCACCATTGGGCAAGACTAGTTTTAAGGTTATTGATCCGATGGTCTTTTGTCATCCCGAATGCTATCATAGGACGTACCAATACATATCCAAGCGCTAGGCATGCCAGAAGTCTCAATCCCAGCTCGGTTTTCATGCTACCGCCTGTTATGACAATGATGACTGGCTTTTCCACCACCATTCATGGTCTGTTCTCGACACATAGACATGCATTTGCTAAAGGCATAAGCCTAGATTATCAAATGTGATCGTTGACTGGGGCTACCATGTCCGGGGAGAGTCTAATTCGATCAAGCTTAACGTTGTGCGGTCCCAGCGTAAATTCATGGACGGATAACTCTGGATCCGAAAGGATCCCCGCAAAGCGTGCAGGTTATATATCAAGACTTGATACTCGGTTTCCCAAGGTTTTTGATCCAGCACCATTATCAAATTTCCATACGTGCCCATCTCAACTATCCATTCTTTTCACGAGCGCCCTAGTGGCCGCCACAGTCCTTATATACAAATACTATTTAATCAGTTACATCTTCAGTACACTACTTCACTATCATCATGCTTCTCAACCCTTTACTTGTCGTGGGACTTGTTTCTCTCACTGCTGCTGGTAGTAGGCATCTCAAGTCTATCTAGGTCTATAACTTACTTTTACAGCCCCCCATCTTCATTTGAGGCTCGAGAATAAGGTTGGCGCACGCGGAGTTGAGCTGGCTGAGCGAGGAATTACCTATGCTCCTCGCAAGCTACAACGGCGAAAGAACCAAGAGATCACTATCACTCAGCTCCAAGAAGAGATTTTGACCAATTCGCAAATGTCCTCGGAAGTGGAACTTGTCCAGCTTATTCAAGAAACGGTCATTGTCATCGATCAGACGAAGGAGAACAAGGACAATATCCGCAAAAATCACTTCAGAAATGTCAACAATAACGTGGTATGCTTTCTTCCTATCTTTTTCTAAGACCTCGCTAATACATTCAGAACACCATTCTTATCATCGTAACTGAAGTCATAGATCAACGCAATTCGCAAAACGTCAATACCCGCTACATGGCCCGGCAGATCCAATCCAACAGCCAATCCTCCAGGAAGGTCATGGCCATGATCCAAGAATCCCAACAGCTGATCATCGGCGGGAACGGCGCCAATTCAAACCTCAACAACGTCAGTGCAACTCCCGCTGGGGTCGCATCTGCTCAGTCAAGTGCCGCCGCGCAAGTCAACCCTAATGTTGTGACCATGGATCCCAACGCTACGCCAGAACTCAGCAATGCTACCATGCTCCTCCCAGCCGGTATTCCGCAGCCAAACTTTGGAGGCTTGCAGGCTATTCAAGATCCCGCGATCATTATCGAGCCAAATCAGCAGGTCTTTGTGGATTTCGTGAATCAACAGCAGGAGCAGGCCAGTATTATTAACATCAGTGGTTAAGGGCTTATTGGTGAGATCCTGTGGATTGGTTGGATACAGGTAATAAGTAGAAACGGAATGACAGGTTTGGGGTCCGAGCTGGAACGGTAGGATGGTACGATACCGAGTGGGAGCAGGGAGCCCGAAATCTATGAATGCCGACGGTAGACCCGCGGCTTGAGTAGAGATAGTTGGACCAAAGAGTAGTTGAGGATAGGATTAATTCAATTTACAGGATTCTTTTGCAGCCATACAGACATAAACTTCGAGAATCCAAAGTCTTGGCTAGAACGTCGATGCTTCCGGGGTGACAACGGAAATATTGAGGCTTTTCGTGTCTTGATGACATGAAATATGGGACAAAACCAGCCAAGCTTCATGGCATGGAGCATTAGCTGGAATGAGCCGGTATATAATAGCATGATATGGTCTCGAATCTCCTCCGAGGTCGACACCTAGAAGTCGGGGGAATGGCCTTACGACAGCCACCGTGATCCGAGTTTCAGAGCGCTTCAGGTCTCGTGACGACAGAACCCCAGAAAGACATTATATAATGTTGCCAAGTGTGTCGTGTGTCCTTGGGTAACATCGCCCCTTTCTTTGCGGAGTAGTCGCTTAACATGCATTGGCGGCCCTCGGTAGTTGGTGCAAGGAATGATTTAGGCACTGCTCGATTCATTGCTATAAGCCTCAGAGTTTAGCCAGCTTCGACCCCTCGCACGGCTTTACCTCTCGAAATGTATATTGATAGCGGCCGCCTCCTATCTGAAGGTAGATAAGAAGCAACCTGCAACAAGTACAGAGTCCGAGCCTTTGACAACAAAACCTGCAACGACAACAAGTGAAACATTACCAGGATGTCGAACTCCGACTTCATCCCTGCCTATCTCCCAAAAATTGAGGTCAAGGATCCGTCCCTCCTGCCCCATCATGCAGGATATCCTACGTGATGGCTACGTGATAATGCCAAATGCCTTCAGTCCAGAATCCGTGGCTCGGGCATAGTGAGAGATTGAAATCCTCTCTAAATCTCCTACAGGTAAGAGATGTTACAATATCACCATACAACATTTTTCAATCAATACCAGCAATCCGAATTATCCGATATCCTGAGACAAAGCAATTGAAGGCATCAGTCGATGGGAAGAGTGATAGCTTGTCTCCTAGAGCCCGGCCAATCAAACCTTGTACGCTGCTCCATTGCCAGGACATGTAAATTCTCCTATCTTGTAAGGCAAGACGAACCTGATAAGGACTCTTTTTCCGGGGTACTTGTTCCAGTTGTCGACGTAAACTGGTATGCAAACGTTCATCGAGAGGATCGGAGGATATGTCGTCTGGCGCTGTGGCTCAGCACATCACGTGATCGTACCGGAACCCCGGGCGCCCCACAGCGCAGAGGAGCGGAGAAGGAGCGTCATGGCTTTCAGGCTTCGCGGAGGCTCACCCCAGCCACAGCCCACTCCGAACGAGGGAACCGGTTCCGTTCGTCCTTCACCATCCTTCCCACCTTTGGGCCCCGATGAATCAATTCATTCCCCCAGCTGTCTACTCGGCACAGTACAGCAAACCAAGACCTCCAGCTGGGATCCCAATTCCTGTACTCGAATTGGTGTGGTAACACGGCCAACCCGGTTCCGGAGCACACGACTCGTTGGATGCGGTGAGGAACGGTGAGGGACCGAAGCCAAAAGGCGGAGACGAGAAGCTCGGAGGAGAAGAAAACCTCGAGGCCATAACCTTCCCTCTGTCCATACACAATGGGACTCAGAGACCGTTTCCGCCGCGCTCTCCACCGCTCGGGGCAAGGTTCCCTCAGCTCTACAACTCGCACCTCGTCGGTGTCCGAGTCCAGCTCCTCCCAAGGGTCGACCAGCCCTCCGCTACAATCCACACGCACGGTATCCTCGACAAACCGAAATCTGCCTATGATTACACTGACGAAGACGAGTTCACGACTGAGCAAAAGACTGACGTGGAGGAGCGACAAGGACAGCGAAGAGGAGAAGGAGAGGAGGAGGAAAGAGAAAGAGTGGCAGGCGTTTGCACCACGGCAGCACCATTGGTTACGGATGAGTAAAGAGAGAGAGATGATGGCGGGCTTTGAGTGGAAATGGAAGAATTCCGCCGATGGGTATGTTGCCTTTGTCTCTTTCCCGTGCTACTGTTGCTGGTTCGCCGTTCGCCTGCTTGGAAAGTTACTGACATTTCGGGATAGTGGGAGGCCGAATTCGATATATAGTGGCATAAGTCCTTGTACATCGAGGCCAGGTAGCAGGGACGGCAGAGATTTGCGTAAGGCCCCTTCGAATGGTGATCTGAATGGTGGGGGTAGAGAAGAGGGGGCCGTTGGAGGCCCTGCCGCTGATGAATAGTGGGTTTGTCATGGACCCAACGACGAGCAAAGTTGTGATGATTCGATGTAGCATATGATATTGGCGTCAGGGTGGTTTTGCATTAAATCTGGCTGTGAGGAAAATATGGTTACTTGGAAAGCATATGAGGACATTTGCTGGGACAAGACCTCGCCGACCTTGGTCGCAGAGGCACGACACTGATACATATAGATGTTTTCCATTTTCAGGAATTCAACTCGGTCAATGTCTAGGCCTAGACATAGAGTTTGAATACATGTAATTGATGGAATAGACTGCTATAGAAATTAAGACCTAAAACATCAGTCACTATTGTGATCCCAATTGCCCAGATACTCCGGGGTCGTTGCAGCAATCCATAAGGTACTAATCTGATTGGATCTCAAGACCCAAATCGAAGTGCCGTTCGTAGTTGTAATTCCTTTATACAAAAGAGCAATTGATTGATTTGTCTTTCATAACAGACAAATGTACAGAGTACAATCATACAATATTTTGAACCCCGGAAGGGTCATCGTATCGGTCATGGCTTTGACCGGTTATGGGGCTTAGCGACCTTCGCAACTCCAACGGCGTTCCCTCGCTGAACCTCCAACAACAACCCGCTGCCGGTGCATACTTGATGTCCGCCAAATCAGTAACCTTATTCTTACCCACGTGTTGATGCAGTTATCCTCGCAATCCGCAATCCTCAGCCTTATCTACAATCACCGCTCTGGTCGAGGTGGCCACCCCGAGGCTTAGTGGCCTTGGCGACTCCTCCAACGTTCCTCTCCCGGGTCGAAAGCAGTGGTGATCCTGATGTCGATCTGGGGCTTGGCCCGCCCGCAACCTTATATTCAAAAGCAAGTCGAAGCTCGTATCCTGCATCAGCGTGCTCGGGATAAGGCGCAACAACCTTGGCAGCTCCGGCAGGCATCGTTCGGCCCCAATCATTATGTTTTTTTCATCTTTTGCAGCTCCTGCCAACGGGAAGGGATATTGCGCAGTTCTTCCTTCTGCTGAATTTCTTCCTTCGTCTGAAGTCAGTCTTTGCACTCTGCCTATATATCTATCTGAACTATCCTGTTGGAAGCCATGTTCTTGACCAACACGCTCGTCCCACTCGGCTTGATCGGTTTCTCCTCGTCTCTTTTCAAGACTTTCGGTTTCGCAGTCGAGGCGCTCTTAGTAAATGAAACGCCTTTCTTTGTGTTCTCTCATCTAAACCTCCTTTTGTCTTCAAGATGAAGATATCATCTGTCACAGCAGCTGCCATCCTCTCAGGAGCTGCTCTAGCGGCTCCCCAAGTCTGTGCCCCTGCAGTTCCCGCACCATCCGGACCACCCCCACCCCCGCCAGCGCCTGTCACTATTACTCTTAGCACAACAGTTAGCACGACAGTCACTCATCATTATCTTCAAAATGGAGTCGTTTCAATTGGGTCCATTCTCCCTAGTCCTGTGGTCAATGCCGTCGTGTCAAACTCTGTTGTTACATCAACGGTATCGGCTTCTAATGGTGGACCGGCTACCGTTACAGTTTTCACCACCTCTGTGTCGATCTCGTCTGCTACGCCTATCTTCACTAATGTGGTGAATAACGTGAATAACGTTAACAACGTTAATAACGTTAACGACAGTGTCAACAACATAAACAATAGTGTCAACAATATAACTAACAACAACATCAACAACAACAACATTAACAACAACAACACTACTAACAACAACATTGTGCATCCTGTTCCGGACGACCGACTTCCCAATCCGCCTATCCAGAAACAGGCTATCCAATATGACATTGGACCAGAAGGGAAACAAACAGTAAAAGCCTGTCCCACTGGCCGGAAACAGTATGATTGTGTCGAAGCGATTTACGGAAGTCATGGGGTGATTCAAGAGGTCAATGTCATTAATGTCAGAATCACAACAATGGAAGATGGGGCTACGAAAACGATAAGAGTCACCAAGACTAATACTCCAGCCACAGTTACCCCAAGTGCATTGGCTCACAAGAAGGCTGAAGAAACGGCGACAGGAACTAATGCTGTCGTTTACACATATGCACACGGCACAGGAACGGGGACAGGAACAGCACACGGTTCACAACCAACCCATCACGTCAAAGTTGGCAGAGATGGAAAGATCGCCTATGAGCCGCCGTTCGTTATGGCCAGTGCTGGTGATATCGTCCGATTCACCTTCTTCCCTCGGAACCACTCTGTTACATCTTGCTCTAGGGATGACCCTTGTGTGAAGGATGGAGTCTTTGATTCAGGATTCAAAGCTACTTTCATCCAAAACTCTACAGCTTTCCTCGACTTCCCTGTTAGTGATGATAAGAAGCCAATGTTCTTCTACAGGTATGACCTCTCCTTTCAGCTCTTCGAGCTTAAAGACTGACAGAACTTAGCAAAACCAAGGGTGAGTGTAAGCAAGGCATGGTATTCGCCATCAACCCTAAGAACGAATCGGACTTCAAGAGCTTCCAGGATAAGGCGAAGAACTTCGATGAGAATGAGGCCAGAAAAAAGCATCATCACCACAACTGGAACGGTACACACAGCGCGGAATGGAACCGTACACACAACGGAACAGATGGGATGAATAGAATGAATTGGACCCACAGCCTCGAATGGAACCGAACACACAATGGAACGAATGGAACGAACATCACAGCTTGGACCATTCATATCGCTCCTCCCCCTGCTGCAACACCTATCAAACTCCCTCGATACTACTAGTCGGTAACATCTTGCAATAATGCTTGGGGTACAGGCATTTGAATCCAAAAAATTTTAGCTCCGAAGAATCTAGAGGGGAGGAATGGCGTTTAGCGTTTTCGAAAAGCAAACTTGTACTTTACAAAATTCGGTTCATGGATCCCGGGAATTTGGAATGTTGGATCACGTTCATCTGGTTTGAAGTTAAGTGGGATTTCTTATTTTGGTTTTCTGCGGCGTTCATAGATATTGCTATAGAATCAAAGCAAACATTGACATATATGCCGCTCTGCATATTCCCAGGATCCGTAGGAACATATTGACATGCGCGAGCTCCCACTTCTTGGGGCTCCCCTTTGGTTGGCCATCCAGCACGTACCAAAGCCACCAACAGATCATGCCTCTAGCGGGCATCAACTCTGCAAGGTATGTGGCGAGGAAAGTGACCTTCGGCTCCAACCTGCTGGGTGATTCCAGCATGCTGCACCAATGGCACCCTCGTCCCCCCCGGTGCAACATGGAGAGTCTCACAGATAGGGCACGTTCCCGGCGTGCCAGATCCCAGGTGCACACACAATGGCTTTGTCCGAATTGCGACCATGTCTCTGAGAGCGCGCATTCCCAGGCCCTTTTTGGCGGATAGCCCGGGGGTGGGAAGGACCCCGATCATGCACGAGTGGACACTAATCGTGTCTTAGATTCGGGCGCTGCTGTTCTCGTCCTGGATTCCGGGTTCTGGGTGCTCGAAAGAACGCGGGTCCCGATATATCGCTGCACAAGGCCAGAGAAGATGGGGGATGCAACAACCCGCCCGACCCGCCAGAATATAGTATATCCCCATGTCGCTGTAACCCGAGGCTCGAAGCTCGTCTCTCTACCGGGAGGTGAAAAAGGGTTCTCGCCCCGGCGCCAAACCTGGACACCGAAAGAGAAGAGTCCCTGAATGCTTTCAGCTGCTGCCCAACGAGTGACTAGACGACGACGGACCTGGAGTTGACAAATAAACTGACAAATACACACATCGTCATATGCAAATGGCGACTGCGAATCGAGGGCATTCGTGATCTAAGCTGACTCGATGCTCCATTACGGGGAGAGCTGAATAGAGGGCCCATTGACGCCCCGCGACTCCGCGACTCCGCGAGCGACTTCAGGTTGGTGGGGGACGCAAGCGCAAATCGACGTAGACCTACCAGAAGATCAGAAAGTTCAGAAGTGTGCCATGGGCCCTGACACACGCGTCCGGGCTAAGATCTTCAGGGTTCTGGTTCCCTGTTTATTACTGCATCCTTTTCCTAATTCTCGGGACCAACGACAGTCAACATACCGCATCGAGAGCCAGAGACCCTACTTCAACGGGCCGCCATTGGTCTATTTCCGCGTTACCGTACGTGTGATAGACAAGCTTTAGGTTTATACCTGGGTTTGCGGGGAAGAGACTCGAGCTCTTCCGCGCTTCCCCGAGGCTGCGTGCATCTTCACATTACACAAGTGTGATTTGGGTTCCCGCTCCGCGTCTCTTCAAGACGGATCCAGTCTATCACGTTCCTCACCCAGGCTGCAAAAAGGCTCTCAACCAGGGATTCATATCTCCAGTCATACGTGGTTATCTGCGTTTCAGTAACCAGAAGTGGTCGGAGGTTATCTCCTAATTTTCAAGCAGTGATTTGCTGATTTGCTGATTTCAGCCCCTCCAAGGACCCCTCATGACAACGGGGGATGTTCGCCGCCGCGCCTTAATCCAGCTAGTTGTCCGGTTCTGGCCATTTGTTTTGTTTCCAGAAAGATGTGTGGATCTAGTGTTGATCCAATGATACTGGTTTCTGGGTATCTTTTACGAAGCAGACTCTGCCGTATAGAGATAATGGCGCCGGGAGGTGCACCTTATAGCCCAACACGTGTGGTTCGTATCTCATTCAATACCTCCGATTCCTTCACGTTCTGGAACATGTCACATTCTTTTTCTCCGTCGAAGTGATATCCATACCAACATAGAATCTGTTGGAACTTAATTGAGGTATCATACGCATATTTTTGACAAGGGCAATGATCTGCCGCTTTGGCTTATGAACAAGACCTGTGATTAGAGTACAAGATGTCGATCAGATCCGCGGCCATTCCAGAAGATGGCTCTTGCAGGTTTTAGTCGAAACTAACAACCTCTCATTAACTCACCATGCCTCACGTACCACCAGGAAACATCACAGGAGTGTACTATATAGTAGTTGCTGGCCTACCATGGGGATGCTCTTGGCAAAGGTTGAAAGACTTTGCACGAAATCAACAGCCCGATGGCAAATGTATCGAGATCGATCATGCCATGGTATACCCAGATTCTACGGACGGGTGGGTGAGGGTCAAGGGCAAAGAGAATTTCCGCAAAGCCTTCGGTGAGTAGGAACTTCCCAATCAACACCATAGAACTGATATATTCAGAGCACTTGAATGGTGGTATCCTCGATGATCGCTCTCTTCTGGCAGACGGCCGCAACGAGACAGAGACCCAAACCCTTCGTGACTTGAACACGACACGAACACTAATGCTGCCACGCCGTGATCACAATAGTAGTTCGGCTTCATGCAATGCCTATTCCCCTTCGGCGTCTGCGAGCCCGTATACTCAAACAAGTCCTTCAACTTATTCCACAAGTGAAATAGACGCAAGTAAACTGAACCTCTACCTTTGGTCGGAACTGATCATCTATAGTGGTACTACCAACTGCAGCAAGGAGGACCAAGTTATCATCCAGTTTCACCAGTCTGTCCAAATGGCTCGTACTACCAAACACCAGCAATGTATGAAACTGCTGCGAGTCCCATCTTCGCCCCGCCGGCACTACAGTACTCCATGGGGCCTGCTGCACCAGCTATGCTTTATGGAGGCAACATAGCACCGGCTCTTCCGGGCTATCTTCCTCAACAGCCGGTTTACACGTACGTCGCACCGTACGTCGACTACCCCATACCACTGCCCAACGTCTCCACTCCTGGCCAGACGCCTCCAACCAACAGCAAAAACGAATCGCGAAAAATCATCATCTCACAGCTCCCGCACACTATCACCTCTTCGGATCTCCGCGATCTCCTAGCTAAAGCCGCGGACAAATGCGGCTCAGCATCCTCGACCTCTAGATCCTCATCTCCCATCCACGACATCGAGATTGCCAAGCATGGAGACGGGAAGGCGAAAGGCAGCGCGTCCGTCGTCCTTGAAAGCCGTCATCTTGCGAGAGCATTCGTCAAAGTCGTTGACGGGATGAAATACCAAGGACGGGTCCTGAGCGCTAGATTGGCGAAAGAAGGTGCAGAACCCGGGAGACAAAGTTCACCCCCGGGAAAGCTGTATATGCCTTCGGGGTCCTCGTCAAGTTCGCATTACTCGGGGAACAAGCAGCGAGTGTCGAAGGACGCCAGGAGCGAGCGACGTCCTTCATACGATACTCCTTCGGGAGAGTCGGGTGTAGGGGAGACTGAATCGCATAGGGAATCGAGGTATGGGAGTGGTGAGAAGAAGTCGGGGGCGAAATCTGGGGAGCAAGCGAGGAGGAGGTCGTCGGATGTAATGAGTACTCCGGCTGTGGTTGATGGGTCTTCAAGTCGGGGAAGTCAGGGGATGGAGAGGAGATCTCGTAGTTAGGGGTAAGAGTGCCATTGAATATTGGTGTGACTATGACATTTAGAAGAGCCGCATTTCAGGTGTGGGCAAGTGAGAGGTGGAAGGGATGTGCTGAAGGGGTGGGGTGGGTTGGTGTGATGATTAATGATTGGGAGGGAGTTGGGTTTGGATACAGATAAATTCTGGCAATTATCGAGGGAAATCATATGATACATTTGAATCAGGACGCAACATCACTTGAGCGCCCATTCTTGACCCTCAGCCCAGTGGGTCCAGAGATGGGGGTTGGGGGAAGCTATTGGAATTGGGATCTTGGCTTCAGATACTGCAGTGGTTGCTCAAGCAAATATCTGGACAGGCTTTTGCTTTTACCGCAAAGGCCATCGTCCCTTGACCTTCTCGGTCAGCCCAGCCCTCTCCACAACCTCGTGACTCCTCTTCTCAGCTTCTCGCCAGACCTCTTCCTCATTCATAGTCTGTAGCTTCCCTCCCTTCACCACCTCTTTCCCGTCCACAACCACCAACTCCACGTCTCTGCCCGTGACAGAATACACCACCGCACTAACGGGTGAGAAGTAAGGCTGCAGATGCACACGCCGCATATCAATCGCCACGAAATCAGCTTTCTTCCCAACCTCCAGACTGCCGATGGAATCCTGGAGGCCCAGTGCTTTCGCTCCGTTGATGGTGGCCATCTCGAGGACCTGCTCGGCAGAGACGATGGTCGGGTCATAGCTCTTCGCTTTGTGGATTATGGCCGCGAGCTTCATCTCCTGCAGGAGATCGTTCGTGTTGTTGCATGGTGCTCCGTCGGTCCCTAGGCCGACGTTGACGCCTGAAGCCAGAAGCTCGGGGAGTCGACAGATCCCAGATGCTAACTTCGCGTTGGATGTGGGACAGTGGGCAACGTGGGTTCCTGTCTCTGCTAGTTTGGATATGTCGGAATCATCAAGATGTACCATGTGCACCAAGACAGTACTTGGACCAAGGAGACCGACGGAGGAGCAGTATGACATCGGGGTGTGAGACCGAGACTCGAAGAAGTCTCTATCCGCTTTGACCTCTGCACAGTGCATAGTAATTGGAATATTCTTCTCCTTAGAAATAGTAGCCATCTCTTTATAGAGACCATCTGATACGCTGTTCCATTCATCAGATCTGTCGTTCCAACTTTCAGAAGATACTCACCCACCAGGAGTCCTCGCTCCAAACCAGACTCGGATCCGATCATTGGCCTTCTTATCCCACTTTTCCCACATTTTGATGGCCCCGAGTAGGGACGTCTCGCGATCCTCAACAAGACCTGGATGCATGGCCCACGCTGGGTCTTTGGCATAAGTTGCGATATCCATAACTATCTTTCCGAGACATCCCCGGATACCACTCTCTTCGACAGCTCGACAAAGACCATCGAATCCATATCTGTCGGCGAACTATGATCCCTAAGCCTTACTTTTCACTTCGTTTGGAGAAGGATGACATACCATGCTCTCGAGAAAACAGGTCGTCCCCGACAACAGCATCTCAGCGATACTCATCCTCGCGGCGGCATACCCATCTTCGGCAGTGAAGTTTCCCTGAAGCACCCAGATCCTCTCACATAGCCAAGACACCAGCTCCAAATCATCCGCAGCTCCTATTTGCCGATATCAGCACCAGGTCGACCCCTTGGAAGGATCACGTGAGTAACCCCAAACAACTCACCCCGTAGCAACGTCTGAGCGGTATGCATATGCGTGGTGATCAAGCCGGGGATTATAATGCGCCCTGAAAGATCGATAAGTTCCTCCTTGGGGTATCTTTCAATGAGTGTTTCGGCCTTGCCGATATCAGCAATTTTGTCTCCTTGGACAAGGATGGCTCCGTCGAGGATGACATCTCTACTCGTATTGACCGTCACGATCGTGGCGTTGGTATATAAGACCATGTTGTCAACTGATCCTATTCTTCTTCTCTTGAAAGATAATTCATTCGACACCTTAGGTATATGGAAGAGGGACCCCTTCACTTGAATAGTTCCCTACGGCCCCCCATTTATATCTTCCCCTATCGGGCCCCATCTATCGGCGGGGTCCGAAGGGTCCCTACCGCTATCATCCACAAATAGCGGTAGATCCCGAACTCGAGAGGTTTTGAAATGACTTAAAAGCATCGGTGATGTTCCAATTCAATACTTGTCGTGTACGGCTATCTCACAATCCGGGGTCGAGGAAATCATTTCAGAACTGCACGTGACCTGCCCCTCCATTTCCGGACTTCACCTGTTCCTCAACTCCAATTCTCTCACGTCCTCCCCTTAACTTGTGGATTTCGACATACAGATTCAACTCCAGGAATATATCAGTCGATTCGAGTATTGCTTGTACATCTTTCCGTCCTTCAATGTGCTGCCTACTTATATGCAGAGAACAAGCATACAGCGAGCTTAGCCATCAACTCCAATCGCAATTAGACAAATGACCTACCTCTGTTATTTTTCCTTTTTAATCCGCTCTCTGAAAACCTTTATTTGAATAAGATAACTTGGACGTTGATATGTCAGACTCATGCTTCCATTTTGCACGTGGATTGGAAGTCAGATTCTCCTTCGTGCAGGGGGTTGGGACTGGTCAGAGATGTGGGTGCGAGTGTTATGCTGACAACTCCTTCTGCTCCTTGGTGAAGTGTTCGAGAAGGACTGCGGGGTTATTCATAGGTTGCATTTATATTCAAGAGCTGTGTTTTAAGGTGCATGTAGAAGTGTATTTCAGTAGATAGGAGATGGCTTGGTAAGTATTGATATGTAGGCATGTATGTATTCTATGTATTCTTGTAACATCATAGCTACCTCGACATTTGTCGTAAGAGATATATTCTTCTGCTATGTTTCTCTATTCTATCCTTGGTCCTGCCTTCTACCCTGGACAAAACGTGTCCTCTGGAAATTTGGAGGAGCGATTGTTTCCATCCCGATCTTAGGTCTTGCAGGTTATACAAAGCTACAGCTAGCTGTGTTGCGCGCCAAGTCAATTGGACTGATGTTCAGTTCCCTGCGACCATCGAGATGAGAGTAGTACCATGCTTTTCGAAGTATCATTTTAACCGCTCAACCTTTCGCAAACTACCGCACTCCTTGGCCCCCAAAAAGGTCTCTCAGACTTAACCTCCTGCCTGCAATAACCGGGTTCCCATTTCCACTGCCACTCTCGAAACCACCGTCGGCGAAACCCCCCGTGCCTGCCGTTTCCAAGGCGCCTCTTTCCAGCGTTTCCACAACAGGAGCATCTCTCGTTCGTTCCCAGAACTCTTTTATGAGTGTACAGTTAAGCTGTCTCGTATCCTCCTGGTCCTGGATAAAGAACCCCAAGACCTTCTCTTCCCCCAACGAACCTTGCAAGCCTGCCTGTCCCCTCTCCAGAAACCTGATAATCATGATCTCCGCCGTGATCTCCACCTCCAGCACATCTTGCATCTCAATGATCAGATTATCCAGCCCCTTCTTATTGAGGATGATGATGCAGTATCGATCCTGCCCGCCCACGCTTGCCGGAGAGAAGGGCGCGAGCTGGCACACGAATAACGTCCCCGCCATCTCGGCCTTGTCCCAGGTCTGGTCGGCGGGGAAGTAGTTGTAGATTTGGCAGGAGGCGGCGATGGAGAGGATGGAACTTATGGAGGGCTTGTAGCGCCGCAGAACAGAGAGGTTGAGCTCGGTGTTTGATCTAACAGGCAGTTGTTGCGGGGCCGTGTATGCCGTCTCGGAATCGTAGTCTGAGGCTTGGACAGGTTGGTGGTGGTGGTGTGAGTGCCGCGGATGCCCATTTCGGGGTGTCATTTTGACGGTTTGGGGTGTGAGGAGGTGGGCTTGGAGGAGCTGGTCGGAAGATCAGGGCTGTTGTTGAAGGTGCTAGGTCCTTTGCCTTGCGATACGTCGTCGGCGCGTGGTCGCGAAAGGCACTGCCTTACAAGCTTGGTTCTGTCAGGTGTGAAGTATGCGAGCTGCTAGTAGTGCACAATATCGCGTGTATTTGAGGTTGGATGGTGAGTTGGAAATGCACTGGTTGGCGTGGAGGACTGAGAAACATCGCAGCCTCGTCGCGACGTCGAGGGACCTTGTTCGGCAGCGATCACCCGAACGGATCACGCCCGCGGTCCCGCGGCCCACCACGACAAGAATCCTTGACTCCCCTCCAAACTTTACTTCATGCAGTAAACAACCTCGACAAGATATCTCGATATCACCGGCCACACATGAGGTCTGATATATAACGGCACGTTCCAATGACCGCTCCAGCCGTACTCAAGCAGTACTCCTCCCAGATCCTCCCTGGCTCTACGTCATCAGCCAACGGCTTCACGACACTGCGACAACATGCGGATTGAGCTCTACAGCGACAGGGGATTAGTACATCATCAGAATGGGCCCAAGCACACGAACGTCCGTTGATCAAGAGCATAGCGAGCTTGAAGCTCCTCCGCAGACCTCGAGTCCACAATCCCTCTCGAAAGCAGTACACGCTCGAAGATCTGAATATGTGCGTCCACAGAAGATCAAAGTCAAGATTGGGACGTGGAATGTAGCTGCGCGTCCAGGGACGGATAAGGATCTCAAGGGATGGTTTGCACAGGGGAAGGGCGTCGACAAGAAGTTGGCGGGGATGAAAATAGGAGGTGGCGACAGTCGAGATGGTTCCGAGGGCCTGGGGCCGCAAGAACATGGATCAACGACGGGGTCTACGCCTCCGAATGGTGACAATGGATTAGTGCCTGGTGGAGATGAGATTGGGCTGTATGTCCTTGGGCTTCAAGAGGTGGTGGAACTCTCGTCTCCGAAAGAATATATTGGAAGGGTATATGCGGATCCCGGACCTGCTGCGAAATGGAAGAAAGCATTGATCGAAGCGTTACCCCCCGGGTATATTCAGATCGCAGAACAACAGCTTTCTGGGTTATTACTCTTTATATTCGCCTCGCCCGACATTGCGCCAACAATAAGTTCCGTCAGTTCTGTGAACGTGGGTACTGGGATGATGGGGTATCTGGGAAATAAAGGTGGCATCGCAACGAGGATAATACTTGGGGAGACGACACGAATGGTTTTCATCAATTGCCATCTGGCTTCTGGGGCAGATCCCAAGGATTTAGACCGAAGATGTTGGGACGTGTCCCAAATTCAGCAAAGGGCATCTTTTGACCCTATTAACTGGGGTGGAGTTTTGGCTGATGGACCGGAGGGTATTGGGGAGGAGGACTTTGCATTCTGGTTCGGAGATTTGAATTTCAGGTTAGAGCTTCCCGGTGACGATATTCGACGACTTCTTATGCTGCATACGAAAGGGGAATACGATGTTGGGAAGTCACGGAATAAAGGCAATGGGGAATCAATTGATGATAGTGATGGACCCATTATCATCAGGAGTGTGGAAAGCGATGATGAGTCCGAGGGTGGGTCGGTACCCAGGACTAGCAGCACGTTTGAGAATGGCGATGATACTTCTTCTGTGTCATTACCGGACCCAGATGAGTTCATTGAAGATCCGAGTCAAGACCCAGCATCATTGCAAGCTACGATCGAGTCGTTATTACCTCATGACCAGCTGAAACAGGTTCAACAGAACCGGAAAGCTTTTCACGATGGTTGGAGAGAAGGTCCGATCACATTTTTACCCACGTATAAATATGATATTGGGAGTACGGGACATTTCGATTCCAGCGAGAAGAAACGAGCGCCTAGCTGGTGCGATCGGATACTTTTTAGGACTCGCAGGGACAAGCTTGAGTATGACGGGAAATCTCAAGAAGAAGAACTCACTAGGATAAGGGACGAAGAGATGAAGGCAAGAGGAATTGACCGCGCACAGGAAGATGAGGATGTCTTGTTTGATTATAATGATGGTGCGGATGAAGCTGGAACTGATGAAGAGCCAGCCACGACGAAAGGATCTTATGACGAATATGACGAATATGATGAAAACGAGGATGCGGAGGAAGTGGTTACCAAGGAAGGCTTCGTGGATAAGATTCATTTGGACGTTTATACAACGCACCAAAGGGTTGTCTCGTCGGATCATAAGCCCCTGGATGCAGTCTTTACGCTGGAATATGATGCAGTAGTACCTGAACTCAAGTCGAGAATTCAAGCAGAAGTTGCCCGGGAACTCGACCGAGCAGAGAACGAAGGGCGGCCCGGAATTACTGTTGTTGTGGATCATTCTCATGACGCGGAGGCTGTAACACAAACGAACTCACGGAATCCGTCGATGGGAGGGACAGAAGGAGTCAATTTTGGTCCGGTCTCGTTTCACAAACGAATACGTCGAGGCTTGACAATCGCTAACACAAGTCAAGTCAGTTCAACATTTGCATTTGTTGAACGGCCAAGTGCGCCTGGAGAGAACGAACGCATTGCGCCTTCTTGGCTATCAGTTTGCTTTGTTGGGTCCGAATTCGATGAGGACTCCCGACATATGAAAGACATGAAGAGGGAGATTACCTTAGAACCAGGCGAAGCTGTAAATGCCACAGTTGAGCTGTTTATTGATGATATCGACTTCGTCAAATCCCTCAATGACGGGATAGCCAAACTTGACGATGTCCTGGTCCTACGCGTCACAAATGGCAGAGATCACTTCATTCCAGTCCGCGGCTCATGGCTCCAGTCGTGTTTCGGTCGCTCTGTTGATGAGCTCATCCGCGTCCCCGAAGGCGGTGTCCGAACACTCTGTCTTGATAAAGATGACAAAGGAAGCCCTATCAACCGCAGCCAAGAAGTCCGCTGGTCCGCACCCCGCGAACTCTTCAAACTTACAGAAGCCATCGAATTGCTCACCGAGCGCTGCATAGCTGATGCGAATATGCTCGAGAATGCACAACTGCCCAAAGAGTCTGCTGGCTGGCCATTTGATTCAAAATCATGGCTGCTCAACGACAGTGGCGCACGAGAAACGGGGAAGGGATATGTGTTAGAAGCCTTGGATGAGGATAAGAATCTAAGAGAGTCGTTCCCGCCTGAGATGCCTGCCATCGAGAAGGTAGAGATATTGGCTGAAGTACTAGTTACATGGCTAGGCAGTTTGACCGATGGGATCATACCTGAATCACTGTGGAAGCAACTTGACAATGACATTACCTCTCGAGGCACGAAACAAATTACCGACGCCGAACAAACGCAAAATTGGGTCCTGGACGTCCTCTCATCGTCGCCAAATCACAACATCTCATTTGTATTCCTGACGAGCATGCTGAAACGTGTCGCTGGAGAACTGGCCCCCGTTCCCCAGTCCGCAGGATGGAGGGATAGTCTGGGAAGGGCTAGCCTTGACAGTGTTCGGCGGAGTCTAAGTTGGAGAGCCAAGCCTCCCCAGTTTCCGAACGATAAAGAAATACTGCGGAGACAGGCTCAGGAGAAAGCGTACGCGGAGGTATTCTCGCGTGTGGTCTTCAGAAGCCAAGTCTTCAGCAAGGAGAAAGAGAGGAAAGTGGCTGATGAAAGGAGAAGGTATATCTTGGAGGCTTTCTTACATGGTGGTACGAATCGTGCCTGAGGAGAGCACAGGCGCAATGCAAGAGAGGAAAACAAATCTAATGCTCTATGTATTATAAGGGAGAAAGAACCATTGGATAGCGTTATGAAAAAAATTCGAAAGCCCTCGGATTTTATCTGTGATGCCGATAGGGGGGCTAACAAGTGTCGGCCGCTATATGACCGCGTATTGGTTCCAAGGAGAACAATGAAGAGGAAAAGGAAATAACAACCGAGAAGAAACTCTCGTCTGACGTAAGTCTCCAGATCCGTTCTCCAGCCGTGGGGAAGCTCCTATGATCGGTGCTTGGGAGAAAAAAAAGCCTCCTCTCCCGAGAGTAATAATAGGGGTTCGGCATCAGCGGCGCTAGTCCCTCAGCTCCCTCGTCACTGCACGGCAGGAATGCTACTGTACGGTGCATCAAAAGGCGTCTTCTACCCTGCTAGCACGGAAGAAACTTCGAAGGGCGGACAACGGAATGCAACAATGTGGGGGTTACAGGTTCAGGCCATGTGTGGGGAGACTCGAGAGGAAGGAACGTGAGATATTGTCTTTCGATGTTGTGTTACAGTATTGTCTTGCTCTTTCTTTTTTCCTGGTGTACAACAACATTGTCTGAGATTCGAAGGCCGAAGAAGTGTCTTCTTGAAGATTAGGACTATGGGTTATGGTTTATGGATCATGGAGGTTAGTAGGTTACGTGTGATGATTCGATTTTGATACAGGGGGGAGTAGTGGCCGGTCGTTCGGAAGGGATGGAGAGGGAGATATTCAGGGCTTATGTATGCAGCCCTGCGGGATGCGGATGCGTGTTGCACCTTTACTACTCCGTAGAGGTCGCCTGATCACCTAATGATACTTGGGGACATGAAGATAGCTACGAGGGGTCTGGAAAGGGGTCTGTTTCATGGAGTGTTTACCATCTTGCTATCGTAGCGAGATATAGGTGTTTTCGTTGGTTGAAGGAATCGTTAAAACATCGCATCTGATTTGCTACTGCGGATCTCGTTTTATTATTGACTGTGTATATAGACAGTACCAGATCTCCGAGTTTAAATTTCTCTATCAGAGTATTTAGGAGGTGGTTATGAAGATCTGTTTCCGGGGATTGGATCGTGCCTTGAGCGTGACCCTGTAAGATGCAGCAAATGTAGGAAAAGCGAAAGAAAACGACCAGGAAAAAACTACTAGAAGACCTTTTCTCCTTCTTTCGAAGGATCTAAGACATTCCAAGCGCGTTCTCCGTAAGACCAGGTCCCTGATACATGCGTAATTCTCGTTCCAGCACATGTCGTCCCTTATCTTTGATAAGTTACACCTAGTAATTAGTAGTAGCGCCCTAACGTAACTCCGGAGGTATAGTAAACAGCTCGTGTAAAAGGCGGGCTCTGCGGCGTTTCATCCATTGACATTTCCTTATCTTTTCCAACTGCTTCCAAGACCCAACTTTACGGCTAATGCGTCTTGGCGGGCCAGCCTTTATCTTGTGGGCTCGGTCGATATCAGAGCCGTGATTGGCTGGTAAAAGCATATCAAAGCCTCTTAGGCTCTGTTGTCGCTCTCCCCCCATGAGGCCAAGGCTGCCCAGACCGCACGAGGCTGGGGCAGAGCGCGAGGTCAACCATTGAGCCGTGTTCCCGTGGGCGCCGAGCCCAGTCAGCTCATCAGCTATTCGCGTTAAGCTCGTTAGGGACCCGCTGCGTCGGGGGAGGTAATCTTCGCCAAGTGATGAGCTACATGCAATGGCGTGGACGGTTCGCTGTTAAAGTAGTTGTCAAGCACATTAGTCCTCAACCCCGTGTTGATATCAATCTCAAATAGAACGACGTTGCTTCCGTGAGATAAGATCTCCCTGTCCCTTATCAGTTGGCATGCGGTATGGCTGACGCCGGTTTCGCCCGTCTGCCGCTGCCTCCCTCCAGCCCTCAGAGCCATGGCGTTGCTTTATATATGGATGGCCAGGGCCGGCCTGGGTGCGGTTGTGCCTCATTTGACTGTCTCTCTTCTGCTCAATTAGGCTTCAGGTGAAAAGCAGTAGAAGTCAATATGTCGTCTCTCTATGCTGCCACTTACAATGGCACCACCGAGGCGGGGTGTGATTCTCTAAATGATAACTGCAACATCTACTATGAGGTACTAACCCACTCTCCTCTCCCCTTCCTACAGGTTTCTAACGGATGACAGACCGGCGATATTGCCTGGGTGCTTACCTCTGCCGCCCTCGTTCTCCTCATGATTCCGGGTGTCGGATTCTTCTATTCTGGCCTCGCCCGCCGCAAGTCCGCCCTCTCTCTCATCTGGCTCTCCCTGATGTCTGTCGGCGTCGTCTCCTTTCAATGGTTCTTCTGGGGTTATTCCTTGACCTTCTCCCACAATGCCGGTAAATACATTGGGGATCTTCGAAACATTGGTTTTAGGAACGTGTTGGGAGCGCCGAGTGTGGGAAGCTCGAGGATTCCGGATCTGGTGTTTGCTATATACCAGGGCATGTTCGCTGCCATCACGTCTGTCCCCCTTCCCCCCTTTTTTTGTTGTAGAGGGACCCAGCTGACAGTTGAAACAGTCCCGCACTCGCTATTGGCGCTGCAGCAGAGAGAGGCCGCATGCTTCCCTGCATAGTCTTCATGTTCATCTGGTCGACCATCATCTATGACCCTATTGCATGCTGGACGTGGAACCCTGCGGGATGGGTATTTAAGATGGGCGGTCTCGATTTCGCCGGTGGAACGCCTGTACACATCTCTTCCGGCGCTGCAGCCCTCGCCTACTCCATCATGCTGGGCAAGCGGTCCGGCTACAGCGATACCCATGGTCTCCCATACCGACCCCACAACGTGACACACGTCGTCCTGGGAACTGTTTTCCTCTGGGTTGGGTGGTTTGGCTTCAACGGTGGCTCTGCACTTTCTGGCAACTTGCGCGCGGCCATGGCATGCGTCGTGACGAACCTTGCTGCGTCTGTTGCGGGCGTGACTTGGGTTCTCCTCGATTACCGACTCGAGAAGAAATGGTCCACTGTCGGATTCTGCTCTGGTGCCATCTCTGGTCTCGTCGCGATCACGCCCGCATCCGGATTCGTCCCCGCGTGGTCCGCGGTGATATTTGGAGTCGTGGGTGCGGCAGCATGCAACTATGCGACAAAGTTGAAGTTCCTGCTCCGGGTTGATGATTCGCTGGATATTTTCGCAGAGCACGCCGTTGGTGGTATTGTGGGGAATCTTCTGACTGGTCTCTTCGCTGCGTATGTCTTCACTTTCTTTCCTCTTATCCTGTTCCAATGTAGAAAAGGGAACCAAGACTAACATGTCGAATCCAGCGATTACATAGCGCACCTCGACGGCGCGACTACCATCCCCGGCGGCTGGCTCAACCACCACTATATCCAGCTGGCTTACCAACTGGCCGACTGTGTTAGCGGCTTTGCTTACTCCTTCGGCGGCACCTGTATCATTCTCTTCATAATGAACCTGATCCCCGGCCTGTCGCTCCGCGCATCAGAGCAGGAGGAAGCCCTCGGCATTGATGACGCCCAGCTGGGCGAGTTCGCATATGATTATGTGGAGTTGCGTCGCGACTACTCAGATGTAATCATTGGCGAGGAGACAGGTAACAAGGAGAGTCAGGGCAGTGCGGATGGTGGCCAGAAGGCTTAGATAGTCCATATGCTAGCGAAGGCGTTTGTGGGTTTAGGAAATATTACTGTAATTAGGAAATTAATTCATCATTAACAAGTGTTCAGACAAATATCTCGAGCTTCTTGCTCTTCTTGCAGTTGTCGTTGACCATCTTCAAAACTCTAGATCCAGGGAATTCAATACTAAGGATCAGATCACGGAGTCCACTTTGAAACCGGCAAGGCAACAAGAATGAAGTACTTTTCGTAACTTTTTGTGATGTAATGCATCAAATAAAAGCAGCGCGTAGAAACGCCAATAACACCACCCATTGCGCTATCCAGTAAGAAATCCAAGCTATCTATTGGCCAAGGACTATAATATTGATAGCTCTTTCTTAAACAGAGAGCTCTACGGCCTTGCTAGATTCGATATGCTTGCGGAAAGGTTTGAGAGCAGCTTCAACTTCTCCGCCTGGACCGGCAAATCGCTGGACTTGCTCCGGACATCTTCCAATAAAGTTCTTCGGGTCTAAAAGGTTGTCGAGATCGGCCCAGATTGGGGAGAAGAATTCTGTCTTCTTAATCCTCTCGATAAGGTCGTTCTTTTGAATATTAGCATCTCTTACTAAAGAGGGCTCGGATGATACTTACTTTTCCACCTTCCTTCTTCACTACGTCGGAGGCTTGGTGAGAGAGAACACGAATTTCCTCATCTAAAATTTCACCGCATTAGTAACTTCCATATTTATGGGGAATTTCTAGAGAGGTTGCATACGGGCGTCCTGTCTGCTTCTTCCTAAGGCAACCAGTCTCATGATGATAACCTAAAAGTTTCAAAGTTAATTCCATAATTAGGTAGTTAAGAAAAGGTGCATACTTCAGTCGCCATGAATGGCAACTCCTCCATAAGGCGGGAATGGATGCGTTGAGGGTAGACAACGAGCCCAGAGACAACCTAACAGATTTCTGAGTCAGTGACTACTTGTTCAGAGGAACTTTTGTTTCTTTTACATTGTCCAGAGTCATGCAGATAGCGTCTGCGGAGAGAAACATCTCAGGAATAGTAATTCGTCGGATGGCCGAGTCATCAAGCGTACGCTAGAGTTTACGAATTAGTTACTAGGTAATTGATTAAGACAGGGCGCCTAGAGAATCAACATACCTCAAACCACTGAGCAGCGTAAGTGTCGTTGGCATTCTTGTTAAGGTTGGAGCTAGAAGTTCTCGGTCAGCAGCTCCTCGAGTGACGACCAAAGGTAGAGTGTGTAAAGCGCTCGATTCTCAATGTCTTCAAGCTGTGAGAACATTGAGTGCTTATGACATGGTCAAAAGAGGAAGAAATGCTCAGACATACAGGTGTCTGCCGAGACCAGCAATTCTCTCAGACCGCACTAAAGATTTGCAGTCAGCAACCGGCCAAACAGCGTAATAGTTATGAAACGCTATCTATGGGAGTCTGCTTGGACAATTCACTCACTCGGATTGCGCTTGTACGCCATTGCACTAGATCCGATCTGGTCCTATTGAAAAGGTCAGCTTCTAACTTCTTAATGCACATTTGACTAGGGTTTGCAAGGCATTTTTATGAGCTCTTCTAGGTTTATCTGCGAAGCAGACGAAACCAGCTGCCTTTAGAACATTCAAAAAGTGCATATTTTACTCGGACTCACTTTCTCAAAAGGTTCCTCTATTTCTTTCTGAAAAGTTGTTAGTAACATGTTTAAAAGCTATGCGGTCCATTCTGTGGCAGGTGACACGTACAAGATGGGCCAAATGTCGGACTAGAAGTTCTCAAAGTTAGTGACTGCTATTCTAGGAAGTTCACCGCTTTACATACTGTCACTCGAGATCTTTTGGACAGTAGCGCCAAACGCGGAAAGCGCATTAGCAATTCTTAGATCCACCTTTCTTGTATACGTCTGGGTAGAAATTGGGTAGCAGCTAGGGAAGCCGGCTTTCTCGCAGAGAATTTCGTTGAGCTTATCGACCTTTGCCCCATCGCCCTCGAAAATCTCCAGGAAGCTGGCCTGGGTACCTGTGGTTCCTTGAGCGCCTCGGTATCCTGAAGGTTGTTCGAGTCAGTGATTGGTTTTTAGGCAAGGCAGAAGGAAGAGTTTATCTTACGGATGTCTGCCCGAACCTTGCTAATATCGTCCAGGTCCATAAGTAAGTCCGCGATCCATTGTGCAACTCTACGGCCCACGGTAATCAATTGAGCTGGTTGAAAGTGCGGTAAACTGGGGTTAGCTTTACATTTGCGACATTAGGGTAGAGGCACTTATTGTAACCCAGCGTAGGAGTATCCTTCCATTCAAGTGCAAATTTCGACAGCTTGTGAATGATTATGGCTAGCTTTGGCAACAAGAGGTCAAGCGCATCTCTCTGGAAGATGAGGTCCGCATTGTCGGTACAATAGCAGGAGGTTGCTAAGGGAGTTAGCATTTGCCTTCTTTGGATGTTTTTGGAGTAACCACTCCCGAGACGTGATTTAAAAGCAGCAAGATGGTTCTTAGGTAGAAGCATGTCTTACAACACTTGAATCATTCCCGAATAGGTGATTACCTACCACCATAGTGGATAATGCCGGCCTGTTGTAAAGTTAGCACCTGTAGGGCCTATGCCGAAGGCGGAGAGAATTCGAAAAGAGCACTTACAGCTGCAGGTGCCACCTGACCAAAGGCATACACATGAGCCATGCTAGTATTTTGTCAAGTCAGTAATTGCGCGTTGAAAAGGAAGTGGGAGGTAGGCGGGGGAAGGAAGTCTCAGGAGCTGTGGCATATTGAGACTCGAGAGACCATCCGAAATAGAGCCTTAGAGGTACATACACGTCGTGTCTCCTCTTTCGCTCTTCCTCTGCAGCAACTTTGAAATCTTCATCCGTCATCACGACATGCTCCTTCATCTGCCGAATTGCCTCATCGCTAATATCGATCCCTAACTCCTTCTCGCCCTCGGCAAGCCAAATCCACAACTGTCTCCAAGTCGAAGCCCTGGTTCTTGCGCTAAAGATCGTCTTCATCTCGGTGCCTGATAGAAAAAAGAACATTAGTAGTGCTCAATTGATATACAAGCAATCCCAAAACTGAGAAGATGTGCTAAAGGGTACGGGGTACAGGGAGGTATTTGGTGTTGCGGGGTAGCAGTATGGCTAGGGTTCGATGGCTTTGCGGGGCATTGCTTATAAGAAATACTTACTTGCATAGCGCGAAGCAAGCGGAGTCTGGTAAGTGTCGTTGCCTGACATCTTGAATAGCAATTATGAGTATCTCGGTGTTGTGTTGCTGTTGTCAGGGGTTGTCCAAGGTTATTCAGAGCTTGATACCGTAGTCGCGGGGCAGATTTTTATCTACGCTAACCATAGCGGCCGCACGGCCGCACCATCACCGATATTCCGCTAGTCGGAGCCTCCCAAGCTTCCTCGGCTGTGTCCCCTCCAATGTTCGAACTGCCCACTTGATTTGATCGCGTTGTCACTCTTCGAAATCGAAGCGTTCTCGTGCAAAGTCTTGATATTGGTTAGAAAGGAGCTCCTGGCATAGACCCTCTCCTCGATGACATGGCGCTAAGTATCGGGCAAGTCCTCAAGGGACGAAAAGGAGCATATCAGCAGCTAAGGTAGTGGAGGCATTGAAGGCCTCCACCGTCTTCAAAGCGCAATTATTGCCAATTTCTACTACTAAACCAGATTTGTATGGGTTACTTGTTGTACTTGATCGCTGAAATGATAGCTAATCTATCCTTAGTGTTTTGGTAAAGACTGAGTTGGGCTTTGAAAAGATATGTCTAAAGCGCGAATACGGCAATTACGAACTCCCTGCTATAGCATCATGCCAGTATATTCGAAACCTACTCGATCTTATCTGACCGAACGGCGACGATGCAGAAGTAGATAACACATATTTGACCAAAGAACATCCATGCCTGGTTTTTGAATGGATGGATCTCTGCGAACAGTGCTCTCCGATCCATTTCGAGAGAATTCGAGTCTTCTCAAGATTATGGCTAGATGAGTCCTGTCGGCCCTTGCTCTTCAGCAGCTGGATACCAAGTTGGAAACACAATTTGTCAAAGTAGGGACATTGCGTCAACTCGAGCAGCTGCCAGGGCCCAAGGTGTCGCCAGAGCGAATAGACTTCTCGAATACTCACTGGTTCTGGATTACATGAAAAGACCGACAGCTTTGGAGGCACTACAACATTCGTACCTGCAATTTCTTCCGTGAAGGAAAGTTTGAAAGCCGTCCTCTTATTGATGCCGGAAAATGGACGAATGTATGCTCAATCATACCGACCTTGGTACACATACTACATTGTCACTGCTCGGAAGGTTCATGAAGGTTTACAAGTAACACAGTTGTATTACACAACTTCAACAACTCTCACAATCACCATCAATAGCAATAGCTCTTACTCACCAAAAACTCAAACCCATTCTCCATGGCGGAGGATCCGGAACTTTCGGTGGAAGATAGACAACTTCTCCGCAAGATCATGAAGCTTGATCCAAGCGACAGACCAACAGCAAGATAATGCCAATGAGGGGTGTAAAAATGGGCGCGAACACAGGCCCTGCACCGTAAAACTGCGGAGTTTTCAGCAGCCTTAAGTTTGCTTTACTAAAAGAAAAGTGCAGAAGAAGAAACAGACGTAGGTACAGCAGTAGGTCTTCTCTGGTGGTCACTCACCCAACTACTACTGATCTAAGGCTGATATCCCTAAATGTTTCACGGTGCAATAGCTCCGGTGTAGCCCAAATTGGGGTACATTATTTGATCTGCTGTCTGAGGGTCAAGAACAATTTTCGGATAGCAGGGATCCTAGAGAGATTGTAAGTTTCTGGTGTTATGATTTCTGGACCAACATCGATATGAGATACAAACGAGCCGGGGTATGTTACTCACATCGTCGAAGAAGGGTATTTTGGAAGCATCCTCCTGGAACCACGTATCTCGATGCTTATGTTTTCTCATGCACCATGCGCAACGAATGTTGCCGTCCTTCGGAGCCCTTTCCCCACAGGGACACCAAAACTACATATTTAAATCAGCACAAAACCGAGGAAAACTCTAACATCTTACTTACAGCTCTCTCATCCTGATTGTCGTCAAGCCACATGCCTTCATTTGGATCGCCATCCCACTCGTAACTCCCCTTTGTTCTCGTTCTAAAGTATTCTTGGTTTGGGAGCTCTTCTTTGAGTTTACAGGGCAAACAAATCCACCGAGTATACTGATCACAGTCACAGGTGTCTGAAAGATACGGCGGAAGGTTACGTTCAACCTTCTCATCACAAACGGTACAGTAACAAATTATGGTATGGCTTTGAAGTGCTGGATCAAGATGTGGCCTCCGACGAGAACGCCAGGGTGGAGTGTCTCGAACCCGAGGCACATATCGGCATTCCTATTTTGATAGTCAATTGGTATTTTCTTTGAATTTTTGAAGATTGTTAGGGACTGCAAACCTCGCAAACGTTCACACGACACCTGAGGCAGGGCAGTGCGTTCACAGCATCGCATTTGAGGTTCCAAACTCTAACCTCGAGCTCTTCATCATAAACGGCTCTGCCCCATTTTCCCCGAGCAAAATCAAGTCCCTCGCACAAGCCGTAGAGTGATCGAAATTCTTGACGCGCTTTGAGGCCGTTGCCGTCACACAAGGCTAGGCATTTCAGGTGCTCAAATATCGATTCGTTTTGACGGATATTGGTATAGAGCTCTGAGCATGTTGAGGCCAAATGAAAGAGATCTAAGGTACTGAGGTACTGAGCTATCTTCTCCAGGATTTCGTACTGTGATACAAGAAAAAGGAGATTGGCCATGTTGTTTTGAGGAGCAGAAGAGTTGGATGAGATTTGTTTTGTTGGCTTCGCGTCTCTGTGCATGCAGAGTCAGGGCGAGGGGTCTGGCGGGTAAAAGCGGTTGCATACGTTCTCCCAGTCACCAGTAGGAGGGCAAGAAGACTATTTACAGTAACCATCTGTTTCGGCGCTCTCCATATACAATTTGTTTCAAGACAAATCGATATACAGCAAAAGGAGGAGAAAATTGACATGACTCTCATATCATTTATTTGACTTCGCCGGTTTCCATATCTGATAGAGCATCTTGATAGAATCCAGACTGGCATTAACAAAGCTTTGTATCAAGGATACTTATGACTGAGATCGCGAAAGCTGACAGAACCATAACAGGAGTTGCACACTCACAAATCAGATCAAGTGGTCTGCGTAAACCCAACAGATAGCCAGCTATTATTTATTTTCTCATACGCCGTCCCAGCCAGTGGCTATGCGGAACTTCTGCTATTTCTAATATATCCTCAGGAAAAACCCGCGGCCGTGTAAAAAGACCTGAGTTCTACATGTCTCGACAGCCAGCTATTACAGCACTGAAAGCGTACCTCCTATCTTCATACCTTGGTCTGTACATTTTTCTCGAGATTGGCTTTAGAAAAGAAATCTCTGGCCTTATCTCCCTCACATTATTCCATAGCAAGGATCGTCGCATCACGTGATCTATACAACCTGGCAGCTCCGTTCAGGGGAACCTGGAAGGTTTGAACAAGTTTCAGCCATCCTCTTTGAGATCCGCCCCTCGTAATCCAACTTCTTCATCAAATCCACTGTGAAAATTGCATCTCATCGGCATCATACCACAAAGAATAACCGAAGTCAAAATGGTTTGTCACCTAGTGGCTTGGTTACAAGTGTAGGTAATTCTGAGCCCTGACTTTGTGTGTTTAGGCTAGGACATTATCGGCAGAAGAGATCCAGATCCTGAGGGAGGAGTTCAATCAGTATGTAAGTGCGAAAATCACATATCTTCCTCTCAGAGCTGGAACTTTCTGACTGAGGATAGGACATCGATAAAGCGGGTGAGCAAAAGTGGGGGTGTAAGGGGAGTTATGTACCAACTGACTGGGCTAGGAAGTATCACAGTTGAGGAGTTTGGGAAAGTGATGAAAGCATCTGGTCATAATGCCACAGATGCCGAAATCGCCCAAATAATTAAGGACGTTGATCTAAATGGTGACGGCACGATAAATTTCAACGGTGTGATAAGCAGCTCGATAACCTCAATCTGGAAAGTCACTCATATTCTTTACAGAGTTCATCGCTATGATGACTGGCAGAATCAAACCTGCCGCAGCCGTTGACACGGAGGCTGATTATAGAGCTGCGTGGAAAGAATTCGATCCATCATTCAATGGCTCGATTACAGCTTCCCAACTCCGGCAGATCATGGCCGGTTTGGGAGAGGTGGCTACGGATGTGGAGGTCGATGGGTTGATGAACTCTGTGGATGGGGATCAGAAGATCAGCTGTAAGTTGTTTTCTCTATGTGGAAGAGTTCCAAGAGAAGAACAGTAACTGATTGTGATGGCCATGAAGATAGGGAGTTTGTTGAGTTTGCGAAGAGAAAATCGGGGGATGTATAGTGTATAGGTAGTGTCAACACCTCGTCAAACCAACTTTAAGGTGAATAGTAGGTAATGCGAAGGTTGAGCACATGGAGTATAATCAAATAGTGGTACTTTCAATAGGGGAAGGACGCCTCATGTAGAGCGTCTCAAAGTTTAGGACTTCTGAAAAATGCTAAGCAATTACAGCATTCTATGTGCATATTGAAATAGAGTAGAAAGAACTGCTTACTCGGCTGCCTGACTTTAGACTAAAGGAAGAAGTTTATGGCATGCGCACCTCGATTGCTCGTGGATCCTCAGAAGCCTTAGACGCAGAGCTACCTTCTTCCCCAACAGTTGAATACAAGATAAATCTGCGGCCGGGAAAGCACAACGGCAATAAAATCGACCGAGGTGAGCTGCCACTATCGGGCCTCAAGCCTACGGTAAGGATAGAAAAGGTGTATAGGTAGATTAGACCGGTGCAGGCAGACTACTGCTCTGTTGGCATATTTTGTCTTCTGATATCATGACGTTCGTTCTAGCAGCTCTATCAAGGCTTTCCACAATGCTGCACTTGCAGCTCTTCTCATAGTCGTCCATTTATATGTCAAACTATATCAAACATCAAAGACAAGTTAAGTGACCCAGGTTGATCCAAGATCAATGCAATTAAAAAGTGAGCGTCTCCTCGATGCATTATCCCTCTAGAATACACTTCTGCTCGACCTCATAGTCACTCATTCTATCCCCAAACTACAAGTACAAGCCCTCTGGTTCACCCTCACTCTTTGTCTTGAGAACTCTCTCCCTCGCAGCCCTGAAGTCCGCCATTTGGACTCTCATTCTTCGCTCTCTGAGGGCCATCAGACCAGCCTCCGAGCAAATAGCCTTAATATCCGCACCAGATAAATCATCCTTCTGACTAATAAACTCCTCCAAATCAACGTCCTCGTTCAACGACATCTTAGATGTATGTAATGTGAAGATCTTGCGCTTGGTGACCTGATCGGGATTCTCGAAAAGGATCTTCCGGTCAATACGTCCCGGTCTGATGAGAGCAGGGTCAAGGGTATCGATCTTGTTGGTAGCCATGATGACTTTAACATCTCCTCGATCATCGAAACCATCAAGTTGGTTGAGGAGTTCTAACATGGTTCGTTGGATTTCTCGTTCACCCCCTGATGTAGACTCATATCGCTTGGTACCGATGGCATCAATTTCGTCGATGAAGACAATCGATGGTGCATTTTCTGCTGCGACCTGTAGATTGTTAGATGGTCTTATTTCCTATCACAGAGGAGAAACATACCTGGAAAAGTTGCCTGACAAGCCGTGGTCCATCACCCAAGTACTTCTGGATGAGCTCACTTCCCACGATACGTAAGAACGTTGCACTCGTCTGATTTGCCACGGCCTTTGCAAGTAGCGTCTTTCCAGTACCCGGCGCACCATAGAGAATGACACCCTTCGGAGGCTTGATACCCATCTCTTCATACAACTCCGGATGTAACAGTGGTAGCTCCACCGATTCTCGTACCTCCTGAATTTGCGACTCCAGACCACCAATATCAGCGTATGATTCCGTTGGCGCCTTGTCAAGCTTCATGACCGAAACCAGCGGATCGGCATCATCAGTTAAAACACCGACAATAGAAACAGACTTGTGATGAAGTAAGACGCTCGCGCCAGGTTCTAACAGATCCTTGTCAACAAACGACATGATGGAAACGTAGTATTCGGGACCAGTAGTGCTGGAAACGATGGCATGATCATCGTCAATCATCTCCTCCAAAGTACCAACACCCATCGGGCTACCACGCATATCGTCAACTCTTCCTCGCTCATCGGCATTCCTGTCGAGGGCTTCAGAGTCGCCACCAGCTGCAGCGGGAGGCCCTTCCTTTGCTGCCTTGGCCTTTCGCAGACGTTCTTGGTTCTCGACGTACTCTTCTTCAAGGAGTAGGTGGTCGTGGATTCGTTGCATTCGTAGGTATCTCAACTTGCATCTGGAGGTAGGATAGACGGTAGGAAGTTTCGCTGCTGCATTTGGGCCAGCCGCCTTGCGCTTCTTTCGGCCTATGCGTGTTGTTGGCCGTGGAGGTGGTTCGTACTTGGGCTTATCCTTCTGTCGGTGGCGATGATTAGAATAAAGAAATCAATCCGATCTAGAGCTCCCATACCTTCTTGTCCTTCTCATCTTTATTATCCCCACCTGGGCCGGCTCCTCCCAGGCCAGATTGTTGCTGTCCCTGTGGAAGTGGTTAGCCTTGCCTCTCGATCCATGATCCAAGAAGAGCTTACCATCTTGGCTGCAGTGCTGTCAAAACAGTTCTGCTAGCAAGCTACGGGGAGATATTAGATCAATGACAGACGATGTGTCTGATCGATGATGGTGAGGTTGTTGATGGAGCTGGGTGATGTTTGTAATGACAGTCCAGCTCCTCTGCTCCTACGCAGGCGACAGGAACGCGCATGGGTGCTCTAGCGTAATATCCACGTGACCTCAAGCCTCAGCCTTCAAGGTGCCTGGATGCCGAGGCATCCCTTCCAAACATCGAGATTCTAGATCGTGCCTTGAGTCCGACGTAATAATCATTTCATTGGAACCACGTTGAGTTCCCTGGACAACATTACGTCGGAAAAGTCTCTCAAACCCAACTCGTGCAGGTGGTAAGTCTACGAAAGATAACAGACCCGTTTCGTCATTGTTCGCCCAACCAGAAGATACAAAGGAACATCACGAGCAAGTACCACCGCCCCGGACCACCACCCCGCCAAGGAGAGAATCCAGCTTGCTACAGGGGCAAGACATTCTCGTGAGTTCCTTGACATCTCTTCATCTCGATCTATAGTATTTCTGATTGCTATATCCCGCGACAAGAGCGCGATCTAACATACCTATGCTAATCATCACAATAGCCCGAGCGATAAAAAGGCACCCCGCATTCGGACACTCTTCGTCACTCATTTGCGCGAAACGAGCCCCCTGTCGAACTACAAGACTCTTCGTTGCTGTCGTAACCTCTGAAGCTATCTAGACAGCATCAGTGACTAGACCTCTGCCCAAAATGACTTCCAACCGCCTTCGAAGAATCGCCAAAGAGCTTGCAGACATCCAGGGGGATACACAATCCAAGATCTTCTGCGAACCAGCAGATGGCTCAGAGCTATCACACCTACGGGCCTCATTCCCCGGACCGCCAGATACGCCGTACGAAGGAGGTACATACATAGTAGATATCAAGATCCCGAATGAATATCCCTTCCGACCGCCCGTGATGTACTTCACAACCAAGCTCTGGCACCCAAATGTCAGCAGCCAAACTGTGTGTCCATCTATCCCGGCAGAACTTGAGTGTGAAGCTAACATATTCAGGGAGCCATCTGTCTCGATACTCTAGGTTCAGCCTGGTCACCGGTTCTTACTATCAAATCCGCCCTTCTCTCCCTACAATCCCTCCTCAGCACACCTGAACCCAAGGATCCCCAAGATGCGGAAGTAGCGACTATGCTTATGAACCATCCCGAGGAATTCCATAGAATGGCAAGAGACTGGGCAGTTAAATATGCGAACGCACCCAAAAACACGAATTGGCAGAGTTCTGCAGCTCAAATCCCCACACAATCTCGACCGAAAACCCAGAGGTCAAAGGAGGAAGAATTGAGACGGTATGGTCTTTTCTGTATGTTGTGGTGTGGGATCGGTGCTAATGGCAATACAGATACCAAGGATATAATAAAGATCTCATTGATCGATTTGTAAACATGGGTTTTGATATTGACCGTGTAGTCGATGCCTTTCTATATGTCAATATCGATCGGAACAACGGACAAGATTACGAGCTCGAGGAAGCATACATGGGGGACATCACAGCGAGATTGTTGGGCGAGCCATGAAGTCATTCAGGGGGATCGGTTTTTACGACAGGGAAGCGAAAGGTTGCATGCATGGTCCTGGAGTCATGAGCATAACTGCTTTATATTGCTGCTTTGTATCGAATGGTGGACATAGCGAGTCCTGGCGTCTGGAAAGGTTGCTCGTAGTCGATATATGATCCAGTCACTTCAAGTTCTCTCCTTGATCCTTACATTGCGAAGTTATAGTTCTTCAGCGATGGGTCGTCCCCCGTACGCATGTCTCCTACCGAAATCGACTCCTGGAAGTCGCAGGAGGCGGGGGTATCGTTACGGCAACTATAGTGACCGAGTTTCACAACTTTCATCGTTCATAGAATAGGCCTATTTCTCCGTTTCCTTCTATATATTTGGAGCTTTTGCCAAGAGAAGTAGTCAAACTCTCTTCGGAAAGCTAAAAAGCAACGTCTTCTCATCTCTCTAAGTTCAAGTCCCCTATCTTTTCTTCGCCGCCTCTTTGCGCACCCCCCTTATCTATGTCTTCCCAGTGGCTCTCCTACGCCTTCGCTCCTCTCCTTGCAGAAGCTAGATTTCAACTTTTGAGATGGGAATCCGAGCCGTGAATAAGGAAGTGTTGGCATTATTGGCTCGTGGGAGTGATCAGGAAGCGACGAAATGAGCTCTTATGTTTCTTAGAATTGAGCTGCTGGGGGGGGGGAAGGGGGGGGCGTGTTGGCGTCGTTCTTTGAAGGTAGGTTTTGCAATATATAGTTCAGTGATATGGGCTAAGTCATGAATGATGGGGAAGTGGTAGGGAGAAACTTTCATTGAGTGCTTATGTCTCGCTTCAAGTGTGGACTTCCTTCTGTGTGCTATGATCCTCGAGTGAGGGGGTATGTGGTGTATTCTAGAGATAACAAGCCCACAAACCAAGTCCTTATGCTCCCTCTCAAACCGTCACCATCTCCCGAATGAGCTTTCTTTGCGTCGCCCCCCTCTCACTCCATCCAGCTCTCATCCATTCAACCTTCGAATCGCCCTCCTAGCGTCCATCCCCCACAGCTCTCTCTCCCTCTCCATCATTGCTCACATCCATATCTTCAGGCTCGTCCGGATAAAGCTTGTTCAAGATATCCGTCAACATCTTCGTCATCAACACAGCCTTGGCTAGGAACTCTTTCTGCGTCCACTCCTTCTCGATCTCGAGTCGATCCAGGAACTCGCCCAGCATCCGCTGCTTCTCGAGCTCGGCGCCGGTCAGATCGAAGCCTAGGGCGCGTGCCTGCTGATTTTGTTCGGTGCTCAGGGTGACGAGGAAGGAGTCGAGTTGGTGTTTTTGTTCTTCGGATAGGGTCTTGAGGAAACTGGTGAGGGTTGGTGGTGGTGCCATGCTTGGTTGGTTGTGGTGATCGTTTTTGAGATTTTGAAGGTGTGGGGGGAGATGGAGGTTGGAGAGATGTTTACATTTTTTCCCTTTGGATAGAGGTTCACGTTGGGGTCTCGGCGATGCTTAGAGGTACGAAATACTTGACGAAGGGAAGAATGTTCGATGGGTGGGTAATAGGTTTCTGTTTATATTCAAATGTTTTCTTTAACCAGGACCATTAGGGATACAAGTTGGTTTGAAGTACAACATAGAGACACTATACATTCTCTAATTCAGCTTTTCAGATGCTCAAACAAAGATGGTCCTAAGAGGAATGATGCCATGTTTGTGTTAACTGGCCCTCTCCTGATCCAACCTTTTATATTGACTAAGTACCGGATAATGTCTAGTTCCTGTTTAGCAGTTGTCGAATTTGTGACTCCCAGATATGTTTACAAGACATGGTAGAGTTGAAAACCAGAAAGGGTGTTCAGGAACTCCCGGTAGTAAGCTAAACAACTTCAAGAGTCTACTGTATACAAAGCAGACAGCATGTTAGTCCGCTTAAAAGATATTTAGTCACGCAAAGTTTTGTATAAGACGGCAGAATAATCAACTATCCTTCTAATTCATAGTGTATGCATGCTGCATAGCCAATCCATTGTGAACTACGAGGGGTCAATTAACAAGAGGTTCTACTTTGATTTTCCGCTTTGATCTTCTGTTAAGTTGACTTTTGAGACCTACTAGCACAGCATCTTAAGTAGCTTCTTAACTCAGCTATTCTGTCATTATTTCCTATACTGTTGTCATTTGTTATATAGATGACAAAAGATTGAATCATAGTAAGGAAGACAGGCTCACAACGGCAAGAATCCTCTCTCGCGAAGGAAGCGGAGTTCCGAACTATCTGAACAATTTCCATAGACCGTAGAATTCTTTTCACTTTACAACTATCGTAGGATTTTACAGATAGAGATAGCTTGGTTCTCGGTTATGGTCTGTGATCTCGGTTCGGGGTTTTAGAAGAATGAAAGACAGTTCTTGGGTCGGAATTCAGCAATGAGCTTTTGGGCCAGAAGGATAGTGTATTAGTGTCATGACAGAAGTCTGTACAACCACAGAGATAGGACTCGAGATAAGCGGTGATTAGATTATGAGTAACATCACCTGATATTTTGGGAAACAGTAGAAGAGATGTGTGCACAAAGAACAACGCCTCGCTTCTGAGGGAATGGATGGCTTCTTACCTTTATAACTTCCTCCTACAATGCGCTCTGAGTTTTCTTTGGGGAATTAGGAACTACTACCACCTTGTGCTTTTTTATGGCTAACGTTTTGTTCGTCTGTTGAACTTCAGATATCGGTGTTCCTATCCTCGCTTAATTTAAAAAGGGGGGTTGATCATTTGTTCATTTGATATTCGCCCCTGCCCGTGTTGCATTTACAGAGATATAGCATTGTTCTAGAAATAAATAATATTATGACACCATTTTCTGTTATTCGAGCCATCCGATAAAGAGGTTGCCATAAAGATTTGGAGGTTTATTGAGTTTGGGTCCTAGAGATTCCAGTTGTGAAGTTTTGGTTGTGAATTACACTGAAAAGAAAAAAGACACAAGAGATTTTTGAATATGTGCAATTGTTCCTTTTTGCTTTACTTGGGCCTTGAAGGCGTTAAGGAGATTTCTTGGCCCCATTTCACTATTTGGCATGAACTCAGCAGTGGTACGGAACACTCTTGCGCTCATCTTACACATCAGTAACAGCTATCATTACCCCTTTTTGATGCACAACATTCTTCTACCCCACAAATAAAAAGGAGAGGGACAGACCAGAATAGAATGATACCAGGCCAGGACCGTACGAAGTATGTGCACACTGCTTATGAGAAACAATCCGCAACGTCAAGGCCCTCCTCGATGAGTCGTGTCCTGGTATCTGGACCCGAAAAAATGCCAGCGGCAAGTGGGGATAGCCTCGATATCGAACGGCGCCATCAACGGCGGCTCACGGAAAACGTGATTTTTGGATTTCCAATCGAGCAGTCTAAAACCAGCTAGATGAAACTTGCACAGAGTCTTCTATAAATAAAGCGTAGTGTCCGTACATCTGCTCCGACGTTTCAATGGAGACACATGCCGGGCGGTCAAGGGGTCCACGAATACTCCGCAAAAGCCGCTCGAGCACTGGTCGCACGGTCTGTAAGAGCCAGCTTGAGGCCTTGAAGTTTGAGAGTTGCCACGACTGATCTGCAGTGTGTCAGTGCCGTGCTCAACAAGCTCTGATGAGGGGAGACTTGCGTCGGCGATCGCGAGACGCTGGCTTGAAGATTCTGGCATGGGTTACGAATCTCTGCGGGTCTGAAGGTCAACCGAGAAGCTCTGGACGACTGGTCTCCAGACTCCCGCAAATCGTAATCATCCATCACCCCCCTCCGCTTCTCCCTGGAAACTGCGTAGTACTGGATAGTGCTGGGTAAGGATGTTTGGTTCCTGGATGTGGTGGCGGTGCTGGCCAAGAGGATGCTGATTGGATTGAGGATCGATGTATGGCTTTGTGGTTGGCTGTTTGATTGTCCAGAGATACCGATCATACCGGCGTCGTATGCACTCTTGCCCAACCGATAATCATGCTTGTGCCATCAAAAAAGAAAAGAAGAATATAATAGCGAGGGGCGGGTTTGGGCTCCCTCGATCTTGATTGTGAGCTTTGTTTTGATATTGTACTGCCATTATACCCGGCGTACGTATAGCATCTGGTGATATACTTTTGTCGATATACGTCTGTCCAGTGCTCGTCCCTTCCAAGGTTCTTTTGTCTCGGTCTCGAACACTGTCTCGAGAAAGCCTAAATACGTAAATGAAATAACCCCCCTTTCTCTCCTCACCAAGACCGCAACCTCTACTCAACTCAACTCGACTCTAACCACAACAACCTCTGTCTCACCCACATCAAGCCATCGTCTCCTCCTTTCGTTATTTCGAGACGTATTGCACTTGAGGTCCCTCTTCCTCTGCTTTGCGACAGAATCCATACCATCCGTCCATCCATCCATTCGTTCCTCCAACGACTGTCTATCTACATCCAGGCTTCCTTCCAGTGCAACCATCCATTCGCTCCTCTGGCGCTTACTCCATTCCTTTCTGTTGTTCTACGGAGTATTTAGCCATCGAGTCTGTCTCAGTTCCACACTACTACGGTCATTTCTGCCAGTCTATTGGTGTCACTATCCAACCACGGTTAATCGGGTTCTGGGCCCCTTCACGAATCGCTGGTTTTTTATATTGCTCTTCCAACCCCGGGGGCAATAACAATCAACACCACCACGGAGAAGTCATCGCAGGAGCTATAACAATACACGGAACCTTTTCAGGCCCAACTGCGCATATCGATATCTCGTACTGATCGCTACTCCACCTCTGACTACCATCAATCGCAAACATGAATATCAATAGGAAACTCGACCGGGTTAAGCAATGGGCGGGGGAGAAGATGGGCGCGGAGGCCAAGACCAATGTATCCGAGGAATTCAAGGCTCTGGAGTTGGAGATGGCTCTCAGGCATGATGGTATTGACCTCCGGGGATGCCTTTCCGAGCATAACTAACATCTGCCAGGGATGGAGAAGCTGCAGAAGTCCATGACCGTCTACGTCAAATCCCTCTCAAGACGAAATGATACGGAAGATAAGGAGAAGACACTGCCGGTGGCATACTTGGGGCAGACGATGATGCATCACGGCGAAGACTTTGAACCCGACTCAGATTTTGGAAACTGCCTGATCGGTGCGTCTACTAGATTGGACAACAGAGAAATTTACTGACAAGCATATCACAGGCATGGGTAGAGCGAACGACAGAATCGCAAGATTCCAGGAGGCGTACGTTGCAAATGCTACATCGGGATGGCTTGAATCAGTGGAGCGATCCTTGGTAATGATGAAGGAATATCAGGTACAGATTCTCGAACTTTAGTGAAGACATCTACGGCTACTAACTTCTCCAGGCTGCACGAAAGAAGCTTGAAAACCGGCGGCTTGCCTACGATGCCTCCCTGACCAAGATGCAAAAGAATAAGAAGGAAGACTTCAGAACCGAAGAGGAACTGCGGTCCCAGAAAGCCAAATACGAAGAATCCAACGAGGATGTACTAAGACGAATGGAAGACATCAAGGAAGCGGAAGCGGATAGTGTGGCTGACCTTCACGCATTCTTGGAGGCCGAGCTGGAATACTATGATAGATGCCGTGAAGAGCTCCTACGGTTGAAGAGAGATTGGCCAGCTCGGTAAGTTGATGTGCGAATGCCCAGGAATCCAGCTAATGCATCTAGAAATGTCCCTGTCCAACGTGAAAGACGACCGACCGGTCGATCTCGCTCAAACACGGCTCGCTCATTCGGTGGTGAGAGGTACAACATCTACGAGGAACCTCCAATGCCAGTACCAGATCCAGAGCCGGTCAGACAATATATCCGCTCTCAAACCCGAGTCCCAGCCCCATCCCGCTTGGAAACTCCTATTGACACTCGCACCCGTGATGAATATTCCTCATCTCCATCAAGACCCAATATCGGTCGCGCCACCACCTTCCAAGGTCCCACCACGATCTATCGTGAGTCGCCTACCTCAAACCGTCAAAACTCTATCCCGAATGAACTGGCTCTTCGAGGTCAGCTCCGGCAAACCAACCGAATCAACACTGGGACAGATTTGTTCGGCGATCCATCCGATGAGTCTACTATCAACAGCGCCAGCCCAGACCGTTCTTATGGAGCTAGGAGTGTGAGCCCTGCTACTAGCCATGAAAGTTCTGAAAACCGAACGGCGACTGGCAAGAAGGCCCCACCACCTCCACCGCCGAGCCGAGCAAAGAAGCCCCCGCCACCACCCCCGATGAAACGTGCGGACATCAGCTCGAGCGGTATAAATCGGTCCTAACATGCTAACTCAAGGATCTGATCCCAATCACATATTTGCTCCCGCGACGTTACATTGCTCGAGATTTCCCTTTGTTGATTGTCTTAGTATTCCAGATTGGCCTGGGTAATGGTTTTGAGACCGTTCCCTCAAAAGTACAAAAAAGGCGTTTTTGCACATAACCTTTTCGACTATCAGTCATCACCACTCCTTAATACTCTTAATTGTATACACTCGTTGGGGGATCATGGCCATAAATAAATCAACATTGGCAGGGCAGGGCTTGGCTTGGCATGGATGATATGGATAACAGCATGTTTTTGTTGCGGTTTCTTTTCTTTTTTCCCCTTTGTCCATTCTTATTCTCCTCAACTGGATTGGTTCTCTTCTCTTCTCACTGAGAGAGTGGTGGGAGAGAGAAAGATTAGAGAACTTTGGATTATCATCATCAGGTTGATACCGTCGTGCTATGCACTAACACTACTCTTTTGATTGGCGGCGTTTTGGAGGTCAAGGGGAAGGAAGGAAGGAAGGAAGGAGGGGTGGGGAGGAGGTCTTCTTGATTGTGAGGTCACTTACTTGGGATTGATTAGGTAGCGATAGGGATTGTATTGATTGTATTGATTGATTGATAGATGCTGGCACATCCAACACAACTAAAATTATCTGCCAGCATGGATGGGATGGATGGACTCTTATCTAGAGTAGAGCAAAGCAGCTAGCAATTTGAATAGGTTGTGGAAGGAAGGCGGGAATATATATATATGTATGATTGGAGGATTGGTTTTTTTACATTCTGTGAATTGTCATGTCTTGTCTTGCCTGATGATATGTGAGTTGAGTGAGTATGTCTACTGGATCTGGGGGTGGGGGTAAAATCACCACCCGTTCAAATCAGAATTATATGTAGGTATATTAAGAGTCTGTCGGTATATAATACAATACAAGCCCAGATTGAGTGGGTAGGTAGGTTGTAAGTAATCCTCCATGGTATAATAGAGAGAAAGAGAGGAGTCAGCTAGCTCCTTCTATAACTCATCTCTCAAAAATGATCCTCTCCTGAAAAAACGCCATCGCCATGCCTGTTAGTCAGTATACAACAACACATGCACTCCGCCTGCTTTTATTATATCCTGAGTTGTTTCGCTTCCGCTCCGCTCACCGTCTCCCACCCAAAGACTGCAGACTGACCAACTCATTATACCTCCCCCCCTTCTTCATCAACTCATTATGATCGCCACTCTCCACAATAACGCCCTGATCAAAGACATAGATAATATCCGCTTTCTGGATCGTGCTCAGCCGATGCGCGACCGCGATCGTGGTACGTCCCTTGGCAGCTTTGTCGAGGGCGGCTTGCACTACGTGCTCGCTCTCGCTGTCGAGGGCACTGGTGGCTTCGTCTAGAAGGAGGATTTTGGGATCGCGGAGAAGGGCGCGGGCGATGGCGATGCGTTGCTTTTGGCCGCCGGATAACATGGAGCCTTTACTGCCGACGACGGTGCTGAAGCCGTCGGGTAAGGACATGATGAAGTCGTAGATGTTGGCTTCTCGGCAGGCGAATTCGATTTCGGAATCCGAGACGTCAGAGCGATCGGCTCCTAGCAAGACGTTTTCGCGGATCGTGCCTTGGTATAGAGTAGGCTCTTGGGAGACGAGCGCGATAAAGGAGCGATAATCATTGATGTTCAGGCTGGAGATTTCCTTGCCATCGACGTAGATCCCGCCTGACAAGGGGTCGTAGAAACGTTCCATGAGGGCGATGGTGGTTGACTTTCCGCAGCCAGAGGCGCCAACAAGAGCGATGTATTGGCCGGGCTTGACCGTCAGATTGAGACCACGGAGGACGGGCTGCTCTGGACGAGTCGGGTAGCGGAAATGCACATCGCGGAACTCGATTGTACCTTCTACCGATTCAAGGCGTGCGCCTTCCGAGGACCAGGAATCGATGGCAGGTTGGCGGTCGAACAGGTTTTTGAGCTCTTGTGCGGCATGCTTGGCTTTGCCCATGTCGGCTGCAGGTTGTTAGTTTTGCCAAGGCGTGGGGGAGGGAGAAACGTACGGGCGAAAGAAAATATGGTGCCGGCAGATTGGGCACCGAAGATGACAGCAGAGAAACAGACGAAGAATTGGAAGATCGTGTACTCGCGATCGGCGATTCGATTGCCTCCGTACCTTTCAGTAGTTAGCACCATCCTCCAGGCTCTCTAAGATTTACTTACCAGAAGCCAAGAGCGACGCAGAGGAACATCAGGGATTGTGAAGCGGCATATAAGAGAGATGTTTTGAGCACTGATTCCAGACTCGTCTTAGCTTGTGAATTGAGAGCATCCTTATAGTGCTGAAGAACGTCGTCTTCTCTGGTCAAGGAAGCAACAGTTCGAATGGCGCTCGTCGCTTCACAGGCATAACTGGCACTCTTTTCGTATGCCTTCTTTGCTCTTCGTTGGAATTGAGCCAATAGAAAGAAACGGAAGAATCCACAACCCAATAATATAGGGATAGTAGCAATGCAAACCAGAGCCAATTTCCATGCGATTGCAATAGAAAGTGCGCATGCGGCAACGAGTGTAGTGATAACTGTAAGAATCGTGCCAAGAGTGACACCAGAGAGACCCGCGACATGGGTGGTTTCAGTACTGAGGAAAGACGTCAAGACACCCGCAGTGTTTTCTTCCTTGTCGAAATACTCGATGTCCTGTCGCAACATGGTTCTAAAGGCACGATTCCGAACCCGGTGGACGAGTCTCTCAGAACAGAAGGCAAATGCTACCCCCTGAGCGCAAAATGCAATCAACTGCACAAATGCAAGCATGAGATACATGAGCGCCCAGAAATTCGCATTGTGACGTAAAGTATGAACGGCTGACGGGATCTGCTGCTGCGTGGCCGGGTTGATAATAACGAGGGATAGGGAGATGATTTCTTTGGCGAAGAATACGGCCTGGGTCGGATTTCCACCACCACAGATGACTGAGAAAATGAGACCAATGATCATGAGGTGCCATTCGGTTGAGTTGAAAGAGGCAATCAATTTCATCAAACTCCAGAGTGAGTCCTCTTTTTCTTCAATTGGGCGTCTTTTCTGTAAAGCTAGCGAGGATTGAGACTTCTCGCTCGTAGTGCGGTCCAATTTGTTCGCGATGTTCTTGTCGTCAGGATCTTCCACGTATCCTTCATCACTCTTGCGAGTCATTCGGCGGACGAGTTCCTCATCTTCGTTAGCCACGCGCTCTTCTTCCTCGGCAGTCAACTCTTTCGTGCCGGCGATTTTCTGCGCCTCCACCAAGGAGTGGTAGGCCCCCTGCTTCAAGAGAAGCTCATCATGGGTCCCTTGTTCGATAATCCGACCTTCACTCATGACAACGATATTATCGGCATCCTTGATAGTCGAGAGACGATGAGCGATGGAGATGGTTGTTCGTCCTGCGGCGGCGACCTCAAGAGCAGCCTGGACGACCCCCTCAGATTTCGTATCAAGGGCAGACGTGGCCTCGTCCAGGAGCAGAATCTTCGGATCACTGACCATTGCTCTGGCAATGGCAATACGTTGCTTCTGGCCTCCGGAGAGAAGGAACCCCCGCTCTCCAACATTGGTCTCGTAGCCTTCAGGAAGTGCTGTAATGAAATCGTGTGCATTGGCCATCTTGGCAGCTTCAATAGCACGCTCCCGTCGTCTCTCCTCATTTTCGCCCTCCCACTGCGTACCAATGAGTCCATGGGCAATATTTTCGAATATGGTAGTTCCAAAAAGAGTCGGCTCCTGGCTGACCAGGGAGATTTGTTGTCTCAACCACCGCAGATTCAAAGTGCTGACATCGTGTCCGTCCAAGAAAACTTGGCCGCCAACTGGGTCATAGAATCTCTCAACCAGACCGACGATAGTGCTCTTTCCCGAACCAGACGCGCCAACCAGAGCCGTCATCTTGCCGGCGGGGATGACCAAGTTCACGCCATCCATGACTGTGACTTCTGGTCTCGAGGGGTAGATGTGCTTGACATTTCTCAATTCCAAGGTTCCCTCAACATGGTCGAGCTTCAACCCTTCATCAGAACTGGGATCTAGCGGTGAAACGCGGTCAATGGTGTTGAAAATCTTTACACCAGCTGAAATGGCAGTTGTGAAAGCCTGGATATTAGGCGCAACGTTTCCGAGGGAGAAGGCGCCAATCATGATGGACATCAGGATCGTAAGAATGGGGCCCAATGCAATATCACCGTCTACCAAAAACCTGCTTCCCATCCAGAAAGCGAGTCCGTAGTTGAGGTAGATGATCATGAACATGAAACCAACCATGATGGCCAGTCCGAACTTGACCTTGAAGCCATACTTCTCGGCCTCGGTCAGGTGCTTGTCATACTGGCGGGCCAGCTTATCTTGAGTACCAAAGGCCGTGGCGTTTCGGATAGAGGAAATGACCTCCTCTGCAACAGAGCCTCCAAGAGCATAGCTTTCCAGGGATTGTTTGTTGTTTCCGACAATGATCTTCGATCCTGCTCCCATGACTGCGGCCATGGCAAACACAGTGGAGCTGAGAATGAGAGTCAATTTCCAGGACTTGATGAAGCCAATAACGAACGCCGTAACGAACGTTGCCACCGCATTCAATGTCAGACCGACCTTCTCGGAAATCCCATCCTGTACCAGATTGGTATCCGCCGTGATCCTGGTTGTGATTTCGCCAGAGCCCAGCTTGTCAAAAAAGCCAATATTCTGCCTCATGCATGCCTCCAAATAACGCGCTCTGATCTTCCCACTTATGTGTTCGCCGGTATAGATAAACCCAACGGTCGAGATGTATACAGTCGTGAACTCGGCAATACCTATATACAGATAGTAAAGAACCATATGAGAAATCCTGTGCTCGAATTCGTGCCTGCTGATGGAGCCTTGGAAAAAGCCATTGAAGTCCCCGGCCAGATTACCAAAAATGACGGTCATGAGGGGAAGCGCAGCGCCCGCAGCAATTGCGCAGACTGCGCTGACCGCCATGATGAGGAAATCATTCACCGTCGCATAGCGGTATAAGGTCTTCCATCCACTGCCGGCATCGGGCGTATCGACCTGTCTCCTCAAGATCGCTTGTTCGTCTGCGGGGAGATGTGCGTATGGATCGTCCACCCTGTCTTCCACCTTCACGATATTCGAGTCGAGCTTCTCGGCCTTTGGCGCGCTGTCGTGCGAGAGGACTCGGGTCGTCTGGCCTTCGGTCTGGTACTTGTTGGTCGAATCATGCCCATCGGTCGATTCGCCGTTGCTTGAGGATCGGCTGGCTGTGCCTGGGGCCATGGTCTTTTCTGAATCGCCAGCCATTGTTGGCGGCGCGAGGGCGGGGGAGCGTGAACCGCGGGGTAGATTCGAGATGCGGTGTCCACGTTGGTGGATCCTCTGTGAAAGATTATCTTGTGCAAGTATCATCCATCGACGGTCAGAGGAAGATGCGGCGGGTCGTGTACGTATTTACTTGGGGCGGCAGCGGGGCAGCTCTTTGTCAAACGCAGCTCGTATCGCAGGGATAGATAAGAAGGGAGCTGTGTTCGTCCAGGCTGGGTGATGCTTCCAACAGCGGGAAAGGAGTGAGAGAAAGAGAAAGAGAGAGGAATAGAAGAGGTGAAGAAAGACAGACGACGATGATGAGAGGGAGAGAAGAGAAGGGAAGGGAAGGGGGGACATGATGGTTCTTTTGACCTTTTTGACCATCAGCGCAGGGGTTTCTCTGGATTATTTCGCGCCGGGAAGTTGTTGTCCCGCAAGATGGCAGGGTCTTGAGATCCGTTCTAGAATCGATCCCGCCTCCGCATGGGCTCAGTGGGGTCTTTGCTGCGCCGTCCTTGATTGGCCGTTTCGTATTTGACTGATTACGCATTTGCTCCGTACGGAGTATATTTTCGACCATCTATCTCTGACGTTGACGACTTGAGAAGTTGGCAGGATTTGACCAAGGCAATTCAAGTGCGTGTTCTCAGACGCCTGCGTTGGATCTCCAGAGGGAGAGGGACCGAAAGAGAGAGAGACAAGGCGAGAAAGGGAGGCATTCTGACCAAGAGGAGAGCGTTTTCCAAATGTTCAGCCCCGTTATCTTCATCCCTTCCTTTGCAACTATGCCTGGCTATTCCCTCCCTACCGCTCTGTTGATCTTCAACAGCAAGGGCAGAGTCATTCGGCGTAAAGATAGCATCCAGCCGTGCCTTGATTCGGTTCTTTCTTACCTTGAGGTACCTACACACAGTATTATCGATGAGTCCTATCCCTCGTTGCCTCTTGTCAGATCCTGCTGTTTCCACTGGCGAAACTCACTTGGATCTTCCATCTTGTGCCTCCACTCAAGCTTACTGTAGTACTGTAGTTCTGTAGTAGTGCAGTCTACTTGACTTGGGTAAGGTACCGCAGGATCGTGATGTTGCAGCGCTCTGGAGAATAATTCCTCTTGTCGAATAATTACCTTTACGTTGTAAGACAGTAAGACCGTAAGACCGTTGGGTTTACCAGGCAGCAGCTTTCGGGGTTCTGACCGAAACGATCTCGCCGCGTACCGCCTCTCGTATAGCGGCGCATGCGATTGGACGCCGGAAACGAGCAGCAACAAGGCCTTGCATAACTCCCGGCGGCGATCTCTGCGCCAGATTCGGCGGGCCGTATAAGGTAACGGTGTACGCTCTCCTTCGGCAAGAGACTCATTATTCACTCTCTCTCGCAATGGCACTCTGTCTTACCACGGTACTGTATGACCTCGTCGGATTTCTTTTCATTTTATCATATTTGTGGGAGTAGGGCTCGATCACTGTCCACTAAGTTTTGTACAAATTGCTACAAGTGACAGAAGGCCAGGATATCTGCGGCGAAGAAAATAATTGCCCATGGGCGTGCTCCTGTGATCCATGGCGCGGTCCCCCAAACGAGGAAATTTGACCTCTTCAACCTTCATGATACAATGTTCGAAGAAACATCCAGTGAGTCGCGAGAATCTCGTCATGGGAAATTGATCCGTATGATGCTCCAGCAGATGGAGGGTGAAAACATCACCACAATGAACTCAGGTTGCTAGGCTGTTGAGCCACGCATCATTCTAAGATCTGCTATGGCTGATGGGATACCAGCTGGCGAAGTTGAGCCTGCTTTTTGTATCAGGTCTATCGCAGACACCGGCAGGTCCAGTTCTTCTTCGTAATGAAGAATGAGTGAATATTCTTCCTTTCACCTTGAACACTGCTATTGTTCGCTTTTTCTTCTTCCTTCCTTCCGTCTACCTGTCAAAGTAGCCAACTGCTCCTTCCAACGTACAACCACTCGATCTTCCAAGCACACAAAAATCAAAACATCAACCCAACCATGGCAAGCCGCAATACTGTTACGCGCTTTGATCTGAGACTGAATATCGATCTCCCAGCCCATGCTCCTGCAGGTTGTCCGCATCTGATCGATATCAATGCTATCACTGAACTTGAAATACCTGATGATCTGACCTTGGTTGACGCTATTGTCACGCTTCTCTTCAAGTGGGACGCAAGATGTCTGCAGGACTTGTTGGACTTGAGCAGAGAGGATTTCTACTGCAGTCATATCACCTCGCAGCACTCTGAGTATTACGTGAAGAGAGATGGTCGGCATGTCACAGTATGTACTACTACCCCAGGCATGGGAATTTTTGGACTAAGAGGAATCACAGATTGGAATGCAAGCACCGGACAACGTCTGGCCTGACCACGAATTGCAGTACTACATTCAAGATGACGGTTGTTGGCACATGATTGGGGGCCAGAGGCTAAAGCAACAGATCACAAAAGGCCGGATATCTACTCACCCTCACAGTGTGCTGCCAGGCGCCTACAGGGGTTATGACAATGCGTTTGCCGAGCATATCATCTTGCTAGGGCTATGGGAACGCAGCCTGGGCACTACGTTTCGCTGGGAAGTGGATGGGACAAATATGATGGTGGAAGCCGGCTTCTGTGCTGGAGGACAGAGAGATGGATTTGACGAGCCGAGTGAAGGCTCTCTCTCCTCATCACTTGTTGATCTGGAGACACTCCTATCCGACATTATTGGAAACGACGCCCCTACTGATGTGGAAGATGCAGACACAAGCGAAGGCACTTTTGATCTGCTCTCTCCCTCCCCTGAACCAGCAGAGCATATGACATCTTCTCAATCTCGCCCAGATAGATCCATCATGTCTCCAACTCCACCCACCAGCCCCCCAAATGCCAAGAAACGAGTCCTCGTGGACGATGACGATGACGACGATGACTGCCCGCTGGTCCCGAGTTCACATCTACAAAAAGTAAACCGCGCGAAGAAAATAAAGAAGACGGAGGACCAGAGGGCTCGACACCGCAGGCGAAAGAAGCCATACTGAAGTCCTCTGATATCGGGCCACGAAGCTGGATCCTCGAATTGAAGAGATGAAGGTTGAGAAAATGGATGAGAAGGTGGTGATGCTGCAAGCATAATTCGAGCAGATTTCGAACACCACGAAGCTCCGGGATTTATGGAACGAGGGGAAGGAAAGGACTGAACATGGATCCCAGATACATTTCGGCGTAGTTTTTAAAACGGTTCCCCTTCCGTCCCACAGTGTCTCTGCTGCAAGTCTTCTGACTAGGTTGAACTCTCTCCCTCCCTCCCTTGCTTCCTCTTGGAATCATATAATCACATGTATGTTTCCACAGGCCAGAAACACATCGAGGTACCTTAATCAAACGGCTAACCGCGAATTAGCCCTATCCGTACCGACTACGGCCAATCTAACGACCGACGAGTCGCCCCCATACCTACCTTACCTACACACTGATCAAATCGAGCGCTTCGTGGCCAAGTTTCGCATACAATGTCCACGGAATTACATGGGACATAAGTCCTTTCACTGTCGCTATTACTATTGAATATCGCTATCAGCCTGTCAATATCAATATTGCTGACACTACTACTGTCGTTGTCACTATTTACTGTCGTTGTCACTGTTACTGTCGCTGTCACTGTTACTGTTACTGTCACTAGGTACCTAACCCTGCGTTTACTCAAACAACCTCATCAGTCCTTTCCTCCCCTTTCATATACTACATGGCAGCATCCATTCTTTCATCTTCTGTTCCTAACTCCTCTACCTTTCCCTGAAGTCACTATGGACATCTTACTCTAGTTCACCTGTCTCCTATTCCCGTGCTTCACGGCCATTACCTAATCCCAATCTACAGAGACGGCGTGCGGGCCTTGCTATCGTTCGCAATATGTCGTCGGGTTCATCGCTAGTGGTTCCAGCGAGAGTGGGACAGAAGAGAAAAAATATCAGTCATGAGATGGACATGCTATAGGCAGATGAGAATAGCAATTACCAAATACGAGAATTCACCAGAGAAGAGGAGGCCGAGTTCGCGTTGTTAGAGGGTCTCACGAACCAAGCAGCAGAGCACTGGATAGGTTTGTCGTCAACCTATTATATTCATGCTTCACGACCAAGCTAACATCTATACAGGTGCGGCCCGAACCCTGTCCCGTCAGGACCAGTTCCTGTACGAGTTCGATGATCTTCAGGTATCACTGTACTAGCCGATATCTCCCGTTGACAAATCCCCGAGACGAGACATACAACAATATATTATTCAACCAGGACCAAGATATCCTTACGAAAGACATCATATTTGCAATCTAGCAATGGATGTACAGGGCCAGAACTCGGCACCACAAAGTCACAAGACCAAAGATCGAGGGGGCCTCAAGCCGAAGGACAGTGCTTATGCAATGGAGTATACAAAAGAGGAGCGTCAGTGATATTCTTTTTTACCGTAGGATGAGAGTAGACATCACCAAGGGCGTTCACTTGGCTGCGAAGCAGATATGGGAAGGGAAGTTCGACAATAAGCGTATCGCAACTAAAGTCTTCTTCGGTCGCCACGAGTTGAGACATTTGCTTGACTGGGAGTCTATCCACGCAATTATTATCAATATTACATAGGACGTAAGCCCTTTACTGTCGCTGTCACTATCACTGTCGTTGTCGTTGTCACTATCACTGTCGTTGTCACTATTCACTGTCGCTATAACCTAAGGTATTGGCTGTGTAGCGGCAAACATGTACGTTAAACAATTAGATACCTTACCTACCTATCTGGTCTTCGGGGAGTATTTCAGGCAGCGCCTCGAGATCAGCGTTGGTTCAACTTGGCCATTCCCCTTTGTTTCTAGCACCCACTCCATCATCTGGTAGATTTCCTCGAAATTCGTCGGGCCAGGTCGAGGTACCTACCGGAGCGACGCGGAGGCATGGTGGCGCGGCAGGGAAAGTAAGATCAGTTGGTTGAAAAGAAATGGTAAGAGGCGGGCGAAGGTACGCTCTTTCTGGCCATCCAAAGATGGGCGCGAGGTAGGTAGGCATGGTAGGTATGTTAAACTTTCAGGGGGGTCAGGCATCCTTCTCGCTTCAGAACAACCTCGCTTCCACAACCACGCGGGAAAAAAAGAGAAAACGAGAATGAAAATGAATGCATTCCATCCCAACAACATCCAAGGGGATATAAAAAAAGTCCAAAAAGAATAGGATAATGCGTTCGCCGGGAATCGAACCCGGGGCCCATCGACGATTGGATTCGAAGATTCCATTGGCAACGATGGATTTTACCACTAAACCACAAACGCTTGTAATGTAATACGGTGTATACCTCGCTTCCTGCACATCAGTATAAGAACCTCTAGGAATCAAAGCTTAGAAAAATAAGAAGTCAAATTGTAGTAGCCTATCAAAATGAAATGGAAATTGGTATAATTTCTAGAATTTGAGGCGTTGGATCACTCCATCATACTGTCACAAGGCGGAGGGCGGGCAAAAAGGGGGTTGCAGAAGTGAAGCCGAAGATCCCCCACAAACGAAATCCAAAAACATCGCCGCTTTACCTCGAATAGCTATCGCCGCTTTATGAACCTATATTCACCGCCTTCGCTTCCTCGATATGGCTGAGGACAATGGCTTACCCTCATAGACACGGAAAGTTGATGATGGGCCAAAGCTAGGGATTTTCACCATCGCACCCAAACAACATCCCACGAGACACCTCTCTGGTAAAACCACATCAATACAGGAAACCAGTCCGAGGGCCGAAACCAGGAGTTTCCCCATCGCTCTAGGAGCGAAACTCTATGTCCCCCAAGGTCCCTCTCTACTGAAGACAAGCGGAGCAAGAGAACGAACTGAAGGCTCAAGATGGTGGGCAAGAAGTCTGGAAAGGCGCTCTTGCGCGAGGAGGGTACGTATCTGCCTTGTTGAGGTCAAGTTATATACTAACCAGCTGTTCCTGCGTAGGTCTGGAGCGCACTGATAATGGGATGAAGCAATCGAGCTGGCCGGAGGTTGCCATGATCAACCAGAAGAACTACTACACGTACGTCTTCATTTTCTTATTTGCGTGTAGCTCTGCTGGATATACGCGTCCGACAAGGCATCTCAAGCATTGAGGCCAATTGCGCTCGTTCTATATGCGAACAAGCTGACGTTCATTGTGAAGGGAGTACATGAAGCGCGATGAACAAATCCTACCTTTCCGACTCCAGAATGAGGCAAATCGAGACAAGATGATCCGGCATGCGAAGGATAGAGACCGGGCTCTTGCGCGCACGGGAACCACCGAAGTCCCAACACCGACGAATATCGAGGGTGAGCCGGAAGAGGAAGACGCAGGCGCAAACTATGGGTTCGACGCATCCAAGACCATTGTCATTCATCCCGGGAGCCAGAATCTGCGAATTGGCTTTGCAAATGATGCTCTGCCCAAATCTATACCTATGTGTATTGGGGTGAAGTGGTCGGAGACGGAATCGCAGGAATATGAGCCTCGGCCAAAACGCCAGAAGGTTGACTGCGCGCCAGAGCAGCAGTTTGGAGAGGAGTTCTCAAAAAAGTTTACGAAGATGTCTAATGACCTAAAGATTGACATGCGGGCCAACAAGCGGAAGGTCCTGCCGAATTCAAAGGAGTTGGTGGTCAGCTACAACAGACGTACACCACCTGAGGTGATTCCCGAACACAATGACCCTCTACGAATCGAGTGGACGGATGTGAGTAAGGATGATCCAAAAGATGTGTCGACGTTCTATACAGGTGCAGAAGCACAACGCATTCCGGATGATTCCAAACCCGCATATAAGCTCTTCTGGCCGATACAACATGGTTGGTTCCACGAAAACGAATATATGTCTCGTGACCATCTGTTTGACGATTTCGATGCCATCCTCGAGAAAGCTCTGAGGAAAGACCTGGGCTTGACGAGTAGCGTTGATTGGGAGCAATATAGTTGCGTCTTCGTCATCCCGGACTTGTATGATAAACGATACGTCGAACAAGCCCTTGAGATGTGCTTGAAAAGTTTCCAGTTCAAACAGGTGGCGTTCATCCAGGAGAGCTTAGCTGCAACGTATGGTGCTGGTTATACCAGTGCTTGTATTGTCGATATCGGTGCTCAAAAGACGTCGATATGTTGTGTTGAAGACGGCATGTGCATTGAGGATTCTCGGATTAACCTCAAGTACGGTGGTTACGACGTCACGGAAACATTCCTCAAGATGATGCTCTACGATCACTTCCCATACGCAGACATCAATCTCAAGCGGCGCTATGATTTCCTCCTTGCGGAAGAACTCAAGATCAGCTTCTGTACAATGAACCAAGCCGACATTTCTGTCCAGCTCTACAACTTCCATCTCCGTGCCCCAAACACACCTACCCACAAATACCAGTTCAAGACTTACGACGAAGTCATCCTCGCGCCAATGGGCTTCTTCGATCCTTCAATCTTTGATAATAGCGATAAGCTCCAGGGACGCCGGAAGCTCATAGACCGTTCATACAACGCCTATGACCCCGATATGCCGGACGATCCAGCCTCCGCTGCTCAGCTTGCCATCCTCACCAGCATCAAGCCCAGTCTTGCTAACATCTCCAACAGCCTCCCCACGAACGGCGTAATCACGAACGGCAACGCAGAAGTGGCCACGCCCCAGAAGGAAAAAACCAACCCTCTGAATCTCCTCTCCCGCATGGACAGCGAAGCAAACGGCACCTCACACGTCACCTCCGCAGCTGGGTCTCCCGCCCCAGAAGGAACTAGCACGCCCGTCCCCTCGGGCCCCTTCGTCTTCGGCGCCAACGGCACCAACGGCGGCTCCCCAGGACCCAACGGCTCGGCCTTCCCTCCGGGCAACAGCTCGCACCACAGCGGCACGCCGGCGCCCCCAGCGGGGATCTTCGTGGACGCGCTCGCGCGCACGCAGAAAGACATGGCAGCGGAGCGCGACTCGGTGCTCCCGATCGCGCCGCTCGACACGGCGCTCATCACGTCCATCACGCACGCGGCCAAAGGCGACGAGAAGAAACTGCGCGACTTCTTCGGCGGCATCATGGTCATCGGCGGCGGGGCCAAAACGCCCGGCTTCGGCCCCTTCCTGGAAGAGCGGCTGAAAGCCAAACGCCCGGATCTCGCGGATAAGATCTTGGTGGGCACGAGCCCGCGCGAGATGGATGGGCAGGTGGTGGTCTGGAAGGGAGCGAGTGTGTTTGCGCGCATGACGATGCATGAGTCCTGGGTGGGGCAGGCCGAGTATGAAAGGTTGGGCAGTAGAGTACTGTATCATAAGGCGCTTTGGCAGTACTGACCTCTCGAGTCGGCGAAAAGATCATCAGGAAGGAAGGAGGTGGAGGGCGAAAATCTGGGCGGGCGTTCCGTTTATCCTATTCTATTCTATTCTACTCTACTATATATTGAAGGAAGAAAGTAGATGATGATTGGCTCTTTTTTTTCTTTCTCTTTTTTCTAAAAATTCAATTTATGGGTTTGTTATGTTATAGGTATGTATGTATGCATTGCGTTATAGGAGGTTAGGAAGGTTAGGTTAAGGTAGGTAAGGTAGGCATATATGAACGTCAGGACAAAAGTTCAGCTGCTAGCTCGTTGCATAGCACAATATAGCATAGCATAGCATAGAAAAAAAATGGATCCATGGCTTGATTCGATTTAATCTGGTTTGATTTGATATTCTCTGTGTATACATACATAGGTTCTTGACTTTAAGGTACCTTACCTACATCCTCGAAAGTGGTTGAAGTTTGAACAGGCTTGAATGATTTCTGCTCTTGAGTCTCTGGGAAGGAAGGGGGGGGGGGGGGGTGACTTGATTAGAGCGAGATATATAGGGCCTTCTTAATACCTTCATTCATCATTCAAGGCTTGATAGTTTTCAAAGAGATAGGTATAGATAGGTATTTAAAAGAAAATTGGGAGGATGGGTCAGGAATCTTGGGTGACAAGTCGAGTCTCTCGCAGCATTCGCTTATTTGATATTTACCCCTAAGTTGAACCCCGCTCGATGATCGGCTGGCTGGCTGGCTGAGCGCTACAGTAGGTACATTAAGAAGAGAGACATGTATGTATGGTTGCGCTCGCTTCCAAGCACAATAGGTGATACTATCGAGTCCCAGGGAATTTAAAGATTGCCTCTGAAGTTGAAAGAAAAATCACCATCCGAATGTCTCTGTATGCAATGCTACTTCTTGTACCTCCCCCCTAAGGACCTTTTTCTGACATGTCGCGACGGCATTACTGAGATCTTGATTCATTCCTTTAGGTCCACAGCCTATGACAATTAGTTTTGGAGAAAATATGAGGAAGGAGAGTGGACTGGACTTACCAACGACGCAGATTCTTTCATGTTCCAACGCGGCGGGTATTAATTGCCTCAGGACGGGTCTTCCAAAAAGACCCGGGCCAAGCACGTCGTTCTTCTCATGAACCTCAACCTGTTTCCCATCATCTGGTAGCTGAGGAACCGCTTTCTCGGCATCCGGGGTATGCGTGCTCGAGGACTCGCTCGTCGAGTTCTCGGACGTGACGTAGTAATCGATCGTCACTGTGCCCGCGGGGGCTGTGGTCAAGGCTTCGTGAAGCTGGTCCCGAACCCAAGCTAGTGCGTGTTTGTGCTTCACGGCCCAGATCAGCTTGATTTGCCGGATCACGGTCCGCTCGCGGCCGATCTTGCGGCTGAGATCGGTGAGCAGGGGGAGGACGGCGGTGATGCCGCTTCCGCCGGCTACGAGAATCATCTGCTCGTATCGGTATTCGAATTGGCAATGGTGACCGCCGTAGGGTCCTTCGATGAGGACTGGACGGGTGCGTGGGGATGCATCCTGTTGGGCGATCTTCATCAGGCGCTTTGTGATCCCCTTTTGAGGCTTGATGAGGAACAGGATCGGCTTTCGGGTCGTTCTTCCTTTTCTGTCCGTCACGTATGTCTCGTCGCAAGCGCTTGCGATTGTGAAAGGATGGTTATCTACAGGCGAGATTGTGGGGAATCGGAGAAAGACGTGTTGTCCAGGTTTCCACTTGGCGAACGCCTCAAATGCCGGAATCGTGATCTTGAGGATTTCACCGTCGATATCTTCCAGCGTGGCTTCAGCTCCCTTGAAGCCTGGGGTTTTGAGCTTGACCAGGAGACGGCCGCAGAGAGAGAAGAGCCAGACGGCAAGCGTGGCCCAGAGATAATCCCAGGAATCGAGGGCCATGCCGGCGTGCCAGAACATGAGGCCGAGATAGACAATAGCTGCCCCGATGTGAGAGTGCACGAAGATTTCATAGAAGCGATGGCGGAACCATGGGATACTGAAAGTGCAGAGGAAGACGAGCATGGCGAAAGGTGGGACGCCGGTATACTAGAAAGCGTGAGTAGTTAGTGATTCGAGAATTGGGTATTGCTTACTTCGTCTGCACCAGGTGAATAGAATTGCTTACGCAAGGCAGCGGCGCCTCCCTCCTTCAACGGTTGCACAATGAAGGGGACAGTGTGAACGATACTCAGAGCAAGGCATATGTACGACACATATCGATGGAGCACGTTAAGTTTCTCGTGACTGATGCCCGTCATAAGAGTGACTATATTGTACTTTCCACTCAGAGCAACGATGATCGGTGTCAGTGCAACGGCCATTAAGCCCGTCCTGACTCCCAGTGGTGGAGAACCGAAGCCTCGAAACATCCGATAATATGGCCTCTGCGCAAAAGTCATAATCGTAGCAAACAGGGAGGCCAGCAGAATGAAGGCGGCCACACCGAGCGACATCCCAATCCCGATCCTCCTGTAGGTCAGCGATCTGACAAGCGCGGTGAACTTCTGCACGATGGTCGTCTTCGGCTCGGGATACAAGACATAACCCGAGCCCAGCTTCTGGGAATAGAACCATAAGCCGAAAAGGAAGAGGAAGATGCAGTAATAGTAGGTCGTCCATTTTCCGTACTCGAACTGCGAGGCCCAGGAGATCTCGGTTTGCGACTGGTTATGGCCGGCGGCGTAGGCAAGGCAGCTGGAGTTCCTGCAGCGAGGGTCGCTGAGCGGGAGATACGTGATGTTGACGCTTCCGGAAGAGGACATCGGCATGGCGGCGCTGGTAGCAGTGCTCATCCCCATGGACATGGTTGAGGACGGCATCGACATGGCCATCATGGACGTCATGGAGGACGACATATGCATGGCCATCGTCGAGGACGACATATCCATTGACATGTCCATTTTGGTACGATGGGATAGCACGAAAGCCGCAGCCGCGTGGGACGAGAAGTGATGGCGGAGAGCGGCGATGACATGCTTTTGAAGATTTATTGCCTATTCTTATGTTAAAGCACCCGAGAAGTCAATGCTTGGTGGTGTGGGGCGGAGGGGTTGGCATGTCTTGGCGCGGGATCAATTCAACTCAATCTTGCGCACCCGCAGACAACCCAGTCGTGGAGATCACGTGTGACCCCTATGTCTGATATAAAGGCTCAAAGGGTCGCTTTCTGCCTCATATTAACTCTCTCTCTCCTGTACTTGGCAGACTGGACGCTGGCACGTTGCGGATTCCTTCATCTCGTTACCTCTGAAAAAGCATTAAGAAAACAGCCACAACTCCTTGCAAACATGGCCTCACCAACAACATACACACTCCCTCCTCTTCCCTATGCATACGATGTACGTCTCCTCGTCTTCCCGTGGCTGGACTGACTGACCTTCCATCAGGCGTTGGAGCCCGCAATCAGCGCGCAGATTATGACCCTGCACCACACCAAGCACCATCAAACCTACATCAACAACCTCAACGCCGCCCTCGTATCACAAGCTACTGCTACATCCAAGAATGATATTGTGGCCCAGCTGCACCTTCAAAACGCCATCAACTTCTCAGCGGGCGGGCACATCAACCACACCCTGTTCTGGGAGAACCTGACGCCGGCATCCTCGCCGTCGGCCCAGCCGTCGTCAGCACCAAAACTGGTCGCTGCCATCTCCGCCCGCTGGGGCTCTCTGGAGAAGTTCCAAGAGAAGTTCAACGCTGTGCTCCTGGGCCTGAAGGGTAGCGGATGGGGCTGGCTTGTTCAGGACACGGAGAGCAGCGCCCTTGAAATCATCACCAGCAAGGACCAGGACATCGTGCCCGCAGGAAAGAAACCCCTCCTGGGCATTGACATGTGGGAGCATGCGTACTACTTGCAGTATCTGAATGACAAGGGAAGCTATGCTAAGGGGATCTGGCAAGTGGTTAACTGGAAGAAGGTGGAGGAACGGTTTCTGAGTGGTGTTGATGGGGTGTTTGGCAGTCTGGCGGGGTTGAGGAGCAGCATTTGAGAGGGGCACCTTGATAGCTAGCAGCTAGCACCTTGATAGCCACCTTGCAGTGTAGTGGAGGGGAAGAATGATGATTATGAATTTATGATATCAACAAATGTGACGCTGAGAACCTTGCAGCGGTAACAGGGTAGGATAACGAATGGATAGATGGCTAATAATAAGTGGATGAATGCCCTTGCGTCAAGATGCTCAAAGCACCGCAAACTTGCTCACTTGCTCATGACGCCTTGGCGCGTGACAGGCAGAAGACAACGCTTGTTGACGATATCCAGACGAATGATTGCAAATACTACTGCGACATAATTCCACTTACATATCAATATCAGCGTCAGGATGTGAAGTTGAAGGTAGGTAGATCGGGAAGAGAAAAGGGGTCGTGGATCGAATCCGGCTTTCGATTGGTGTCGCTTGGCCTATCGTACCGGATATAGGATGATCCGCATCCGGCGTACCTATCGTTGTGGCGGAAGTGGAAATGGACTTCTGGGGACGGCAGAATACGTATTCCAATTTCCTGGCTGTTGTTGTAGATGGCGGTAGATAGACAGTTCTATTTCCTCTCTTCCCTCTCTTCAAGCGATCCGAATAATCAAGCAATGCGAAAAAATCCCCCCTGTCGCTGTATCAAGAAATATCCTGTGTTCTGGGGATCTGGTTTGAGGTTTCCTCTGCCCACAGCGTAGCTCATAGGTCCATGGAAGGCCTTTCTTCCCAATCAAGAGGGCAATGTGGCCGAGCGGTTATGGCGCCAGTTTCAGGCCTTCACCTGAAATTCATATCTACTGGTTCGAAAGAGCATGGGTTCGAATCCCATCATTGTCAACATTTCTTTTTGCTTTTTTTTGGTACTGGTTGCGCCGTTTTTCTTTTTTACCCCGCGTGGCATGCAACGAATCTGCAGCTTGTTTCTGTATCCGCGCGCTACGGTTTGAACGTCTATGCGCGAATCAATTTTGTTTTACTTATTTTTGGACCTTTATTTTTTGCAGCTCGGATCTTTTGAAGATCTATTTCAGGATGATATATATGCATGAAGAGAAATAGGTAGTGTCTCTACCAACTTGGTCATCATCTCACATCCCAAATTACTTGACCTACTAATCACTCACCCAGCTCCCCACATAAGACCCTCTTTCCATCCTATTGATTAATCTCTCCCAATATCCCATTCCAATCAAAAAGTCACCATCTCTCCATACTGGTGTATCGGTAACATTTCCGCCTCTCATGTGTTCTCACAGATTGTCCGCGGTAGCGCAGGGTTCGACTCCCTGGTATGGAATCGTGGTTCTTTCATTCCTTTTGCCTTTTTTCTTTTTGCCCCTCTTCACCTCTCCTTTTTTCTTTCCATAGAGGCGGCGGCATGACTGACCAATTGATTTTGGAGAAAGGGATACAACAACAACAGGACCTGTAAAGAGTCCATACTGGTGTATCGGTAACATTTCCGCCTCTCATGTTTCAAACACGATTGTGCGCGGTAGCGCAGGGTTCGACTCCCTGGTATGGAAACTTGGATTCTTTCTAATCCATGCATTTATTTTTGCTTTTTTCCCTGCTTCAAGTACCCCGGATCCCTCGTCTATCTGTCATTTTTGCCTATGTCCGCTCTTCTCATTCTCTTTTTCCCAAGCAGCAAAGAAAGCAACAACACGAGTTCACTTTACAGAAAAGTAGATATCAAATCGGATCCATAAGGAGTCCATACTGGTGTATCGGTAACATTTCCGCCTCTCATTCATAGCTTTGTGAAAAGTGCGCGGTAGCGCAGGGTTCGACTCCCTGGTATGGAATCTTGAATTCTATCTTTTTGCCCCCCTCAGCAGGGTCATCTGGAGGCTGCTGATCGAGTACGATCTAGTTATTGCTTTTTTGCTATGCATTAAAAAGACATCAGGATCTACGTGGCTGTCTTTGTCTGTACAAACCAATCTCCTGCCGTAACCTTTTTCTCTTTTGCATTTTCGTATCAAGAGCGCGGAGGAGGTCTAAGGACTAGTTATCAAGTACGATATAGTTATTCTCTTTCTTTTACGTATTATCTAAAATTGGAACTGTTTTGTTATACATCGTGAACGCCCCCCCTCCCCCCCCCTTCCCACGACTATATAAACTCCCTCCCCTCCCGCTCCCCTCTCTCCTCTCTTCTTCTTCTAACAAAACAAACACAGTAGTACGACCAGTGGCACTGTGGCACTAGTAATTTCCACGCTGCCCGCCCGCCTCGTATAAAAAGTCAACACAGCTCTAATCAAAGGCACCTTGCTCTGACAGCCCGCAGCAGGTTTGGATAGCAAGAGGGTGTCGATTCTCGATATTGTAATCGTTAAATGAGTGAATAATTGATTTATTGTTACGAACAAGAATTATCATTGCGAATCTTCTTTTGAACACAAAAAACAACGACGACGATTTATATATGTTGTGAATATTTGGATTCACAATGATAATAAATATCATAACGATAATCCGCCCTACCTAATTCACGCAAAGAAAAAAACATCTATCCAGCTGTACAAAAATCCCGATACCTTAGTGTTGTGCGAATAGCCACAGACAGACAGACAGGGTAAAAAAGAAGCCAGCAGACAGGGTATTGTCTCCTGAACAACAGGTTCGGTGTCTATTGTAACAAAAGAAAAAGAGGACCGTAGGGTGAGGAAGAGATGTTTTTATACTACAGGGAGGGAGGGGACCTCGCGTACCTTAGGTAAATAAATTACTGTGAATCATCTAGTCACTTACCTACTTTACCTACTTTCAAATTCCAAGTAATTTATATAAGTGCCAAAAAGAAAAATAGAATGAATATAAAGAAAATGACAGTAAAGAGGGGGGAGAGGGTGTTGTAGACAAGGGAGGAACAATTCGAAAAAAAAAAGTATTCCATACCAGGGAGTCGAACCCTGCGCTACCGCGCACAATCGTGTTTAATAATAGAACATGAGAGGCGGAAATGTTACCGATACACCAGTATGGAATTTATCTGATCTCCAACCTCTTACTGTGTAACATCAAAGACCCATACCTACCTACCTAGTGAACCTACCTATCTTCATCGTCTTCATGATCTCCATCCAATCCTCGAATTTTCTTTTGGCATAGTAGATAGATCGATAGGTAAGCTGCTATTTTGTTTTATACCTAAGCAAGCAAGCTCGGGTATTTTATCAATGTTCTAGGTTCTAGGTGGGTGATGATCAAACAGGTACAGACTACATACATACATACATGCAGAGCTGTGGCGTAAGGTAGGAGGGAGTGAGTTCTTTGGTTACCTTACTTTTTTTTCTATGGATGGTAAGGTAAGGTAAGGTAAGGTAAGGTAAGGTAAGGTACTTCGTGATTTGATGATGGATGTCTGGGGAGAGGATTGGATTGTTTGTTCGGAGTGTATTATTGTAGCTAAGGTAAGGTAGGTAGATGGGTAGGAGGGGAGGGGAGGGGAGGAGGTAGAGAGAGAGAGGGAGAGAGAGAGGGTTGTTGAGGTAATGCAGGAATAGGATGAGTGAGAATGAATGATTATTTATATTTTATATAGATATAGTAAGTGACCTCGTGCTGTACTCTAACTACCTACCTAACTAAGATTCTATAGAGAGTAAACAAATTACAATTAAACAAATCTTCCCTTCCTCACCTGTTTGTATGTATGAATGTAAGACATCTAACAATAAAGAAAGAAATCATATCTCGTTTCGTTTCATTTCGTTTCATTCTGTTCTGTTATGTCTCAATTGTGTCTCATGAATGGATCACTTGGCTGTTTCTAGAAGCCGGTGAGGTGAAAGAAAGAAAGAATAGAGGATTCGCATCCTGTCTGTCTTAAGAGAGTTCTTCTTCTTGTCTTGCATGCTTAGGTGACATGACATGACATGACATGGTATGGGTTATTATGTTATGTTGTGTCTTGGAGGAGGAATAAGGGAGTTGAATTCCATGTTCCCAAGGTACTTACCTAGGTAGCTACCTTACTTGACCATCAAGTAGACTCGCGCATACTTGCATGCATGCATGCGTATCGATCCTACTGATGTGCGTGCAGAAGAAGGCGTGATGAAGGTTCTTCTGCTCTAGATCAGCGAGTAGATAAGGTAGCAACCGTACTGTATGTAGCTATTATTAACCTCATCCATCACCACCCACCAAGAGAATCGGAAATCGAAAAAAGAAGCATCTCCAGCTGCCGCTTCATGGCGTGCAGGTTGCAGCACACTTAGCTTCCCTTACCTTATCGTGCAGAGGTTCATAGGTAGGTAGGTACCGTCCCGGGCCTTGAAAGAGCAGCACGGGCCCGGTTTCAGGACTCGAGAGCGCAAGGGAGATCCTTCGGCTGGTTGGTAGGTGCTGGAGATGCATAGAAGGTGTGCGACGGGCGGTAGGAGAGGGCGGGAAGGCTTTATTTTTGGGGACGCTACAGATGTAGATATGTGGTACTGCGCAGTAGCAATAGCAGTAGTGGTGGTGACGGTGATGGTTTGGGGAGACCACGAGGACGAGGACGGCAGAGAGCGAGCGAAGGATCGCGCGCGGGGTCCGGCAAGAACTAAAAAGCTCGAGCTAGAGAATTAAGCAAAACGCCGTGATTGCCGCGAGGCCTCTGCGAGGGGATGCTTCGGGAGGATGAAGCGTGACATGACAGAGAGCCGGAGCTGGGAGGTGATCCTAGCATCGTCCCATTCGAGTATTGGGGGAGCGGATCACGATGCGGGAGTAATGATTCCGGAAGGTCGTTAGGGAGCTTTGGTAAGGCAATGCAGGAACGGCGATGAGAACTTAATCTTGCGACATGGACGTGGACGTGGGTATGGGTATGGTGGTATGGTACATGGGGGTGGACGGGGATTCTGGTGATGGTGGTGATATGCGAGGGGGGAGAGGAGAGAGAAAGCAGGGCCGAGAGGCGAGAGAGGAACAGAAAGAACCGTGGTTATGAGTAAGAACACGACTTGATCCGTATGGCCTTGAGTCCACTTAATTGGAAGTTCTGGATTATCCACCTCATCGCTTTACGTTGACTGACGTTCATCAGGCCATCTAGACGCTCTCTTGTCTCCATCTCGCCAGGAAGAAAGGGAACAAAAAGAAGCGGCCCGCGCAGGAAAAAGCCGATTCAACAACGGGCACCACGGCAGACAGACGTGCAATGGCCCGAAATAACCCTGAAAAGACCGCTGAAGCCAGAACCCACCCTGACACAGCCCCTGGCGTTGCGAAACACGCGCCAGGCAGTCAGCAACAGCAGCAGCATCTCAAACACGAGCGGGCCAGGGACAAGACTGGAGACTGGAGTTCTTATGACTAGCATTATTGCTATTATTAACTCCTGAGATTCTGCAGTTATTCTGGGTCTGGCCCGACGGGGCTCCTTCTCACTGGGCACCCGTCTCCAGCGTTCCCGCCGCACGACGATTCGTGGTGGGTGTGGCCAATCAGGCGGGCACGGCGGGTTGTGTTTCTGGGCCGCACAGCTCAGAGGTGCCAGAGACGGTACGAGGGGACATCGGTTGGGCTGGCGGGCGGGATGGGGGGATGATCCATCTGCGATGCGATGTAGTGGAGGGGAGGTGGTGGACAGATAGACGGGAGAGGGACTGCACAGTGTAGAGGGGAAAGAATAGCAGATGCTACATACAACTTACAAGACAGAGACAAGAGACAGAGATGAATATCCTCTTTACTCGGCTGGAGAAGCAGAAGTCAGCGAGGCCCATCAATGATCACTGCCCCAACGGTCCTAGCGCGGTGGATGACTGCGGGTCTAGCCCGAGCCGGTTAATGCTCACCGGGCCCTGGACCAGCGCTCTCTTCTTGTTCCTTTTGGTCTTTGGTTCTTTGCTTCTCTGCCCCTGGAGAGGCTGGGAGAGCGGTACAGCAGACCACGACTGATGGCTGGATGGATGGATGGATGTTGCATTGGCTTTTGATGTTGTTATTGTTGTTGTTATTATTCTTATTCTTCTTCTTCCTCTCCCTCTTTTTCTTGTCCTCTGCTTATTCTCCCCTTCCAGCCGAATATCCCCGGTGGCTCTGCTCTGCCCTGCTCTACTCACCCTGCTCTGCCCTGGCCTGCCCTGCCCACGGTCGGTCCCATCGACTCTCTCCACCAACCACCGTCCCGCTCCACCTCGCTTGACTCCTCCATCCCTCCCATCCCTCCCTCCTCTCCTCCCTCCCATCCCTCTCCTCTCGCGCCCTCCTCCTCTCACTCTCCTCTCTCTCCCTCTGGATCCCTCCCTCTCCCTCTCCACCCGCCCTGCCCGCCCCAAACCCGCTAAGAGGCCCCCAATTCAAACCTTCATTAACCCCATCCATCCCCCCCCCCTCCGGCCTCCTCAGAGCTCAAACCCTTCTGAGGCCCGTCATATTGCTCGTCTCACTTCCTTCACTCTCTTGTTTCTCTCCCTCCTCTCCCTCTCTCTCTCTCTTCTCCTCTCTCTTCCTCTCTTGTCGGAGTGTCGCAGGCTCGTACCTCGAAAGCTTCATCATCCTCCCCTTTACACTCCCGACCCTTCACCCCCCCCTTTTCTAATATCCCCCCTTCGCCGTCGAGTCGGCCTTCCCTTCCGCGCGCCCCCCCCCGAGTCGAGTTCTTGCTGGCCTCGAAACTCAACTCATCTCAACTCTCGTCCTCGAACGACCTTCGTTCCACCTCTCCGCGCCTTTTCTCTCCTCTGAATCGCTTCCGGGCAGGCTCCCGCACGTTAAAACAAGAGACCCCGTTGTGGTCTGCTTTCTCTGCATTGCGAGACAGGACGACTCTCGCTTCCATCTCTCTCGCTCTCCACTTCTCACGGCCCCGACTGCTTCATCGTCGTCGACCCCTTCCGTCGCTCTTCCAGCCTGATACCGCGTCGGTCGCGTCTCTCCCCGACTCGATTGCATGGCCCACATGATGTATTCCCATCACCATGCGACCATGGCGCCGCCGCAGAAACCAGAGACTTTCATGCTGAGCAGTGAAGCCCAGCAGAGTCTGCCGCAGGATGCCCAGGTCGCCCTGCAACAGGTCGATAACTGTAGGTCCCTTTTGTCTCCCCTTCTCCCGGAAACGCCAATTGCTGACCCATCCCCCCTCCCGCAGTAAAATATTTCTTAATCTCGGCCCCCGTCGACTGGGCCCCCGATCAGTACATTCGTCGCTTCCTCCTCCCGACCGGCGAGTACGTCTCGTGTGTGTTATGGAACAATCTCTTCCACATCTCCGGCACCGACATCGTGCGATGCCTGTCCTTCCGCTTCCAAGCCTTCGGCCGCCCCGTCAAGAACTCCAAGAAGTTCGAGGAGGGCATCTTCTCCGATCTGCGAAACCTGAAGTCCGGCACCGATGCCTCGCTGGAAGAGCCCAAGAGCGGCTTCCTGGACTTCCTCTACAAGAACAACTGCATCCGGACCCAGAAGAAGCAGAAGGTCTTCTACTGGTACAGCGTGCCCCACGACCGCCTCTTTCTCGATGCCCTCGAGCGGGATCTCAAGCGGGAGAAGATGGGCCAGGAGGCCACCACCGTCGCCGTCAACGAGCCCGCCCTCTCCTTCGAGTTCGACTCGTCCCAATCGCTGTTCGAGCAGCTCACCAAGGCCCAGCAGGCCAACTCCTCTTCCTTCTCCGCGCAGCAGCCGGCTTACGCGCACCCCCAGTCCCAATCCACCTCCCCCGTCATGCGCGCCATGGATGCCATGCCCCCGCCCCAGATGATCCCCCAAACGATGTCCATGTCGGATGAGATGAACAGCATGGCCGCCTATCAGCAGATGACCATGGGCGCGCCGAGCATGGCCCAGCAGGTCGTGAAGCGCGAGACCGATTTTGGACGCGTGCAATACAACCAGAACGGGGTCCCCGTCTCGCAAGCCCACCAACGTCACTCCTCGATGCCTGCGTTTGGCCTGGAGTACTCGCCCGCGCCTTCGTTTGTCTCTTCCCACTACGAGGACTACAGCACCCGGGGCCTCTCGTTCGAGCCCATCACGCCACCCCAGCAGTCCATGGGCATGGGAACGGAGCCCGCGTACATCGCAAACGAGGAGACCGGCCTCTATACGGCCATCCCTGATCACATGGGGGCCGTCGCGCTTCCCGGGATGATGCAGCTCCCCCCGTCGAATCTGGCCGGTCCGCAATTCTCTCACGCGCCTCGAGGGTACGGATCGAGCAACGTCTTCTCCGTGATTGAGGGTTCCCCAACCTACAAGCAGCGCCGGCGTCGCTCCTCGATCCCTCCCGGGGTGGCCGCAGCGGTGGCTGCTACGGCGGCTGGACACTCCCACCCCGCCCACCGCCCCTCGGATCTGAGACGCTCCGTCTCCGTCTCGGTGGGACCTGTTGCGGAGGGTGATGAGTCCGGGGACAACTCGCCTCCAGGGCTCAGCTACAGCAACCAGATCCAGCAGATGTCACAGCATCACAAGGAACTGATCGAGCTCTCGAGACATGGAACTCCGCTCTCCACCCTGGAAGATAGCCCAGCCATGAACCCCATGAACCTACAAAACCACAGCGACTTCATCTCAGGCGAAGAGCTCTCAGGTGAAAGCCCTGTTCTCGGATCCCCTCAGCGCAGACCCATGCAAGGACCCAATGGCGTCGTGCGGAGGGCGAGGAGCGCAACCATGATGGAGCTCGGCCCGTACCCCCAAAAATCCCACTCGTGTCCGATCCCTACCTGCGGGCGTCTCTTCAAGCGTCTCGAGCATCTCAAGAGGTATGTCAGGGTCATTGGCTGGTCGTGAAGTCACTAACGAGTACCCTAGACATGTCAGAACACACACCCAAGAGAGACCATATATCTGCCCCCACTGCAACAAAGCCTTCTCCCGATCGGATAACCTCGCACAGTATGTTGCATTCCCCCCCTCTTGACGGACCTGCTAACCCGTGACCAGACATCGTCGAACACACGATCGCAGCGATGGGTCGGATGGGACGTATGGCAACTACAGCGGCGAGGAAGAGGAGTACGAAGGCGAGGACCAACTCGGATCTCTCGAGGAGGCCTCCCCAAATTCCGAGAACGGGTTCCTGCCGACAAGCTTGCCTCAAAATTTTCATAGTCTGAATACGATGACCATGAATTCCGGTATGGCTGCCCCCGATCAGTTCATCAACGCTCAGCATCTGATGCAATCGATCTAGTGGCCGCTTAAGATGCGCTCCTTTCCATGTTCGACTTCTCCTATATGTTTTTATTGGTGTGCATAGCCCCGCGTTTATCTTCACCGCGTCAGAGATGCATACCCAGCCCAAGTTTTCTTTGTCACTGGTTTCGATTCTGCTTCATGGATGTACGGGCGCGAGATCTGCTCTTGGATGATGACCGTTATGAGATGGTTCTTTGCTTTTGATATCTGCAACTTGATTTAATGGTGCATTTGCGCTGGCGGAGAAAATGCGCTGATTGCGTGTGGGTGTATGGGCTCAGGTATGGTTGGCATCTGTTACAGATCTGCTCAATGCATAAGGGCGGGCGGTGGATGCGATGCATCGTCTTGTACAATAGAATGTGGATATCCGCATGGAGGCGGATGGGATGGGGGATGGGCGAGAGGAAGGCAAAACCAGAGAATATAGATTGCGTTATACCCGTCAAGTGTCGATGTTATTATCTTGGAATGTGCTCAGGGGAGATTGTGTTCGAGGGAGGCTCAAATTAAAGTTCTTTGTTCTGAATGCCAATCCCTCTCACTACTCTACATCCGGAAATCCATCCCACTCACTCACAAGGTATTCAATATTCACTCAAAAATCACAATCACAATCACAATCACATATTCCACAAGACCATATTATTTTTTTTCGCAAAAAGCCTCCCATTTTTTTGTGATTATTTAGTGAGCTATTCTAAGTTTTTTTTTCCCCTTGGTTTTTTTCCGCTTTTCGTGTGTTTTTGGTTTTATGTTTTTTTTTTGGTGAGAAGAAAGGAAGAGATGAAGATGAAGATGAAGATGAAGAGAAAAGAAAAGAGAAAGAAATAGACCTTCCTTGTTGTTTGTTGTTTGTTGATAAATCGACGCAGGTATGTATGAAAGTTGCAAATATATGAAAATACGTCGTCTCGGTAAAAAAAATCCAGGGGCTCAGGGGGCACCACCACCAAACTCGCCCCTCCCAAACAAATCCCTCATCTCACCTCCCCAACCCCTCACATTATCATTTCTCCCTTCCTCTTCCCTCAAAGCCCACTCCACAGCCTCCTTCACACCACTCACTATCATATCCGGTTCTACATCCGGCACGCTACCCGCTTGATACACACCACTCTCCACCAATATAGATTTCCATATAACAGTGCCTGTAGGTGAGCGAAACGCATTAGCACCTGAGATATCGGAGTGCGGATTATCGCCGATCATGTATACTGTGCGGATGGGCGGTTGCTGGTTCTCTTGATCTTGAGCTTCTGCTGCTGCTGTTGTTGTGTTTGGGGGGAGGGAGAAGGAGGGGGAGGTACGGTAATAGGACAATAGAGCGCGTTCACCATACTCGTACGTTTCGCGCGTCGGTTTACCAACCGTGGTACAGCAATCGAGAAGGGACGCGCCATTCGTACACGCATTCCACATTCCGCGCAACGCAGCTGCGAACGCGCCCTGCGCGACGCGCGGCAGCGGGTAACTAGTAGCCCAAGTCAGATCGGGATTCGAGAAGTACAGCGCCGGAGGGGAGTCTTGCAAATATCCGCGATTGGGCAGCTCCGGAGTGTTGTTCAAGGGGGAGATGGTGCCTAGAATGCCGCGGTGCGAGAGTAGTAGGTCCAGCACGAGTTGCAGATCTAGACCCCAGTCGCGCGGCGATGAGAAGATGAATATAGCGCTGATTTGTAGAGGGTCGGCGGGAGAGGAGAGGGGCAGGGGTTGGGAATGAGTCGTGTGCGATGAGGAGGTTAGGTCGGCGAAGGGGTAGATGCTGGGGTAGGCCCCGTAGATGTCGGATGATGTAACGACGTGCTTGAAGCCGTACGCTCGCGCTACGTTCCTGATCTGATCTCCTACACCCCCGAGGACTAAGATCGTTTTATCAGCAAGCTCGGGGACGACAGCTCGGAATGGCGTGTGCGATTGGATGAACTGTTCCTCTTCAAGCTGCAGACCGAGACGTTGCCCGACGAGCGCGACATGGTCTGCTTCTGTTAGCCCCCCGCCGTTGGTCAGGAATATAAAGGGGATCTTGGATTCTTGCAGGAGCCGCAGGCTTTCGCTGGCCCCCGGCAGCGCCGTCTTGCTGCGGACTAAGACCCCGTCGATGTCGAAGGCGAAAGCGATGCCGGCCTTCGCGGCTCGCTGCGAGGGGCCCGCGCTCTGGATCTTGAGCTGGAGCGGTAATGACACGAGCTGCTTCGTGAGGGTATTGGCGCGCTGGATGGCGTTCGATTCAACGGCTATAGAGTCATCATCGATCGCTGTTGTCGTGGGCTTCGCACCACCATGCATCGTTGGGGCCTCCTCAGGATCGGGTCCTGAACCTGAACCTGAACCGCCTGCGGTTATGGGTTCGGCAAAGTGGAACGTGGCGCTCATGGGAGCTTGCATGACGGACCCAGCGACGATTGTGGGCTTTGCGGAGGGAACTCGCTGGAGCGCCTTGGAGACGTGGTCCTCCAGACTCTGCTTGTCCCGTCTGTGGATCCATCTACGGATCAGATTGTGATCGAACGCGCCTGTGGACTTCTGGGGATTGCTCACCGTGGGGGATCTCTCGAGATCGGGCTCGCGCTGCTTGTCAGTGATGTCCTCGTCAGATAAGTCGGGGTTGAACGTCTCGAACGTGGAGACGCTGGAGGTGCTGGAGCGGCGCGATGTGGTCTTAGGCCCGCTAAGATCGCCGCGCTCCGGATTTATGGTTGAAGAGAAGGTGCCGACCCCCGGTGGGAGTCGGTACTTGGGTGGGAGTTCGGGTGCCATTGTGGCGATTGAATAGGTTGTGATTGTGTTAGTTTGGTTGTGAATCTTGGTGTGCTTGTGTGGTTGACGAGGCTGTGACAAGGTTGACAAGATTGATGGGACTAAAGATGTGATGTGATGTGATGTGATGATATGATTTGGATTGATGGATATTGGGAAGAAGAGGGAACGAGGAGGGAAATTATATATCCAATCCAGATCATTGTTCTGAGACCATCATATCCAGATGTGAACTATGGTCTCGATATTGTTCTGGGATTGCAATACTCTGTTCCTAGACATTGAATTCCTCCCTTTCAAAAGCCACTAAGCCTTGATATTGTCCTGGTCTCCATATTCTATTCCTAGACATTCGGTTTCTTTAAAAGGCGCTAGGTATGGTAGTATTCCAACCTTGATAGAAAGCTAGGTTTGTTCAAACAATGCATAGCGGAAAGAAAGAGCCTTTCTTTACCAACACAAGTCCATCAAAGGAAGCATTCGCACAATGCTTCTTTAATAACTCTCTCCCGAAAGAATTGGTCTTTATTGTGTGGTTTTTCATTGTCTCTTTGAAGACTAATCAGAGTGGTATGTCTCTTTGAAGAATAATCAGAATACTACATTGCAACGACATGAGAAAGAAACACTTAGAGGTCGAGTAACGTGCTCCCTGTTGACAAGATAAAGAGAGATTAGGAATCCGATGAAAGCAAAAAGCTAATCAAACAATGACGAACAAAAAGCATTGAGAACTTCGCTCCAGTGAGTGGATATCAACGTAGCAACCTCAAGTATATCCGCGCTTTTCATGGAGAATCAAGTGCAGCATGATAAGATCTGTTTAATCGCAAGGCTCTTCTGTTGAACATCATAATATGAGACGATAAGCTTGAAATGGAGATGGAAGCAGATCTTCTATTTTATTGTATATTGAGAAATACGTGATCCGACTAATGCGTGAAGGAAAGAAAAGGAGAGCCAAGAGATTTTCTCAATTTCTCAAATCCAAGGCTTGTTGCACTTTGAGATAGACAACATACCCGATGCTTGGAACGAGTCGCTAGTAGAGACACTTTACTTCCTTTTATGAAGGGGTTTCTTAAGGGTAAAAGGAATGGATTACCTGCGCCAAGTTCTCCGGATGGGTTGCGTAGAGAACTCTGAAGAGCTGGAAGATCTCCCGACTTTCAACCCTGTCCCTTCACCACGACACGCAACACTATAAAAAAACTTTTTTTTCCGGGATTATTCTCCCGCTCTGCACTATGCCGTGCCGGAAAAGGTAGAAAAAACAAGTCGGGAACTGTGCGACTAGAATCATCTGTCTCCTGACGTGATTCCTCTTGTTGCATATCGCATTGATAAGAGATAAGGAGAGCGGATGTCTCCTCCTAGCAAGCGAAGGAAGCGAATCTTTAAACTCAAGCAAGAGTCTTCTGTTGCACATCGCGATATAAGCGATTCAGCTAACATTTCGCTACCAGAAGAGACTTCTCTTATGCTGCAGGCAAGCGAGAGACTGCTTGGCAGAGACTTCATATTCCTGTCCCTCGACCCCGAAACATAGGGGCTTCGGGAATGTCACTTCCATACTATGTATGTATGGAAATGTTGCCATACGGCTATGTCAAATGTCGTTATATTCTCATCTATCATCTCTAGGCAGATCGTCCCCGCCCACAGCAGCGCACATTGTCCCATCTAGTCCCCTATCTATCCAAAATCCAAAACTCAAAGTCTTATCTCAGTTTAATAGCTGGGAAGAATCTCGGCCCCGCAAAGCCCTTCGCGACAACACTCTGAATATCAATATTGCTGGTAGCGCTGTGATGCGGACTCCACATCTTCAGCAAAATAAAGCGACCACTGACCGGAGGGTCGAATTTTACCGTACACTTGCTCTTATCTCTCTCAATAAAGAACCTTGCATGCGGAGCCATCAACTCGCCCCCCACTGCTCTCACTGCCTCCTGCGTCGCAATCTGGGATGCTTCTGCAGCTTCGGCTAGGGTGAAGTTGGAGGCTGTTTCGCGGCGATGAGAACTAGGTGGTCGCATCCCGAGCAGGTAATCCTCGTGCCATTCCGGACTGTTTGATTCTTCATCACTAGCATCGTTGTTTTCGAAACGCAGACCCAAGATGCGGTGCAACGTACGCCGGCGAGCAGCTTGATGTGGGGTTTCTTCGCCTTCGGAGTCGCTGCATTCGGTGGTTACCCGGAATGGGGGAGCGTTGGTTGTGAAATCTGGCGGGATTTGCGCGGTGCGAAAATCGCAGTCTTCATCTTGGAGGCCGATATCGTAGAGACGGCGTGCTCGCGCTTGAGCGGTAGTCATACTACCGTCTATGTTGTGCCGGATGGACATTATGGGTGGGAGGTCAGAGTTGGACCCGCGACGTCGCTCTCGTGGCGGCGAGTATTGGATTTGGTATTGGGCAGTTCGGGTCAGAAGGTCGTCGGAGGTCATGGATACGAAGACCATTCCTTCTTGGACGCTTGGGGATGTTAGTATCAATTTGCGGAGCGTGAGGGATGAACTTACGGAGCGGTATAACCAGAATGTGGTGCTTTGATAATCAATTCTTTGAGAGAGAAGACTGTTGCGCCTTGATGTCGAAGAACCAGATTGCATCGATTGCTCTTGGTGCAATACACTGTGGCATCATTCTTCAAAATGTTCTCAGCAGAATAATTTCCGCCGTGTCCCTGAAATATCCCTCCATCGCAGCTGACAATCTCCATCTTCAACTTGCCGGGTTCCACCTGCCCATATCTCCCGTAGCTAAATCCAGCAAACGACGAGTCCACTCGGTCGTCATCTACCTTGCGCCGCTTGGCTCGACGATTATGCTCAGCCTCGCTCGAGTAATCCTCTTCTAGAGTGGGCGACGATAGATTAGGGACAGGATCGTCCAGAAGAGCCCGTAGGTTCGAGCTTGCCGCTTCTAATTGCCTTCCAGCTCGTTGTAAACCTGCGAGACCACTGCGGCTTTCTCCCCTCGGTCCAGAATTCTCATTGTCTGCGCCGCTTTCTCCACTGAGGGCCCGCTGTCTTTCCAGATATCGTTCACTGGCTGAACTCCGCAATCTACCACGTCGAGCAGTCATACCGGCAAGTCTCATAGCTGCCCTATCGCGAGGCATTGGCTCAGGAGGGCCGCTTGGTTGAAAGGGTGGCAAGACATAAAGGGGCGAGGCATCTCGGGCTGCCTCTCTCTGCAGCCTCTCTGTCCTCTCCTGATCATCATCTGAGGCCATTGCATGCAAAATTGGATGTCTCGGATTGGTTCGATTCAGGATTGCTCTGCGATGGAAGCGTTCTATGACCCTGTATAATTCTCCCGAGGGGCTGATATCAGCATCAGATACCTGGTTATTGTCGAGTATTTCCCGTACGATAAGGTCTGCTGTCTCGTGGGGAGAGTCAGAGGCAGGCGGACTATCGTAGTTGCCGGACTGGATCATGATTAGCAATTTTTCTTTTATCAATTGCTGGAGTTTACATTGGAACAGGGGCTCTCACCATCAGTGACAAAGGCCTCGGCATGTAGCCAAGGGGAGTTGGGGGCAGTGGAGTTAGCTCAGGAGGCGAGAAAACCACCGCCGGTAAAGAGTAATGCAATGGACAGTACAAGACAGTACAATTGTCCTTGCACAGATGCTATATGGTGTTGACCAGACTCGAGTAACGGAGAGATGTCGTGTTGGAGGTCGGAGTCTCTCGCCTATGTTGTACTTTACTCCGTGCAGTATTCGCATCTTTGTGGGGTTCGTCCATCCTCATTGGACGGACAAAGTGACGTAGAATCCGCCTCACGCGTTAAGAATATATCCACTCACCCTTGAACCGTGTGTGTTTGTTTGCTTTGAGATTCACTTGCGGCTATCACAGACAAATTTTCTGTGCAATATCTCAACGGGACTAAGCGGGACGGGTTCGGGAATGACTTCATTCTTTTCCTAGAACACCAGAAAATCGGGGGGTGTCAACAAGTTCACGTTCTTCTATCGTTCCTGATCCTAAGACCAAATCGCAACCATGGAAACGCTACCAGACCAAACACTTCAGGGCGAGATGGGCGGCATCTTAGGCGCTTCAGCTACAGCTCCAGAAGGCATCAGCGCTGGTATAATCCCTCATCTACTCCATTGACATCCAACTAACTTGCGCAGATGAAATTGCCCTTTACGATCGACAAATCCGTCTCTGGGGCGTCCAAGCCCAGGAGAAAATCCGCAGCGCCAATATCCTCCTCATAACCATGAGAGCGCTCTCCAACGAAATCGCGAAGAACCTTGTATTAGCTGGAATCCGCTCCCTCACAATTGTCGACCATGCTCTCGTCACGGAGTCCGATCTAGGCGCACAATTCTTCGTCTCCGAATCTGACATTGGGAAGAATCGCGCTGAGGCCGCTGCTCCAAACATTAGGAAGTTGAATCCCAGGGTGATCGTGAACGTGGATCAATCAGATATCAAGACGAAGGGGCCCGATTATTTTGGGAGTTTCGATGTGGTCATAGCTACAGATTTGCACCCGGACAGCTTGAACATTATCAATACGGCGACGAGATTGAATCACAAGCCATTCTATGCGGCTGGCGTTCATGGCTTCTACGGGTTCATTTTCTCGGATTTGATTCAGCATGACTACGTGGTGGAGAGGGAGAAGAGTAATAGGCCGACCCTGTTAGAGCCAGAGACCAGAACGCGTAGTGTGGTGGATGTGAAGACGAAGAAGGAAAATGGGAAGTTGATTGAACTGGTTACGAAGAGGGAGCTATATTCTACCTGGTTCTTGGCAAGTGATGCTGCCAGCCTGCCAGCCGAGTACTTGAAGAGCAGACGTCGACTTAAGGCCGTAACCCCAATCCTCTCTTGCCTCCGCGCTCTCTGGGAATTCCTTCAGCTTCAAGACGGACGGTTACCCAGCACGACTGAGGATCTGAAGATTTTCACCGTCAGCGCAACACAAAAGCACAAAGCTCTTGGTCTACCAGACGAAACATTACGGTCGGAGGTCCTGCGGAAATTCTTGCAAAACCTTGGAAAAGAGATCGCCCCCGTTACTGCTGTACTTGGTGGCCAGCTTGCTCAAGATGTCATCAACGTCCTCGGTTGTCGCCAACAGCCGATCCAGAATATGGTGCTCTTTGATGGAGATACGATGGAAGCGCCGATGTATGCATTGCATCCCGAGGGTGCGCTTGGCGAGGGATTGCTGCCACTCTCTTCTGGTGCGGAAAGTGGTGCAATCGTGAATGGAGGCGCTGCGGCGAATACCGGCGCCGGCTTTCAGCCTGATATTATCCAGGTCTAGATTTTCCATACCAAAAATCGGATAGGGTAGGATATACCGGAGTAGCTGGCGTTCTGTGGATATGGAGTTAGTTCGATGATCGGTTGAGATCGACATCTTGAATAAAGATATTCAATCATGACCGTCTCTGCCTTCGTCTTGCTCGTTTTCCTCGTTTTCGTGAAGTCCATCCACATCATCCTCGTCCACCTCCTCTGCCTCTTCCTCTTCCTCCTGTTCATCCTCATCCCAATCCGTACTTTGATTTTCGTCTTCAACAGAGGATTCGTCTTCGCTCTCACTGCTGCTATCCCCTCTCTTCCTCTTATCTCCTCCGTTCACCTCGGCCACATCCCCCTTCCTCATGAAAATGTAACTCCTACTCTCCCTCTCCTCACCCCTCCAACCACCACCCTCCTTGCCGTCTTTCCGCTTAACCACTCCCAACGTCCGCGCATGCTTGTACCCTGGGTAGGCTTTTGCCTGAAACTTAAAGCTCCTCTCAACCTGGAGTCCCGAATGTCGTGCTAAATCACGGATATTCCAGAGCGTGTACGGCACTCCTTCGAAGAGCGTGACTATGATTGAGCCTCCAGGCGCTAGAGAGGTGAGAGCATTCTTGAAGAATGCCACTAAGAGTTCTGTTTTATTTACGTTAGCTGGGGCGGTGGGATTCGTGAAATAGGCAGGGGAATAGGAAAATGCAGGAACGAACCTTGGTTATACCTAACCTGACGGTTGACATCCGTACTCTTTCCCCCCACGTGGGGAAAATTGAAGAACACTCTATCTATCTTCCCACGTACATCTCTCCACAGCGGTCCGAATTTTGTAGCATCGACACCATATCTCACTATACCTGCCCCGTTCTCCACCGCGGCTATGTTCTCGCCAACATGTGGGTATTTTCCCTCTAATTCCTCTCTCGACTCAAACACTGTAGCCGTAATGTTCTTACAGCCATGGCTCTCGACCAGCGAGCGCGCGAAACTAAGGTCGCCTTCACCAATCAATAGAATCCTATCAACAGGCGAGAAAGGAATGGTGGGTTTCGTGTGTTGCTGCTGGACATGCTTCTTCTTTTTTTCTTGCGGTTGGGGTTTGGTTATCCCAGTCGGTTTCCCTCCCTTCCCAATGGCCCTGCTCTTTGCAGATTTCCCCTTGGGATTCGAAGAGAGTTTCTGCCGCTTGTTCTTCCCCATTGTGCCTTCCTTCTGCTGCGTCCCTCGATTCCAGAGAAACCTTGACGTCGCTAGTTCTCTGTCACGGAAATTTCGCGCTGCGCGTTGCGGGCGCGGCTGAACGTCTCCTGGGCACGTGATGATAATTCTCGGTGCCGCCGTGCGAGGTTGACTCGGTTCGACTCCCACTCATCCAAAATCCGTCATCGATGCTAGGAAATGACGGGGAAGAGCTGCCTTGTCGCGAGGGAACTCGTAGTTCGAGGTTTAAAGTGAAGCATGGATTGCTCCGTCAAAAAGAGCATGTATACTGCTTGCTCTCCCCAATTTCTCGGGTGCTTTGTGAGAGCACACGTTCTCTTCTTGCCTTATGGCGTTTCCTTTGCTGTTAGACTTACTGGAGGTATTTACAATTACCCTTTTAATCTCTCAATTTTGCATCCTTCATCAGGTTGATCAGAACCCCTTGGTTCCCCTTCTTCAAAATATCGTTTCTTCTCGTACGCAGAATCTTCAGATCCTAACAATGATTCCCCCTGCTCTGTATCCACTCTCGTGAATCCAGAACTTACCAAAGAGCAGGAGAGGATAGTAACGCCAGTGACGAAATGACTATAATGGTGCAAGTGTCTAGCTTATAAGAAGGCAGCTGCAGGCTTTCTCATAGAGTCAAGCGGTATTCCTCAATTTTCGAAATCCCTACGGAAGATGCGTGAGGGAAATAAAACTCTGGGCTCATTTACTGGATTATACTATCTGAAGTTTACGAGAACTTCTCTTAGAATGAGTTTGTAACTTCGAAGTGAAGAATAGAGTGAACGACGATATCTACACTGATGCCAAGCATATCAACTAAGTATCTCGGTGTCATAGCGGCGCTCCCCTTTCTAGCAATTATTCTTCTACTGAAATGCTCTTCCAAACCGGTACTTAAAACCTAGTCGCTAGCTCACTCTCTTCAATTCCCTGTATCAGGTAAGGGCATATTCTGATACCTCGTGTGGTAGCAAGATCAGCGAGAAGCCCCCCTGAATTCTGAACCAGGTCCAAACATCTGCCTTCCTACCTCTGCACTACTCTCTTATATTAGCTGATATTTCATCGCGTGCGCAAAAGACATCCAGAGAGAGGCTTATTGTTCTTCTTCTGGCTAGGTAATTATAGTGAAACTTCCCTCCGGTCTCTTTCCTTCCTTGTTCCACCTATCTCATCTCTCATCCACGTACCACAAGTTCGCTCAGAAAAAAGACCAGGCCGAGAGCAGCCCCCTTCTCTACCGAATGTTGTGGTAGTACAGTACTTTCAATACAATGCTATGTCCGGCCTTTTACAGGTGTCAATAAGCCCATCCGTATAACGCCAATAAAGGAGCAACCAACGACTCCGCGTCAAGACTGTATTCTGGTGTTTCCTTCGTCCCCCCCTTGTTGTCATCCTCCGTCCAACAGCACTCAATCTCTCATCGCAACATAGCTCCAACTTTGGCATCTGTCAGAGAAGATGAAGCTCCGGACTTCTTGTCGTCGACAGGCTCTTCAACGGCGTTGACTTCTAGGAAGTGATAGAGGATGATGAGGAGCATAGCAGCAGACCCCAGAAATATCGCAAGGCGGTAAAGCTCATCGTCTGAAATCATTTTGGTCTCGCTGTGCTCAATGATAGGACAATGATTCAAGGGATGCTCTGGGAAGCTCTTGGGAGGCCGCGTAACGTATTGGGCGCAAGATTCACTGCTGGTACGAGAGACTGAGAAACATATTAGAACGGTTCATGCAACATAGTCTCATTATACACGGAAATCCCTCGTACCTGCAGAAACTATGTCCACATTAATTGCCTGCTCGTCTTTCAATGCGCCGACGTTTTGGTGATGAGGCCACTTTGAGGCTTGGAGCTATGGAACCGTACCCCCATACTCGCTTACTAAGCAATATCGCTAACTTCGCCACTTAGCGCTTCCCCCACCATGTTGAAGATCGTGCGTATTTCGCCATGGTCAATTCAAGAAGTCCAAGTCACTCGAGATCCATCAACGCCCCACCCACAGTCCTTTCCCTGTCTTTGTACATCTAGAAATCATTGTCGCGTCGAGCTAATCTAAACCCTCTGGTCAAATCCTCATTATATCTGTCATCTCGCCAAGATGCCTCCCAAGAAAGGGGACAAGGGCAAAAAGCCCTCTGCCGCGAAGATCGTAGAGGATAAGACCTTTGGCTTGAAGAATAAGAAGGGTGCACAAACACAAAAGCAGATTGCCCTGATGCAACAATCGGCTAAGGCTGGTGGTACCCCCGAGGAAAAGAGGAGAGCTGCGGAAAAGGCACAGAGGGAGAAAGAGAAGGCCGCAGCAGAGCTCGCGAGGAAGGAGGCGGCGGAGCTATTCAAACCGGTGCAGGTTCAGAAAGTCCCTTTTGGTGTGGACCCGAAGACCGTCCTGTGCCAATTCTACAAGAAGGGTCATTGCGAGAAGGGGAAGAAGTGCAAATTCTCTCATGATTTGAACGTTGAACGGAAAACAGAAAAGAAAGACCTGTACCAAGACACTCGAGAAGACGAAGAAGCTAAGAAGAGGCAAGAGACATCTGAAGATTGGGACGAGGAGAAACTTAGGACTGTGGTCCTCTCCAAGAAAGGGAATCAGAAGACGACAACCGACAAAGTTTGCAAGTACTTCATTGAAGCAGTTGAAGAGGGTAAATACGGCTGGTTCTGGACTTGTCCAAATGGAGGGGACAAGTGCATGTATCAGCACAAGTTACCACAAGGGTATGTATTTCTCCTTTCCTTTTCAGACGTAGAAGTTTTACTGACAATACATCAGCTTCGTCTTGAAGACAAAGGAACAGCGGGCTGCAGAAAAGGCTCTCATGGATAAGTCTCCGATGAAGACTCTTACACTAGAAGATTTCCTCGAATCCGAACGACACAAGCTCACTGGCAAGCTCACCCCTGTCACACCAGAGACATTTGCGAAATGGAAAAGAGAGAGACTGGACAAGAAGGCTGCCGAAGACCAGGCACGACTTGCTAAGGAAGCTACGGGCCGCGCCATGTTTGAAAAGGGTGACTGGGAGGCCAGTGGCGATGAGGATGAATCAGATGATGATGGTGACGACGCATGGAATATGGAGAAGTTGCGCCAAGAGACAGAGGCTTTACGAGAGAAGAAAGAAGCTGAACGAATAGCGGCATATGGCAAGGCGGCGGCAACGAATGGTGACAACGGCGTTCTGGGTCACATTGAACCAGACATCCATGGAGCTGATGATAAAGGCGAGGCATCATGAGCCTTCAACTGGCAAGATGATCATCTTTAACAGCTAGAAATCTTCAAACTAGCGTCATTAAGGGATACGCCCTCACGACAATATCAGGGCACTCGCAGGAGCAGATTCCGGATAAAATGTACGTATGCACTAGGAGAACCATATCGGCTTTCAGATCATTTACACAATGAATGAATTCCCGAACATCTTAGGACGTCATGGAGCTTGCAGACCGTATCTATAGCGAAGACAGCCCTTGTGGCCTCACGATGAGAATATACAGTCAATAGATGAAGGATGCAGATGACACCAATCAGCCCCATTATTGATTCAATGTCTGGACCGTATCAGATCCATCAAGCAATCAGCCCAAGTTGAGTTACATATAGTATTTCTCTGGGTTCTATAGCTTCTGGAAATTGGTGGCTTGGTTCTAGTGACCCGGTCGCCAAGTACAGAACAGTATCCTACCCCACAGTTTTACTTTCATCAACTCCCTTTGATCTAGTTCATTTACCTTCTTTATTCCACAAAAGCCATATAAATCATGAGCTACATTCCTCTCTGCTCGAATGCATGTGCACTGTGTGGCTAGCGCAAGTTCTTATTCCTTTCTTCCTTGTTGACACTCAAAAGAGCACTCATGCATGATATCATTCTAATACCGTCCTGGGCAACGTCTACATATCTAGTAGACTAATATCTCCCAGTGAAGAGTTGTGTACTGGCATTTGACAGAAGACATATACTGACTGCTTCTCAGACAAGTGCTTGGTTAATCATGTGTGAACTTATCCACAGTTCGGAAATAAGAAACATCACGTAGTGTTCAAAAATGGGACTGGATCATGCTTGAGACTCTGTTGGTATAGCTAGCAGTGCTTTGAGGATAGGATAGGATGTGTGAAAATTGGCAAGAGGATGAACCTGTGATATTTGACGGTTTATCATACCTATGAAGTCGCGTACGAGTGAAGGAGCGTCGCCGACTCGCCATATCGCTTATCCGCGCAAACTTGCTCATTTCTAAAAACTTGCGCACCGCAAGGGCTCTATCTGGGCACATTACGATGTGTACGCACTTTGTGATTGGGCTGGCCTTACGGATTGTGACAGCTTCCTACAACAAACCTCTCTTGTTGGGTGAAGTCTACCTACGTTTCCACATATCCAACACTGCCTCTATTGGCTTTCTTCACATGAAACATCCTGATAATGTAGTTTGGAACAACGCAGTTGCTGCCTGCTGGTCTATCGATCCTGGGGAGTGCGGCAGCTGATCTGTCGATCAAGGGGGTTATATGAAAGCCAACTATGATGGAGGTTCCGGTGTTTTCTTTTGTTCCTCTTAGTTGGTACCTCCTTGAGAAGTAACCTATCTCAATCGCTTTCAAGTCCGTGTCAAAATGCCTATCATCAATGGCATCAAATACTCTTGTGGTAGTTCTTCCAGTTCCTCGAGTTAAAATTTATTTTCATTGGTGCTTTGGTCAGGGCCTCGATATACTGCACTTCCATGACTGATACCAGTTTAGAACCATGTATCCGCGGTCACCGGGCAACATCTTGCGCACATCCGGACAGAATCCTAGTCGAGGTTCGAAAGCCTGGGAGACCTCTTCAGAGCTGTGGCCATAAGTTGGATACATGTGTTTGTGGAAGGCTTGCGGAGGCGTTCAAAATTGGTGACAGTAAGTTGATATCAATACCGATGGCCCTTTTAACGACCAACTTTTCTAACGTGCTTTAGTCCTCCCGAAACCTGCAAACCAGCACCCTGTCAAAGAACCAGGGTTAGTAATAGAAGCATCTACGAATCCTAGATCGGGTCCCTCATCTGGAAAATCAAAACCTCGTCGGACCGATCAGTCAAAGGTGGCCAAGAGAACGAAAACAAAACCGACGGTACCGACACCACCCATAGAGAAGGGTTTCGGCGATCCTTTAAACTTACCAAAGAGTGGTCAGGTTACGAATCATGCCAGACTTCAGGAAGAGATTCACCAATCTGAACTGCTGTCAACAGTTTCCCCGAGCTCCTATTCTATGGAGGGCAGGTTCGCAGCGTCTCCTAATCCCCCCGGTTGGCAGCCTACTTCATCTCCGCCAACAATACTGCCACCAATCACTCCTTTACTCGGCAACGTTGACCTGATAAATTACCATGATAGAAAAGGTCTCGAAGATGTCTCCATAGCGGCCAATGTACCTTCTTCATGGCGCGATTCAGTCTCAGGTCAGTCGTACGTTCGACCACAGTATATTCTGTCAACGCAAGATTCAATGTGGCGGTCAACAAACTAGCCAGAGCATAAAGTGGAATTCAAAGCCCTGCTGAGTAGCGAGAGAGTGCTGTGACTGCCGCGAAGCAGGTCCGTGGTCTCATGTTCCTTGTTACATTGCTGATAGCGTCTCTGTACGAAGCATGAACCCCCTGCTTTGCCAAATATCTGAGAACATTCAAGGGGAAAAGGGGGAACTGAGGATGGATGTGACTCATGTGAGAAGTCTTCTGGGAGTTCGTGCACATACAGATAATAGCTGTGAGGAAGAGGGGTAAGTCTAAAAGCAGCGAATGGCTTTAGAGGCTGAGGGCGGCAAGGAAGAAGGAGGCCAAGGCATTTCCAGTGGGTAGGAAATAAATAGGAAATCAAGATTGTTGATACCGTACTCCTTTACTGCTTCTCAAGTCCCAAGACTGTGAGTCGGAGAAGTCGATAATTGCCAGGGCATAGTATGTAATTGAGGAATGATGCCGTACCTCCCTTTCCAAGCAAGCTATGCATTTGAAGCCCTGTGGGAGTAAACTTGAAATCAAAAAGAATGGAACAAGTAATACATCAAGATATTGTATGTTGCTTATCAGACATGGGCAGGCACTGTACGGACTACGGAGGTACCGAATTGGGGATGGACCCCTGAACCTGAACCAGGTCCCGCCTCGGGGAGCAGTTAAAAAAAAAAGAAAAAGATATGTCCAGATTGGACATCGGGAAATTTGAACGCTAGCGTTGGACGTGCTGGGAATCGAACCCAGGACCACCTCTAGGTACGCGGATACAGGTGTATTAGATACAGACGTATGCTTGCTAAAGAGGTATTATACCACTAAACCACACGCCCATGGTTATTGTTGGTGTTGTGGGAACCAAAAGCTGTTATATGCGCGGTGTCGGACCTTGCCCTAGGATGTATCAAAGCCTAAAGAGGAATTAGCGAAAACAAACGAGACCTTAAGCGAGACTGACCATTATCACGCAGTTACCTTACGTCAGCGCGAGCTCGAGGTACCTATGTACCTTAACTTACCTAAGGTAAGGTACCTATCGAGCTCATCCAACCTCCCAATATCAGCCCATTTCCCTTATCTCCTCCAACATACTTTTCGCATCTGTATATATCCTTTAATGTTGATCTGATACAGACCAATTTTATTCAAAACGGTCACGTCCTTGGCCTCCGCAATGTCCTCATCTCGGACTCCACTCCTTAGTCACGACAGCGCCTCTATCAGCTCTATCAGCTCTATCAGCTCGTCCAGTTCTCCCTCCACCGCCGCGCAGAAATCACAACGCCGGCAACGAGACATAACTCGATATGTCGCCTTCTCTTCCGCAATCCTCTCGTGCCTGTGCGCGGGCTCCATCACCGCATTCGCTCTATACGGTCATCTCTTCCAAGAACGCTTACATTACACGCAACTACAAGTCAACACCGTGAGCATCGCTGCCGAACTCGCCCTCTACCTCCCTGTATCCCTGTTTGGCTATCTGTGCGACCGGCTGGGACCTGCTCCTCTGTCATTCATATCCGCGTTGATGTTCGGGGCCGGATATCTGCTCGCAGCACTCACATATAACAGCGGAGCGAAAGATGTTTCCGGGTATACACATGAGAGAGGTTGGCCCTTATGGGTTATGGTAGTGGCATTCATCATCATAGGATTTGCCACTACTTGTATGTATCTGAGTGCTATTACGACCTGTGCGAAGAATTTCGGGAGAGGGAAATATAGAGGATTGGCATTGGCGTGTCCAATTGCGGCATTTGGATTGAGTGGCATGTGGCAGAGTCAAATCGGAAGTAGGATTTTATATGAGAGATTACCCGATGGAAAGAGGGGAGATGTGGATGTTTTCAAATTCTTTCTCTTCCTGGCTATTACACTGCTGGCGGTGGGTCTGCTTGGAAGCTTTTTACTGAAGATTGTGGATGAGGATGAGTTGATTGATGAGGCGGTCGAAGAGCTAGAAAGAAGTGGACTATTAGAGGACAGCGGGTTTTCTACAAGAGCAAATGGCTACAGGACTTATGGGTCTGTTGAGGATGGGGTTGATGATGAGGCCGCTGAAGCTCGGCGTTTGGGCGAGGCAAAGGCCCATGAAGAGGAGGAAGCGCGAAAGAAGGCTTGGCTCTTGAATGAAGAGACACGGCGCTTTCTCAAGGACCATACAATGTGGTGGCTTGCGGCGGGATTTTTCTTCGTTTCTGGTACGTTTTCACAGCATGGGGGTTTGATACAAACTGACTCATTCCCAAAGGTCCTGGAGAAGCATTCATGACAAATCTTGGCACCATCATTGGAACCTTATATTCCCCCACAACCGATCCTTCCGAGGTTCCAACCTCTGCTGCTACACACGTCTCAATCGTTGCTTTTACTTCTACGGTGGCTCGAATCCTATTCGGAACACTGACCGACATGCTAGCTCCTGTTTCTACCAGTAATCACATGCAGTCTGCGAGCAACTCACTCGCGTCATTACCGCCTCAGAGGGGGCGGTTTACTCTCTCTCGTATCAACTTTCTCCTCCTTGCAGCACTTTTCCTATTCTTGGGACAGGTTCTCCTCGCCTCAGGATTAATCCAGAACCATGGGGAGCGATTCTGGATGGTATCTGCGCTTATAGGCTCCGGCTATGGCGCTTTGTTCAGCTTAACGCCTCTCATAATCACCATCATCTGGGGTGTAGAAAATTTCGGTACAAACTGGGGAATCGTGGCCATGGTTCCTGCCGCGGGAGCCCTCGTCTGGGGGATTGTGTACTCCACAGTCTATGGGTGGGCTGCGAAGAAATCGCCTCATATTCCGGGCACGGATGACGGTGTATTATGCTACGGAAAGCAATGCTATGCGGGTACGTTCTGGGCAATGGCCGCTAGTATTGCGATTGGCAGTCTACTCTGGGTTTGGGCTTGGAAAGGTCGAGATGGTTGGAGCAGAAGAGGAATTGCCGTCTGAAACTGTATAGGTAGGACATAATACAAAACTATCTGTCCAGCTTTTGGGCAAGATTATCTTCACCTGTTGCCCTTGTAAAGCGGGACCTTTTCAGTTGCTGAATACGTGCAGGCTTAGTAGCCGCTGCAGATGGTGCCCAGTTATAGATACAGTAGGTAAGGAGTTCGTTTTGCGGAAGCTTCAAGGTCCATAGTCGGTATTCTTTTGCAGTCACTATAGAGCTCTAATCACTACAAAGCTTATGGTCAAGTGCAGCAGAAACGGCTTTCTGGGCAGAGGAACAAGAGATTCTTTATTCCGCATGTTGCACATACATCCTTTTTTTGCTTGGCGGTCGATGGACAGAGTGTCACATCCATATACTATATATACTAATTATATCTCAGTATGCCCCATCTTCTCTTCTCCCCATCTCGATTTTCAACTTCAACACGATGGCCCATCCCGTCTGCGTTTCAAAAAGGCCGAGATCGTTCTCCGTCCTGAACGTCACTTCATCGGCATTAACATCCATCAACACCCTATCTTCTCCACTCGAAGTGGCCATATCCTCACCCGGATAAACTTTAGCATCTCGGTCCTGCGTCAAAATTGGGCTTTCACCACTACTCCTAGTGGCACGCTTCATCCTCCCCCATCTCCATCTTCCACTACTCTCAGCCTGTTCCTGCGCCTGTTCACTTGCTTTGATTTCTGTTTCCTCTTTCCTGGGCGACCACTCCTTCCTGGCCAAGTCAGGAGGAGGGGCAGGTCTCAAATACGCCGCCAACCTTCCTGCCATCTCCTCATCTTTCCAATACCACAGATCCTCCTCATTCCATCCCCCGACCCCGTCCACAGCTTCTCTATCCCGCACCCTCGCAACGCCATCATATTCCCGCGGATCCCTAAAATCATACTCCGCGGGCCTGGCACTCTGATCCGGCAACGCGCTCGCAGGGACTAATATCAGAGTCCCGCGTTGCTTGCCGGACGCCGCGAAATCAGAGAAGAAGGTTTGGATCTCGGCGGCGAGGAGGGAGAGCATCTTCTCGTCTTGCGCTTGCGAAAGGAGGGATCGTTTGGTTTGCAAGGTGCTGATTTCCCTCGTGAGGGAGAGGAGTTGGGTGTGGATGTTGGCGCTGTAGTATTGGGTTGTGGGGGATGGGAAGTTGCATGTTGGTTCTGTGTAGGAGGGTGGTGCGGCCTCCTCAGCGTGAGTGAGTGGGAGAGAGGCTTTGGAATCCATTTTGGTGTTCGTGGGGAATAGAATCCTGAAAGAAAGAGAAAGTGATCCTTCTCTAACTCTTGGGAATGGTAACACTAGGGTTCTCTTGACGTTGATGACGGTTTGCGCTGTTCAGTGATCTAAAGATCACCGAATCCTGGGCCTGATACGCAATAATGACGATGATTCCCGGCCAGCGGTTATTGCTCAGCCGTAGATCATGGCAGGAATGCAGATGGAAGTCTGGGGTTCTCGTCGCCCACAAGACCATTGAAGGATTCAGAGCCCGCCCGCCTGCAAATCCTCCTTGCCGTCTTACCGGCATGGATGGTCTTGGAATGCGGGAATTATTACATATGAGAATTAGACGGCAGATACCCAGGAAAGCCCAACAAGGCTGCCGAGCTGTATGGTTTCGGAGACGGGACGATATACTGCTGCCTAAGGTTTGTAAGGCTGTCAGCTGAGCTTCTAGAAGGATAAGAGAAGCTAATGTAAGGCTGATCGCTTGGCGCCCAGTTGCGCTAGTACCCGTACGGGGTAGCGGGGATAGCTGCCCGTGGGGTCAGGATAATGGTAAGCCTTGCGCTGTTAACGCTAGTGGTTCACAAGGCTCCCTCACGCCTCACGCCTCACATTTTACATGAAGCAATTGCGAGCCTTCATATGCACTGCCACTGCGTTTCCCGCTTCCGCGTATCTATCCGGTAGGATTTCTTTCAGACGCGGATTGCTTAGTGCTCTCGTTAGAAAGCTCACAGCCGTGTGTCCTACAGGCTACAGCGTGCCAATCGAGCCGAGTGATAGAGCCCGCGGGTTGCAGCTTTCAGCCTTGTTGTTGATTGGCGCATATGATGCTACTAGCAATCAAGGGAGGTATCGGTCCCTTAGGTATTTTGGACAGGTCACAGAAGATCCGTACCTCTAGTGGTAACAATTTTACCTATATGACTCTCAAATACTTACCTACCTTACGTACCTTACCTTAGTTATCAGAACATAAACCCTAGGCAGTACAGTCAGTAACCAATCCTTGAGGCTTGAGTTGCGTTACTCACCCCGTGATCCACTCACTTAGGAGCCTCTACCACAGCTACTCGGCCTGAGTCGCCAAGAACGCCCAGCCTCTTCATCTTGCCCAATCTTCTACATAAACTCGCAACTTCCTTCATCTTTCTTCCTTTGTCCTACTCTTCTCATTAATCTGGGAACTTCACAAGAATACCTCAACCAAACCATTCAAGATGGCTTACAAAATTGCCAGCGCGGACGAGTACCTCGCCATCACTGGCGCTGGTATCGACACAGTCAAGATCACCAAAAAAGCTATGATCTGGCCTTTGCAAAGAGTAAGGTCTTCCCCGTCGGCTCCGTGCACCTGCTAATCCAAACAAGTGCCATAAATTCAGCATCCAGCCACAGGATTACTCGATCAATTTACAGACGATGACTCGCGAGAAACTCCAATTCCTTCTCCCGGTAGTTTTCACCATCGGCCCTGATGTTAATCGGCGTGGTGCACGTGGCAGACGGGAGGATCTCGGCGATGCTCCTGAGGATCTCGGTGATGCCCTCATGAAGTTTGCTATGCTTCTTGCCGAAGGAGAGTCCAAAGGAGGCATCACTGGGAAGCAGCATATCGAGAACATCGTAAAAGGTATCATCGAGGGTGAGACTCGAGTCCTTGTCAGTTCCCTCACAATGGAGGAGATATTTTCGGCGCGAGAGGAGTTCAAGAGGCGGATCTTCCGCAATATCCAAAGCGAACTGGACCAGTTCGGTCTGAAGATCTATAACGCAAACGTCAAAGAGCTTCGTGATGCCCCAGAGTCGAATTATTTCAATTCGCTCTCCAAAAAAGCCCACGAAGGGGCTATCAACCAAGCTCGTATTGATGTGGCTGAAGCACAACGCAGAGGTAATGTCGGGGAAGCTCAACGGGTAGGAGAGCAAAACCGTGAAATTGCCAAGATCAACGCGGAGACGGCGGTTCAAAAGACTGAGCGAGATAGCGAGAAAGCCAAGGCAGAGGCCACACTCGCGACACGTAAGGCCGAATACAAGAGAGACGTCGACATTGCGCAGATCGAGGCTACTCGAGCCACCGAAGCTCGTGACGAGGAGCTCCGGAAGGCAGTAGAGGTCAAGCGTGCTCAAACCGAGTTGGAAAGACTGAGAGCAAGCGATGTCGTGAAGGCTACCATTCTCAGGGAATCAAAGCAACAAGCAGCTGACGCAAAGAACTACGAGGAGCAAGCTCGGTCCAATGCTGCCCTCTACTCTGAGCAGAAGGCCGCGGATGCCCATGCCTACAAGGTCAAAGCCCAGGCTGAAGCAGCATACATTTCTGCTGCCAAAGAAGCAGAAGCAAGACTTATCTGCCAGCAAAAGGAAGCTGCCGGTATCTCCGCTATGGCAAACGCTTATGCGGACATGTCCCGTGCATTCGGCGGCCCAGCTGGCCTGATTCAGTACCTCATGATTGAGAAGGGGGTGTATGTCGATCTTGCTAAGGCAAATGCCGATGCTGTCCGTGGCTTGAACCCTAAGATGACAATATGGAATACTGGTGCGCAAGCTGGTAGTGAAGGAAGTAGTTCCCAAGGCACGGGAATGGGAGGAATAGACAGCATTCGTAACGTAAGTAAAAGCCTCATCTCTGTATGAACAAGCAGTACTGACTAGACTTCTAGCTGTATCAGATGCTGCCGCCTCTGATGTCCACAATCAATGAGCAGTCTGGAGTTGTTCTTCCAGAATGGCAGTTTGGAAAATTGGCCGATCAAATATCGCAGGAAGAAGTCAACGGCAAGGGAATCACTGGCCTAGGCACCAACGGAAAATAAATTGAGCGATTTGATGGATACCCACGTTCTTTGGTGGCAAGTCACCTTTTCCTTTGTTGTACGATGCGAATAAGTTTCAGTGGGGTGGGGCTTTAGGGTGCACCTGAGCTGCAGCCACTTGCTCGTTGATTAACTTTGAGTTCGAATCGGTGAAACATTTGCGTTGAGTTGAGGCAATGAGTTCTTTCCTTCATTCTTCGATATCCGTGTATATAGCGCAAATAGTAATACTACCTGTCTTTGAGTCTTGTACCACTGTCTCCGGTCTGGTAATGAACCGCAATGGGTATCTTTCCATGAAAAGTACCCAGTAACGGTTATATCCTGATAAATGTGGGTTGAAATATTGACTTTGATGTTGGTTATGCAGTATCGAGCCTTGGTTTAAACTTCGAGGAGGTTCAGAGACTAGGCATCCCCACTTAGGACTAGTCGCCTGCGCCACAGCAAGCCACTTGGAGTTGTGAGCTATCATCGACAACGGACAAGGCAGACGATGGGATTCCCTGAAGAGGTGCCATGAATGTAGCTATCAATTGAGATGGCGCTGAACTCGGTAAGTCAATCGCCCGTCAAATGAAGCTTACAGGCTAAAGAAAGCAGTGGAAAACGTTCGATTTCTTCGAAGTCAGCCAAGTCAAACCGCCGGACGAGGAGGGCAAGTCCTTCGAGAGCAACGAGATCAGCTGTGTTTGCTCTGGATCAGGGAACCTGTTTCTCGGGAGCTACAATGGCATTGTACGGATTCTATCGTCATCGTTCAAGGTCGTGCGATCCTTCCAGGCGCACGATACGGGTTCGATTACACATATGAAGCAGGTGGAGGGCACGTCGTTGCTGGTTACAATAGCTGTATGGCTTCTATATACTTGCGCGTGCGGGGTTTGTACTGATACGGTATAGGAAGATATGCCCAATGAGCCTGTATTGAAAGTGTGGGCGCTGGACAAGCCAGTTAAGAAGACCGGACTGCCCACTTGTCAGTCGACGTTAAGCATCAGTAATGGCCGGAAACCGTTCCCGGTATGTATCTCGCATACAATCCCAAAAGTAGAAGCATAACAATTCCTCTAACCCTCTCAAATAGATATCTGCATTTACGGCTCTGGACGACCTTTCACAACTCGCAGTGGGTTTCGCAAACGGCTCCGTAACTATCATAAGAGGAGACTTGGTACACGATCGAGGCGCCAAGCAGCGCATCGTTCACGAATCGGAAGAACCTGTCACCGGTGTGGAGTTTCGGGTGGATTCAAGGCTCACGACTCTGTTTGTTGCTACTACAGCGCGCATTTTGAAGCTTGTCATCTCGGGACGGGGGCAGGGACAGCCCGCCCGGACTGTGGAGGATGCGGGCTGCGGTATTGGCTGCATGACAGTTGATGATAGAAACGGAGATATTGTTGTTGCCCGAGATGATGCTATTTACTATTATGGCGTCGATGGACGAGGTCCATGTGTTGGTTGCGATGGCCCAAAAAGTTTGGTGGCTATATATGAGGATTATGTTGCTCTCGTTTCACCACCTGCTACGAACACATCCTCAGCAAAACCAAGCACTCTTCGACAGTTTGGTGGTGCCCAAGCGGACGAAATCTTCAATACCTCGACTTTCACGTTACTAGATACGGATTTGAAGTTTGTTGCCCATTCGGAATCCATGGTCTCCCAAGTCAAGACCATGTTTACGATTTGGGGTGATCTATTTACACTCACACAAGATGGCAAGGTGTGCAATTCTACTCCTGAAAATTTTCAATTATTGACATTCCAGTAGATATTTCGGTATCACGAGAAACCGTTACAACAAAGATTGGAAATATTGTATCAACGAAATCTGTTCCTTCCTGCCATCAACCTCGCACAGAAATCTGGCATGGATGCGCAGCAACAGAATGCGATTTTCCGAAGGTATGGAGATTCTCTATATCAGAAGGGAGAATACGACAATGCTATGCAGCAGTATTTGAAAGCGATTGACAACACCGAACCTTCTCAGGTTATTCGAAAAGTAAAATACCAGACCTTCACTTGAAGATTCTTACTAATTTATCCAGTACCTCGATACCCAACGAATACATAATCTGATCGAATACCTTGAGGAATTACACGAGCATCATAAAGCAACTGCTGACCACACCACTCTGCTTTTGAATTGTTATGCAAAGCTTAAGGATATTGATAAGCTTGAAAAGTTCATCAAGTCGCCCGGTGATCTCAAATTCGACCTAGACACCGCCATCTCTATGTGTAGACAGGGTGGCTACTATGAACAAGCTGCATACCTTGCTACAAAGCATGATGAACACGAATTGGTTGTTGACATATTAATCGAAGATTCCAAGAAGTACGGGGAAGCGCTCCAATACATATGGCGCTTAGAACCGGAAACTGTGAGTTTATTCAATTTGCTTTGCTATCACATCCTCCTGAACTAAGTTTTCCGAGGCTTAAGCTCGAATGATTCATAATTTACTGACAAGAAGTAGGCATATTCAAATCTGATGAAGTATGCGAGGGTATTGCTAGAAAATTGCCCAAAGGAAGCAACGCAGCTCTTTGTTGACTACTTTACCGGTCACTATCGACCGAAGAAAGATGCTGTCACTGAACCCGCAGCGCAGCAGCCAGCCTATGGAGCTGGAGCTGTGAATGCTGTACAGTATGTTTATAATTTCCCCACCTTTTGCATAGCTGCGAGTTGTGGGAGTCTCATTGCTGCTGGTAAATCTAGCAGTCAAATCCTCTCACAACGTCCACATTGCTTCAAATGGAACATCCTTTCTTTTTGCGTTATCAATACTGACCCTATCTTCCAGGAACCTAAGAGATCTCCTCCCGCTCCCATACATGAACACCTCTGCCGTCACATCGCCACCAGCTCAAGGCAACGTCGTGCCCACTTTGAGCGACTCTCAAGTCGCAGAGAACGCAGATAATATATCAGCGCCCCAATACACCCCACCACAACCAAGGACTGCCTTTTCGTCTTTTGTTGACCACCCAGACGAATTCATAGTGTTTCTAGAGGCTTGTCTAAACGAGAAAGATCTCAAGGAACGAGATAAAATAGATCTCTATACTACCCTCTTCGAGATGTATTTGCATAAGTCAAACGAGAAGAAGGGTGCCAATAGGGAAGAGTGGGAGGCCAAAGCGAAGAGCCTTATTGAGGATAAGAACATCCCGATAGATACATCAAATGTCCTCTTACTATCTCACCTATCCGACTTCCGGGACGGCACCATTCTTGTCCGAGAACAGGCTGGTCTTCGATTTGATATCTTCCGCTCATATACCTCAGCAAAAGACACACGTGGCGCCATCAAAGCACTTCGAAAATACGGCCCGGAAGAACCACAACTCTACCCCGCCGCGTTAGCATACTTCACCTCCGACCCACGCATCCTAGAAGAGGCCGGCAGCGAACTAGATGCCGTGCTCAAGAAGATAGATGAAGATGGCCTAATGGCTCCCCTACAAGTCATCCAGACCCTGAGCACCAACGCCGTAGCGACAATGGGCATGGTCAAGAGCTACCTCCAGCAAACCATCGAGCGCGAACGGAAAGAAATCGCCTCCAACAGGCGTCTCATCGCATCCTACCGCACCGAGACCCTCGACAAGCGCCAGGAGATCTCCGACCTCAACACGAAGCCCCAAACTTTTAACGCTACGCGCTGCTCCGCCTGCGGCGGCCAGCTCTACCCTCCCATCGTGCACTTCCTGTGCAAGCACAGCTACCATCAGACGCAATGCCTCAATGTCCAGGTCGACGAAGACGGGAACGTGGATGGCGATTGCCCGAAATGTCGGAAGGACAATGATACGATTCGTGCGATTAGGAGGGCTCAGGATGAGACTGCTGATCGGCATGATTTGTTCTTAGATGCGTTGGGGAGGAGTAATGATAAGTTCGGCACTATAAGTGAGTTTTTTGGGAGGGGGGTCATGGATGTTCCAGCTATTGATTAGGCAGAAACAATCAAGATACGGTTCCGCTTTGCAGACCCTATACGTATCTATCCATTAATCTAGGATCAGAAAACAGGTGGATAACCCGTGTCAGCAACTTCTAGAGACGTAAAACCCCTCCCTCCCACCAACAACGAAGGGATATCCAGTTATGGATACACGTTCGGAGAACTCCTCTCCTGACAATGCAAATGAATGTTCCTATGAATGTTGAATTACCTAAGGTACCTTCGTATGCTCCTCCACGCACGCTATGCATGTTTCATGATGTTGAATTTCATGCTCCGTTTTCCATCCTCACCCACTAAGGGGTTTTGTTGTGCTTAAGCCGTCGATCGAGACTTCTTCTCTTGCCCATGAAGACGTGTCTTGCGATTTTGCGTTCTTTGTCAATCCATTGCGGATCTTTAGCACACTGTCCACGATGACCGCGTCTATGCCCTCCTTGACTTGGTTCTATTCATGCTGTGAGCAACCGTTCAGAGGAAGAGCGTAAAGAGAGATGTTGGCTTACCTGTACATTGACTGGATCATTGTTCAATGTACCATAACTGACACAGACTAGGCCACTATCCTTTACAACCTTGACCAACCTCGGGCTGTTGCAAAGTGGCCCGGCTGCACTCACAACACCCAACAAGTTCCACCGGTTCGCGAATCGAATCGCCTCCTGGAGACTGCTGGCTCGCACATCCCCAACTGGGCTCGTGCCCGCATCCGTCAAGAACAGTATCGGAATACTTGGTTGCTTGAAACTCAAAAGAAGGCAGATGTCAGGATTGAAGCTGCTGAAAATGATCTCTCGCTTCTTGCCCAGATCATACACTTTCGTCAAGACCGTATCCACAAAGCTATTGAGCTCCACGGCATAGGTGTCCATCTCCTGCTCTTCGGTCTCGTGTAACATGGGATACTTCATCTCAATGTTGAAGCCTACACTCTCAGGAAGTTTGAGAAACATCTCTTCGAGAGTCGTGAAAGGTGCCTGAATGAAATGGCCACGCGAATTGCCTTTGTAGCCTTTGCTCTTGAAGTCCCGAGTATGCTTCATCCTCTCAGCCATATCATCTCCGAAATTCTCATGGCCCAAGGAGAAAGAGCGCTGGCGGTCGGCACCACGCGCCACCCGGACTTGTGGATGTGGACTGTCCTTAGGTGGGGTAGGCGGTCGAGAGACTCGAGGGGTAGTGTCGTTGACGTGGAGAAATTGTTCCAATGTGAGGGTATGAACTGGGGCATCGATTCCGGTTTCGCTAACCAGAAAGTCGTGATAGATGACAGGAACGTGGTCCTTCGTGAGTTGGACATCAAATTCGACGTAATTTGCGCCAAGATTTGCGGCAGCAATGAAAGACTGCAGTGTGTTTTCCCCAAGTTGAAGAGACTTGTTGGATGTAATATTCTTGCCGAGGCCTCTATGTCCAATTACCATCGTCGAGGATAATTCCTTCCAGTATGTCTGCTTCGCAGTAATTCCCATGTTGGGGTGTGAGAAGGGGGTGATGATGAGGAAGTTGAAGTTCACACAGCCAATGACATCAAGATTTGTACTTATTATTGGGACACTGACATCTCCCTGAAGATTCATGCGTTTCAAGCCAATCGCTTGCTTGATGCTGGACAAGATTGCAACACCTCGTCCAACCTTGTTTTCTTCATTGCCGGAGTACGTTGGTACAATGTCGAAGTAAAGCTGCACTTTTGAGGCGTCCGCGGCAGTAAAGACTATCGGCTCAGTAGAGATATTGTCCTGAACCGGGAGATCGATTGTTGTTGGCTCGCCTTGTGCTCCACTTGCTGATACGACAACAGATAATGCGGTATCAAGTTGAGTAGAATGGGCTTTTGCGATAGGGATCATATCCAATTTGACAGCCGGAATATCTTTCCGCATGTCCATCGAGCCTAAGCTGACGAGTATCATGCTCTCGTTAGTGAGATATCGATGACCGAAAGTCTTGACTGGCTCAGTTGTCCGAACAGCACCGTTAGGTGTCTGAGAACGAAGTGCCTCCACCGAGGATGTTCCTGGGGGCGCGGCTTTACTTTGACTGATAGAAGAATCCTCTGATGCTGAACTCTCGACCTCCAACGATGCCTCAGCCAATCTTTCAGCAATCGATATGTGGCCCCTGAGAGCAGCATGCTCCCTAGCTGTCCAACCAGAGGCGTCAAGCTTATTGATCTCTGCTCCCGCCGCAATAAGTAACTCAACAATTGAAAGATGTCCATCGACACAAGCAACATGAAGCGGTGTCCAGGAGAATGAATTTTCAGCAAGTTCAATGTCGGCTTTCTGGTCATTGGAACCTTCCAGCAAGATCTTGGCGCAGTCCTCATGTCCAAATCTCGCAGCAATGTGCAAGGCGGTCTCTCCAGTTGCATCTTGCCAATTAATATCGACACCGGCGTCAACAAGGAGCTTTACGATCCGAGTAAAGTTGGACTTCGTGGCAAGAGCAAGTACGGCACTTGACTTTGAGATGTTTCTTCTTATAGCCGCCTTGTTGCCATGTTGTCCCTCCCAATTTTCTCCCTTCAGGAGAGCCTGCGTGGTAAGCGGATGTCCTCCAATCACGCTGAGATGCAAGGGTGCCAAGCCCTCATTGTCTTGCCATTCCAAAGCATCAATTCCATGCTCAACATTGAATTGGCCCCAATCCTGCATATGCTTCATGACCAATTCGCAAATGGAGACGAATCCAAATTGAGCGGCGTAATGAAGTGGAAGCCGACCGTATGTGTCCTTGCTCTTCAGCGCAACACGTTGATGGGGCTCAAGGCAGTCCAGAACGTAGGCTAAAAGCTTGACGTATTCATCATCCTTGCTCAGTAACGTGGATTCTTTAAGCTTGCTAACTGCAGGGTTAATAGGGGAAGAGGTCGCCGGTGTGATATAATCCAAACTACCGGAATCCATGAACTTAACAGCGTTGGCTTCCTTATCTTCGATTTCGGAAGACTTTGTACGTCCAATAGAAATTACCAGGCGGTGAAGACAATTCCGCCCATTAATGTCATCAGCTTCGTCCAAAGACTTGATTCCTTTCAGGAAGTACTTGATGGACTGCTTCGATTTGCAAGAGATAGAGCGCTGCAGCAGATTTAGAAACAACTTCTGCCTTGCCAGATCATCAGAATCAAGATTTGCCTCCAGAAGAGTCTCCTTGAGGATGGGCACATCGTCATTTCTGATTGCTTGGTCCACTGTGTCGAGGAGGCCATGAGGAAGGTTGAAAATCGATCTCGAGGACACTCGTTTCATCGAATGAACTGAGTGAATGGATTCTGCATCATCTTTGGCCTTTGTTTCCCCCAATACCGAGAGCCAACTGTTTATTGTCTGCATGGCTTTGGAAAGAGAGACGTTGGCCGCGAAGGGTTTCGGATCCACCTTCGAAGCCAGATAACTTTGTTGGGTACGCACGTTCGGGACTTTCTTGTCCAGCTTCTTCGTGATCTTAAGAAAACCTCTGCGGTTTACCTCTCCGAACCATTGTAATTTTCTTAGCTGGCCTCTAAGGTCCAGCAGAGCTCCCATTAGTTCCTCGACATCGTGGCGATCCAATAGCTTTATGGACTCGTTTGATGTGCCATATCGGTCTTGGAGAAGTTTCAGACGCCTTGAAGCATCTGCAAACTTTTTGTTGTAGAATTCGTCGACATCTTCGAGGTTTCGATCTAATGAAAACAAGAACTCTGAGGGATGCGATTAGTTACGGACGACAGCGTGAATTCAGCACGCCATGTTACCTGTAAGATCGGCATCTTTCCCGGTCTTAGTAGTCTCAACGGCTGCCTTGATGAGCTTCTTCAGTCCTTTGTAATTGATGTATGACGAGGACCATTCCGGGACCTGATTACGGGGTAAACTGTGGTGACAATCAGTAAAGCACAGGAGAGACGAGACAGAAGGGTTTCACGAAGAGGCGATGGGCAACTTACTTGCGTCCAAATTTCATTGTTGACGTCTGGGTGCTTCAACACCTCTACCTCCTGTCCAAAACGTTTAGATGCAACCGAGCAGCATTGAGCTGCTTACTGACCCTCGAGCAATATATCCAGGTAAGGGAGAAAAGAGGAATGGCTCCAGCACAGGGTGGGCTACGAAGGAAGAAACGGGATGCTGCTTCGTTTTTTGAATGATAACTGTCCCAAAACCAGAGCCATTCAGGCCAGTTTTATGCCGGGGCCTGCTTCGGTATCGTAATCCGCCGTTTAGATTTTAGGGCTGATAAAGTCAGTTCCTGCGCACGTTCATCGATTGCTGAAACCAAGTGACTGAAATAATGTCGAGGAAAGTTGTCGGTCGAACTTTATCAAAGACTCATGATATCGAAGAAGCCATCCGCGTGGAGTCAGACTTTGCTTCGATTCGTCGATTCTGCTTCTGCCGGCCTTTTAAGCCCGGCTCACCGCCTTTATGGCGGATATTAATAGCCGCTAGGGGGGGTCTCAGTAGCGAGATGATTGATACCTTTACCTTGGCCTTCTGCAGCTGATATGGACGATCTTACTAAGAGGACCTCTGTAGTTGTTGTAGTCTCACGGCAGTATCCTCTCGGATATGATTACAAGAATGGGAAGCAAGAAGCGCTTCTGCTGCTGCCTTTAAAGATCCAGCTATTGTGGCGTCTGGATGTGGCGTTTAAATGCTAAAGACCTGATGGAAGGCGAGTTCCACTGGATCAGGTGACGTTGCCTGATCGACGGCCCTTCAATCGTCGGTCTCGCTTACTCCGTACCTTGCCTAAGATACAACTAATCCATAGGGACGGGCCATTACGCCCCGCATGGCAGAGACATCTCGCTGATAGCATATACAGAGAGTATAGGCTGGGGACCCGTGTATACAACCGCCGACATGGCTGGCATCCCGTCTGCATGTGACGTGCTGGTTGCTGGTCAACGATGCTTCTGTCATCCATCCATCAAGTTTTGTCAATGATCAATGACATGTGGCAACAATCGGGGCCATGTTCCCAGGCGGTCGGGTTAGAGCAGGTGGACGGTAAGCTAGGTCTTGCTTCCGCTCATCTGCACTGCAACCTTTCTCCCCGCCTTTGTCCCTCACAGTCACACCTCCAATGCAGGACAGGTGCCGGGAGATCTACCCAAGCATCAAGAACTCTTGGAAGGTCCAAGGATTTGTTATCCTATCGTTGCATCGCAGCTTCGTGCCACTTGTTCTTCTCCGTAGGGTTCGCTGTTGCCCCGCGGGAATCGCCAAGTCTTCCAAGGCCTTGAACCGTCCCGAGAAACATCAACAATGGCCGCTGTGACATTCCCGGCGACTCAGGCCTACATGACTGATGTTAGTCAGCTGTTCTCGAAGTAAGTGCACTTGTTTTACCCATTTTCAAAACATAAAAGTGTGGGGTATCATTGGAAAAGCAACACTGTCCGTTCTCATTACCAACTTCCACCTCGGCCTCGCCCCCTGCCTCTCCCACGTCCCCCCCTGCCGCCGCCACGCCCTCTGCCTCTTCCACCAAACACCCTTTCCTGGGCTGGGGCTGGTCCATTTTTCATCCTATCTTCTCTCTCTGCATCTGTGGCGAAGAACTTATTCTCGATCCCAACTAGATCACAAAACTGTTGCATCTGGGGATTGTTGTATTCCCTCGGCCCCTCATTTATGATTTCTGGCATCCCAGTATAGAATGGCGGGGCTGTGATTTCAAAGTTCTCTGGGATCTCCAATTTTCCTTCCTTCACGATATGCTCATTAACCCATTCCTCTTCTTTCTCAATAAGGGCACGGTAGTGTTCCTCTCCAAGATCTTCCGGTAATCTGGCATTTTTGTCTCCAAGGACAAGATCAGAAGCGAAAACTCTGGTTATGGCAAGCCATTCGGGATCGTATTCAAACTTGGGCTTCGCTGGAAGATGTGAGGATGGTGAACGGGAAACCGTTGGCGCGTTGTGGTTGGCAAGGGCTTGCACCTCGAGGAGCTGGAGAAATTTACGACCAGGCAGACACTTGTCCAAGGCCAAGAATCGTACGACCTTATTCTTGATATCGGGAGGTGGCGGCTGACCGGGCTGTTGCTGTTTTCGAGATACAGGGCGCGAAAATGCCGCCGGCAGTTGGTTGCGAAGATCAGAAGGTACCGAAGAGGTAGCTGGTGGAGGCGTGATCTTAACACCCCCGTCATCCAGGCTGATCTCATCTTTGTTTTTGTTTTCAATGGATGGTACCCCGTTCTTTGCCGTATGCTGTGTTGTTGGAGCATCGCTGTCATCGTCCATATCAAGGTCGATCTCATCAGCATTATGGGCAATTGCTGCAGTATCAGCGTTAACAGGAACGACATTATCGTTTGTTGATGCGGTAGGAGCATGTATAGGAACGTCCTGTAATTCGGGTACTTCGTCATAGGTCTTCACCGCTGAGAACTTGCAATGCATATGAGCAGAAAACCAATATGGTGGTCGAAGGCGATCCATAACATATGTTGCCGCGAGATTTCCCAGTGTGCCATCCCTAGATTCTTGCTCAAAGTCTGGCTTCATACGAAATAAAGCTCTCTCATTCCCGTCTTTCTCAATTGCTCTCGGCCAATCGTGGCTGATCCCAATGTCGACCTGTGTTCGCAACTGGAGCAATTTCCTAGTATCTATCTCTCGAACATGATAGATGGACTTTACATCGTCCTGGCTGTATGGTAGACGCTCGTAGTGGGGCTTCTTGAAATTGTATCCCTTCCAGATTCCAGACATACCAGCTATTCGTAATCCACCCAGTCGGATCACGTTCGCGGCTCCCATATAGTAGATATTTGGTGCAACCCATCCTCCATAGTAGAGCTCCCAAAGATGATTGCTCGCCTCGTGATTTCCTCCAACGAATATTGTAAGGTACGGCGCTTTCTTAATACCACTGTAGTAGGAGTGAAAGTCGCCGATGGCTCGGTATTTGACAGGGCAAGACATTACAGTCAGGTCGGAAGCATTTCGAACTGCCTAATATTATCAGTACAGTCTTTCTTCTGTTGGGTCTTGATGATATGAAGAGATCATACCTGAAAGTCACCACCGATAATCAGTAAATCCACTCCATCCCAGCCGCGAACCTCACAAGCCTTCTGCACCGAGGAGTATATTGCATCTAGTGTGCCGTGGCCCTAATGATCCAGGTCAGAGATACTTCAAAAAGGTTCAAATCATCATAAACAGTCAATGGAGACTCACGCATCCTTCCACGGCAATTCGCAAGCCTTGTGCTTCTTGTAATGAGGGGTCCATGACGAGCCACTGATGGTTCTTCTCAGAAAAATCGGACTCTTCAAAATGCCTCCATCAGGCCTTTTAAATTGGGATAACAACAGTTCCTGGTGCAAGAACCGGTTTGTCGAGGGCCTATTACTGTAGTGATTGGCGGCCTTTATTGAGAGATACAGTAGAAAAGTCGGAGCTTCAAGCCTCGCTTCGCAAAACTTAGACTCAATTTGCACTACTCTGTTCACACATACAATCCGACACCTAATCAAACATCTCGAGCACCGAACCTCGGAATAACACAATGGAGTCTTCAGAATTATCCGCGCGTCTCCGGTTTTTGAACGACTCCGCGCATCTCCTTGCGACGACCACTCCCGCGACCTCGAAATATCTGATGTCGCGATATCACTCTCTTATGTTTGAACGCGAGCTCGAACAATCGGATGCCCAGAGACGGAGAGCTTGCGGCGCATGTGGGACAATCATGATTTTAGGTTGGGAAGCTACACTACAGATGGAGAGTCGGCGACCTCGTCGAAAGAATAGCAGTCAGAAGAGGGATGTGCAGACTCCAAGCAAAGCTATCGTGTACAAATGCGAATCCTGCAGCAGAATAACTCGTTTCAATACTCCTCCACCAGCACCACGGCGTAAGATAGGATCGTCGCGCACAAAGTCTTCTTTAGGCACAGGAGTTCCAACCCCATCACAAGCAAAAGAAGCCAATCCAAATACAGGTGTCGCTCCTTCGACAAACTCGAGCAGCAGGAAGAGGGCAAAGACAAGGAAACAAAGTGGTCTAGAAGCTATTCTGGCAAGGAAGAAAGCTTCTGAAGCCAGTACGTCTGGCTTTGGGCTTGACTTAATGGACTTTATGAAGAAAGCGTAAGACATGGATAGAAAGGGGTTACTGGAGAGGTATGAAGCTCCACGGAGTCGCTACATCGAACCATAGCATATAGCTTCCATTTTGATGGAAGTTTGACCCTCCGAGAAGACTTGCGGCCGAAGATGCTGCGGACAGGGAACAGACAGGTAAGATAAATATTCCGTAACTGAACTTTTGTACTGATCTCAGCAGTACACCTGTACTGGGCATGTTCACAGTTTTTATCTGTGTTCTGTACTTTGGCATCTATTTTATCATCGGGATACCCAGGGCAATTTGCTTCAGGTTGCAAAGGCCACCCACACATGAAGTACAATTATTTAAGCCCATATAAGGCAGGATCGATGGTCTTATGATACAGCAGCAGACAGCCAATATCGTCATAAATACCAGCCTGAAGGGAAATTCATTTGGCAGAACATAATTTACACTTTCGGCTCCTCTCTCAGCCTCGCGCTAGTGGTCATCAGCCTTATGCGAAAAGATTTTATGTTGCCCTGTATAAGGTAAAATACCCCGCCACAACATCCCACTTCGTCGCTTCAAAAGATCGCCAACAACAACAAAATGACGAATCCTTCCGAAGAAGAATTTAAGCCGGATGGCGCTGCCTTCGACGACTACTTTGAAAGTCTAGGTAAGAAGGCAGAACACCTTACGATCAACGAACAGAATGGGACACAAATCGCCACCAACGGCGCGCCTGCCCAACCAGCCGAAGAAGATCAAAAAGTCGTGGATGAAATAGAGTCTCTTTGTATGAACTGTCGTGAAAATGTAAGTCACTCTTCGTCTATTATTGGCAATTCCTACTAAGCAAATTTTAGGGAATTACACGTTTACTACTCACTCGAATACCCTACTTTCGCGAGATCATCATCATGTCATTCTTCTGTCCACACTGCAACTTCAAGAACTCCGAGATCCAGTCTGCTGGCGAGATCCAGCAGAAGGGCGCTAGATACGAACTGCGTCTGACGGCTCCTACGGACTTCGCGCGACAAGTTGTCAAGTCCGATACCTGCGTCGTGAAATTTATCGAGTTGGACATCGAGGTCCCAGCTGGACGAGGACAGTTGACGAATGTCGAGGGTCTACTCAGCATGATACTTGAAGACCTCGAGCTTCAACAGCCCCAGCGAAAAGAACAGATACCGGAGGTCTGGGCCAAGATCGAGGAAATTATTGCGAAAGGACGGAAGATGATTGCTGGAGAGAGCTTCCCTTTCCGAGTGTCCCTCGATGACCCGGCAGGCAATTCATGGATAGAGCCAGATCAAAAGGATGGTGTAGGGAAGTTGTTGAAGACCGAGTATGCGCGGACGGCGGAGCAAAATGAAGCCCTGGGGTTGGGTAGCGGCGAAGAGGAAGCAGCAAATGCAGCAGTACAACCGAATGCAGCAAGCCTTGAGGACGATGAGATTATCCCCAACGAAGTGTACTCCTTCCCGGCCACATGTCCCGGCTGCAACCGACATTGCGTAACCCATATGAAGATGGTCGAGATCCCGCATTTCAAGCAAGTCGTCATCATGAGCACCGTATGCGAACACTGCGGCTACCGCTCCAACGAAGTCAAGACTGGTGGCGAAGTGCCCGAAAAGGGGAAGATGATCACACTCAAAGTTGAAGGGGCCGTTGATCTTGCAAGAGATATCCTGAAATCCGAATCCTGCGCTCTCGAGTGCCCAGAGCTGAAACTTTCAGTCACTCCCGGCACGCTTGGAGGCAGGTTCACTACGGTTGAGGGTCTACTCACCCAAGTCCGGGACGATCTGCACCAACAAGTTTTCGATGTTGGAGATGAGTCTGGTGGTGATTCTTTACCTTCGGAGGCTAAGGAGAATTGGAAGGCGTTCTTTGATGGCATTGATGCGGCTATCAAAGGGGAGCGGAAGTTTACTGTTATCTTGAAGGATCCTCTGGCTAGTAGTTACGTGCAGAATCTGTGTCTGCCAGACGATGATCCGCAGATCCAGACAGAGGACTACGAGAGAACGGCAGAGGAGGAAGAAGACCTGGGACTGGCTGATATGAAGGTTGAGGGGTATGAGGATGAAGTTGGAAATGAGAAGAAGCGGTTAGAGGCCGAGAAGGCCGCCGAAGAGAATAACGATTGATGGTCTTTCTCCTACAACTAAGAAGAATTATATTTAGCGCTCAATTGACATCAATGTCGAACGTTCTCAGAGTAGTCTTCTGCATGGCATTCATTGAGTATACTAATCATGACACTGAACCGTTGCTTATACTCTTCAACGACCTCTTTTTTGTGGTCTCTCCAATGAACACATTGGATTCAAGAAGCCCTCCTGTTATAATGCTTTAAAAAATCCTAGCAGCGTCGACCGATAAGTAGTTTTCCATGTTCTTACCTAGACAAGAGATTCTTTTTCAAGGCTCCCTTGCCAGAGATCTTAAGCCGTATCGCAGCCGCGATTAAAAGTACACAAGTCTATTGAAATGACAAAGTCACTTACCACTCTGTTGCCGAATGACAAAGAACCACGGTACGTTAGCAGAGGTAGCTGATGCCTTCGTGGCGGTACACATACGTACTGAACCTACCTTATCTAGGTATGTTTATTGGTTATGCACATTTGATTTCTCACTTCCGTTCACATCATGTAGTCATTTCTCAGGCAATGTATTTTTATCTCCCTGATAGCTATTATTAGAGAATAGAGCTCATAAGACCGATAATCCAGGTCTGCGTGTCAACATGGAGGCTAACCATGCCTGTGTGTCCTTGAAATTAAAGAGTTTTCCCCGACACCCAGGCGCCAATAAAAACAACAGGATATGAAATGCGATAGCCAAAGCGATACAATACACAGCCCTTCTACATTAAAAAGGAAACCAGGCGAACGACCAGCCATAGGAGTTTGATAAACCGTAAAACCCAGTAGGAGATGAATGTATGCGAATCTAGACATGTGCTGTCATCGGATAAAACAGGCGGAAGTCGGTAATGTGAATCAGAAGAATGACGGCTTTGTCAAGACCCTGTACTCAACGTAATCCTCTCCGTCAATATTTAATATCTGAGGCGAACTGACAAGCTTGCCCTGGAATGGGCCATTCTGCTTTCGTTCGTACTTGATGCCGTTGTGGTACTTGACCTCGCCACTAGGAGCGACAGGCGGGACGGTGGCTGCTTGCTGGGCTACCCAGACCTTGTTTAGCTTTTTAATGTTATTTCTGAGCTCCTGTTGTGCAGCTTCTTGGACAACAGCCTCGGCCATGGCGACCTCCTTTCTGGTCTTCTCAAGTTGTTTTTCTCGAGTTTCAGCCTTCTCCTTCCTGACTCTCTCGACTGTTGTATCAGCTTCCGCTTGTTGCCTAGCCAATGCTCTGGCGCTATGCCTAACTTCCTGCTCAGGGCTGGGCCGCTTATGTTCAACACCGTTGTTGAGCGCCTCGGAAGCAACAAACGCTTTTGCCTCTCTAATGGCTCTTGCCTCGTTTGCCTTTCGATCCTTCTCTGATTCTTTGTTCTCAAGATCCCGTTGGCGGATTCGGACGTATTCTTTGATTTCTGGTCGCGTCATCCCCTGTAATTGTGGTTCAAACACGACTTTGTCATAATGGAGCCACAAAGCACCGGCACCCACTGGAAAATTGCCATCCACATAGCGTCCATCTCTCGTAATTCTCTGAACTTTGACTCGAAAACAGTCGCTTCCCCCGACAACACCGTATACTGCATGCTTATCCTCCACCCGAGGTTCGGAGGAGTCTGCCCAGTAGCCAAGAAGAACTCCATTAGGCTTGCCATCATTGGAAGGAGAAGATTTTGGAGTCGGAATGTTGGTGGCATTGACAGCTTTAAAGCTTGGCGTATTATTCAAGGACTGCCGGGGAAGTGAGTGCCGATTTTGGCCTGATGAACGACTGGCTGAGGGGCGTTGCACAATAGCTTTAGTCACTGGAGTTCCGTTTTCCTGAGAGGCCACAATTGCTTGCGCTCGCAAGACAGCCTTCATATCAGCCTCTTGTCGCTCCTCTTCGGTTTCTTCTGGCCTGGCTTCCGATCGGATCCTCACGTATTCTTTGATTGCCGTAGGACTGAGCTGCGCAAGATGAGGGTCGAAGATAATTCTAGGAAACGTAACCCAGCATCCCCCAGCTCCCACAGGAACATTGCCAATAACCTCTTGTCCTCTGCGATTCATTCCGTAGATCCTGGTTCGGAGTCTATCGTGAATGTCGATAAAGCCATAAATGACATGCTTGTCTGCATCATTAGGTTGATCCGAGTCGCGCCAAACACCGAGAATTACACCTCGAATCTTCGGGGATTGCTTTACACGCTTGAGGGAGGGTTCGTCATATGGGCTGCCTCGGAGCTTGTCATCCACGTTGTAATTGACGGATGCACGCTTGCGCTTTGAAACAGATGAGATGACGTCCTCATCTTCGTATTCATCATGTCCGTTCTCGACTAAGAGATCCGAGGCATCCATGGCATCATCCAGCGAGGGGGTTTCGACAACTATGCCGGCCTGTGGATTTAATAGTTAGAGTTGCCATTATTGAGAGTAGGAAGATTGTAAGACTAGGCTCACGAGCGACAATTAATTGGCAGGTGTATGAAGACACTTACATCTGTGGACGTGGCTCCAAGCCAATTGCCGTTCGTTTCATGGAGGGGTGTGTTTCTGGGAGGAGTCCTGCGGGAGTCATTTTAGTGAATAGGTTCCCATACTTGGGTATTGGGTAACCGAGAGACAAAAGGAAAGAGGCTAAGCGTTAAACGTGGCAGATTGGGTGTCGCGATCAAGAACCATTACCACGCAACCTCAAGAAGAACACGAAAGAAAAAGATAAAAATAAATAAGGGAAAAGAGGAAAGCTCGCGATGGCTTTGAAATCTACATAGCCGCAATAGGATGACTGATCGAAATAGCAACAAAACAGGTTGTGTGGTCGCTTACGGTTTTGCTGATCACTGAATCGCTATGCAAGGGGCGCAGTGCCGTACAAAATAATGCCTCTAACACGCCTCAACGCGGGAAAAGCGCGACGTAATTGACAAAAGCTCAAAGGTATGGAGGGAGCAAATCGAGACAAGATTCCGCTTGGAATAATTGTGGAAGAGAAGGACTAATGGTTGATGGCTAAAGAGCGAGTAGACGCCAGGTTGACAATTTACAAAGCAACACAAAAGAGAAAGTCGTGGCTTGATTTTACTGACCTTGTCGGGGTGGGTGCGCGTGGAGAGTCAAGTCCCATCGAGTCAGTGCTCCCACTTGTCAAGGATCCGGAACTGGAAGAGAGCGGTTGCTCCATTACTTTAGCGGCGCGCAAGACACTTGGAAAACAAAAGACGGAGGGAGTTGCGGTGAGAAAGATGGAATAATAAGAGGGGAAGTGGAAGTGGAAGTGGAAGTGAAGGTTGACGAGCACCGAGACGAAGAGAGAAGAGAAAATAGAGGGAAGCGAGACATCGAAACAATCAAAAAGTGCGCTAGCCTGATTACGTTACCTACACTCCCTATCGAGTGCGTGTGCGTGTGTGAGGGATGTGAAGGGTGATATGAGTTGTCGCTATTGATTGAGGTTCCAAGCGTAGCCATCCTTCCAACCGGCAAATTTCCATTGGGTCGGCACTACGAGCCTTTAATACGGCATGTTCTATCTTTGTTTGCGATGGTGCAGCTAACCGGCGGCACGCCCTCGTTGAACGACGAACCGCTCCTTGCCCAACCCCAAGCGCTTTGAACTTTGTCATTATGTAGCCTTAATTTTACAACCCAAACCCAGCCCAACCAAGCCCAGCCAAGTACCTCTATTTTCCACCTCTGCCTTTACCTCTGCCTCTTCCACGTCCATTGCCACGGGCTGATGCACCACCTCGCTTTGCGCCTTGGCCGCTGCCATGATCAAATCTCTCGTACATCTTCTCTTCTCCAAAAGCGGCTTCGCTTAAATGTAGATAGCTGATAATGCCTTGATCAACCACGGCTAAAACCACATTTCGCCAACCGTGTTGCAGTCTTTGATAAGTCTTGTGAGGGCCTTGTATTTTTGGATCAACTGGCGGATCCCATCGTGTATTTTCCAATAACGAGGCCATCTGGGTAAGCGTCGGAATAGTACTGAAACGAGCATCTGTCACCGCCATTCGGAAGTCGGGCAGTCCAGGGTTGCTCTTTGCGAATGTGGGAATTCTCGTGGCCTTCCACAGGTCAAAGACAACACGATATGGAAATTCGGGGGGTGGCAAGAGGCTATTCGGAGTTGGTGACGGTTTGTGCCTTGGAATAATCGCGATTTGCCGGTAGATTGAATTGTATGATCGGTACATACCAGGCTTCAGCAGTGGCCCAAATGGAGGATGGCTGACTTCTTCCTCGCCAAATAGTCTTCCAAAAAGCCAAGTAAAGATGCTCGTTGATCCTGTCGGGGCATCTTGATCAGGTCTCAAAACAGGAGCCTTTGGATCCCACTCGGGTGCCCTCAAAACCACATACCCCGTCCTTTTGAGATTGGCATAGACAGTGTATCTCTCTAAACTGACTTTCCCTTTTTCGCTATCATCTCCTATGAGCATAGCATAGGCAGCCTGAAGACTCATCGGGACTCCTTCGTCCTTCTCTTCCTGAGCATCTTGATCTTTTGGCTTGCTATCGCTTTCTTCTTCATCAATCCTTCCCTTGAAAGATGACGGGGACGGCCACCACAAGTCCAAATTTCCTCGCTCAACCAGGTATAGCGCCTCTTCTGGCAATAACCACAAACTTGTTTGCCTCTTTCCCAATGTCGTCTTCCCCATGGTTCTGAAGTGTGGTCCTTTTGCTGACTCCACCACAACGACGTGGTCATCGTCTAAGCCTTTTCTCCATTCCTCGGGCACGACCTCGTCTCGACTCAACCCCTCCACCCCGTAATAATACCCTCTGACATGTATCCTCGGTGTATGTATCCTCGTGTAATCTAAAGCATCATGCATAGCTTGTCTGCTAGCGTTCAAGAGATCATCTTGATGTCTTGTGCCATGGCGTTCGAAGTCCTTCTCTCCACGTTTTGGGAGTTGGTGACCAGTCTTGGAGGTCAACGATGCCAAGAGGAGGAAGTCTTGTGTCTCGTCGCTAGGATCATGGTCTTCGTCAATATTTGTACGGGGATTGATTGGCGGGTCTTCGTCAATGTCTGCCATCTTGAATATTCGCCGGTGGTGGGTAAGGTAGATGACTGCCACCCCGCTTCAACTTTTCTGACTCCGGTCCAGCCTTGCGCATCAGGCTTGTTAGGGGCCTCGGCTATGCTAGCGGCACAAGTTCGTTCTTCATTCGTCTAGCAACGTATAGTTTCAAATAATACGCGTTATCCCACCTGATTGGGAGTCTGGCCGAGTGGTTAAGGCGCTGTGTTTAGGTAGTCCGCAAGGAAACCTGAAACGATCCGCAGTGGGAAACCGCGCAGGTTCGAATCCTGCGGCTCTCAACATTCTTTTTGCACTTCTTTTTGCTTGCCCAAACTACCTAGTTAGGCATCGTACCTTAAGATACCTAGCTGGGTATCTCACAACAAAGTTGTGTCGGGAGTCTGGCCGAGTGGTTAAGGCGCTGTGTTTAGGTACTCTGAAAAGAAACCTGTAACGTCCGCAGTGGGAAACCGCGCAGGTTCGAATCCTGCGGCTCTCATCATTTTTACTCTTTTTGCCGCTTTGAACTAATGAGTTTCTCAAGGTACTCATCAATTATTTACTTGCAGTTACAGTAGTGTAGTTGATATAGGCTTCAACTATCGTTTGTACTGTACAATGGTTTTCAGGGGGGGCTTTTACCTCTTGAACAGTTGGGAGTAGCTCGAGGTTGGTTTATATCTTACTTCTACGAGCAATACAATCGTACTAGTAAACAAGAGCTTGTTCTTGATTATTACAACTAACACGACACTCATATAGAAATGATAGCATCTCTTGCTTGTCGTTTTCTTTTCGTCTCTCGTCCTCATCGTGAATACATCCGAATATGTACTTATCCCCTATCCAATCTCCTATATGTTTCATCATATCCATTCAACCTGAACAAATCTTTTATAATTCCAGTTTCTCTTCCGTCTATTCTGCTTGCTGTTTGTTATTCCTTTGTCCCGGTCTTCAAACCTGGTCTATCCTCACTCTCTGTCCTACTTTTTTCTCTCATTCATCAATGTAATAGAGCCGCTAGAGCGAAGGTCTATGTATCTTCCTATCCAGCTCTATTGAGGGGAGGAACATTAACGCAATATGCTACTGGGATTCACTGCAACCTGTTAGGTTTGTATAATGCCATAACCTAACTCTGCTGTAAATACTCGGGGGAAGAAAGAGGGGGGGGGGGGGGGGTTCCCAGATCGCAATACTTGTACAGTATATAGAGGTTGATAAGACTCTACCATATTCAAAAAATATCAACAGTCGACAGTATCCAGGTAAGTCTGTATCTGTGGTTTTTATGTTCATTGACTACGTCGTATATATGCGCCTATCTCACGGCCACATCCTATCACATAGGTAGACGTGAAGAACGCCAATCATATGCAGTGTGTCTCCTAGCTCGAGAAATCCACGCCAAGATAGGCTCGATGGCCTCCTGCCTGAACGCCAAGACCCTCAGTTTACCTCCCTCGAGGTAATCGAATCTCGAAAAAAATTGCACAACGTTGTAAGGTCTCCTCGAGACATCCCCAAGCGTTCCCGGGCTATCTACCATCCATATTCCCACAGAGCACACCGCTAAATACACAAGAGGAATGGCGTTCACTCGATCACCATCTTCCTTTGCCCTCCAACCATTGTCCACCCCAATGCTCGAAGAGCGTCTTTGTCGTTCGCTCGGATTATCGTACAAGCCGGTAGCATCGGGTTCTTCGGGTCGACTTGAGAAGCTTCCTTGGCTGCGAGCTCAATTGCATCCATCTCCTCCTTGCAATCCTGTTGATCAAGCGGGCAAACTACTATCGGCTGCCTCAATAATATGTCCCTGGAACCTGACATATGTGCCTAAAACCGTTAGCTATCTTCTGCTAGTTTGTGAGGCAGATAGTACCTTTATCACTAAGAAGAATTCAATCCTATAAAGGGTTCCAGTCGTGGTGAACGAATTGACCGAGTACATGGGGAAAGCAGACTTCCCTCGACGGATGATGCCTTCCGAATCTCGCAATTCCTTCGAAGGAAACACCAGGCCAAGATTTGTGAAATATCCAGCTTCTGGCATCTTGACACCGATGGCTTGTGTATGCTTGGCAATTCTGTTGACTTTCTTCGTCGGCTCGTCACCCTCCGGATTGTACGTTATCTCCTCTTCTATTCCAATAGTGATTTTCTGGATCACAACCTTCTTCGCCTTGTTTATCCAATCCGGGTTGGGCGATAATTTTATGTAGACACTCACAGGATCCAGTGGACCGTATGACCACCGCGGTAATGATATACCCAAAGTCACCAGGTGATCTGCTGTTTTCTCCGCAGCTTCAGGACGATTGTACATGCCAAAAGTCGACAACGTATCGTATCTTTGTATCGGCACGGGAAACGCGAATTTCTTTTGTTCTTGCCCTTGCTGGACCGTGACCACAAGCTCGTAGAACGTCTCGGCCGTCCTACTGGGAAGCTGTAAGGATGCTGGAGGTATTCGCCTATTGCTCTCTTCTCCCCCTTTGCCAAACGGTATGAACAGTACGAATGGCAGATCCATCAAAACTACGCTCTCGGATTCTTTCCCAGGCGGACACCTAAACAACAGCAATTCCTTCCCCACAACATCTGTCGTTTCTCGTCGAGGTGTACCCAGATGCTTCTTCGCAATTGATTCCGCAGATGGATGAATTGTTTCTCGTCTTTGTAAACATATTCGGACTAAAGATATCGAAACAGGGGCAGAGATACCAGTGAGGGGTCTGATCTCTACTTTTCCCTCTATCCGAGGCTGGCAAGAAACAATGTCAGCAGACTGCCTACGCAGAGCTGCGCCAATGTACTTACCAAGGTCGCTGATATGCCTGGATAACCCACAAGAAAGTTACTGTTGGGCGGCCCCGAGACTCTCACGAACGCAGCCATGTTGTCTCGGGCTCACTCTGGCCCTCCCGCTCGGTTTGCGCCAAGATGACAGCGGTGTCAACAGACAGTATGATATGATCGCGATGTGGAAATCACATGGAGTAATAAATCCGTCCGGAAGCGCGGCAGGTCTGAGAAAGTGTTGTCGGAAGAGCTGGTTGTTACCATATAAGCAAGGCTCAGGTCTGGTGATAGCTGGAGCGTAGGGGTTGCTATGAGCGAGATGGTTGAAGCCCGATGATAGTCGATTGGTTGTTCAGTAGGAAATGCAAAATACAAAGAGATCCAAGTGTTTTTGGGAATTTCCTCGGTTCATAAGGAGCATAACAGAGGCCATATCCAGCACTCAGGTTGTCCCGAGAGACCTCTCTCAGGTCGCTTATGGTAGAGACTAGATGATGCTCTCGAGTCAGTCGAGTAGGAGCATTCCCGTTCCTAGCGGCCGCTTATGTACAGCCGCGCCGTTGTCACAACGCTTCTCAATTTTTCGAAGTTACAGCCCTACGGAAATGATATCTGACTACAGACGACGATGCTAAAGGCGCTTGTCGCATTCCATCATGTCGGTGACTCTACACACTACCCTCGGTGATATCAAGATCGAAGTGTTCTGCGAGAGTGTCCCAAAGACTGCAGAGGTAAACAGGCTGCCCGGGCTTCTCTTGACGCAAATCAAAGCTAACAACTGCACAACAGAACTTTCTTGCTCTCTGCGCATCCGGCTACTACAATGGCTCTCTCTTCCACAGACTCATACCTCATTTCATGATCCAGACTGGTGCGCCTCCATCACAGCCAAAAGGGGGTACATCGATATGGGGGGAGCCCTTTGAAGACGAGATCCGACCCGCGCTGCGGCATAATGCTCGAGGGATTGTGAGTATGGCAAATAAAGGACCAGCAACAAACGGTAGTCAATTCTTCATCTGCTTCGATAAGGCACCGCATCTGGATGGCAAGAATACTGTCTTTGGTCACGTTATCGGGGACGACGGCATGACGACATTATCGAAGATGGAGGAAATTGAGGTGGATAAAAAGAACCGACCAAAGCAGGAGATCAAGATCGAAAGTATTACAATTCATGCGAATCCCTTGGCGGGCTGAATTATCTGGCGGAGTGGCCAATGGTTCGTGGATACCTGGATCAAGACACTCTATTTCAGGGACATGAAGCCTATCGTCTGGTCATCGTCTGAAGCATCAGGAGTATTGGGTGCCCTTTCTGTGATCATGGAACACAGCAGGGATGCCAACTAATCGCCCGATGGCGATAATGAAGAAACTATATACCAGATGACAAGCTTGGATAGCACGTGGAAGGTTCAGTGAAGGTCTCAGATGACATTGGATATCTGCGCGGTCACCATATCAATCACCCAAGCCCAACTTCTGCGGAATATTGTGCAAAACAGCAAAGTCTGGCCTCCAGCTGGTGAGGAAGAATATAGCAAAGGCCGCTTCAAGGTTACAGATGAGATACAATAATAGTCATCAAGCGTTTGTGGGGTCCAACTATATATTATCATGTTTATACAGTGTCCCGCGTTTTCCACGGTACTTATCTTTCACTTCCCTATGTACCATTAACGCCATCTTTCACAAGAGTGATCCCCAAGTGTGTAACACTTGTACTCCCAGGTCATATGCAGTAAGATCATAAAAAGCCGAGCAGCGGCAGCCTAAACGGCTACGGCTTTGTCCGGACTCTCGATATGGCTGATAATATCGACAAAATCGTACATCATATCAAAATGGACGATGCTGACCCATTCCTAGTCCAATGAATTCGAAGATAATTGGATTTATCTCCACGGCCAACCAAGCAATCCCTGTAAGCAGTTAATATTGTCTTAGATGAAATTCGCTAGAGACCTTACCAGAATAGACGACAAGTTTGGTAACAACCTCTACATCGTATCTAACTCGGGGCTTCTCGAGTCTAGAGAACATTTCCGTCTCTCCCAGCTCATTCTCTTGTTCCACAAGAATATCGACATTATCTTCTTGGTTAGTGCCCGACACGCTTGGCGGTGTTTTTGCAGGGGTATATAATACACGCCCTTGCCCCATCATTTGCTCATACGAGTTGACTCTGGAATGTCCGGGCGCAGGAACATTTCCTGTTCCGGTGACACCTACTGATGCCGATATTCCGGAAACTTGTGATACTGCCCCTTCTTTATCGTCACTCTTTGGCTCGGGAGAACGATCATTCCGTCTAGTGGCGGGGCTTGAAAATCGAGATGAAGTCCAATCCTTTTCAAGGGAAGGGTTAGTCAAGCTATCCCTTCGCCGCTTTTCGCGATATGCGAGAGTTTCGTACGCATCAGCTGCAGATTGCGGTCCTACAGAGACAGAACGGCCGCGTCCAGGGTGTCGAATTGAGTCAAGAAGACTCGGGAGGTCCGAGACCGATGGCATGACATTGTCTACCTTTAGTCTGGAAGGGATCTTCTTGTATTCGGAAGCAGGCATGAAGAATTTGCGAGGTAGAATGAAACCCGACTTTTCAATTACTCGGAAAACATGAGGCAAAATCCTCAACAGTGTTGGCTTCATCACCTCCCTCCATGTGAAGATGACAATGACGCCAACAACTACTCGCAAAATCGCGACAGGCCAGCCCATGTATTCAAGATCGAACGGGACTGTCGCTGGGACCGGAACATCCCATGCCCAATCCCCAGCTGCGTAGTGCCAATCTCCGAACTCACATCCGATCAGGACTCCTGCAAAGGCAACACTGTCGTCAAAGCAGGGACAATCATCAGCTGGCTCAGGATGGATGCGAACGAGACATATGATGATGATAGCTATGGTTAGTGGTGCAACCCAGGAGCTATTGTGAAGGTAATTATCAATCCTGGAGCCATATATACACTCGACAGTGGATATGAGGGCTCCTAAAATACTGCCAAAAATGACATCGACGAAACCATGCATTCCACAATAGAGCCGGCCAAGGATAATCGAAAACGCGTACGCGTAGCTCAGCACCTCCAATATCAACTTCGTAGAATCTTGCAGCTGGCATTCCGGCGAGTGGATGGTGAAAAGGGTGTAGACGGCCACAGATACTGCATTTGCGGAATGCGTGGAAGGGAACCCGTACTCGAGGGCCGCCGAGCCCGACATAGTGATTCGATGGAGAGGAGGTGATAAGGGTCGCGGAAGAGAGAACATGTCTTTGATAAATCCAGTAAAAAAGACACCTGTTGCCAGTATATGAACCATCCTGAATATGTCAGCCAAGGATCATGATACAGCCGAAAATATCTTACCCTCTACCCAAAGACGTATGCCCGCACCAGAATAGAATTGGAAGAACCACCATAAAAAATGTATGTGTTCCAAGGTTCGCAGTGATGGCAAAGTAGGAGTCAAGCGTAGGGGATCTCATCTTATCTTGCATCCAAGCAAGATAGGGAGTCTCCCATCGAATCAGGGGCAAAGCCGCCTGTCGAAGGTTGTACCGCCATGGTGGCAACTTGCGCTTGTCTAGAAGTTGTACTTAGCATGTGGACGTTTCTGGGCTGTAGGAATTTATTTTATGATTGACCTAACCCGACAACAAGTCATCTTGAAGGAGGTAAGGTATTTGGCTTTTCCTGCTCCTGCGAGGGCTACGATTACATCCGTCATGAAACGCGCAGCAGCACAGGCAAGAACGAAACCATGAGGCTAGAGTCCGCACAAAGTTGAGGGGCGCTTACAATGATCCAAGCTCCTTAATCCCGCGTGAGGCACATCTTCTGAACCTGTGATTGCTATCGACGGAGGGGGATCTGGGAATTTGTCGAGTTCGGGGCCGCCGGAGCCATCTGGAGTTGGACACATCGATGCATTCGGTGCAGCAGCATCTATGAAGCTGGAGCCTTGAGTGGATGGCAGAGAAGACCCAGATGGAGAGGCCACTGATGGACGGAGAAGCCAATGGAGATGAAGGAGAGACAAAATGGTATCTAATGGTCTCCCACTACCACGAAGACCGCCTCGGTTGATCGCAATGTCCGCATACTCAATAGATGAACTTTTGCCTAATGGATGAGGCTGCAGCTGGTTGCCCTCTCAACGACGACTAAGCGGAAGGCGCAATTTGTAAATAGACAGTTGCCCCCCCGTGGAGACCTGGTCTACCTTATCTATGAAATCGAACAGACAACACATATTCCCCACCCCCATCAACACAAATTCCAAATCTCTACCGAACACTCCAGCGCATACTTAAATCCATTGGTTGCATTTTCTGCTTTACCTCCTATTCACTTTACACTGTGAAGCGAACCCGACAGCAACTCTCCCGGTAGCATGGCGACCCAATACCAGCAAGAGGAATACTACAACGATCGCCCCTCAGATATGTCAGAGAACAGCGCCGCACAACGAAGAAACTCCACACGTCGCGACCAAAGCGCCAGATCCAGCGACGGCACCGTTAGCACAATGATGAGCGGCGCGTCAACCGGGCGGGAGTCAATAGCTACCCATATGACAGAAGGACCGGCATATTCCAAGAAGATTGTTGTAGTAGGAGATGGTGGATGCGGGAAGACGTGTCTCTTGATCAGTTACAGCCAGGGCTATTTCCCAGAGGTATGAATAGGTTTCGTTCAGATTTGCGCTTCTCTCGCTGACTCCAAATCTAGAAATATGTACCAACCGTCTTCGAAAACTACATTACCTACCCCACCCACCAACCTAGTGGGAAGACACTGGAGCTGGCGCTCTGGGATACAGCTGGCCAGGAGGAATACGATCGTCTCCGACCTCTGTCTTATCCTGAGACAGATCTTCTATTCGTCTGCTTCGCCATAGACTGCCCCAATTCCCTTGAGAACGTTATGGACAAGGTAAGAAGAGTACACATCAATATTCGGATAGGCTTAGTACTGACACCTGCTAGTGGTATCCTGAGGTTCTGCATTTCTGCCCATATACACCTCTTGTCCTTGTCGGTCTCAAGTCGGACCTTCGAACAAAACGAAGCTGTATCGACCTTCTCAAAACCCAAGGCTTGACGCCCGTCACCCAAGAGCAAGGGATGTCCGTCGCTCGGAAAATGGGGGCTCGTTACATGGAGTGTAGCAGCAAGGAGATGACTGGTGTCGATGAGATCTTCAACGAAGCAATCAACATAGTCGTCGCAAACGATCCAAGTAACCAACAAAAGCCCCAGCCAAAGACACAGCAAAAGCCCCAACAAAAAACCCAACAACAAAGTAACCATCGAAGTAACCAACAAAGCCAATCTGGGGGTATGCCCCCAGGTCAGACACCCATTGTCATGAGGAAGAAGAAGAGAAACTGCCGATTTCTTTGATGTCTCGCGCTACGAACTGTATGATACAACATGACCTACGACTGCATATTACCGAGTGCTGCCCATAATTCTTCGGGGCCACAGGAAAGAGCCGCAAAAAGCGGATAGCCTGGCTGGTTCCGTACTCGTTCCTTTATAAATTCTCCAACTCTGGCTTTCCATCATACGACTCCTTGATGAGCACTGGGGTCTTCTGCTGGCAATGGGAGCCGCATTTCTTATGTATCATGACTTGTTTAGTAGACGGAAAGGACCAAATAGACGTATTGTGATTTTTCCAGCTCCTTGAGATGTGATCATCGGGTATCATTCACCTAAACTCCCATATCGTCGTGAAATGTTTCTTCATCGCCCAGTCCCACGATCTGGCTCCGCTCCCGTGTCTTCCTCTTTATCTCTTTCATCCGCCTCATCATCTTCAGCGGCCTGACCTTCTGCATCCGGGTCCTTAGCCATCACATTCTCAAATTGTGACCATAGCGCTTCGACGGAGCTGAATTCGTTGCCAACCTAGATACGAACACCATCAGTTCTTGCCTCTATTCTATACCTTAAGCTACGACGCAGTACTTACAGCAATAACACCCTCCAGCGATCGATTAAGCTTATTTATATTCGCCAACACATGCTCAAAGCTCTCCAATGGTGTTAGCCCATTATCCTCCCACGTTATAGATTTTGACATGATGAGGAGAGCGGGAGCTTACGAGACCAATCTCTTGAAGTAGTATTTCGCGCTGCTGCTCGAACAATGACTTCTCCGCCGCAGGATGCGCACCTGTTGACGACGAGGCTGGTGGTCTATTCGTGCTAGATGTCATATCTGGGGTGCGATGTTTCCGGAAGACGCGTTGAAGCGCGATACGTAGGCGGGGTCTTTGTAAAGCTTCGTTCCTGACGCGGAATCGGCCAAACCATAGCCCGACTACATCGCTAGGAGCCTTGTGATGATTCTATGGATGGACTCTTTACATCATGCCTATCAGGCCAGAGAAAAGCAGTAGCAGCAATCATTGTGTCTCGTCAAATCGCTGCCACCGGGATCAAATGGTGAAAGCTCTCTTGTTCATTCCCTGTTATTCTTGCAATACTAGGTATCTCCCAGATGGCCCGTCTAGTTGAGGTCAGTAGATCTTCAAAAGGTTGCTCAATCCGCTCAAACATCTTAGCATTCTAAAAATCTATTCTCCTTATATCAATGGCACGTTTCACCTCTTCTCTACTTACGCTTCTAGAATTATTGTCATGTTAGTCCCCTTCATCAACTTTTATTGCAGTGTATCAAGGTTCGGTCGGCGATAGTTGTCGCACAGGTGGTACCTCGTTCGCATTCTAGCGGAAGCTACCTAAGCACAGTACAGCATATGTCTATATATATGTTGAGATAGATCATTTTCTATCACATACGACCACAGACTGAGGAGAACTGGGCATCCCGTCCGCTCTGCCATACATAAGCCTCAGATCGGTAGATTAGTAGTTGGGTGGGTGACCACCAGCGAATACCTACTGTTGTATGTTTTTTTTCTAATTTCTAACCTATATTTGGTCTGTACCTATACATATTCTTGAATAAGTAATTTCCTGTTACATACGACCACAGACTGAAGAAAATAGGGCATCCCGTCCGCTCTGCCATACTCAAGCTTCAGATCGGCAGATTAGTAGTTGGGTGGGTGACCACCAGCGAATACCTGCTGTTGTATGTTCCTTTTTGCTCTTTTTTTCCTTTTTTTTCGGCATGTTTTATTCGATACTCCAGATTTCACCACTGCTAGTTCCTTGGCGGGTTGGGGGATCAAGAGCCGTTGTGGTCAATCTGGGATATCGCCTCTGTTTTTGTGCTTGGCAGAGGCAGGATCTATCCATCTATCCAGTTTCTTATCTCAGTTGGTCTATTCATCCCCGTATTGCTGCATAGTTGAGGCTCAATTCCCTCTTCTCCTATCGCAGCTTGATCCATATGCAAGAGCCAAAGAATTTGAGAAAGATAAGTGTCATCACGCGTCTCAAATCATCTTAAAACGAGGAGCCTTTGTATACACATATAAATTTTCTGTATATGCATAAGCTCGTACGAGACGTCTTAGTCCCCACCGATTACCATCTATTTGACGCCGAAATGTGAATATGGATTCACGACGAGCAGGTCTTCTCCGACCCAGACACGGTTCCAGTCGCGGGATCCCTTCACTCCGCAACTTATTAAACTATGATCCCAGACCCATGGTTCCAATATGTACCTATACCATAAAGAAAACGTTTCCATCTACGACCGGTGGCCTTCCACCCCTCGTCTCCCCTTCTACCTCTTGCACTTTTTTAACCTATCATTTCCTCTTTCACCCTATGAGCTTGAAGTTGGGATCAAGGGCGGGGGGATCAAGGGCTGCGGGATCAAGGACGGGCTCATTGGCAGTCTCAAGTGCAAGTTCTTCTGCCATGGCTGCTTCCCTGTCCGCCGCTTCCTTCTCCGCGATTTTCTTTGCTTGCTCTTCCGGAGAGAGGGCGTCGAAAGCCGCCTTGTTCTCGTCCCATTGCCTCACACACTCTACCTCCCAGTTACACTTCTCCACCTCACCGTACACCGGGTGGTTGTACCGCGGATGGTTGGTGGGCCACCCAGAGGCATGATAGCGATGCCTGACCAGGGCTGTCCTGGCCTCATGGTTTCCAGAGTCTGAGTGGCCTTGACCTGCGGCGAACGCTTCAACAGTGAGAACCAGCACGCCGCCAACGAGCTTAGATTCGGAAATGTCATGAAAGGTCTGCCAGGTTATAGTCTTTCCCTCGCGTTTGCTCATTTCTGCTAAAATTGCCTCAGTAAATGCTGAGGGACCTGTGCCGCTTATCACATCGTCGAAGTCGAGCACAATCTCCGAGATTGGTACATTTTGCTTCTTTGCAACTTCGTTGAGCCACTTGATGATGTTGTCGATCAGTCTCAGCATGACTGGAAGTCTCGGTTTGCACATGAATGTCCACTGGCAGAAAGATTCCGACTTCTTGCCGAGGATGGGATGGTCTCTGAAATTGGGCTGGTCGATCTCGACGCCGACTACCATATCGACATCCTTCTCATTGTACCTATCTGGGATGAATCTCTCTATAGGTCTGATCGCCTCAACGTCAATGTCGGTATAGACTCCTCCTTCCACGTACATCACCAGATACCGCAAAAGGTCTGCCTTGATAATCTTGGCAGTGAGTGATCGGTACATGTACACTATGTCGAGTCGGTTGAAGCCGTTAGGACCAAAATGGGTCTCAACATAGTACATGTCGTTGCTGTCTGTCAAAACCTCGTATCTGTAGCCTGGGTTCTTCGATGTCCAGGTCTTGGCGCACGACAAGTCTCTCTCCTCGAATTCTAGAGGATCAACCTTCCACGTCTGCCATATCTTCTTCGGGAACTTGGTGCCCGATGATAGAATCGATTGGTAGGAGAACTCGCGCTTCAACACGTCGGCGACCCCAGGGGACGAGCTGAAAGTATCAGCGTTCGAGAGGAACAGGACGACTAGTATGCACACGAGGCATACTGGCAGAACCCTCTGAATCTGTTTCGGCAGGCGGCGACCAAGCAGCGGTGTCGTTGCCTGCATCATTTTCTCGTAGCTTCTCCCGAGTTGAATGTTCGGGGGGCGGGGGATCTTTTTGAAAGCATGCATATTGAGGTCTCCGTGGAAGCTTTAACAGCTTTCGAACTATCAATTGCGGGGTCCCGTCACGCAACGTTATCGGCTTGTGGTATCCACAGTCTACCCAGCAGCCGTATGAGTAGTTGGGGAGAAAAGTTGGAAAAAAGGAATCCCGAGGTTTAGCTGGAAGCTTTTCATACCTGGGAGCTAGGTACCAGGCATTGCGGAGTGTGCCATGCGGGGGGCTCTCGGCTTGGGGGGGGATTTGGGCTATCAGCGATGATCAGTAGGGAGTTAGTCTGGAGGCCAGGGGAAAATGGGTTGTACCCCCGTAACTGTGTACATGGTAAGCTGACTACCTGACGTCAAATCTCGTCTTTATCATTGCTTAACACAAAATAGGCAAGTCGTCCGCCCCTCGTAAATTGTCGAGCAGGCTATGGTGAGCCTTGAGCCTTGAGGAGTAGTTGAGCTGGATGCGGCCCCTTGTCGGAGCGGGTTATTACAGTACGTTGTAACTTGTAGGGTATAGGGAAGATGCTAGGTTGTGGGTCTGTGGACCGGGAGGAACGAGGGCCCTTGAAAGTTAAGAATCGGGTTTAGGAAGAAAGACTGGGTGTCGAAGAGCCAAAGAGCTAAGGATTCGCAAAGACCAAAGACCCCAGGGCTAAGAGCCAAGGATTGGCGAGCGCGAAGGGAGCGGGGGTGGGGAGCGGGGGAAAGCCGGAGGATTGGCAAGCTCGGTTGGTGATAGGGACCTTGAACTGGTACTGTAATTACAACTGAATTGTTGCCGGTTGGTTGGCTTGTCCTTCCGCCCTGTGCTGGGCTCGTAAATTGGTTTCCTACTTTCACACTCCGTCCCTTGCAATTCGTCCATGCTCGGGGTCCGTATAACAGCGGCGGTGTGGTTGATCTTCTGCCCTTGCCGACATAGCCTCGGCCGATATGCTCATCGATAGGCTCTCGGCGTCAGGCCCCGGCCAGGAACATGGCATGACGGCGCTGGGATCTTGCTGCAACTGCAGTGTACAGACTGGTTCTGCACCATGCCTGCACAGTAGTCCTATACAGGAGTAGTCCTTGATTCCAACACAGTCCCTAGTTGGACCCAACTGCAAAAGTCTTCTGCAGACTTAAACCTGGTATGGCATAAGGGATACACCCGGCCTGGCCTAGACGAATAATACCTCATGAGAGGAAATCAAGGACTGAGTAGTCAACAAGACGGCCTGAGAATCGAATCTCTCGCTGGCTCGCTCTTCCCCGCACCCCATGGTCTTGAACCTCGGAGCTATATTCGTTCTGTCTTGGATTTTTGTGGATTGCGAAATCCCATCGTTCCAAAATATCGCCGGCTTGTGACAGGCGCTGGCACTCAAGGGCAGCACCGTCCACTACCTTACTAAGGGTTGCCAAGAGGGAGTCTTCTATCCGTATTTCTGGGGCTCAACCTTGTCTCTCATCCCTATCGCCTGGTCGCGTCGTCCGGATCATCCGTTGCCCTGTGGAGGCCCCTCTGAGAGAGAAACCGCCGAATATCTTCCAACCTCACGCCTCTCTCACCTCCTCTGCCCATCGCTCCCCAGTCGAGCAGGCTCCTCAGCTTTCAAACAACGTCTACTCGTTCCCAGATGCCTCCGCAAAGCCACAACATCTTGGAAAGTGGCTATTGGGAGGAGATCAAGCCGGATTTCAAGCTCCCCGCGCCCGCTCGCGCAGCACAATGGTTTCTAGATCTGATACGGCCCGCCTTTTTGACCAGAGCCGCGGGGCCGCGCAGCAAGCAAGTCATCAGACGCACGGCGTATCTCGATGGCCTGAGAGGATTTGCAGCGTTTCTGGTGTATTGGCAACACCATCAAATGTGGGCGCGCGAGGCGATAGCTGCTGATGCCATCTTCGAGAACGCTTTCGGGTACGACAATCAGTATTACTTTGCCGCTTTGCCAGGCATACGAACGTTCTTCTCCGGCGGCCATTTCGCTGTCACCGTCTTCTTCGTGATTTCGGGATACGTGCTGTCTGCGAAACCATTACAGTTGATCCAGGCTGGCGAATACCTGAAACTCGGAGACAATCTGGCATCAGCATTGTTCAGACGGTGGCTACGACTACATATCCCAGTTATCTGCACAACATTTGTATATATGACATCGTGGCACATGTTTGGAATTTGGACGTCTACGGAACACAAATCGAATTGGCCCGACGAGCTGTGGAATTGGTATGTTGAGTTCAAGAACTTCAGCTTCGTGTTCAGGACGGGCGGCGAACCTTGGTTCACTTACAATTTCCACGCATGGTCGATCCCGGTCGAGTTCCGGGGCTCTATTGTCATCTACACCTCACTCCTGGCGCTCTCGAGATGCACAAGGAATGCTCGTCTCTGGTGTGAAGTGGGGCTCATCTTTTACTTCATGTATATTGTAGATGGCTGGTTCTGCTCCATGTTCATGTCGGGCATGCTCCTCTGTGACCTCGATCTGCTCTCTGCGAACGGCAATCTTCCCAGTTTCTTCTTCAGGCTGGAGAAGCGCAAGAAGGCAATCTTCTACAGCCTCTTCGTCATCAGCATATATCTGGGTGGTATTCCTTCCCACAGCTTGGATGTCCAGGTGTTGAAGGTGTCGCCTGGATGGAAATATCTCTCATATCTGAAGCCACAGGCTGTCTTCGATTATAAATGGTTCTACCTCTTCTGGGCCGCGTCTTTCATCGTGGCTTCGATTCCACGCATATGGTGGCTCAAGAGCTTCTTCGAGATGCGATTCAACCAATACCTCGGCCGTATCTCCTTTGCCTTATACCTGGTCCACGGACCGGTGCTCTGGACTCTCGGAGATAGACTCTATCACGCGACTGGGTGGTCGAGGGAATCGCATGCGCTGCCCCTGGCCAGTTGGATCAACATATTCCCATTATCCAAGGCGGGACCGCTGGGTCTGGAGTTGAGTTTCCTCGTCCCGCATCTGATCCTCTTGCCAGTCACACTGTGGCTCGCTGAGATAGTCACCAAATTGTTTGATGAACCAAGCGTCAGATTTTCCCAGTGGGCGTATGTGAAGACGATGGCACCGTCTATAAAATCATGAGATATATAAGCATATGAACATCCTTAGATTTAATGTATATAGAGTGGACTCTTTATAGGAATATATTACCACTCCACACAATTCGATTAGCACTTTGCAGTCAAGAAATCAAATGTCTTTGAAAAATGTCGATACGGTAGTGAGTCTGGCAGCTGTATCGTAACCATAGAATGTTACATTGCTGCTTCATTCTCAGAGCTGAGTCTCGTCTTGATGGTGTTGTAGGTGTCATGGAGAACCAATGCGATCTGAAATGAAGATCAGTTAGGAAGAAACGACCAATCATCTAAAATCGGATATATACTTTGTAGACTCCGTACTGTCTGAGATTCTGAGTGGATAACCGCCATGAGCAAGTGTACTGTACGGCCAAGAAACAGTTGACGATCTGCCCCACAATCTGGTATAGAGGCAGAGGAGGGGGCCTGGTTGGTTGGTGTGTAAACGTATCAAACCCTCGGCTAGAGCTAGGTATGTGAGGCGCATAAGAGCAGCGCGCGCCTTCGACGACATCCATACCCTGAGAAACCGAGAATTGCTGTTACCGTCTCCAGTTCTCCGGCAATGTTGGTCAGAGACATGAGGCGGCTAGTGCCCTTCGTAGGCCCATTCCTCATCCTCGCATTTCTCGCGTTGGGCTTCTACGACGAGAGATTGAGCGTCTTGCCATTCCAGAGCCGGCACTCGACGGAGGACAACGCGCTCGTCGACCAGACGCTGGAGCCAGGGAGTCAAACACCGGGCTTGCCAGAGACCTTAGGAGACCACGAGGGGAGGCATCATGAGGTGTTCTCGGTGTCGACCGCGGACAGGAAGTACTTCCCGATCAAATTCGGCGCGCAGGAAGCCATAAACCCCAACATAATTCCCCACCCTAGCCTGAACGACACCTGGATCATTGTTGCCCAGATGCAAGAGAGCTCTGTGAAGAATAGCGTGTGGTTTGCCGAGCTGGTCTGCAATGCGGTCTTCAAGAAGGACGTGCTTGAGTGCGTAGAGGAGCCGATGATCCTGCCCATCGCGGCCACCTCTGGCGGCAATTGTCAAGGTGAACTGGCGTACTTTGACCTCAGCGTTGGTCCTCATGATGCGCGGGTGTTCTATGGACCGAGAACGCCGTATGCTATATACGGCTCGCTCTCAGCTTTTACGTGCTTTGGGCAGTGGATGCAGGACTTCAGATTACTGGTGGATTGGGGGTTTGAGCTTTTCATGGAGAAAGAATTCAGGAAGGCCACCGAACTCCAGAGACCGCCTCCATACGGAGCGGTTGAGAAGAACTGGTTTGTCTTCTGGGACAAAGACGAACAGATCTACGCCCACTACGATGTTGCACCCAAACGGGTTTTTGCGAAACTGGAATTCGACGGCTCGGTCGGGGAAGACCTGGCGCCTCTGGCTGCTCTCAATGACGAGAGATGCATGGCGAAGTACATGCCACCCGTGGCGCCGGAATCAGAGTCGATCCACCAGGCGACGAACTCGCTCTCGATCACGCTGTGCAAGCGATCCGATCCGACGTGCGAGCCCAACGATTCCAACACGTTCATCCTCAGCATCTTCCAGCACAAGAGCTTCTACGCTTTCCACAGCGTCTACGAGCCGTATGTCATGCTCTTCCGGCAGACGGCGCCCTTTGACATCCACGGCATCTCGACGAAGCCCATCTGGATCCACGGCCGCGGCGGGCCCGGCGCCGGGAAGAAGCCCGACTCCTTCGTCGCTGACGCGGCGAACCCCTGGACCCAGACGGAGATGTTCTACATCACGTCGCTGAGCTGGAAGAAGCAGGGCCACAGGTACCACGGACACATCGATGACGTGCTCTTCATCGCTTTCGGCATTGAGGACTCCAAGACGGCGGGGATTGATATTGTGGCGGGCGACCTGCTGTCAGATCTGGGACTCTGTATGGATTTATGATCATGAAACGTTTTTCTAGCCATGTGTGATGTACATATATACCAGGGCGTGCCTTGTTTTTGTTTTTTTGCTTTCTTTTTGGATATATATGTAGAACATGATCAAGTGATGAACATACTCTGTAATGATAGGTAGATACCTACCTAGTCTTTTTTCTCTAGGAGGTTCTAAAGGGATATTTTCCAATAGTTTTGTACCACTGTATCTACCTTGATGCGCCATGTGCTATAAATATCTGAGCATGTACATCTGAATATGTACACACAAAAGAAAACGGCTGTCAACCACCCCTCCCTTGCCTGCCTCCAGTAGCAGCGCCCAAACCCGGCAATCTCTCATTCCCATCGTTCAGCCCCACAGAATCGAATCGGTGTTGCCCTAGGGCGCGCGCTGCTTTAAGCATGTCGATGATGGGGCCCCGCCTCTCCAGGAATCGGAATCACCGAGGTTGTCCTGTTCCACCAAGTAGTTCGGAAGTTCCCATCCATGGGATCTCGGCTCTCCACTGCTTCCACATGAAGAGAGGTCCGAATCCCGCATGTGATTATCATCTCACGCAGATGGTAGTGCATGAACCCGCATAACCCGTATTTCCTGTCATACGGCATAATAATAAGAATAATATTGCTTTTCTGCTTCCTTGTTCTCCATGCAATGCCGGTATGCCCCCTTGTTCCGCAGCTGCTGTGCAAGCCATCCTTAATCAGACGGCGTATGATATGCGGGAAGTATTCAAGAATCAGGAATCAGGAAGCTGGGAAGCAGGAAGCAGGAAGCAGGAATTGGATGATGGTGGCTCCCCCCCATCCTTGATTATTCCTTTCAAATGGTGATCTGCGGAAGGAATATTGCCTCGGCTCTTTGATTATGGGTCGGCGGGGTCCGGGGTGGTGCGGAGGTTTGGGGAGGGAGGGGAAGCGTCCGGGGGGTGTGGGGCGCGGTGGAGATGGCGGCGGGGCGGGGCGGATGCTTCTTTTCTTTTCTTTTCTTTTTTTCTTTTTTTTCCTCCTGAGAGGGAAGTCAGAAACGATGAATGGATGGGCGGGGAAGAGCGAGATAAGGGGGGATGCTTACTTAAACACGCGACCTTTCTCCTTTTCCTCTTCCCTCCTGACGTGCTCTGCTCTGCTTGATAGCGGTCTGCTTATGGGCTCCCCCTCCTCTCGACTAAGAGAGAGGGGAAATAGGATAACGACCGTTGGAAGTCTGTACTAGTGTCAAATCCCTAACCTCCCGTATTATCCACAGTTTCAATTCGTCTCCTATCTCACGAACCGTGGTGAAAGCATGCAAGCAAGTCATCTTCCCGCAGTCTTCGCAGCTCGCAGAGAGATAGCTCTATCCCTGGCACACCAAACATTGGCGATGCAGAGAGATGTCTATTATGCGTCTTTTTCAACGCACGGTCGGCCAGTGCATGTGGGATGGCCTTCTAGTCTCTTGGCAAAAGCAAGTCGACCTTCCTGCAGGCAAAGTTGCATATCATTAGCAGTGGCTCCCTCATCTATGAGAACGTACGTACGGCTGGTCTAGGAGTCGAAGCCGGTCTCCCCGCATGGAAAGGACTGTGTGTGATCTGACGGATTTCTTACCTTTTATGTGCACCTTATATGATGATGTATAAGTCGCTGTTGGTTATTACAATGCATAGTGGAAGGAGAGATAAGGAGGAGACGTGTTATCTCATTGCCTTTCGCACGCTGCTCCCCTTTGTTGGGGACAATGTGTGAAGAAAGTTATGTCACATGATCAAGACTTTCATGAGGGCCGGATGCACCTACCTTACCTTACCTTACTTACCTTCACTTCATTTGTCTCACTGAGTTGTGTTTGAGCATTCTTGAGATCAGTGATCAGTGTCATATGACTAGGTCTTCATCCGCCCATAACTTGTGTGGTCAGATGTGGTATAGTAGGGACTGCAACTTATTCTCCTCGAGGGGAAAGAAGTGAGCTTGGTGGATGACGGGGGACGCCGAGTATTACCGACCATTTTACAGAGAACAAGGAGAGATGCTCAGCAAGAACGTGATGTGATACTTGCAAGTAAGTAGCCATCGATCTAGCTCCCTGTCTTCAGCACCTGACACATAACCCGGTTCGTCACGTCAAATACGACAAGATCAAACCAGTTGCACACAATTCAGACCAGATGGAGATGTGACCGCCACAATTGACAAAATGTCAAAAACACTCGTCTGAAGACTCAGATGGCTCGTTGTTTGTCCAGACCACGCTATTCCCAGTGCCGGGTAGCCAACGAGAACGATATGTTTCACTTCTATGCCAAACAACCTCGGATATGACCGACTTTTTATCCTCGGATATTTGGAGCGACAGTCTTCGAATCAATGGACACCGGCAGACACGACACTTTCGGTGTAGAGACTGGTGGAAATCTGGCTAGCACGTTGGACCCCAGCTCTAAAGGTACTCTGGGTAATCAATTCTAACATAGAAGATGAGTACTAACTTACAAGTTCCTCAGGCTCAGTCGGGTATGTTTCAACCCCAACTGTTGAGGTTTCCTTCCCCGCCTTTCCCCCTTCACAACTTGAATCCCAGACGTCCAGATGGGGAGACACGATATTCTGCCCATCGCCCTATCGCCCTAGTCATCCACGTCGTCTATATCGCCATCTCGACAAGCTTTCACCTACAGAGTATTGTCTCCGACTCTAACGTCGCGCCAAAACAATTCAGACAATGTGGCCAGCCCCTCTAGTCCTCCTCATCATTCCTGAGACTATTCCCGAAATCACGTCTGGTCCAGAGATGTTCTGCGCTTGTTCTTCAGACTAGTTGCCGAGCTTCCGCTTTGGAAGAACCTTTGGATTCTGGACGATACTTTATTGGCGGCCTTGAGCTACTGCCACGCGCCCTCGCGCCGCGTACCCAAGTCCCAAGGACGGCTAACAAGCAGTGGTCATATGGCTCAAGGCCAAGAATAAAAGGTTTTGTACAAGTTCAATGCCCTGAACGGGCCGGATCCCCACCCCGGAAAACCGCGGTAAGACGCGGCTACTCGAGCATCGGGTATGCCGTGGCCGAAGATGCCGAACCTAGAAACTCTCGGGCAGCAGCAGCCGAGCGGATACGAAGGATACAAAGCTTAATTTACAGGGTAAACCGTAAACAGCACTGTGACGCGCGGTTTTCAAGCTTTTTGCCTACAGCGGTAAGGTCCGGTTACTGCCGTAGGACGGGCGTTTCCGGATCCAGCCGCTGACGTTGGTTTAACGGGTGTGGCGCTGTGGCTGTGTCCCTGAACAGCCACCCGGCAAGGACAGGTACAGTAAGTAGTCTGTAGAGGTGACAGCCATCCCTTTTTCTCTTAAAACAGGATTAGGACCGTGGGTTTTTATTCTCCTCCATTCTTTCTGGTTTATGTGGCTTTTTCTATACTTGGAACAGTTTCCAAGTGCCCTATACATCTGCAAGGCTGATCGCCAAGCCCCCAGCTCACAGACAACTAACTGATCTTCAGATCGCCCATCATCAGTTCCAAGCAGATGGGATCTGATATGTTGCTCTCCTCAAATCATTATCTCATCACACCTCACGATTCTGACCTGACCTATTCAAAGCGCTGCTTATAATGCAACACGACATCCCAGCCTCGCGGCCAGGGGCGGTGCAGTGGCCATCCTGCGACGCTGCGCGCCTCATCTTCCAGTCCTGAGTACCAACGAACGATGTGCCGGGAATGCTGGTGCTGCGGGTGGGTATCGATAAGAAGATGGCCTTCTTGCATCGGTTGGTTCTGGTTGGTTGATTGTTGCTGAGGGCGGGAATCCTACGTGTGTTGTGAGGCGATGGTGGTGGTGGTTGGAGAAGGGAGGGGGCGTTTTTGGGATTTTCTATATATATACATCTATATCATATCCACATTCGCCCCCTTCCCTCCTCTCCTCCTCTCCTCCTCCTCTCCTCTCCTCTCACCCACGCCACACACACCTTCCTTCCATCCATCCATCCTCTTCACTCACCAACCCACCCCAAAGCACAACCCCCCTTCTAAAAACAAAAAATCAAAACCAAGAAACCATGACATCCCCACCCCGCCCCTCCCGCCCCTCACGCCCCTCCCGCTTTATCGAAGGTCCACCCCTCACACCTCCAAACCTCCAACAAGCACCCGATCTCCTCCTCGCGATCCTATCACAGATGGACGAGTGCGAGTGCGCGCGCAAGAAAAAACGCACTAGCACCAACAACAACAATAATAATAATAATGATAATTATGCTGAGGAGGGAAGCAGAAACAGGAGAAGAGGGGATGGAAGAAGAGCTAGAGGCTGGAGTTTGAGTTTAGGTTCGAGTTCGAGGACGTGAGGAGGGGGGGAAAAGTGGGGCAGGAAAGAAAAGAAAAGAAAAGAAAAGAGAATGCATGCATACAAGTCCTGTTCTGTTGGTGCGTTTGTTTGCGTTTGTGCGTTTGGTTTGGTTGGGTTTGGTTCGGATAGGAGGAAGAGGAATGAATGAATGAATGAATGAATGACTAGGTGGGTAATGCGAAATGCGAATGCGAATGCGAATAGCCAGCCATACCTCATCAAACACGACAACCCCAGCGCCCCTAAAGAAAAGCGCGGCAAGAAGAAGAAGAAGAAGAAGAAGAAGAAGAAGAAGAGCCGAAAGTTAAAGGCATGGATATTTAGAGATTTGAGATTTGGGATTTGAGAGTTGAGGGGAGGGGAGGGGAGGAAGATTGGGATGGATGGGGATGGATGGGGAGGGATGGGGATGGATGGGGATGGATGGGGATGGATGGGGATGGATGGGGAGGGATGGGGAGGGATATGGGATATGGATGAATGAGTGCATGAAAATCACACAGCAGATATATTAAACATGACTTGACGAAAGAGAGAGAGCAGAGAGCAGAGAGCAGAGCCCGGGACGGTGCTGGCTTTTCTTAGATATTGAGCTGAGCGAGGTATTTTGGTTTAGTTTGGTTTAGTTTGGTTTGCTTGGTGGTATAAATTATCCAATATACGCCCGCCCGCCTCCCCCGCCCCCGCTTCCCCCCGAGCCCATCCAACCATCCATCCATTCATTCATACAAATCCATCCCCTTTAACCTGAGATTACCGCCGACTTTGACTCCTTCCTTCTTGAAAAAAGTTTGCATGATCCGGATTTTTTCATTTCATGGATAGTTAGTTAATCATAATAAGAAATAAGAAAAGATAAAAAGTGAGAAGCAAAAAAAAAAAACGCCTTCGAAATGCGAACCCCGCTCCTATCTAAATATCCCTCCCGTCTAAATTTTGCGCCTGCCCCGTATATATGCATGCATGCCATTCATTCATTCCCAACGCTCGCTACACTTCATTCACGCTCATGACTGACTTGACTGACTTTCTGGTGGTGAAATGAACGGGAATTTTCTCAAGATGCCCGCTCGCGGGGCGTCAGGAGGTGTAGCCTCCTCCTCTCCTCAAAGTCTCCCACGTGCGCGGGGGGTGGTCTTCTGATGCCTATTTCGGGACTGCCGACGAGTGGGGAGGTGGGGGTGCTGAATGCTCGGTTCGGGCTGGGGGGGACTGATACTGCGGCCTCGTAGTTGGGTAATGATTCGGAATAGGTCGTCGACCTGATCGGCGCTCTGACCGCGGTGGAGTACGAAGGAACCTTGCTCAGATCGCCAAGGTCCGAGTAATCAATATGTTCGGGAGTATGTTGACCACTGGCAAGATTTGAGAGTCCACCATGGTGCTCGTCCTCCTCACTTGTGCGTCCACTGAGAACAGTGCTGTGGCTCGCCGAGTGATGGTGGTGATCAAAATAGCCGCTATCATTCTCGCCGTGAGGCCCATGGTGTGGAGTGTTTCCGCCAGAACCCAGCACCGGGTGCCTCCTCTGGAAACTGCTATTCCGAGACGAGGTGTTGAGATTTTGTAGTCTCGATGATAGAGCTGCTGGAGGAACGGCCCCCGTTGGATGAACGGCCCCATCAAGGGAAGCTAGGTTTTCAGACGATCCGTGGCGGGATAGGTTGTAGAAGGGAGTATTCATCCCAGATTGGGGGGCCGGGGTCATGAGACCCGATTGATCTATATCGGCATAGAGCTGATCTAGAACATGCTCGCCATAGAGGGGTGGTGCGTGTGAAGCTACATCAACGGATTGTGAACTCAGAGGGGTCTGGTCGATCAGACAACCGTCGGCGTCGATTGGCATGTTCGGAGAGATAAAGATGGTGACCGGAAGCGTTGCGCGGAGCTAGATCTGTCAATATGTTTCGCATCTTTAGGCTTAAGCGAACTCACCTCTGAGACGTGCCCGTCGGGGTTATGCAAGGCGATGTTGAACTTGACCTTGTGGCGTATCTTGATCCCGTGCACATCCACGTCCTGGACACACTTGCTCAACCTTTTCGGCAACGGCATCATCTCATTCAGGGTATAGCCATCCTGACCGCTCTCATCCAGTACATCATGGTAGTGTTCCTCGTCATTCAGTTCAAACGTCCATGAATTCACGTCCCTCGAATGCTTCCAAAACCTCTCGGTATGCACAGTAGCCCCTGGGATTACAAACTCTTGTGATTCAACTAGGACACACTTTATGGTGCCTATCCTCAAACCTTTGAGTAACGACGTAAATCGCATCGAGACGTGTATCGCGGTCCCGAAAACGATAGCCTTCTGGGGGATGATAAGCTGATACTCAATCTTGTTGGGCCATATGTTTTCCACCGTCATGGCATGCGTCAACTCGAGAGCGGCTGGGTCCAGCGTGCGAACGATCCGTACGGGCTTCCACGTGTGTAAATCGTACGCCAGCTTGCCTCTCGCAACAGTCGCCTTCAACTTGTATACAATATGACTGTCGTGCAACCCTTCAACGCTCTCCGCCATGGAACCCGGGATCACCAGCTCGAAAGGCCATTCGTAGTTTCCAGAGGGTAGGAGGGTGCCTCTCGAGGACGAGCCCGGGCCCACGCCGCCCACAAACGGGGCCCATTTGTGATTGAATATCTCGGTAGTCTTCTCGACTCGATTGTGGGAAATGCCGGCAGCTGACATGCGCTGGTCATTCCAGCTGGATAGAGAGGGTTAGTTGTTGATCACGCGCCTCGGAGTGTCTGGGTGCAGAACTCACCCAACCTTCAACTGCCCCGTCATGCGCAGGTGCACATCCTCGACTTTCAGGGCTGCGGGCAGACAGAGAACGACGACCCCCCTCAGGAGCTGACTGGAAGCCTCATTCTCAGCGCCGCGAAGGACGATGACTTCGTTCTCGAGGCTTATGATGAATCAGCAAAGATTTAGGATGAGTGAGGGGAGATATATATATAGAAACATACCGTATTTCAAAGAGGGTGGCACACGTCCTGCCAGTAACGCCGCCAAAGGGATTGAAACTGGGCATCGTGCGAAGTTAGGTTGAACGAGGGATTGGGCACGCAGCCTGGGTGGCAACGAGGCTGAAAACGGGCGATGATAAGAACGAGCGAATGTTTTTCTTGAGGGGGGGGGGGGGGGGGTATCTCAATAGAGAGAAGAGAAGCTATCTTCAGAGACCAAGTGAAGGAATTTTCCCTTCTCCCTCGCTGGGTATCAGGAAGAAGATGCGCCTCATGAGGGAGCGAAAGAGTTTCGTTGCGGTTGAATGGCACGAAAGGGTAAAGAATGGGTCGACGGGGTTTTTTGCCGCATGATGCAGCCAGGACGGAAGAGGCAAGGCATCTGTGTTCAGCGTGTTCGGGATACCTGCAAAAAGGTGCGAGAGTTCGGTGATCTACAGCGGGCGGAAGGGTCACGGACTCACGGTCTAGAACGGGCGCGGCGGCGGGCGGGCGCTGATTGGTGGGAGGGGCGATTGGCTGAAGAGGCGCACGTCACCGGTGGTTTATGGCCGGTGGGGGGTTGTGGTGCGCCGTAGAGGTGGGGGTTTCCATTGTGTTTACCTCTCACTGCTGATTCTGATGACTAAGATATAGAGATACTTTGGAATTAGTATTGAACAAAGGATCGATACATCTGGGTACATACCTTAGTCTCTTTCCCTGTTTTATTGATTCACATTCTTTATTCTCTCATTCCCTCCCCCTTCCCTTCCGGTACCGTACCGCTATTCCCGTGTTTCGTCTTACGAGCTGAGGGGCACATCCACAGCACAGATACACGCGAGGTACTTACCTTTTTGCCGCCGACCGGGCGCATCTCGATGTACTCCCGGGGTATCCTCTCTGCCACTGCCCGCCGGTGCACGGAGCGCGGGGTGGTGGGCGATAAGATAAGGGCGGCACGTGATCGGGCCTGAAGAGGAATCTCCATGAATGCCGAATCGTGTGATCCAATCATTGTTCATTCATCAGTATGACCCCAATAAGCATCCGGTCATTGCGCCGGAGCGGTTCACCAGAGCCTCTGTTATCATTGTTAAGTACGTATGTACAAGTACCTAGGTATATATGGCCTTTCCTGACCTTGCCTATACCATCCGCCCATAGAGAGCAGCGCCTCGGCCAAATGATCATACGAGAGCCCGGCCCCGCTGAAGAAGAATTACACGTGAATGAGCATATGAATGGACATATGAATGCATGAACATACGCATGAACATACGAATAAGCATACGGTTCGAGAGGCGGGAGGCGACATGCGGAACAGTCCGAGCGCTTGTCTGACATTCTGATATCTCTCTTCTGCTTTTCTCCCTCTCTGCACAGCAGAGTCGGAAATATGCAATCTTGGTTGCTGTAGGGAGAACAATGCCAACATCAACTCCCTTCTTTCAATTGCTAAACGGCCTTGCCAATCACAACACCCCCTTGCGCCGCTTACGCACGAACTGCCCCTGGCGGCCAACCTCTAGGCATCTGCATTTTTCATGCCGCGGCCCTTCTCTCGTACGTACGCAGCATTGTCACCCTGCCGTGCGCGTCTCGGGTCTCTATATACGTAAGGTCGTAAAGTAACACTGTAACTTCGAAGCGTTGACAGAGAGGAAAGGGAGAAAGAAAAGAATTGAAAAAGGGTCCTCCAGCCCTCCCCTCGTGTTCTGCTCCCGTAACAATCTCTTCCTCGTTTTCTTCCTCGTTTTCTTCTGCTTCTTCTCTGCCATCACCCAGAGCTTTCTTGCCTCAATGGCATATCCTCTCTACCTCGGCGCCCTGCTCTGCCTGGCCGTCATCTTCACCGTCAAAAGACTCGCATCCTACCTTTCGGCCTACCGCTTCAAGAAGGCCCATGGCTGCAAGCCCGTCCGTAGACTCCCGCAATCCGAGCGGATCCTGGGATGGGCCTACTTCAGGAGACAGATGAAGGCCGTGAAGGAGAAGAGGATATTAGAAGAGATGAGGTCGATTTATGACAGCCACGGCCCGACTTTTTCGTCGGTCGTGTTGGGCGGCCACCTCATCAACACCATCGATCCCGAGAACATCAAAACGATCCTGGCGTCAAGCTTCGCTGATTTTGGGCTTGGGGGGAGATTGAAGGCTTTCGGACCTCTCTTGGGAAATGGCATCTTCACGAGTGATGGTGCTGCGTGGGAGCACTCTAGGGTACGTAACGTGACATTAAACCATGGATTGAAAGGGAGAACCTGACGCCCAGGAACATATAGGCCATCGTCCGTCCGAACTTCACCAGGAACCAAGTAGCCGATCTTGACACGTTTGAGACGCACATCCAACATCTCATCGCCAAGATCCCGCGAGACGGTTCGACTGTGGATCTCCAGACCTTGTTCTTCCAGCTGACGCTCGACTCGTCGACCGAGTTCTTGTTCGGCGAGTCGGTCTCGTCACTGCGCAGTACCGAGGGATCGGAACAAGAGCGCTTTGGTCGATGTTTTGATTTTGCTCAATCAAAACTCGGGAACAGAACCCGTCTGGGAAAGTTTTCTGCCCTGTTCCGTGACACGGAATTCGACGAAGCATGCAAGACGGTCCATAAATTCGTGGACAAGATCGTCTACAGAGCTCTGTTAGAGAACCCCCCATCATCCACCGACCCGGAGAAGAGTGTCGATGGAAAGGACGCGTCCCAGAGATACGTCTTCCTCACGGAATTGGTGAAGGCCACCCGAGACCCAAAACAGTTACGGGATGAGCTCCTCAACATTCTCCTCGCCGGACGAGACACGACCGCCAGTCTCCTAAGCCACACCTTCCACGTCCTGGCCCAACGTCCCGACATCTTCAAGAAGCTCCGCTTCGAAGTCGACTCCCTCAACGGCGAGCTGCCCACCTACGAAACCCTCAAGTCCATGAAATACCTAAAATACATCCTCAACGAATCCCTGCGTCTGTACCCGGTCGTGCCCACCAACGGTCGGTACGCCAACAAAGACACCGTGCTGCCGCGCGGCGGCGGTCCCGACGGCCAGTCCCCCATCTTCATCCCCAAGGGCCTCACCGTCGTCTACAGCGTCTACACGATGCACCGCCGCACCGACATCTTCGGGCCCGACGCCCTGGACTTCCGGCCCGAGCGCTGGGCCCCCGAGGAGGGCTTGCGGCCCGGCTGGGCCTATCTGCCGTTCAACGGCGGGCCGCGCATCTGCGTCGGCCAGCAGTTCGCGCTCGCTGAGGCGAGCTATGCGATTGTGCGCCTGCTGCAGGAGTTTGAGCGCGTGGAGGATCGAGATGGGGAGGGATTGGTCCCGCAGTTGGGGTTGACGATGGCGAGTGCGAATGGTGTCAAGGTGGCTATGATCCCAAGGGCTTGATTGAATGGGATTGTACGGATTGAGGGGGCTATCTATGATGAAAGAAAAGTATGTATGTATGTATTTAATCAAATCTTCTTAGAAAAGAAAGTTATAGACCGACCAGGCGGGCAATGTCACTCAATTATTCGTTATGGGTTTCTCATTATTTAGAGGGCTACCTATCTTATCTTTTAATAAATCAGCAGCAGGATACATACCATGGATAGATAGTTCATTCGAGATTCGCATTAGAAGGTTTTTTGCTTATACCACGGTGAACTTGTTTGTTTGTGCATCTCTATTGATGCTTTAATACTCTTACTTTTATAATCATCATCATCATCTTCTTAACTCAGGCTCTCACGAATACATACCTACCTACTCACCTATCCTTAAGCCCCCCCCCCCCTATTCATGGAAAAAACGCTGGGCACAGAACACAGAACACACAACACAAGATACAACAAACATTGGTGCATAAGCTATATTTCAGAGTCGGGTCTGGCATTCAGGGAGGGACCAGCTGAGCTGGGATCTTTAGACTTATGCGGTTAGGAAAGGAAGGAAGATAGATAGCAACAGATTTAAGTTTCTGGGCATGGCACGCATCGATGGATTTGCTTGATTATTTGGGTCATGAAATTTTTATATTGCAGACCGGATCTTTCATCATCGATCGTTAGACAGAAAAAAGCAACAAAGAAAAGAGAAGCAGCAAAGGACTAATCCATTGATTTCCGTCCCGCTTGAAAATATAGACTTGCAGTAAATTCCCCGAAACAAAAATCAAAACAGATTTGCGCCAACGATCTTCTTCAGTGGCAGGCCATGCATACATGTATGCATCCTTCTAAAGATAAGTAGTAGGAACGAACCGCGTGAAGATCTCACGTCTGCTCTTCTTCTTCTTGCTCTCTGTTTTGCTTGCTATTTGATGGGGCGTAGCAGGGTAGTAGGTAGATAGTGAGTAAGTGGGTGGTGGGCTCGCCGTTAATGCAAGATGTTTAGATGGATGGGATGGGTCAAGATCAAGTAGCTGGCTGGCGAGTCGCTGCATCAGCACCACCTATCACGCCCGAGGTCTGGCGCTGCTGAGGGAGAGGATATGTGGGGGAGGGTGGTCTCGGATTCGGATCCAGGGATCGCGGGACGAACTCGGCCTCGTCTTCAGAATAGGTGGGAGGTTGCGATACCACTCTCCTCTCCGTGGGGCTTACGGGCGACGTTGGCTGCTCGGCGCCCAGGTTCGGGCCGGCGCCAGACACGGATCTGATAACTTCGAACCAGCGCTGCGCATCCGCTGCGGTGTGCGCCTTGAAGGCAATCTCGGACGACCCGGATAACTTGCTGCCCAGACCCCCGCTGACATCTTTCCCTTTCACGTTGAACTTCTCGCCGTTCGTGGTGCCAATGACGGCATCTGGGAGGAAGATGGACAGTTCGGGAACGGGGTCCTTGCGATAATTATCGTTATCCTTGAACTCGTGGAGAAACCTCGACGGAGTAACTACGTAGTAGCCAGTACTGTATCCGTGCATACTGAGCTTATTGCGAGATTTGCGCTCGAGTGTTCCTTCGATGAGAGGTTTCGTGCTCTTGTGGTTTTGATTGGGGAAAGAAATCGCGTCAACTGATCGATCAGGTTCGTTGGGATTGACGAGCATGTGGCCACTCCGACCAACAAACCTCTGCCATTCGAAATCCGGAGGGATTTGCTGCCCCTGGGCTAGCATATCTTGGTACAGAGCCTGGGTCCTCTGGGCCTGGCCACCGACAAATTGGTTGAAAGACATCATGGCTTGTTGGATGACCTCAACGACATGGCTTTCAAATTGCGCAAAGTTATTTTGTACGGCAATGAGATTATGCTTGTTGTTGTTCTCCTCGAGGACTTGCTTGTTGAGCCGGTAGTAAACCCCCCTCTGTAAAACATACGGATCATTTGAAGGATCCGTGTTCCCTCCTGCAGCAGCATGGTTCGCAGTCTGCTGTCCGAGAAGCTCGATGTGTTTTTGGGTGGTGGCTCGCGCTTTCTCGACCTCTTTCGCGGTTTTTGCGGCTCCCGAGGACAGCTCTTTCGACTTGTTCTTGATTTCCTTGTGTAGGCGCTCGAGAATAGGGAGGACGGAGCCTTTGAGGTTCTTCTCGGTTTCAAGGTGGCTGTTTACCAAGCTCTGTCAATTAATTAGCCGCTGCGCTCAAAACAGCTCGCATCCATTTACCTGCGTGTTTACTCTCATGTTCTCAAACATCCCAGCGACACCGCCCAAGCTTTGTTCAAAATGGTGCGCCTCCCTCAAGGGGTTTGCGATGGTCTGCCGCAATTAGTATTATGCTTTGGGCGCGTTAGAAAATGGCTGCCCGACCTTCAAGACCTTCTCATACTCCTTCGAATGCGCCTTGTGTATCTTCTCTGTCGCGCCCACGTAGTCCTCCAGATACCCAACAGCATGTTTCCAAGCCTGCAGTCTTTCTGCCAGAATGGTCGGGGTCTACACACACGAGCACCCATTAGCCTCCACATCTAATATCGCCGGCAACACAAGGGATTTAAACTCACATCGTTGGGATCAGAAGCAGGCACGGCATGATCGCTGGAGCCCGAGACTTGGCGCATGGGCATCTCAACGCTGCTGCCCGGAAGGCCGACCTTTTCCGCCATGATGAATGATGGTTTGTCTGAGTTGACTTATCAGCCTCTGGGCCCGGCGCGTCGGTCGCAAGACAGACAGATATATGAGGTTTTCGGTGTTTGTCTGGGAAGGGGGGGTTGCGTACGCCGATTGCTTGGTTTTCTGGGAGTGGGGAGCTTCCTTGCGGATGTGCGTGAACCCCTGCGCAACTCAGATGATTCAACGGTTTGCAGGGTCTTTGGCAGACGGGGGATCTCTGGTGTCGCCAGGAATAGGAATCAAGGCTGGAGGAATATTACTTTTTAGAGGGAGGATACGAAGATATACTATACTGCACTTACCAGCGGTTTCTCTCTGGAGAGACAAGCGAGAGTCCTTGGCCTCGACGTGATGCTTGAAAAGGGCGGGCGGTGACATCTGGGTTCTGGGGATCATCAGCGACTATTGATGACGTTACAGTCCGGTCCCAAGTAACAAGTTAGATAACCAACAACTGCCCATAACCAGACCCACTTCAACGACATCTTGAGGTATGGCGTCTGGTATTATTTAACAGAGTCGGTACGTATCCACAGAGCGTATTTTGGCTATCAGAATGCTAAAATTTATAGAGGATGCCTTTTATGGGCAGGATGCTTCACAGTCTCCGAATCTCCAAAGCCACGCCGGAGAATGCACAGCCACACTGGGTAAAGTACGCCGCTATACTGCTTTAGATGCCGCAGAACCACACGGGGACTAGATGCTTTTGGCGACAATTACCCAGAACGGAATATTGGGAATTTGGGAGCGGGCCGCAGCGTTTCCTCCCGAGTCCTTCTAAACTTTGAAGAATAATCTTTGACTTTAATCTCGACCCTACAGATCAGCGCTGCCATCCCTGGATAGGTAGGCTCGTGGTAGTAGGTCCCTAGAGCTTGAACCCTATTGTTCCGCGGAAAACACCAGAGACCAACGACTGCTTGTTCTCCCTGTTCCTTCGTAGTGTCACGCATGCGCCGCTCCCACTATTTTGCAATTCCTTCGCAAGCAGGAATACCCGAGGGCCGACCTGTTTACTGAGTACCGTGGTCGAAACCAGATCTTGATTTTCAAGGCGCAGGGCCTGGGATCTTCAATGTCGTGGGATCCTAAGGCTGGATGGAATAATATAGCAATAGCCACAGTGTGACTCGAAGATGGAAGATGCTGTAGGACTGTGGGAACTCGACGTGATTATTAGTCAAGGAGGTGCATTGAAGACCGAAGAGTCTATCAGCTAATGGTGGCGTTGATTGATATCTAGAATGACTCTCCTTACCACCTCTGCAAATTTATCTCACCACGATTTGATGGCTCCCTCCACGTGCCTTCAGAACCACGCCACTTCCCACAATCTGAGCACTCATGTCTGCCGGCACTGGAAGCCCATCAACAGTGATCCTCGGAAACTTTCCAGCCGATAAGCATGGTAAGATGACTTGTCCTGTCGTCCCTTCTGGCATGTTGTAATTCAACGTGTATCCGCCTCCCACTAACTGCCAGCTGGCTTGATATTTTCCTAAACTCGTGGTAAAGCCTCCCTCCACGCTACACAAATCACCAAATTGCGGAGCCAATTTCCATGTAGCCCCTGCAGGACTGAGAATACTGAGACCTAGCACATATGTCGTGAGGCTTGCCGTCGGTCCAGAGCTCCATCCGTGTGAGTGAGAAACATAGCTGGCATCATAATCATATCCCCTGGAGGAGCGATATCCAAAGGTCGCATTTTGCAAGTAGCCCTCGATGACCGTGGACTGTGTTCCATTTGGGTTGTTGATATACCACCCCCAACATCTCCTTATTAGATCGAGAGCACGATCTGTTTGCCCGATAGAGAAATGCGCTGCGATTTCGAAGCCTGATATGAAAGGGGATATGTTTCCTGGAAGTTCAGGCGAGACTGCTCCAATAGGGCCCCAATTCTTGAGTAGTTTACTAGATATGCTCTGAGCTTTTGTGGAATCAACCACATCGAAAAGAATGGCCATGCTGTTTGCATCTTGTGGATGAAGTTTGGTGGCCGTTGCATTGTCTTTGAAAGCACCATAGTCGTTGTCCCAACAATGCGTATTGATTGCTGTCTGTAGATTCGACGCGCGGGCACTCCATATGGTGCTGAGGTTTGCGGCATCGCCTACCCATATTGACAGATTTGCACCTGTCATGAGTGTGTGGTAGAGACTAATGAGTTCTTAGCTTTATTTCTGTAAGAAGGGAACTTTGTCTTGCATCATATTAGCCTCACTGTTATTGAATCCTTGTTGCCAGCGAGCCCAATCCCGAATTCCAGTGACGTTCAGAAGCCCATTAAATCCCACTTTATCATAGATAAAGTCCATTGCTTTCAAATACTTTGGCCAGTTCTGCAGTAAGAATGCTGTGTCGTTAGTATAGAGCACGTAGTTGTAGGTTCCTATCATTGTCCACATATGGTAAGTATCGGAGCCTTGCTGAAGCAATGGAGGGCCGGCTTCCGGAAAAGCGCCCGTGGTGGGGTTCTGGTTATTGTACATTGTTTGAAGGGCGTTCTTTACACTTGATAAATCCCCAATGCTAGAAAAGGCAGTCCCGACAGCAATTCCCATATCTGAACCAAGTTAGAGCAATGATTTCGACGAACTGGTTTCCAAATACCTACCTCCAGGCCACACAGCCCTATCTCGTTTTGCGCCGTCCACGATGATTGTGTCACCAGGTCCAAGAGTGCCATTATTTGCCCATCCCGTCGCCACGAAAGGGACTTGTCTCCCGGTATTCACAGGGACACTGTTGGTCTGAATGGTGTATGCTCCACTATACCAGATCCTGTTTAGCAATTCATCATTACTATGAAAGTATCCTTGATACGCCCTTAGATTAGACCATGTAGGTTGGAAACCAATTTCAAGGGATATATCAGTGACATCGACCGTAGTTGTTCCATTCGTAATCAGAAACAGCGTCATGTACCGGAATCCCCCTCGCAGACTGAGGTCAGGCATCACATATGTCCCTTTGCCAGCAGTGGCGAACGTGGAGTAGATTGCCCCATCTGGGCCTTTGAATCCTCCATTTGACGAATCTGACCATTCGCCAATCCAATTCTTAGCCTCCGTGAATGCAATCCCGATGGAGCCCGGCCCGGTTGTGGAATACTCGAGGGTGATCAATCCGCCAACCTCGATGCCGAAGTCAATTACCAGCTGAGAACCATTTCCCGAGAGACTGGCCGTCCCGGGAAAGGGAGAGAGGATATCCTCGTTCTGGCCGGATAGAATGAACTCTGGGGAGACAATTCTGCTGGAGGGGGCAAATATGTTTGACTCCCATGGTCCTGGAAATGCAGTATCAGCTGGACCGCTGCATACTGTATCTCTTATGATTCTCATTAGCTTCATCTTCGGAAATCACAAAGGAAGGGATAAATGTAAATGGTAGCTCACTTCCAACATGATTGAGCTAGGCCAGTCCCTAAGAGAAGGGCTATCCCAAGGAAACGGGCGAGGGTTCTGGAAGTAGCCATCTAGAAGCGCTCGTAAGACAAGGAGAGATTTGCGGACACAGGAGGCTGAAACCGCCGGGCATAATGATTGGAAGTTTGGAATATATGTAGGCCATCATATGAGCCAGTTTTTCGAAGGGTTCCTGAGCTCGGTGTACACATAGACCGAAAGAAAATTAATCCGCGTGGAGAGAAGATCCCGGCGGGCAGTACCTGCATACTAAATATAGCAGGTGCGGGGAAAGAGGACTGACAACAAATTGGGTTCTCACAGCCCTGTACCAAAAGGAGACTTTCCTCACTTGAATACGGCATTATCAATGCCAACCAAATTTGGAGGCGTGCGGGGAAAAAGGCCGGTCACGAACTGATAGGGAAGAGCTGGAGCTTTTGCGGGTAGATAAAACCTGCCCGTGGTGACACGCAAATGGGAAAGCGAGAAGTCGTTCTCATGCTGAGAATATTGATCGAAACATTGACGATAATTTTCTCTTTTCAAGGAAAATGAAACAGAGGATAAAATGAAATGCAATGAGTTGACATACAGTATTTATTTGGTTCAAAGGGGCCTGAAAATGAGAACGGTGGAGCTTTTGGGGGCTGACTGGAAACGCTTGCACTTGACAAAGGCGACGAGAAAGCTTCTGGAGGTTCTCACTCGAGCGAAGAAAGCATTGGCATGGGACTTGTAGAACAAACGGCAAAAGAAGAGGGATGGGAGCAGGAAGAGGCGGTGTTCTTCTGGTCTTCTCTGAACAGCAATATACTGATCCTTCGTAACAGTTCCTTTTCAGACCCAAGGTAAAAGACAATAACAATAGGTATCGCTTGAAGCGCTGATGGGAACACAGACAAATAAACGTCTTTGTCTTCCTCTCTCTACCTCTCCCTCTTGATAGGTACTTTGCAGTTTAATGCAGACCCACCGGCTATCCGGGCGTCTCCACGACTTGTCACTCAGGATAGGGAGGAAGGAACATAAGCCCGGATACACCAACTAGTAGCTTCATAGGGGCAGGCAATTGTGTAAATCCACGCTGTGTTCATTTTCTCCCTACCTTGTGAGCCGTGACGACTACCAGCAGGGCTGTGACCTTATGAAGGGTTATAACCACTGTAAAGGTAGTATTTGAGGGACCTTTAGGTAGCTATTTAGGTAAGGTAAACTACGGAACTAAATAAACTTTGATAACCAACCTCGCTAACCCAAGTCGGCCATTGACCTGGACACCAACTTCAAATTCAAGACCTCCCTTCTACCTTGACGTACCTAGACCAACCAACTATATTCGAATCTTTTTTAATCTGCCATGCGCCCACGACATTCACACATTTGATTCTGCTATTCTTTCGTTTTATTTTTATTTGCGCGCCTACGATCTTTCGACAACCAGCTCCAGATGAGATCACCGTTCCACGATCCAATCCAGCATCCGGTGCTAGTTCTATCTCACCAAGGGGGGCGTCCCTTGGTGTCCAGTCCCTCGACTCTCCATGAAGGTATGTGTGCGGTCTTCTTGTGACTCCGTGCCAGCTCACCTTATCTGTGTCTATTTGCGGGTTGCCTGTGACTGTCGCTCTTCCGCTGCTCCACGCGGGAGCATACGGCGTTCGACATTGGATACGCACGAAGCTGTACGCCAGCTAAGCAGGCCTTTCGCTGACAACTTTTCCTTCTTTGCAGACCTCATCTAGACCTCGGGCGATTGGGGGGAGCTTTGCTGCCAGGAGGGGCCATGCCGCCCAACTTTCGATAAGTGATACCAGTCACCACGTTACTGAAGCAATCGGAGACATGTACGGTGACGATGATTATTCGAAACGCGAGTCCCGGCCGTTGAGCTTCATTTCTTCGCCTCTGCAGGAGTCTATCGAAGGAGGGAACGCATTTTTTGGTTCGAGTAAACGCTCCAGAAGGCCTTCGCCGGCTATAAACGGGGATGCCGAGGCGGAGCCAGATACATCACCTACCATGTTACAAGCTCCACGGAATAACTCCCTGGATACAGGGCAGTTATCTCCCTCAGTCTCCATACGAGAACGTAGTGCATCAGATACGGCAAATACGAAATTTCCGCTCAACGACATTGGTTATGAATCGGACCCTACTGCGATTGCACAGGAGTTTAACAACTTACAAGCTTTGCGGCGCATGTCTATGGATGTTGGAAATACAAGTGATCCGGACTTGCCTTCCTTTCAAGGCCTGACGGTAATGCCTACCGTTGCACCTACAGGGGATGATAAGGAAGATGACCCGTCGAGGTTGTTTTGGGTTCCAGCTAGAGTACATCCTGAGCTTGCGCCGATGGAATTCAAGACGTTCCTGGAAAGTAGGGTACAATCGATTAAGCGAAGATCTGGGGAGCAAGATTCACTTTCTCCAGAGGGCTTGGAGGGAGGTGGATCCGGAGGCGGTCTCAGAAGGAAGAAGTCAATGCTATCACGACAGATTAACAACGACGGAGGCCGTGGTGCTCTCGAATACGAGGACGGCGCAGAGCAAATAGAGAGAAACAAATCGACCTCATCTAATCAAACGCCAGAACTGAAGATCGCAGACTTGCAGGAGTTGGACGCATTGGTACGGGATCCATCAAAAGCCATGCAGAAATTGACACTGGATACGGGCAAGCGTCAAGTCTCTGGAGGTGAGGTTCCCGCGAGTGAAGATATGCCAATATTACCACAAGCTCCAGGAATTGGATTAAGGAGGTCTACGCGTACCACATACAGGAGGGGAAGTCTAAGGAAGGTGCCATTTTCCAAGAGAGCTGGGTCAGTACGGGGGGCAGAGACTGATGGTGAGGAATCCTCGACATCCTCGCCAATTGATGGTCGCCCGTCAATAGGCTACCCTCTGACAAGAATACAATCTGAGCCGAGTACGTCCGAAAACTTTTCGCGGCCAGCTCGAGGCGCGCGTCGGATGCAGAATCTGCCACAGGATAGCTTCATCTCTTCTGACTCTGAAAATATGCCGGGCGAGGCTACAGGCAGAGCAGAAGACCATATGACAAGAACACTCTCCGAGGAGGCCCCTGCTCCACCGCAGCCAGGTTCACTTCCAAGAAGCAACACATTCCCAAGGAATGAGACTCCAGTTCCAAGGATCGTCGAAACTCCACCACCGCCTGAAGAGCCATCGGAACCGACACTGCCTAAGCAGAACTATCAGTTCCCTGAGAGGTCTTCATCACAAACGCCTCCCCCATTGCTACAAAATCAGTCGGCTCCAGAACCGCCTGCAAGATCGAATAGACGTCCAACGTTGGATCGCCAGGCCTCTTCAAGTATACAAGCTATTCCTAGGATTTCTACCGCGAGTCAAACCTTGAATGACATGGCTCAACATCCATCTCCACTCCCAGGAAGTAGCTCGGGCACCGATGCTCTTACGTTCATTCCTACTTTGGAGGAGAGGAAGCCAGAGAAAAAGTCAAAGAAGGAGAAGGAAGACTCCGAGAATTCAACCTCGAGGAAGCCGACTTGGGGTTGGTTCAAAAGCAGTGATGAAAAGGAGAAGAAGGAAAAGAAGAAGGACGAAGAGCATAAAGAAAGCAAAAAGGGAAAGGCTAGAGCTGTTTCGGACAAGGCTCATGACAATGCTCGTCTGGACGTGCTACAATCTACGATGGACACAGCAGTTACTCGTGGACGAGAGAGCTTAGTGCTCGATCGTGATAGCTTTGAGGATGAAAGGAAGAGAGAAGGCAGCCGAAAGTCTGGAGGGGAGAGTAAGAAGGAGAAGGATGGTCTCTTCTCGTCATTCTTTGGTGGAAGCAAAAAGAAGACCGACCGGGATTCTGGCGGGAAGAAAGCCAGTTCACTTCGGACCCTTTCACCAGACCCACCTCATCGCGAGCTAAGACCTGACATTGACTACAATTGGACCAGATTCTCAATCCTTGAAGAAAGAGCTATATACAGGATGGCCCATATTAAGTTAGCAAATCCACGGCGAGCGCTCCACAGCCAAGTTCTACTCAGTAACTTCATGTACGCGTACTTGGCCAAAGTTCAGCAGATGCACCCTCAAATTCAAGTCCCTCAGTCGGCCTTGCAGAACAGACAAGAGGCGGAGAGGCGACAAAGAGAACAAGAGCAGCAATACCTAGAAGAACAACAACAGCAGCTGCAACGTCAGGATTCCGGGGACCAGTATCGGTACGATTATCATCAAGTAAGTTCATATCCAATAATAGGTTTGAGGAGAATGGTCTAACTCTGCAAGGGTATCGCACAATATGCCGAATCCCAACACAATGCGAATCCTGAAGGAGCTCACTATGTGGATGATTCTCAGATCTATGACTATGATCATCAAGATGAAGATCCCTCTCAGAGACATGGCCGACCGCAATCACGGGCTTCGCAGCACAATACGGAGAACGGGTATGCGGATCAGAGTCAGCAATATGGCCGACACGGGAAAGAATACTACCCATACAGTCACTTGGAGCCCCAAGATCACGAGGGTGGGGATGATGATGATATGTGGTAATTGCTGGCATAGCTGCCCGCTTCCGTCCTGTCTTTATGCATATACGATGGAGTTACTGGCGCTTTTCATACCAGGACGGATCGAGGTTCCATAGGGCTGGGCAGATCCTGTTTTTTTATATTTTATTCTTCTTTTCTTCTTTTGAGCGGGTTGGAGGGTCGTTAATCGTTGAAAGCATAGCGTCTGGCGGTCTTCACCTCTTTCCTTGTGTGGAATCATGAGGCTTTTCTAATGCCACCTGCGATTTCTAGGGGCATGCGCGTGTTCATATGTACTACAGAGTCCACCTCTTGCTTCGAGACGGACTGGAATGAGAACCGGTGAATATCCATACGGTTTCTCGTGTTGGGACGATCGTTACTTACCTACCTGTGAGGTATACACTCTGGGTACATAAGGTAGATATGGCTTATAATCCAGGAACAGCCGATTTCAAGCCAATTCATGCTTTCACGTGATCATCACAATAAATTCCGTAACACGATCGCGACTGTTCCATGCCTTCGCCGATATTGATAAATAAAAGGTTATTACGGCCAAAGACATCTATAAGAACCGTTGTACTGATCATTGGCCGTAAAGTGAGAAGAACGCGTAACGCGAGTGACATGACCACTTGATACACATTCACGAGGCCAGGCAACCTTCTTTGGGAGTTAGCGGGGAGCTTCACCTCAGCCGCCTATTTGCTTGACTGCCCCGACTACCTTAGCCACCCCAACATCAACAACTACTCATTGCTCTATCGCCTTCTTACTTGCATCTGCGAGTGCTGAACAGCACGGATAGATACAAGAATGTTTCGCGCCCAGCAGAACGCCTTTGACGATGTCGTCGGTAAGTCGAACATCCTGCCTCCAGAGGTCAGCCAGCCTTGGAGCTTCAGAGTGCCGGGTTACACATAACAGCTACTAATCTCAGCCCTTATAGCCAAGGCGACCGACGAGAACCTCACCTCGGAGAACTGGGAGTACATTATGGATGTCTGCGACAAGGTGACGGGCGAGGATAGTGGTGCCAAGGATGTCGTGGCCAGTATGATAAAGAGGCTGGCGCATCGGAATGCCAACGTACAACTATATACCCTCGAGGTAGGGATGGACATTCTAAACTTCAGTTTTATATATCTGCTAACGCATGTACCATAGCTTGCCAATGCCCTCAGCCAAAACTGCGGACCCAAGATGCACCGGGAGCTGGCCTCTAGAGCATTCACCGACGCGCTCTTGCGACTAGCTAATGACCGGAATACGCACCAACAAGTGAAAGCAAAGATTCTAGAGCGAATGCAAGAATGGGCAGAGATGTTCAAGGATCCAGACCTGGGAATTATGAATGACCAATACCACAAGCTCAAGAGCCAGAACCCAAATCTACATCCTCCTTCAGCACCATCGAAGAGCCGGCTTACAGATTTGGATCGCCAGAAGGAAGAAGAGGAGTTACAAATGGCGTTGAAGTTATCGATCCAGGATAAAACATCACAGACACAAGCAAAGACCTCCCAGCCAGCAGCCTCATCTGCAGCACCTGCACAAGCGCAGCCTGCTGCGCAAACATCGGTTCCTTCTGGTACAACTGCTGCAACAGTATCGCGTGTCAGGGCACTGTTTGATTTCCAAGCCACTGATCCAGATGAGTTGACCTTCAGGAAGGGCGATATTATTGCAGTGCTTGAGTCTGTATACAAGGATTGGTGGAAGGGATTACTCAGGGGACAAACTGGCATTTTCCCTCTGAATTACGTCGAGAAACTGGCAGATCCCACGCCGGAAGAACTGCAGCGAGAAGCACAAATGGAAGCCGAGGTCTTTGCAGAGATTAAAAATGTCGAGAAGTTGCTCACGCTGCTGAGCACATCTACTTCGGACCTGAATGTTCGAGATAATGAAGAGATTACAGTACGTTTGACCTCGGGTTCAATTCATGCCGTAACTAACACCGACAGAAACTCTATCATTCGACACTCGCAATCCGGCCAAAGCTCATTGAGCTGATAGGGAAATACTCGCAAAGAAAAGGTACTTCTTTCGATTCTCACGTGAGACCGTCTACTAATATGTCTAGATGACTTCACGCAGTTGAACGAACGATTCATCAAGTCTTGCCGGGATTATGAGAACCTCCTCGACGCATCCATGACCCAGACGCAACCTGCTTATCAATATGGACGTCAAGGACATGGCTACGCTGCAGGATACCCACCGCAAGGTGCACCAACTCAGCAAAACCCTCAAAGGTACTACAGTCCACAACAAGGTATGAAGAACTTCTCGAGATTGAGATGGCAATATGTTGAGTATTCTAGGACAAACATACCCCCAGCAGACATCATCACCGGATTATCCCCCACATCGAAATGGCCCGGCACCTTTCTATGTTGTAGCCCAGCAGCCTCCCGCTGATCCTCATGCGCATTCGCAGCAGTATCCTCAGCGAGATCCAACCCCGCGCATTCCTTCAAACCCACCTCTCCAAACCAGCTCTCCACCTCCAAATCAATACCCAGGGCAGACAAGCTCCCCGCCACCGAACCAATACCCTACAGCGCAACCACAAACTGGCCACCGACCCCAAAGTACTTACTCTAGTCCACAAGAGCTTGCTACTACCACATACGACACACCAGTGAACCAGCAACCCAACTCCGGGTATGGCACTTCAGCCTATTCTCAAGATGATGGATACGCCCCGTCAGCTCCGTCAGCTCCCCCAAATCAACAACCTCCTCCAAATCAACAACAATACAGTGCCTATGTCCCCCCTCAACAATCTCAGCCGCCCCAACCAGGATACGAACCCCCCCATCCCCCGCAAAGTGGATACGTTCCACCTCCCGCACAACTGACCGCAGGCTATCCAGTCACTAGCCATGACGCCAGACAGACTTTACCTAGTCAAGTAGCTCCCCCGAGTCAGTACAAGCCATACCAAAGACCAGGAAGCTCAGAGGGCCATCGTCCTGGCCAACCAAGTGCTCCACCTGAAGCCCCAGCAGACTTTTATCGGCAGAATACAGCATTCTAGGTAGGGGGGGGCTCTGATGAGGAGGAAAGCTTTCACGAGTCTTACCTAATAGGTGAGCCAGGTGAAAAAAAAAAAACTACCAGCAGGAACAGTGAAAGAAGAAGAAGAAGATTAGTAGTTCTCGGATGGATGATGGATGCGACGAATCTGGGTCGTTTCATAAAGCGATGATGTATCATAAAGTTCGACTACTATGTTAAGGGTAGAACATTAATTAGTCTCGAAATACCATTTGGTTCAACGTTCATTCTTTCTCTCTTGTCATCACAAGCTTAAAAAAATCTCTCCTCCCTTATCTTGATTGATTGATTGATTGATTTCATCATACGTAGTCTCTATCTGCGCGCTGAACGTTGAGGACTTGCTTGCTGATGCTATCATGGTTCTTGGGAGGGATGGGACGCTTCATCGTCAAAAACTGGTGAGATGACTGGCCAGCAGCAGGCTGTAAATAGGGGGGATATCTGGATGGGAACTTTATGAATCGTCACGCCGGAGTAGGACATTTGAAATAATAATGCCTGGAAGGAAATATATCTATCTCAAATTGAATAGTCGTATATTATATACAACAAACATGCTTCGAGGTTTTTATATATATATATTTATGTATTTTCCAAAAACATGCACTAATGCTGCATAGCATCTTCAAAGAGTGCTCTCAGCTGCTGTCGCTCTTCATTCACCTCCTCCGCCAGCCCAGGAGCCAGCATGAGTACTCGAGCCTGCGGGATCGTCCCTTCAACCAGGTCGTCGATGTTTTCTCTCTTGAAGCCGAGATCCTTGAGGCCCTTGGGCTGATCACCTAGATCGGCTAGGAATTTCGCGATAGCTTCTCCGAGAACCTCGCCGGCGCTCTCCTTCTTCACGTTTGAGATATCGACGCCGAAGGCTTCGGCGGCAGCTAGGTGGCGCTCTGGGTTGGAAGCGCCGGTGAAGCGGAATACGGCGGGGGCGGAGACGGCTACGGAGACGCCGTGGGGGATGATAGGGGTGTTGACTTGGTAGCCGGCGTGTTTATAGCCGGGATTCTGTCCGGAGATTGGATATGACATTCCTAATGTAGTGGTTAGGGGGGTGGGAAAGACCACATGAATGGGAGTGAAGGGGACTTACCATGGCATAGATGCACACCAGCGTTTCCGAATCCAACACCAGCAAGTGTGGCGGCAAGAAGCATTTGACTCTGAGCCTCGTGGTCGTCGGGATCCCTCACCGCTCGTGGAAGATACTTAACTGTGCTTCTGAGAGCTTGCAGGGAGAAAATATCACTGATAGGATTGGCGCCTTGGTACGCCGGTCGGTTGATTGGGTTCAAGGGTCGAGGGGTTCTTTCGAAATAGGGGATGGCAGTCCAACTTTCCAGACTATGGCACAGAACATCAAGACCAGAACTTGCGTGCACAGCAGATGGCATAGTCCGAGTGTTTAAGGGATCACATATTCCAAGAGTGGGCTTGAGATTTCGGTGTGCGATTCCCGTCTTCGCGCGCTTGGAGACGAGGTCAAAGATTGCAGTGCCTGTGGTCTCGGACCCAGTTCCTGCTGTGGTAGGTACTGCAATAAGAGGCTTTAATGGTTTTGTGATTGGAAGGCCCTTCCCTAAGGGAGCGTTCACAAAGTCGAGAAATTCCGCATCCGGGAAACAGGTGTAGAGATTCATGAGCTTTGCGGTGTCAATGACAGACCCACCACCGACAGCCAGGAAAGCATCTGGTTGGTAGGGTTTGGCAAACTCAATGGCTTCCTTGATCCTGTCATCTCATTAGACATATGACCTTGAAACAAAAGCTGCAGCGGGGACCGTACGAGCTGTCCTTGGGCTCGACCCTGCACCCATCAAACACAGTATACTCAACACCTTCTCTGGTCAATCCTTCTTCAACTTGCTTCATAGCATCCAAGTTTCTTACTGTGCTGTCAGTTACCACACAAACTCGTTTGGCGCCGAGGTTTTTCATGTCCATTCCTACTTCCTTTGTGACACCGGCGCCAAATCGGATCGAGGAAGCGGCCATCTCGAAGGCATACTCCTTCTGTCTTGTAGAATCAACGGGCGTGGCATAGTTGCGTTGCAGGTTGCGCTTCGCGTGTGCAAGGAGGCCAGAAGAAGGTTGGTGGTGGTGGTGATGCGCGGGGTTGCCATGGCAGGGACATGACGGTGGATGCGTATATTGAATAGTACGCAGCAGATTCATGGCTCGAGCCGCCCTCTGTTCACAAGTATCAGAGCCATTCTGGGTCTTCAGAGGGTCATTGAACTCACAGTAGGGGCTATCCTCACGGCGGCAACCATCTTTCAGAAGTGGGCGGGATTGGACAAGAATGGGGCGGGGGGGATACTGGAGCTGAGCTCAGGAGCTTGGATGCGATGGATGCTTGGTATATCAATGAATCAATCAATGTTATAAGACTCTTGTCGTTGCTTTTACTTTGCTAAAGAATGTAGGAGGAAAGGAGAGAAAGAGGGAAGTTGGTTATCATAGGAGTCCTGGGAATAGGGAGGGAATAGCAGGACGTGGTAAACACGACTGTGGAGCTTTCTCCGCATTTGGTCGTGTGAGGGGTTCGGCGTGGAGATCCTCGGCAACCCGCCGTTTAGCCATTGAGCCATTACCCGTTGCCGCCCGTCGGCGTCGGCCATTTGGGGGCCCGGAGGTCGCGGATAAGGAGGATATCCGATAGACCCATCATCTTCGATTCTTCGTCCTATTTATTACCAACAGTGGGGAGGTCCTGCTTTACCATCATCAGAGCGGCATGGCTCGAACCAAGAAGAACGAACTACAATCAATCATCATGCCAAATCGATTTCGATCACTATTTCGCCTATCCACACTACCTCTTGAAAACACCGAGGTATCATGCCCATCCATCCAATTCAATTTACAAACTATCCCTTCCCCTTTCCTCTCAAACCCCCCAAAAATGAGAAAATAAAAAAGTGAAGAGAAATAAAGATGAATTCCCTCAAGGACCCCGAAGGTGAGATCCAAGCCCAGACTCCACCTATGACCAGTTGACTGCGCTGCAAGTATGTGTTGCGCTGTAGTACAACATATCTGTAAAATTGTAAATGACGAAGAGTTCATGAGTTGTAGACGTATCTCTCTTGAAGAATCACTCATTAATCCCATATAGTGGGATCCAAACATTTACCAGCCTCTCCGACTGCCTCGGCGGTTGCTGGAACCAGATTCCCCGCCTCTGCCAGATTCGAAGCCGCCTCTCTCATTGACGTTGGCACCCGCTCCTGCGTTACCGCCACCTCGAGGCTCCTCGAGACTCCTCCTCGAAACATCCCGGCCAATTTCACTCATGTCGAAGAGCAACGGCTCATCATCCGGGTCGTAAGCTCCAGCAGTCCTGGTGAAACTATGTCTACCACCCGCTCTCTCACTTGTTCCACTTCCACCAGCCCTCTCCAACAAGCTTGAGTAAGAGCCGGCCTGAGGTGGTGTGACACCACGCCCTGCCATCCGACCTAGTCTTGGTCGATAAGGCGAGTTTGTGGAACCACCAGAGAGTCCGCGGGGTATTTGAGGTGCTTCTGACTCATTTGCTTCGAGTGACGATGAGGGCTGACGAGACATTGCGGCTGGCGATTCTGATATATGAGGTGCGGGTTGTAGGAGGTGGGTTGGAGAGGCCGATGCTACGTTCTCCGATGCCTGACCAAGACTAAGGAGGGCACTTAAGCTTGGCGGCTCCCGGTCATCGGCTCCCAGGCTAATACTTCGGTGGACGCCAAACTGGAGATCCCCCAAGTCATCCTCAACAGCTAGACTTCTATGCTGTTGTGCAACGGAGCTTGAGCGCCTATTGTGTGGATAGTAGGGCCTCGGCGAAGTTGGTATGTCGATAGCATTAGTACCAAGCTCGTTCGTCTGGTCATTATCTGCAACATCCTCGAGCCTAGACTCAGGGTCTGGCCTGCTGTGCTGACTAGCTCTACGAGGCGCAGAATACTCGACTACGGAATTCGCACTCAAGCGTGATGGTATGGCTGGCGTATGGGGAGTGTGGGGTGAGACTGGCTTTCCGGGAGACGATGATGTTGACATTGAAGTCGCAGCGACCATTGGGGGGACACTTGAGAGTTGCCGACTTGACGAGGTTGATGATCGATGCAACAGTGTTGACGACGACATTGATTCAGTCAAAGCGTTGTTCGATTCACGCATAGACTGAAACTTCAAGAGCTGAGCACTGGTCCTTTTCTTAGATGCTTCACCTGAAGGCTCAAAGCTCTGCAGAGTCTTTTTACTGTCCAGCAATTTCAAAAACTCAGATATGTTATCGTCATCAGCTTGTAGGGAGCCTAAGCTGGCCGCAGCACCCCCTTCGGTGAGAATGCCAGAGCCCGGTTGCGCAACGGAGGATGACAAACTTTGCTTGCCACTACTGCCTTGATCATCATCGACAAGCTTGCTGGCGCCACCGAACGAGGATCTACCTCGCCTGTGGGTAAAGCTACTGCTATACCTGCTTATTGGTGCAGGTTTTGGTGAGCTCGATGAAGGTGTGGTTACATTTTCAGGCACAACTGGCCCGCCTCTCAATGAGGCTGGCATACCAGCCGTGAGGGACGAGCGATTTCGTCCTTGAGCTAACCCACTTGTGCCAGATGATCGTGGAAGTGATTGTGGGGACGTTTCACCAGCTTGCTGTGAAAAGGTCCCCCGCCCCGGCGATGACGAGAGTGAACCTGCCTTGAATGGCTGAAAAGACACAGAAGGTCTCCTTGCCATTGTGATACCCTCTAATGACCTTAAGGAAGCCCTGGAGGTCTGCATGGGTCTAGTCTGGGGTAAGGAGCTCATAGGCGACGAATTCGTATCGGATCCGACCTTGATTGCCCGAAGGGCCGATATGGGACTTGAAGCTCGAGGAGGAGCGTCGCCATGGAAAGTAGACAAGCTTCCATATGCCTGGATTGGCTCTGTGTGCTCAGCGCGCTGTCGATGTGCAGGTAGAGAGCCTATCTCCGCGGCCCTCGAGGCTCGACGGCGATTAGTGTCTAAGGAAGGTTGAAAGAATTGCTCATCAGCACCCATAAATCTTGAGCTTAGCAAAGCTTCGGAGTCGTCGACGCGAAAGTTACAGTCGTTCCGATAGGAGACTTCGGCAGAAAATTGTCCTGCAGGGGTATCCGACGTCCCAAGGAAGTAATCCGTTGTAACAGGACTTCCACTTTCATATAGAGGATGGGTAAGCGCGTCAAATCGAGATGGTTGCACATTGCCCGCAAATATACGACAATTCACCCGCAACGAACTATTTGAAGATCCGTTCTTCGCCAAGCCCTTTACGAATCTCCATGCGGGCACGAATTTAGCCGTCGCATACAAGGAACGGAAGAAGACAATGCACTTCTTGTAGATGGTAGGTAACGCGGAACCGAAGTCGTATGTAGGTTCCCCCATATTATCTTGAAGCTCAATCTTCCAGCGTTCCAACACGACTTGACTGTTTCGTTTGCGAGGACGCGACCCCCCATCGCTGGGTCCACTTGAAGCATTCAACGCCTCCAAGACATCCCATCGTTTTCCTTGATCATCCACAATGACTAAACTCTGGCTACTCGTCAAATCCGAAGCATCGAGGTATGTTTCCACTATTAACGGAGGAGGGCGATTTTGAAATCCGCCACAGTTCCTCCATAAGCTCAACTCTTCTCGAAAGGCAGTGGTATCGTCCGTCTCTATTTGGAACTATTAGAGGTTAGAATTAGGATATGTTCTACTTTGAGGGGAGGGACCACATGCCCACTTGTTGACTTTCTTGGTTCCATCTTTTGTAATCATAACGGGGAGGGGCATCCGCGACTGTAGGATGACAATGGCTGCTTTTGTATGGAAATTCTTTCAAAATATCAAGTTAGCCCTGCGACAAAGTCTCCATTACTAGTAGATGAGGGATGACTACCTGTATGATCTGGTCTAGCTTCTTCACGGCGTCTTTGCTTGGGCCATTTGGAGCCATGACACCGCTATCTCCACTCCCCTCATCAGCCTCGCTGTAAGCAGGCATATCTGATCCTGATCTCGAGTGGGGTCTCGGGCCTTCTTCTTCTCTTGGGTTGTTTGTTCTTGTGGGGTTTGTTCGGGGCGATGAGGCTGGAGATGCCGTCATAGGGTAGGGGCGAGGGTGTTGATGCATGTTGTCGGCATTTGCTGACTCTGTATCGAGTCAGAGCCAACTGTCGTCGTAGATGAGTTTGAGCGTGTACTGTTATATGCAAGAAAACCGTTCTGATATACTGTCCCACGCCAACCGTCGTAATGCTAAATATCGAATGGAACGGTGGTGCGATGCCACATGATTTGGGCATCCATAGTTGATCTGTCTCTGTTGAAGATGTCGTCTGGCACTCGATTGTGCTCCAAAAAGAATGTGCTGGGTCAGGAACCTGCAATATGCGGTGGTGAACCTAATCAGGTAGGACGGGGCCTAGGATGGGCAGCTCAGGCAGCGAGCATCTTGTATGGAGAAATGCCGGGTGGGTTTCGTTGATACCAAGGGACTGGACTAAATATCTTCGAATATGAGGCTCTGTCTAGATAGGATTGAAGATGCCTGGGTTGGCGGCGCAGAGGGAACAACTGGGGGCGACGGCGAGCTCAGATGCAGTGATCATTCACACAGGACGATGCCTCGTGATCGCAGCGCTTATGTTGGAGAGCCGTCGAGACAGGGGGTCTGGCAATAGATGGGGCCGGGATGGAAAGGCCAAGGGGGTATATCCTCAGCTGCTGGCGCCCCTGGGGAGGATTGAGCAAGGAGAAGCAAGGATGATGTTGCGTGCTCTTGTTCCAAATGTTGAGCTTTTCGACATTTCCGGAGGTTTAAGGTTGCAGTCCCCGATTAGAGACGGGCAGCTCTGCTTACATAATGCGATAAGTAGGGCGTCCTGGTCGGGCAGAGGCGCAACAAGCGAACTAAGCCGGTCAGGGATTAGCAGGGCTCAACGAATGGGTGGTGGACTCCGTGCTTTGAAGTCCCGGAGTTGGAGGACAGCTTAGGGCACAACATGGGAGCGAAATCCCGTCACGGGGTACGGAGTAGCAAGGTAAGGTTAATCATATTAATAGCCACTTCACAAGGTGCTAAACAGTACCTTAATGGCCCGGCATCCTACCCGGAAAACCAGGCGGACAGGCCTCATTAGGGGGGGCGTGCGGGCTTGGCTGACCGCTTTCTAGGGGCAGATGGTCGAGCTCGGGAGGGGACTGTACACAAGGTACCTAGGTAACCCTCGATAACACGGAGTAGAAAGCCAGCAGATCAGAATCAGGAGCAGCCCGTGAGGATCTACTTCTAGGGCTTGAAGGGCCAGGCAGTGCCCTCCCTTTAGCCACAAGACATGATTGGCAGTAAGGTATACTAGTAATCGTTGAGGCTGTGCCTATGATCAGCTACATAGCAACCGAGAAGAAGAAAAGTTTGAACACCTAAAGTACGTCGTTGATAACTCTTGGTAAAGGTGAGGAGTCCGAGCTCGAGGCACATTGCTGCAACAAATGCGCCTGCATGATCCTGGTGTCTGAGAACTTTCTAGGCTTTCTGGGAGACTTACTTCGATATAGTCACTGTTTTTTTCAAATTATATGAAGAGCATAAGTAATCCACGATTGATTCCACCATATACAATATATTGAAGATATAAGGTAACATCCCCCGCTTGAGAACTTCATTTCCCCATGGAAACGAGAACCTACTGCTGTAGTGGGGTATATTACGGTGTATATTTGAAGAGATGGCAAATACAACATGGAACCTCTTACCCGGTACACTTCCTATAAGCTTCATATGCTTCCCCTCAACGCCATGCCGCGTCTGACTAGCCATTCCATACCTTCTTGCTTTCCGTCGGCGTACTCGCAGGGCGAAGAATGCTGATCTCGCTCGTCACCCACAGGTGTATTGCTGATTTAACAGTGGTTAGAGATATGATTGGTATTCTCGACGCCTTCCACAGAGAGTGCTCTGGATATGACCCGGAAACGTTGAGGAGAAGAGTTCGGATAGCCAATGATGGAAAAGGCTCGAAGGTGTTGATATCGTTGTAAGGTGTGAGGGTAAAAGTGGCAACCCTTCCCCCCTTTCTGACAGATAGGTCTCTCCGATTTCTTTATTAGGGTCTTGTTCTCGGCAGTGTGAGCCTCCTAGACAGGACAGTAAGAAATCGATCGAGGGAATTTGAATCGCTTAGAACAAGTTGGATATTACTTATCCCTCCTGCCTTGCCTCTCTCTCCAACGGCCGCATTGAGGATCTGCTCTTGGAGATTATGTTTCTCTTGATATTTTCCGAGCTTTTCTGCCCTTTCTTCGTTTCATTTCATCGGCAGGAGTTCAACTGTCGTCATTCCCTGGAAATATGACTCAAACTGGTAGTTCTGACCAAATGGAAACGAACAATCTGTATCGAAGCAAACACTACCGAATATATCGATGACAGTAGGGTGTAAAACCGGCTAATTTATAGCCAAATCAAGCTATTCGAGTAACTTATTGCCCTTGTGCCACTCAAGACAGGCATACCGGCAGGGTGGGAACAGTGGGCAGGTGTTCAGGCCAAGCTCTTCACCATATAAACTCGCTTCAATCCCTTCTCTTCAGCCTGGTGTGTCTCCGAGTAGCCGATCCGGGGATAAAGGCTAATGTTCTCCGCCATGGCCTCGTTGGTGTAGAGCTTGATGAAGCGATAGCCTGCCTCCCTGGCGGATTGCTCGGCGTATTCGAGCATTCTGCGACCCAGCCCGGATCCCTGGGCGGATGGAGTAACGGCCGGCCACGCTGTCTAGCAGCATCGCTTCCTTCTCGGGAATGAGCTCGAGGATGCCCAGTATAGCGCCATCCCGTTCGACGACATGGACGCGGCCATCATCGATCAAGGCGCCATAGTGTCTTAACGTCGGTCCTGGAGCTCGCCCGATACGGCTCACATATAGGGAGTAGGCGCGTCGAACGATATCCTCGATGGCGTATAGGTCGTCGGGTCTGGCTGGTCGAGGATCGAGCTGCATCGCGGCATCTCGCCATTTAGATGCCCCCAGGGGAACAGCCGCTATTCCACCTGCGCTTTTCACTCTTTTTGTATGTGAGTCCACATACATTTTCGCGGACAACTTCGCTTCCGTCGACTTGGAGCGAACACGTAAAAGTCGATTATCACCTGTTTATTGCTGTTCGAGCAGCTTTCTGCCGGAAGGGGGGCCGCGGCGGCTGGGCAAGCGCCTCTTCTTTCTTTCCCAGTGAGCCGTCCGGTGACAGAGACCAGGCATTTCGCAATCACTGAACTTGTATGGTTGGCGGTCGTCTCGGTCGGCTATAGACTCGCGCCTGAGCATCCGCATCCGCAGGGCCCGCGGGATTGTATGAATGTAGGTGAAGCTCCTCGAGCTCCACCCACGCTCACCCTCTCTGGCCTCCTCCACCTCGGCGCCTTCGATCTAACCCCTGATCATCAACCACGAGGGCGTAGGCCACTTCACCTCCGCATTCCTCTCCAGCGTACCCGTCACCCAGTACAAAGAAAGACCTCTCCATCTCCCCCTATTACGAAGATCTGCCATGAAAGAGTGCTTGGCCGGGGAGGTGTAGGTAGAGTGCTCGTTTGATATGCTATTCGCAAAAGTTGAGAGCTTTGCATAGGTATTCAAGTCAGGGTCGCCTAGCCCCTTTCGCTCCTTGACGAAAAGGAGACTTCTCACGTGATCGCGGCCGGCGAAATGAAACGCCGAAAATCCTGGGTATATCTTCGTCTCCTGTCATTGCGAGTGCCTCGAGACAAGATCATAAAATTCAAATGGAATATCAATATCAATAGGCGGTCTATCCCAATTGTCTGTCTCATATCCTCCAAACTCGGCCTCGACCCCTTTCCAGGAGACATGCTAGACTAGGTGGTGGATGGGATAGCCGTTCTCATGTCTCTGGCATCAGCATCCATTCAAGCCTGCTCCGGCCGCGACACCACGACAAGAGGTCTGCAAAGCATCCTCGTAACGGCCGACTGCATGGTCTCAGAATCTCATATCTCCTTTTCTCTCTTCTCAAGGGTTTCTGAATCCTCGAAAGCGACTTGTCTCGTGTTTCTTGTCTCTGGCCGCGCTCCTCGAGTGAAGATATGGCGCTATCCCCGATTCGGGCCTCAATAGGATGCGGTTACGTTGAAAGCCACAGCCGCGCCGGGGACTTTACCGTTGAGCGTTTCTACAGCTGTCATGTCGATATTGTCGATATTGCCGATATTGTGGAGATGCTCATATTTCTTCTTCCTCCTCAGTGGCATTTGATCTCGGGCCTCACGGGTATCGTCCAGCGGCGACCATGGGGTGGCTCTTCTCTTATTGGTACTATTTCAGAGGTGGTGGCTATTGACACCCGTCCTGAACTGCTTCATATTGCCGTGCTTGCTATTGAGCCGTCCTCCTTGAGCCGTCCCCCTATTGAGGATGGATCAGAGAGGTTCATCATGGCTTGCCGATCTTGTCTCTGCTTCCTAGACCTCGTCTTGATTGAATCCTTCTCCTTTAAAGTCTTTCATTCAGCAAATACTTGACTGTTACAGATCTCCTCTCTCCTCTCTCCTCTTTGTCTCCTTACTCTCTTCTTCGACTTTCTTCTCAGGGGCGGCTCATCTTCTTTGAAAGACATTGTGCCGATTCGTATCTCGCTGTCTACATATCAAGTCTGCAGCCCGGGCGAGGTCCTGGCATCATTTCGAAAGCTATCCTACCTCTTCCGAGATGGAAAACCTAGCATCACCAGTCTCGTACCATACGGGCCCAAATGCAATTCTCCTCCCAATCTTTGCGGCGCTGAGCATCGCCATAGTCTATGTTCCGTTCGTCCTCCTCCTCCGAGTCAAGAAGGTTGCGGCATGCACCATGGTCATTGTGGTTGCTGTCGTCAACTTCCTTACGTTTATCAATGCCATTCTCTGGCCAAACGACAACATCGCAGCATGGTTCACTGGCGTCGGCGTCTGTGATATAGAGGTTCAGATCAGGACCCCTATGTCCACCTTACTCGCAACTTCGATGGCTTACCTCACCAAGGATCTGGCCATGGCCATGGATACCGACAATCCTCGACTCGTTGAATCTAGAGCGCAGAGACGCAGGAGACTCTGGGTGGAGTTGACCTTCTGCTTCGCGATCCCAATTCTCCAGATGGCTCTGTACTACATCGTCCAAGCAAACCGATTCGCCATTGTCACCGTTTACGGTTGCGTAGACTCTGTTGATAGCAGCTGGCCCACTGTTGTCATCCGCGCCATCTGGCCTCCTTTATTTGCTCTTCTCAACTGCTATTATGCGAGTAAGTCCACTGAGGCCTACCCGCTCCCTCCTTTCATTAACTTTGATAGTTCTCGTGATCTACCGTCTGTACAAGCACCGCGGTATGCTTTCCAAGACCCTCTCAAGCACCGGCTCCGGCCTCAGCGCCCAAAGATTCCTCAAGCTTTTCTTCATGGCCAGCTCCTTCCTCCTCATCTACCTCCCCGTCACCCTCTACTTCTTCTACCTCAACCTCCCCATCCCCTTCACGCCCTATTCCTGGTCGCGCCTGCACGCCCCGGAATCCTGGGACCCCATCGTCTTCTACACCACCGCCACCTTCCCGCGCACCCAGTACAACGGCTGGGTCGGTGTCGCCATGGGTTTCCTCTGCTTCATCTTCTACGGTATGAACAACGAAGCCATCGACATCTACAAAAGCTGGTCCATCAAACTCGGCTTTGCAACTCTCTTCCCTCGTCTCTTGCAGCCGAGAGAGATCGAGAGGAGAGGTAGTAGCAGCAGTGGCACAGCGAAAGCAAGCTGGACTCACCATTTCGACCTCGTAAGCAAAACCCTACACTATCTCGACGGCTCCCGAAAGTCGAGCCAAACCTCCAGCATCTCCACCATCTCGTAAGTGTTTCTGCAGCCTCCCCCAATCTCCATGCTCCGCCAAGCTAACCCCCATCCAGGAACAGCACCCAGTCCATGAAAGTATTCGACCATGCCCCGGCCCCTCCCCCCTGCTCCCACCTCCCCTTCTCCCGCTCCCTATTCCGTACCCATATCGCGCTCCCTACGCCCCTGTTCCCTTCCCCACCTAGCAACCCAGGTCTTCAGACTTGTATCTGGAGCCATGATGAAGGACGGGCGGTGGAAGATAGTAAGGGTGTTAGGATTGAGAGGGAATTGGTTAGGAAGGAGGAGGTTCTGGATACTACTACTGCTGGTGATGGGGTGTGAGGGATGGGATGTTTGCATAGCGAGAGCCCCCTTCCTGACTGTCCTTTTCTTTTGAAGTATTTTGAAATTGGCTTTATACTCGAGAGGGGGGTTTACTTCGATCGATCGATCGTATCTGTTCTGTCGGTCGGTGGAAAGGAGGGAGCTGCTTTTTCCCTTCTCTTTCTTTCCTTCTTTTCTTTTTTTCTTCTCTGCTTCCAGAAAAGGATAGGTAGGAAGGAAAGACGAATGAATGAAACATCACATCAACAACTTAATTTACTCACAAAAACTCCAAATCGTAATAGTAGCGGGTAACAATACTAATTAATTAATTAATCAATTTATCGAATCAACACCCCCTCGCCCGGCCTCCTCCTGCTTCTCCACTCTCACTCATTCGCTCTTCTCTCCTCTTACTATTCTCCTAATAAAACCTAACTAGGTATCATACACGCCTTCTTCCTTCCTTCCTTTCTTTCCCCGAAACACACAACAACAACAACAACACTAACAACAACACCAATCATCCAGTGATACAATACAAAACACAAATACAAATACAAAGCTCACGCTCACGCCCCGCCGCTCACGCTAACCAATAATTCGATTCGATTCGAATTTACCCCAATCAATAGGGAATAGAATGGTATAAACAGGTAGGTAGGTAGGTATACAGAGATGGAGAGAGAAGAAACAAAGCCGTGAAACGCCGTGCCTGAAGCAAGTAAGGAAGAAATGTTATAGGAAAAAAAGGGGAAAACAAAACAAAAAAGAGGCTTCAAGCGGTGGGGGGTATATATAGATAGATAGAGATGTTGGGGATAAAGGAAAGGGGATATAAGGTAGGAAATGATGGATTTGGGGGATGGGATAAGGGGGGGTAAAGGGGAAGGGAAATAGGAGTGCGACGACTATTTCTAGCCGGCGCTAGCTTCTCCCTCTACCACCACATCCCCGATCTCTGAGACTGGGGCTGGGTACGAGATTTCCGGGTCTGGGACTTGGATATCTAGCTATTTTCGCAGAGAAAAAGAAAAAAATCAGTTTTCTTTGCTCGCGAGGTGGGATGAGGAGAGAAGGGGGGGGATAACTCACATTCATATACCCCGTCCGCCGCAATGGCACGACTCTCGGCGCGCTTCCAGGACCACCCTCCTTACACCTGCTCTCCATCTCGCGGTTCCAATCATCCAGATACCGTTCCAGCCTCGCGAGGCGGGTCTTCACGGCCGAACAGCCCATGTCCTCCCAGGCCCAGCCGGTGAGCAGGGACAGGACACCATCGAGGACGTTGCGCCAGCTGCGGGGGTTGAAGGCCGGGATCAACTCGCGGTTGATGCGGTCGATGAGCGCGCGGAAATCCTGTTCGGAGACGCCGGCCGGATCGAGGATCTCGGGGTAGAGGTTGGAGAAGGTGGGGGCCAGGTCGCCCTCGAGCATCCAGTCGCGGCGGATGCGGATGATGCGTGTGGTGTGGTAGAGCGGAGAGGTCACGGGCACGTGAGGGTTTGGGTGTGGAAAGCAGGGGTGCGCGGGTCCCCATTCTTCGGCGGGATTGGCGGCGGGACCGTCAGAACCGATGATAGAGGTGTTGTTGGAGGAGAGTGCGGGCCCGAGGCCTTCGGGTAGGGAGGTGAGCGAGGCGTTCGGGGGGAGGTGGGATGTCCCGCCGGGATTGTAGGTGTTCTGGGGCGGTGGCCCAGGTTCGAGATCGTTGGACATGGTTGTTTTCCTGTCAAAAGATATTCCCGGTACTGGTTTGGTTGGGAGCTGGGATATATTCTGTCCTTCTAACCCAGTGATAGTCTCTTGCTCCTGATAGGTATTCTGTTGATAGGTGCCTGGTCTCTCCAAGGTATCCAGTCTCCCCAAGGTATCTGATCTCTCAGACGCAATCTGATCCTCCTCCTCAACAGCCTTCCCCTTCCCCTTATCAAGTTTAAAACCAGGCGATAAAGGTGATAACGGCGACGATTCACCACTCTTGCTCCTCGCAATATCAATACTGACACTCCTCGGCAACGAGATCCTATTCGTGCCCGTCGGACTCCCACTTCTCTCGACCTGCAAGCTCGCCCTCGTCGACGCCGAGTGCCTCTTCTGCCTCTGCTCCGGCAGTGTCAGCAGCGGGTATTCGCCCGGCGCAGTGCCCTCCTCTCGCGGCGACCCGAGCGCGGGGTGCTCGAGCGGGATCGCGATCACGGACTCCTCCTCCTCAGCAGGCGCGCGCGGGGCTGCTGCAGCAGCTCTCGGACGGTTCTGCGGATAGGCTCGCGGGGTCGAATTGGTCGGGTTCCAGAGGCGCGCGGCGCTCCTCCGCCGTGGTCGGGGTGGGCCTGCCCTGCTACTGCTGCTGTTGCTGCTGCTGCTGCCAACGGTGCGGAAGGGGGGAGGGGGAAGGAGCTCGGCGTGGGTGTGCCCGATGATGAAAGGGTTTCGAATGCTCCAGCGGGTTGTTGGGCTGGTTACGTGCAATTGGGGATCGGGGAGGGTGGAGGATTGGCGGGTTGCGGTGGTGGCAGACGCAGCTTGGGAATTGGGAGGAGGTGCGTGTTGTCGGGAGTTGGCTGCTATGGTGGGCGAGTGGGCTCGAGCGGTTGGCGGGCCACTTTGGGACGCCGTTGGAGCGTTGCCTCAAGGGCGGTGGTAGGTTGGGCTCCGGAGACTCGGCGAGACTGGACTTGTGAGGATGGCTGTCGTCGTCGTCGTCGTCGTAGTCGTCGTTGTAGCTGGTGAGCGATAGAGAAGAGATGAAGAGATTGATAGCAGTTGGAATAGGATTGTCTCTGCAGGGGGAAAGGAGAGATTCCGCTGCAGGGAGCTTTTAGCGAGAGGACCCTGGCGGATGCCTGGATTGTAAGGCTCAACACAGGTTGGTTCATGCTGAGCGGCAACTTCTTATCGCCATCGCAGTGCTCGTCCAAGGTTGAATGAACAACGGGCAAAGAGATATAAGAGATATACGATGGTAGATATATATCTTCTGCATGCGGATAGAGAAATGTACCAAGCAGCCACACACAAGGGGGGAGTCCAGAGCTCCATGATCCACACATCCCTAACTAACATAAACGCCCAGACTCAAACCAAACTCAAACTCAAATCACCGCGCTCATGCCTTTCTTTCTTAGCCCATTCCCTACCAATTCCACCGCTATATCCATTATACCTTACCTTATGAATCATCTATTTCCCCCTATATATCGTCCCCCTTCCCCTCCCCGGACCGCCACGCAGCGATACCCAATTGGCCTCTCAGCCCCGACATTTATTTATTCATGCGCATAAAGCTCTCTCCTCTCTTCAGCAGCTCCGTTGCAACTTACTTACCAGGGGTGCAATACCTTATATATGCATGTATGTATGCACGAGTCCCCTATTCCCTGCATGCATGCATACATCTGTTTTCACGACTCATGTACCGTTTTTTTGATATAGGTAGGTACTTTCATTGGTGAAATGTGGTATGCAATAGCATAGGTAGTAATGCCAGCTATCTTAGGTATCATATCAGCTCAAGCCACATCATCCCTTTCTTTCAAAGAAAGAAAAAAAAAAAAAAAAAGAAAAAGTAAGATTGAAGACGAGGAGAACAAAACAAAACAAAACATATCCCTGAAGCTTCAGCTGCTATGCGGGAGGAGGAAAGCTGGGTGGGGGATGTCTGCCTCACATCACATCACATGTAGCTCGCGCAGAACAGCAGAACACGTGAAATAACGGCACTTCTGCGTTTGCGGGATGTATAGTAGGTAGGTAAGGTAAAGGTAGGTATGTTGCTGAATGCAACGCAATGTAATGCAATGCTCTACTATATTACCTATCTTCGTTGATTTCATTCAGGGATACTTGTTGTATTGGTAATGAATCCTGCCTTCCGTGACTGGAGGTCAAGTTGTTCTAAGTATTAGGCAAGCAATTACTGACCCCAAACTCGGTGCTTTTCGAAAACGATGATTCTTGTGCTTTGCCTATTTATAATTATAAAGATTTGAATTGATCGGTTTCCTACCTACCTACCTAGGTATCAGATCCTCTATTTACATAGCCAAGCAAGGCCTCGCACCATTTGATATATAACCAAGTCCTGCCATATGCACAATCCTCCTCGTCACACTCGTGAACCATTCGATCCTGCCCATTTTGTCCGCTGTTTTCATTAGATACTAAGGAATACTAGAAAATTACCTTGCCTTACTGTGTCTATAGCCACTCGTAAGGACTCACAGCTTTTTATTAGCTGCCGCCTGCATCTTCCGCAGCGCCTCCCGATGTAATTCCAACAGATCCCCCCTCCTCATTCTCTGATCAAATGCACTATCCCTCCCCTCCTTTTTCTTTTGCTCAAGTGCCTTCTTCTCCTCCTCCGCTCGCTTCTCCAGCCATAGTGTACTTCTCCGCCGCTCAATCGCCCTCGTCGGTTTGGCTGTGCTTTGGAGATCCTGCTGCACGCTCTCGCGCCAAGACGCAAGTTGATATTCGCGTTGTATGGGACCAGGGACGGAGGACTGGCGGCGTGGTTGGTGGGAATCAAAGGGTGTGGGCGGCTGCTGCATGCTTGCGCTAGTTAACTGTTGGAGAGAAGCTTGGCGGATCATGTTGCGGCGTTCGGAGAGTAGCATGTCGTCGTCGTCTAAGACGGCGGGGCTACTGTGGTTGAGGTAGTTGGTATTATATACTGGCTCTCCGTCACCTTTTTGTTGGGAAGGAATGGGATTATCGAGCTGTTGTTGTGGAGGTTCGGGCGTTGGTGAGGTGGCGGACAGTTTGGAAGCATAGGAAATTCTGTTACGAAGCATAGTGCTGCGTTTTCCCATTAGAGTATTACCAGGGCTGAAAGAAACATATGGCGAGGGGGATCTTCTTGATCCCACAGGTAGGGACTCCCCAGAATCTTCCTCGACGGGTGATTCAACGATCGGTTGAGGAATATTGGGACTCGAAGGGCTGCGCAACCCGCGGGCTTTGACGTTTTGTTGCGAGGTTTGCGAGCGAAGGGATTGCTGTGACACGGTGCGGGGAACTGTACCATGCTCTAATAAACCAGTAGAGGTCTCTGGTCTCGGAGGCGGTAAACCTGATGGCGCTGAGTTCGATCTCATTAGATGCGAAGGGCGATTCGACATTTGCGAGATCGAGCTTGCTGGGGGAGGGAGAGCATTCTCGGGAGTCTGTTGAAGCTCCTCCACATCTACAGGCACAGCAGGATCCGCAACTGTAGTCTGATCATCCACAGGATCTTCCAATTGCAACTCCTCCAATTCTGGTACCTCCGCGTTACCGAGATGCTTGGCCCATTCATTTGTTCGATACGACGTGACCACTTTCGATAACTGGTTGGGTAGGTGCTCCTTAGTGAGATTCGCAGGTTTTAGTACTGCAGCAGATACAGCAGAAGGAGTGCCATCTGCTGGTTTCTCATCCTCATGCTCACCCGAGTCAACTTCAGGGGTGCTGTTTGTCTGGGGAATCGGCTTTGGATCTGTACTCGATGTCAAGGATTGCTGGACGACCGGCTCCTCGACTTGCTGTTCCACAACTCTCTGCTCGTCTTCTCGATTCTCGACTTTCGGTACATCGGCCTGCCGTTCCACGATTGTCGACTCCTCGATCTGAACTGTCTCTGGATTTTCTGACCCTTCTGCGGTAGCAGAGATTGGTCCCTCGGTGGCTTCTTTGGAACTCCCAGCAAGCGCCTCTTCAGTTGCTTTAGATGCCGACTCAGGGCTGGGTGCTTCGTCACCTACAACAGACCCAACCTGCCCTGAAGGCCGAATAGTAGCGTCATCGTCAGTATTTTCCATGGAAGATCTTGTGCTCAACATATCCTCGTCATCACTAAGTTCATCCATAGTTGCCGCAATCGAGCTCGCTCGATCATCCTCAAAAGCTCTAGGGACCACAAGATCCTCAGTACTCTCGCCTTCCCCACGAGAGAATCTCTTTGAGCTTCTCTGTGATCTCTGGGATATCCGTCGCAGGAGGGCCGAACCTGCAGAAAAGCGCTTAGAGTGCCTCGTCTCCTCGGCTGGCACATCATCTGCAAAGGTAGCTACCGAGGACCGATCGTCTTCTGTCTCGCCTTCAGGGACTTTGAATGGAAGAGGAACAACTTCTGGTGCTCCCGATGCTTGTTTGGAACTTCGCTGCGATGGTCGTCTCTCCAGCCGTGCCTCACCGTCAGCGCCAACAACCCAGACCTTCTCCTCTTGGATAGGGTCTTGGGCTGGCACATGACTTGCATGATCGGGGGCCACGATTGGGACTCCGTTTTCATCTACTCCAGATTCAGGTTGGATGATGTCGCGCGCAACTCGAACGGTAACAGCGCCATCATGGTCTTTGCTCGTCATAACGAGTCCGGTGTCACTAGCCACGCCTGGTGTGGTAGGGGATGTTACCGGGACCTCGACCATTTCGATATTGCCTTCGTCGGAGTTTCGCGGCGAGGTGACTGTGCTCATCGGGCCCTTCTTCTGACTGTCCATATCACCCACGCCCGAATCCCTGTTCGATGGCATGGTTTTGAACTCGTCCTTGTCTCCATAGACAGCTTCCCACTGACTTCTCTCCCGCGCACTATCGTCTTCGACACGACGTCCAATATTCTCTTCCTCCTGCTCCAGTGCCCTCTCATCTTCTAACCGTTCAGCTGCGCGTTGCTGGCGGCGTTCCTTGATGACCTTCCAAAGCTTCATCTGCGATGCCACACCTGCTACGAAGATTATGATTATCGCAGCTATCTCCACGCGAATTCCTCTCGTTACAGGATAGGTAGTAGCTCCCAGGGGGAAGAGATTAGTGTTCAGATTCCAGACATAAGCCCAGAACTCTTTCAAACCCGCGCGACTAAAACAGTCAATTCCCAGGACTACCGCGGTAGCCCCACCGAAGGATATGAAACAAATCAATGCATACGGCCTGGTGATGTGACTGAAAGAGGTACAGAAGGCAGCGATGGTGAAGGCCGCAATGAACCCTGCTCTGCCACCCGTAGAGGTCAGAAGGCCGCCCGATTTCAAGACCAGCAACCACATGCTGAGGCAGAAGCCACCGAGCAGGCATCCCAGGCCTTCTGTCAGCTCTGGAAAGGCGATTGCTGCCCCGCCAAGGATAAGCCCCGTCATCACTACCGCAACGACATATGCCCCCTGTATAGCGTTGCGGATCGGGGGATTCATAACGTAGACGATGAGTACCGTAACCGCTAAACCTGCCAAGTACGCCGCAGAGAGATATATATGGAGATATCTGTTCTTGATGCCGATAATTGTGTAGACGGCCCCGCTGAGTATCAAGATCACACCTGCAACAGCGAATCCAGGGGTGATTTCGGGTGTAAGGGGTAACTTTCCAGGGGTAAGCGTCGCTGTATCAATGTCAACAAAAAAACGCCAGATACGGCGGGGTTTTTCATACAGTTGAATGTAGAATCGTTGTTGACTGAAGGGGTTGGGACCGGTCCATTCATGTTTGATGTCACTGCAGATATCACAGGCATAGTGTATGTCGTGGAATGGGAGCTTGATGTTGAAGCCAGCGTGGTAGGAGCAGCTGAACCTGACGTAGGAACAGTCGTCGACGCAGCGCCAGAATGAGAAGTAGTTGACGCCGCGGCACTGCTCGCACTACTCGCACTATCACTGCCTTCAGACTTGGTGGGGCTACTCGAAGAAGACTGCGCGACCTCGGTGGTCAGGGTCGATGATGCAGATGAAGACCCATCGCGCCTCTGCACATGAATAGGCCATGGCTGTGCAAGTGCAAGACTGATACAGAAGCAGAGGGTGAGGAGAACGAGAAGCTTGGATCGCATCGCATGTACCATTTTGACTTTCGAGGATCCGCTCTCAGCACGTGGAGGTCCTCTGGGTGGAGTGAGGACGAGTAGAGAGAGGGAGGGAGATAGCGTTCGAGGAGAAAGAGAAAGCACTGAGGAGGCTCTCTTTGCAGACTATGAAAGAGTGATTGTGAGCAGCATTATTTGCGCCGGGCCTGCTGGCAATGTACTCTTTCTTTGAGGGGATGGTAGAGGGACGGATATGAAGCAGAGGGGAGGAGATGGAAGAGGTGAAAGAGACGGAGGAGACGGAGGAGATGTAGAAGAAGAAGGAAGAGGAGAAGGAGCAGAAAGAGTCTGAAAAGACACGGGAGAAAAATGAAGAGATTTGAGAGAACGACACGGTGAGAGGGACAGAGAGGAACGGGCCCAAGCGGGAGGAGGCGGTGCCGTATAGGGAAGTACTATGAGGAAATACTTTTCTACTACCGCGTAGTGTGTGCCCTGTACAGCAGTGGTACGGTCCCAGCCATAACCCTGGGCGTCAGGGCGGGCCAGGGTCGGGATGAGCAGCGAGGGCGTCGATCCATGATGGGCCCAGGAGAGCGTCCCGGAGCCGACGATGATTGGGACGATGGGGACGGGGGTGGGAGGAGATGGAGATGCGATGGGAATCATTGGAGAATGGAAGACTGAAGTGGACAACGTCTGGAGGCTGGCCAGAGCGGCGAGACAAGGGACGGCCCTCGTCGTTTGGTAACTTGGGACTGGATGACGACAGGGGGATGTCTATGCATCGACTGGATCGAGGGGTAGGAGATGGAGGTTTATACCGGATCGAGAGATAGAAGATGGAGGTTTATCCCGGAGAGGAAGAGAAGATAGAATATAGGACAATAGAGGGACGCTTCTGGTCATCTTCTTCTGCAGCAGGGCGGAGGCCGGGGACCCCTGGACCCTGACACTAGGCTGGATCTGTCATAGGCGCAGAGATCGAGATTCCAGAGATTGCGATATCCCCTCTGGCCCCTCTGGTCCCTCCGCTCCCCACGCGGCGTGCTCTCTGGCGGTGGATATATTGTTGTTATATTGTTATTGGCGGCGTCATTGGCAGGAGACGCGAGCACGGAGCCCCTACGCCCGTACAGGGAAGGCGGCGTTCAGCCCCGGCGCCCGAGACCCCGACGGCCGCTCAGCTCTGCCAGGAAGCTCGAGCGCCCAGGGGTCGAAGCGAGATTGTCTCGCTTGTCGGCGCGCATCATCATCCATGCGGCAAATCATCGCAAATCATTGCAAATCTCCTCTCGCCTCTCTCTGCTGCAGAATGAGGATGGATGGGACTGGACGTGTGCATAATACATTGGGGATCTATTGTATTTATGCATCTGCATAGGTACATGATATGTAATGCCTGTGCACTCCCTACAGTACCTATGCATCGCATATATCCATTTCGTTGTGGCTCTTCAAGAGGCGGTAAGGTCTTGGACCCTGCGCTTCCCCTGGTCCCTCGACTTCTTCACCTCCCTTTGCTAATTCGTAGCGTCTGACGGTCAATCGTGACAAAACACCCGAACATTCTTCCCGTAAGGATCACGAGTAATGTCCGAGTCGTCCGAGGCTGCCAAGTTCCAAGTCCCAAGTTCCAAGTCATACGTCCGTAGCTCCAAGACGGGCCAATTTGCAAGAAAGGTATGGTCAGGTACTAGCTGGCAATATCTATCCGCGCTACGAATAGCTTATTCCAACTACCCCGAGCCGTGCCGCCTGCAATGTACAGTGCTGTATCTCCCTGGCTATTTCATACTCTATACAATCAATATATTCAACCTTCAAGCTCACCACCATACCCCATCGTACCACAGCGTCTAAACACCCCTCCTCGACAACTTGCTCTACACCATGCCTTCAATCAAATCACTGACAATAAGAATACTGTACGACGAGTACATCTTACCCCGTCCAACCTCTCCGCAGCATCATGCTCCGGCTTGCAGCATGCCTGCCGCGCAACGACGACACACGAACGCGACTCGATAATCTCTGCTGGACCCGAGTTATCGTAGACGGCAATGCACACTCATGCAGGCGCGCGTGATGAAAACTGTGCAGGTAGGTAGGTCCGGCTGCTCTTCTTCCTCGCTGCGAAGACGTTTTTCTGGCCGTCGTACACTCCCCCCGCCTTGATCTTCTGCCCTCACGAAACTCCCATCTCGACATATATTACCTTAGGTAGGTGGGCAAAAGGTATCTTGGACAAGTAGGTAGGTAGGTAGGTATACATGTAAGATATGTATGATTTGAGAGCGCCTGCCTCCACTGCCCCAATTCCATTCCGAGGAGAAGAAAGCAGTTCCGAACGCCGCAGCTTCGGAATATCAGCAACGAACTATATTGACGGAGGCACTTCGTGTATGTCTGGAAGGACACGCGCTCTCCGAACTAAAATCTTACGAGATAATGATTTCTTGGTGGGATTCGCGACAGAGAATTGATTCGAGGTAGGTGTGGGAAGGCATGTGCAGAACCCAAGACTGCGATCTGATGATCTAAGGGCCAAATGAAAATAACCATGTGGAATATTTCCCAAGCTCTTGTCTAGCATTCTCTGGCCCTTAATGCTGACGCCTGCCTTCCCCCCCCCTCCACCGTTGTGGATTTCCCCATTCCACAACAACTCCAGGATCGCCTAGGATAGCCTAAATGCAGTCGTTCCGATCTTCCTAGCAGTATTTCCCATAGTAGTAGTAACATCTTTCTCTATTGAATACCTTTACTACCTAGGTACTATGAGAGTTTAATCTAAGTTTTAGTGTACATATGGTTCTACGAGAGGGAAAGAAAATAAAACCCTCCCGCTAAGGCGCCGTTACATCGCCGGTCCTTTTGTTGTATCCTTATCTCCTCTACATAAGCCTGTAGATATCGCTATAGATATAGCTCGCCTCGTGCGCGCTAGACTGCTCCTAGTGCTCTACTTTGTTCTTAGATTAGAAGTTAGAAGATAACGACCGCCTGTAGTTACTCTAGTCCCTGCCCGGGGGTTGCCCTTTGTTTGTCCGAACGCCATCCTTTTGACTCCTAGGATAAAAAATTCTAATCTTACACACCTCCTCCTCTTTCCGTATTGTGAATTGCTTTTATGGCTGCCCTAGGTGCTGGTTTCGTGCGTGTGACTCTCTCAAGCTCCTTTCTGGATCCAGAAACCACAAGCAAACCTAACTCCCCACAATCGCACCTTCTCTCAAGATGCCCCGCGCCGCGCCCGCCGCAACCCCGCAGAAGCGGGGACGCGACTATTCCCCTCCGCTTCGCCAGTCTACTAGTAAGCGTGTCCGTACTAATAAGCCGTCCCGTGCTAGTTCTTCTATAGTAGAGACCTTTGATGATTCTGCGGATGACCGGTCAATTCCCGCGCGGTCCGACGCCCGTGTTCTGGGTGGCTTCGATGATGATGATGACATCGATGATGACGATCTCTTTGCTCTCCCCCGGGAGGATTTCCCATAAGAACACCGTATGGGTCGATAATTTCGAAGGATTCGTTAATACGTAGCATTGACGTTGTAACGTACAAGACAATGATATCTTGGTGGATGCTAACTGTTGCGAATAATGCTAATCGTTGTGAATAATGCTAATCGTTGTGAATAATACCAACCGTTGTGAATAATGCTAATCGTTTTGAAACTAATCGGTGTAAGTAAAAAAGGAAATTCAATTCCTTTAACTTGTCTTCGACAAATCCCCTAAGAGAGGGATTTTCGTCACCTGCGCCTTCGCAGCGTCAAAATCTTCGACGGATGGAATCTCAAACAAGTATTGTAAGTGACATTCTGCCTGAACCTTCAGCGAGGCAGTATCAGCCTCTTCGAGGTCAATATCTGTAGGATCTTCTGTGTATGGTTTGACGTGGTTGCCCAGCGCTTTGATGAACTAATGGAATGGGTTCTCGAATCCACTGGTTTTGTCCTCACTCTACTCGCCCCAAGATTCTGCGATAGGTAACTTGTAAGGTGTGAGGTTCGGTGGGAGAGATGTCTGGGTGATTACTTCGAGTCGAGCCACTGCCTGAAGCCTCGTAGCGTACTGTGCCTTCCATTTCTGTGATGTCCACTTTTGACTCTCTGCATTAGATGTTAAGGGTTGGGAGGATGCGATCTCACTTCTTCACACAAAGAGAGGTGGATCCAGTGGATAGGCTGCGCAGAAACCCATGGGTCCCTACCAAATAGGTTAGGTACCTACCCCATAGGGTAGGTTATAGTGAATAGGACCTAACCCATAGGTCCCTAAATAAATCCACGACCTAACCTATAGGGTAGACCTAACCTATAGGTATAGTGTATCTTAAGGCACTAAGGCACCTTTACACTTACGTGATACCTAAGGTCATAATCATTAATTAGTATAAAGATTAGTATAAAGATTAGTATAAAGATTAGTATAAAGATTAGTATAAAGATTAGTATAAAGATTAGTATAAAGATTAGTATAAAGATTAGTATAAAGATTAGTATAGTTATCCTAAGTTTAAACGATTATAAAATAAATAAATCAAAATAGTTTTATATATATTTATTTTAGTACTTAGGCTCTACTATCCTTAAGTCCTTACCTGCTTTGTTACGCGATCTAAAATAGATCTTCTATCTTATAATTCCTATACCTGTTTCCTTAGTGTATTAATACCCTTAGGAGTCTCTAGCTTAGATCCTAGAGGTAGAGTTAGTAAAACCGACTCTACGCTATTACGATCTCTATTAACTACCGGCTTAAGAATGTCCTTATCCTTAAGGTCTTCTAGTAGATCGTAGATTAACAGATCCTACGCGGTATTCCTCTTCTTACGCTCTACTATTTATATACTACGTATTTTACGTATAGACATAGAGAGTACCTAGGTATTATCTTAAGCTATAGAACGAGCCTATAAGAGCCTCTTATGTGTAATAGTATTAAGGCGTCTCTATGTCTATAGTGTTTGCGCTTAATAGCCTAGCCGGTTTAGTTCTCCTTCCTTATTACTAATATAGTAATCTACTACCTACGTGTCGACTTCCTTTAGACGTAAGTTAACAGATGTTTCCCGCTCCTTTAGCTTAGCTTCTATCTCTTCTTTAGTTATACTATTAACATTAATAGTGTCAGAAAGTATCCTTCTAAGCTTGTTACCTTACTCTTCCTAAAGTTAAGAGAAAAAAACTAATATAAGGGCACAGATAGCCAGAGGTTTAAGTTAGCTACGACAATAGCTACATACATTACGTAAAAAATTAAAGAGGCGCTTAACACTAACGCCTATAAGAGGAATATAGAGCAAGTCTCTAGCTATCGCTATAAGGCT